TTATCGACTTAGCCAAAGCAGGAGGAGAGGGAGAGAGAGATCGCCTGCCTGCATGACTTCGTCCATCCACCCACCCTTCGATAGGAGAGAAATTTCAACCCCCCCCGCAGTTCTGCATCACCAACCATCACGAATGAGAGCTGCAGCTGGCCGTCCATAAAGCCTGCCCTCTGGCCTCTCTCCTCTCTCCTCTCTCTCCTCCTCTCTCTCTACCCTATGCTTGTCTGTATTTGTCCCGTCTCTGCTTCTCGACCCTGTATATTCCTTTTTTGCCGGCAACAAGTAACAGGTGCAGCATTGGATTGCGATCCGTCCTGCCTTGAAATTATTCGGTCACTCCCGACTTTTCGATCCTCTGGACTTGGACTTGACTCTTTTCACCCTACCGCGTCTAGTTCCGTTTCGCTAAGCAGGCCAATCCGCATATCCTGCGTCGTTGGGCGTCGTCGTATCATCTTGCTCGCCTCTCTCGTCTCCGGCGGATTCAAGGCTCTGTCTTCTGTGTGACACCAACCACCTCAAGCGAAGAAAAGAAAAAAGCCTGGAGAGATATTAGCATTCAACCAGATCAACCGGGAAAGGCAGATATCAGGATAGATAAAGCGCCATTCCAGGTTGTTTTCTTCTTCCTCGTCGACTCTTTTATTTTTTGGTTGTGTTTTTTTTTTTTCGCTGTTGAGAATATTTAAACCTTTTCAACTCCACCGCCTTTGCTTAGCTTCTCCTCTTTTTTCAACTTCACACCGAGACGACGACGAGGACGAGGACGGACGATAGAGAAGAGACGGAAGAGAGAAGAAGCCCACAAAAGAGAAGCAGTCCATAAGGGAGAGGAGGTCCATAAAGGTATAGAGAAGAAAGATAGAAGAGAAGTACAGTAAGAGGCCTTGCGCTGATGTGGTGACGATGCTGACCGCCGATAGATCTCATGCCACAGTCGGCTCGCCCCTTGATCAAGAGGAATAAGAGAAACAAGGGAGATACAGAAAGATAGAAGAAGCGAAGAGAAGAAGAAGAGGAAGAGCCCGAACTGCAGAGTGAAACCAGGAATGGGAGATATCTCTGCCACGATGATCAAGAGTGAACCAGACGAACCCAACAACCCCCATCAGTTCATGATGTCGCCCTCAGCGTATGGGATCCCGACTCCGTCCTATGGAAACCAGTTTGGCGGCTCAGGCACAGGAACCGGAGCTGGCGGAAGCGAGGGAATCGACCCGTCGGAACTCACCATGCAGCAGAACGGGTTTGTCTCGCACCACCACCCGTTCGGCTCGCAGAACCTGTCGTCCAGCTTCACCCTGGGCAACGCCGGAATCGACACGGACGAGCTGCTCGACCTTGAGATCAACGGGCAGAACCTCTCCCGCGACGATGGCCTGGACCAGCGTCAGCCTACGGCCATCTCCATGAGCCACCAGGGCCAGATGTCGCACATCTACTCCAGCACCCCCGACGGTGCCCCGATACAGAGTCCCTTCCTACGCTCCTCCTTCAACTACGACCAGTTCCGCCAGGTTCAGCATACGCCACAGGCTACTTCGCCGCACATGAACGCCATGAACGTCCACTTTGACCAGAACTACTCTGTGGCCGGCAAGGCTGCCCGCAATTCCTTCCACGGAGACGCTAGGAGCCCCGTCACCCCCAAGACGCCGGGCATCGGGATCGGGGGCCTCAACATCAACACTCCAGACTCCGGGAGCTACTCTTCCCAGCCCATCCGGGCCGTCAGCCTACAGTCTCAACACCAGAAGAGCATGTCCGGGCAGTGGAACGGCACCCCAGGCAGCGCCCAGTCGCTCATGGAGTCCCCCATCTCCTCGCCAGGCGGCCACCACGCCTCCCACCACGCCAACATCCATGAGATGCTCAAGTCGGCCAAGCACGCCTCCCTGCCGGCCAAGGTCGACGGCCTACACGGCCACCACCACTCGTCCTCCTCCCAGTCCCTCGAGTCCCAGGAAGCCAAACGCCGCCGTCGCCGCGCGTCACATAACATGGTCGAGCGCCGGCGACGGGACAACATCAACGAACGGATCCAGGACCTCTCCCACCTCGTGCCTCAGCACCGTCTAGAGGACGAAAAGGTACGCAAGCAGCTCGTCAACAACTCCGCCCTCTCCTCCACCACCGGTGCCAACGCCTCCTCTCCCCCGAACCACAACCCTGCAACCTCCCTGCTCGCCGGTCCCTCCGCCCGGCGCGCCACCGCGGGAAACATCACCATGGGCCTGCCCATCGAAGAGAAGGAGAAAGGCCCCAATAAAGGCGACATCCTCAACGGTGCCGTCGGCTGGACCCGAGACCTCATGTGGGCTCTACACCGGAAACTGGAGCAAGAAGACCAGCTGGCAGAATACATCGCCTCCATAGGCGGACAGTGGCCCTTTGAACAGACCGAGGAAGACCGTCGAATGAGAACAGAGGTCTTTGATGCCATGGAGGCCAATGACGGTATCAACTTCTCCTACTCGCGCGGCGTCGGAAGCGGCCTCCGTGTCCCGAAACATACCACCATCTCCGGCGAACCTCTCACCCAGCAGGGCAGCCCTTCACAGGAGCACTCTCAGTCTCAGTCCCATTCCCATTCCCAGTCTCAGAGCCAAGCATCCGGAACCGGAACAGGCAACAGTCCCGGCTTCAACGGATCCCAGTTCTGGAATAGCTCGGGACACATCGGCCTAAGCGTCAAGGAAGAAGACGAATATGCAATGGAAATATGAAGCCTCTTCTCTTTTTTTTCCCTTCTATCTTTCCATCTTTTGGTCTTCCCATTCTCGTTCTTATTTCTTCCCTCCGCGTCTCCAGGGTTAGGTCCGCGTTTGCATATACGGTCGGCGGCGTTACTTCTCGTCTCTACAGCACGGAGAGAGACGATTCGGTCAGTTAGTTAGTTAGGTTGGCGACTCAGAGGTTCGGGGTGAAGAAGCTGACTTCTTCCTGCTCCCCTTTTTCTTTAAACTACACACAGCACTTGCCTCTTCATCCTGTTATATTTCGGGCTTCTCTCGTCTTTCTCTGCCTTTTTTCGTTAGCCTCATGTTCTGTTCTGCACTCATGGCATGGCATAGCATGGCATCACGCTCCTGATAACCATCAACCCCCCGGCACCAAGTTCTTTTTGATCTATCTCCATATTCCATGAAGTCACGATTGATATCCCACAACGCAACGTCCATCTGTCTGTCTTTAAACTCATCACGAATCCATCTCGTTCTCGGGCCCCGGCTCCTTGTCCTTCCTTCTCTTCACATATACAACAGGGTATATAGGAGGCTTTCTCGTCTTGAAACTTCTTTTACTTCTCTTGTCTTTGCTCTCGTTCAGGCGGTTTGGTGTCATACCCTGCGTGCTTCCTTGACTTCCTTTTACTCTCTATCTCTCATGGTGGGACGCTGATTTGACTGATTGATTGATGACCTTTTCCATATACCTTCATACCCCCTTTTCCTTCTGTTGTCCTTTCCCCCCCTTTTGATCCGTGTCATGCTGCCATGCCACTTACATATGTCTGCCATTTACCCCCTTTGCCTGTGTTTATTTGATTGAATAGTACAGTTGCTCCGATTTTTCGTCTCTTGACCATGTTCTTGTATTTATGTAGCTAATATCTTCCCCTAATAACGACATGAACCCTACTCATTTACTTGTACACGAACAGCCCAAGGTAAAGAAAACATCTACTCCTCTAATATGCCAATGGTCTATATGAGTCAAAGGTAGGGAAGATAGGAAAATAGTGGTATCATCGAGAAGCTGTCTGTCCGTCTACCGGACGGAGAGCTCTGAGCGGCATGCATGCCAGGGCCGCATGCTCGAAATGCCAGATGTAACTGTGGTCAAAAAAGAGTCTAGGTCTTATCGAAAAAGGGGATTCTCTCGGTCTGGAGGATGTTCGTCTGGCGTCTCGCGTATATCTCATCTATGGCTGAGCCGGTATATGTAGTCCAAAAGTAAACAAGGTATAAAAAACGCATCACTCCTTTCTCATGGCACGGAAGAAATCCGTCACGGCGGTAAAGACGACGAGCAGGATACCTCCTCCGGGGCCTAGACGCAGCACCTTGGGCAGGAATCCCTTGTACAACGCTCCGAAACCTTCCTCCTTCATCACAGTGCCCAACGCCGGCCAGGCCCAGTTATACTTGGGCACCGAACCCGCGATTTTCGGACTGTTCTGGATTCTGGACTTGACCACGTCCATGGGCGTGTTTATCACGGTTCCAAGCGTTCCTCCGACCGTACCGGCAATGATATCATTTCTCATCTGCTGGCTCTGGTTCCCCTTTTCAGCAGGAGGTAGCTGTGCCCTGATCTGGAAGATACTGCCGAAGTAGCCCGCGTTCCAGAGTATGTGGCGCCAGAGCGTGGCTTCGAGGCCGTTATACAGGGCCAGAGGTCCTTCGTGCTTGACGATCTTGCGAACAACGTCAAGCATGCCATTGTATTTGCCTGCGGAATCTTTGTCCTGGAGGCGGATCTTGACAAGCTCAAAGGGGACGACGACGAAGGACTCGGTGGCTCCGGCTGTGGCGCCCGTGAGAATAGCGAGGGGCTGGTTTGCTTTTTCCATACCGAAGATCTTGCGGTAGAAGGCGCCCCAGCTGTCGTTTGCGGCGAACTTGGTTGCTCGCTTGGGTGCCTCCATCAGAATCGGGGCGTTGATGCCGCGGTACAGGCGGGAGAACCTATCTTTCATTATTAATTCGTCGTGTGTCAATGGACGGATGAGAAGGATAAAAAGACGGACCCCTCGTTCCTGACGATCTTGCTGAAGCAGTCGAACATGCCATTGTATCCCTCTGCGCCTTTGGCGGCGCCGGTCTGAAGTTGACTAGAGCGGTGGTCAGCATTGCTACCGGGTTCCGGAGTTGACGGTAGTCCTTACACTCTGGTCTTCACGACGTCCAGCGGGTACCTAGCAAGGTATTGATCAGTATATTTTTAGACAGCAATGGACGAGCAAAGACCGCATACATGACGAGAATCTAGCAGTCCATCCGTTAGCAGCTGCAGACCGAAAGAATGGCACGAGCACGAGAACCAACCTCAGAGACACCGGCCACCGCACCGGCGGCAAACTGGTAGGCAAACGGTAACGGGGCCTTATCCTGCGACATCTTGTATACCTATCGACCGATTCCGACTGTCCAACGTGTTCTTTTTTGTATAATCTCGGAGGAGAAGAAGAAGTTGAAGTTGAGGCATCACAAGAAAAGCAAGAAAAAGCCGAAAAAAGTTCGGCGGGCAGACCGAGGCTGACTAAGCAGCAAAGTTTTTTCCCTTTGCGGCATTTTTGAAGTCGAAGTTGAAGATGATAAAAGAAGAGATGAAGCGAAGGATAGAAGATGTATGGATGTATAGAGAAGAGATGTAGATGCATAGGTGTGGACGGGAGAGAGAGGTATGCATATAGAGAAAGTTGTAGAGGGTTGGAATCTGGGCTGCATGCTTGGTGCTTATGGAGTCTGCTATACGGACTTGATGTATAGATGTTGTATGGAAGAGAGCGGACGTACGGAGTATATAGAAGAATATATAAACTACAACTGATAACTGACGAACGCTGGAAAAAGAAAGGAGAATAAGCAAGCAGAGGTGATCCAGAGGATACTTTGGCTGTTTCAATAGACTTGTTGCTTGATCATCTACATCTATACGGAGTCCCTATAGTTGTATGTATAGGAGAACGCTGTCGATGTCCTCAGCTGGCCACCGTACAATGTATGCACCATCCGAAGGCTCGCTCTCGTCTATCATCTCGTCTATCATCTTCACCTTCACCTTCTTTTCTTTTTATCATCTTTTTCTTCTTTTCTTTTTCTTTTCATCTTTTCTTCTTCTTCTACTTACACTCACGTGACCGCGCTTTTCTCGCGTTTCGCGACTTCACGAAAAAAACACTTAAAAACAGCGAGGAAAAGACAAGAACAAACAAGAAGACAAAAGATGAAGAAGACATGAAGAAAGGATTGAGGATTCTAGTATAATACACGATGATGCACGATCCATTTATTTGCTCCACCTCGAAAGCCAAGTTAGATGCCTTCAGATACGCTCCCAAGGCGACGGAGATGGAGATGGAGGAGCTACTAGAACGCCCGACTCAAGAAGCAGAGAGAGAGGACGAAGATGAGAAGAAACAAGAGACCCGGCCAATGCCATGTCCAGAGACGCCCGTACACAAGATACCACTCGCAGACATGATAAGCAACACTGAAGACGCGCTCAACAACGCCCCCGAGAAGGTGATTACACCTGGAGACCATGTCTTCTGGGACCATGGTGGCTCATTTTTACGCTCGACACCAAACACTGCCAGGAAGAAGCGCAATCGCAGCCTGTCACCTGCCAGCTCGCCCTCTTATATTACTAAGGATGGCTCTTTTACTACTATGTTCACCCTCGAGAAGGTGGTGCCGACTACGCCTCTACATGATGACGCCGCAGACCTCTGGACCAGGTATGTCAGCAAAGCCGATGGTCTGCCAGCAGAGTGTAATATGCCTTCCTCCCCGCGCACACCGGGACTGACGGGAAGTGCAAGGAAGGCCTGTCTGCGCAGGGCAAACAGCTGTGCTATTGATTGGCCCAAGTCGGCTACCAGGGGGAAACGGTCGATGGACTGGCTGGGTTCTCATAGGCGGCTTCGGCGTCCTCTTACCTCCGAGGAAGGCGAGCCAGGCCCGTTCGGCAACTCGAGGATCAACATGCTTGTCGATAGGATACAGGAGTCCCTTCTCAAGTCAAATACTACCAACACTACTGCTGCTACTGCTCCTCCGAGTTCATCACCACTGCCTGATGGACCTGATATACAGCAAGCTAAACGCTTGAGGTTTACCACAGAATCTCCGTCCAAGCCTGCTGCCGTGCGCAGAGGGCAGTTAGACGTACTCCCGCCACAGAACAAGGATCCAGAGTCGTCGGACTACGGCGACGACGACCAGGACCAGGAATTCTTCGAACTCGCGGCGGCCTCGACGAACGAGGCCTTCTCCACACAGAACCGCAATAATACAAATACCACTTTACGACCTGATACAGATACCAATTATGATACGTTCTCACAGCTAGCCAAGAACATGAGTGATGATTCTGATGATTTCGATAATGACGACTATGATGGTATGGATGAGATTATAGCTTCATATAACAAAAATATCCCTACACCCGCAACTACTACTACGACTACAGCCACAATAACGAACCAACCGCCTATCACCCCACAGAAAGGTAGGGTGAAAAATATGGTATCTGAGGGTGAACTGGAAGGAATAATGGAACTGGATGCGTTTGATTCCTCTACTGATGACACTGGTGATAACGTTGGTCGCTCCTTGTATCAATAAATACATCTTCACATCTAGATTGCATGCTTACCCTTATCAAGCCTAGTCAAACCCCTCAGGCTATTAAGCGCTATCTTGTCATTGATTTAGCCGAGAATACATATACCAATCCAAAGGGACGCACTCAATGGGAGAAAGTACGCCTCTCTTCGTATCTATTCAATCTCCTCGATCATGCTAACTTCTGTAGGTACTGGTCGTCTGTGAGGACAAGAAGAAGAAAACCCGCGCCATCACCCTACGCGACTCATGGTTCGATTCTGCTGTCTCCAAAGACTCCTACATTCATCTCATAGGCACATTCAACCGCAATGGCCAGTGTCTCGTGGATGATTCTTCTAACCACGCCATCATCATCGACCCAGACCACCTCATCTCCGCTACTGTGGTAGCAGACTCCTTCACTTGTCCTCGCCGCGCTGTGCTCCAGGACCGGGTCAAGGCTACCAGCGACGCCAACAAGCCCCAGGTCTACGGCCATATCCTACACGAGATCTTCCAGGAGGCAATGAAGGCTAATAATTGGGGCCTTTCTTGGTTGAAGAAGCTCATTGATACCATCTTACCAAAGTATATAGAAAGCCTCTTTGAAGTGAACGTCAGTATCAATGATGCTGCCAACTACCTCGAGACTAAGATGCCTGCTCTCAGAGAGTGGGCGAAATTATACGTCCATCCTCATCCAACCGTACGTCATCACTCCTCCCAAACAATTGAATATATCGTTCCTAGTTTAACAATATCCCCAGGCTGGCTCGATGATGGATGATAGAAATGGCGCAATGTCCAAGATCTGTATCAACAAACTGCTCGAGGTTGAAGAGCATGTGTGGTCTCCGATGTATGGATTGAAGGGCAATATCGATGCCACTGTCCAAATCGTCCTGGAGGAAGAAGGAGAGCAAAAAACGCTCACCGTGCCATTAGAAGTTAAGACGGGGAAGAATAATGCGAATCATTCACACCGCGCCCAAACAGCATTATATTCGTTGCTTCTTTCTGACCGTTACGGTATATCAATTTACATTCCCTTATCCCAACTGCACCTTGTGGTATACACTAACACATTTATAGATATAAACGTAACATTTGGAATATTATACTACTTGGAACTCTCAAAGACTCTTCGTGTCCGTGCCATACCAAATGAAATCCGGCAGATGATCCAACAACGAAATCTACTCGCTGGTTATCTCCGTCAACGGTTCGAACTTCCCCCTATGCTTAAAAACTCCCGACTTTGCAGCCCTTGCTACGCAAAGTCGACGTGTTTTCTATATCACAAGCTCGTGGACGACGGCACAGAGGAAACGAGCGGCGTAGGCAAGCTTTTCCAAGAAACATCCGGCCACCTCACCGCTCCCCATCAAGGGTTTTTCAAGAAATGGGATGACCTACTGACGCTGGAGGAGAAGGAAATGTCGAAGTTCCGACGTGAGCTATGGACCATGGTTAGTGCTGAGCGTGAGGGTGTAGGACGATGTTTCGGCAACGTCATTATTGAGAATGGATCTGCTATTGAAAATTCAGAAGGGCAAAAAATAAATCGGTTCCAATATACGTTTGTTAAGCCCAGATCTGTTTCGGGTTTTTCATTCACAGAGTCGCAGATCAATGTTGGTGAGCCGATCGTTGTCTCTGATGAACAGGGCCATTTCGCTCTTGCGAATGGGTATGTGGTGCAAATCAGCCCTAGACGCATCACAGTGGCGGTTGATAGACGGCTTCATAATGCTCGAAATAAAGAGGCTGGATTCGATGCTGTTAGCAATCAGACCTTCCAGGGTATCATGGATATCTCGTCAGGGAATAGGAATGCCATGAACATGGACCATCGCACGGAGAACCCAATGCTCTACAGACTGGACAAGGACGAATTCAGCAATGGCCTGGCCATAGTTCGAAATAATCTAGTCTCACTAATGGCACGGGACGTCTTTCAATCGGCTCGTCTTCGTGAATTGATAGTCGAGGGCGCCGCTCCGGTATTCAAGCCTGGCTCACCCATTTCTCGCCTCCCAGAGGCGGTGGGACCTAATCTAAACATGGACCAGAAAATGGCCATTGGCAAAGTGCTAAGTGCAAATGACTATGCATTGGTTCTTGGTATGCCAGGAACTGGTAAAACGACGACAATAGCTCAGATTATTCGTGCCTTGGTATCTCAGGGGAAAAGCGTCTTGCTGACCTCCTACACCCACACGGCCGTTGATAACATCTTGCTCAAAATCCGAGATGATAAGTTTAGAATTCTTCGTCTCGGGACACCGTCGAAAATACACCCTGAAGTCCAGCAGTTTGCCGAATTGGCAGCAACGCCTAAGAATACAATTGAAGAACTTGAAGACGTATATGAGAATTCAAAGGTAGTGGCCACAACGTGTCTAGGAGTTAACCATCGAATCTTCAATACCCGGACATTCGACTACTGTATCGTCGATGAAGCCTCGCAGATAACATTGCCTGTTTGCCTGGGACCGATTCGCATGGCTAAAACGTTCATCTTGGTAGGAGACCACTACCAACTACCGCCTCTTGTTCAAAGCAAACAAGCTATAGAAGGCGGCCTTGACCACAGCTTGTTCAAGCTGCTTTGCGACATGCACCCATCGTCGGTAGTCAACCTAGAGCACCAATACCGCATGTGTGAAGAGATCATGCTCCTTTCAAATACCCTCATATACTCCAATCATCTCAAATGCGGAACACCAGCCATCGCAACCCGTTCACTTTCCATTCCAAACATAAACGGCCTCAAACGCATCCATCCAACTTCCTTCCCTTCCTCCACCGCCAAATCTCGCTGCCTGGGCTCAAGTCACGGCCGATGCTGGCTCCGCGAACTCGTTGACCCTCGTACAAAAACCCGCTTCATAAACACCGACTCCCTTCGTCCTGAGGCCCTAGACTCCGCAAAGGGTTCCCGCATAATCAATGAGGTTGAAGCTACCCTCTGCGCTCAGCTTGTCGAGGCATTTATCGCCGTTGGTATTGCAGCACAAGATATTGGCGTCGTTACGCTCTACAGAAGCCAGCTCTCCCTTTTAAAACAAAAGCTCCGCCATCACGGTCCAAATCTTGAAATGCACACCGCAGACCGTTTCCAGGGCCGTGATAAAGAAGTGATTATCATGAGCTGTGTCCGCAGCAACTCAGACCGAAATGTAGGCGATTTACTCCGCGACTGGCGTCGAGTCAACGTCGCATTTACCCGGGCAAGAACCAAAATGCTCATCGTCGGCAGCAAAGCTACCCTCAGCGAAGGGAACGAGCTACTAGGCAAATTCACGAAGCTCATGGATGAGCATCAATGGCGGTTCGATCTACCGCCGAACGCTGTGAGCCAGCATGTGTTTGCAGAGCACGATTTACTCTTCACCCAGGCAATGGGCGACAAGAGTCCAATGGCAGACAAATTCGCAAATACCTTATCTCCTAGCCCTACAAAGAAACAGCCTCAGGCTCGACTTCCACTTAGCCCGTTGAAGAATAAAGCGGGTACTCTCCCTAAGCCTACACAAGGCATGAAGAAACCACAAAAAGTAGGACAGCCACTTAATGGGGAGAGGATCATAAGAAAAAGGCCAGTGCTGATGGATGTTCTTAATGATATGCTTGGATGATGCGTATAGCTCATTCTTATCTAATTGCAGTCACGCTGGTATTCTTGGGATTTATATTGGGGCCTGTTGGTTTCGTGGAACAGACTTTATCCTCACCCTAGGCATCGTTCTTGGGCTTATATTTGCTGGGAATCTCATCCATTTTTAGCATTACCGTGTATATACATTATGTCTGGGATCCGATTCTTGATAGTGCACTCTAGAGAAAACAAGGCTTATAATACATGCATGCACTATAGAACGAATAGATTAGAAGCTCGCAACGTTACCACCGACATATTCCCAGCAAACAAACCGTCGTTGACAAGATGGCTTTTTGTCTATAGAATCACCCTCTTCCTCTTCTAACCTGGAACTGGCAAAAGGTAATGCTATAACAGAGTAACCGTCCTTCCCATCCACTGCGTCCTTCCCCATTGCAGAGACCAGAAGACCAAACCAATGATTCGCATTCATACTTTGAGAGCCACAATTCCGCCTATAGTCAAGCAATTAGAAAAGACCCCTAAGGTAGACATGAGGATAAAGGGACCTTACAATACTGATATAAACAGATTCATAACCCAGCTAGATGGCATCAAGCCTCTCCATGTGACCCTCACTAAATTTGAGGCCTTGCACTCATTTCTCAGGGGAACTTCATAACGGCTTAGGTACGGATCGATAGAGTCGTTTTCCAGAATCCGTTCCGAGCCCAGGGACGCAAGAGCAAGCCATTCTTGCAACTCATCGCAAGTCTCGCGGAGAGAATCTCTGTCTTTTATCGGGAGAAGACTCTCTGAACCGAAAGGCGGCGTAAGAACTTTTGTCATCACAGATTCTACCGGTGAGCAAGTGATGATTTGTGGATGATATTTTCTAATAGGTGCGTCTGCATCATCTCGTCAGATCGGGGCTCACAGAGAAGACAAGGGGCCCGTACCTTCATCAGTAAGGCTGGAAGATTTAGATAAGTCACTGAACAACCATGTTACAGAGCTGTTTAGAACATTCTTGAATGCCCATACAACTCGTTCAAACCCTTTTTTACCGTGTAGCATGGATGGCGGACGGAGGTTTATCTCCACCACTTCACGAGGTATCGGTTAGCAAGGGGCAACTGGACCTGTGTAGAGAGACATACAGTATCTTGACTTTATGTGCTTTCTATCTCCTGATCGAATAGCTTTCCCAATGAGGCCTGCACTTTCATAAGATGGCTTGTCGAGCTCCAGTGTGAGAATCCCTGGTTGCACATATCAGTATCAAACCGTCAAACAAAAAAGTCTTGCTAACCGTCTTTAAGTGCGTAGACATTATCTACGCCTCTCCTCCCTTCGGATATCATAAGTACGTTTCCTATGTATACATGTTAGAGTTTCATATATTAAAAAAAGGTTGCTGGGCAAGACACGAACCGATCTTAATATATTTGGTGAAAAATTCCCCTTCGAGCAGAGCTGATAGAGGGAAGATTGCCCGCGCATATCGATGCTGCTGGACAGCCTCTGAAATTGAACTCCAGGCCGATTCATGGACTTCTCGAGGAAGAATCAACTCAACCTGATAATATGTTAGACCTTGGATATGGATGTTGTAGAAGTAGGCCGCACCTTGTGGTTGAACGCATGGCCGAGTATAGCAGAGAAAGGAGCCTTCTTCTGCGGTGGTTGCGTAGGATCGATAAATACAGGTAGTTTTCCAACCGATATAAAGCATTTCTCTTGATCCATCAACGGGTCTTCAAAGTCGAACATGTTGCTTGAGAGCTTTTTGCGTAGGTGTTTCTATAAAACACTGGATATCACTGGTATCGGGCGCAATTGCAGCTAAGTTTGGGGGTATTTGAGATAGTCAACTTCGAATCTTTTCATCATTAATGTTAAATATCATAGAATTTAGTTGATGTTTCTTGTTGCTGCTGTTCGTCTTGTTCCATGTCGAATATTCAACGTCGTCTACGAAAAGCTGCCAAGCCGAGAGATTCTTCAGCTTCAAAACCGCCAAACACAAACATACAAAAGTCCATCTCAGGCGCTTCTACTGAAGAGCGGCGAGAGCTCACTCGGAAGCTCCTAACATGCCGCCAGCTTCTTCCAATCTTGTCTCTAAGGATCGATTTGCTCATTTGTTCGGCGGTTTACGGACTCAGAGCTATCCAGATCCCAGCGCGCGAGGTCCAGGCTCGCATAGGTAAGGATGTTTCCCTACGATGCTGAATAGATAAATGGACTGGGATGCTAATGCTTGCTGTCTAGTATCCGTACTCTGGCATGGAATCCTACGGGGACTCTGATCGCAACCGGATCTGTTGATCGAACACTGCGCATCTGGAACCCGGAACGACCCGATGTGAGATACTCGACCGAGTTGCGCGGCCATTCTTCCGGCATCGAGCAGGTAGCGTTTAATCCAGTCAAGGAATCTGAACTAGCCAGCTGTTCTAAGGATGGGACTGTTCGTTTCTGGGATGTGCGCGCAAAGAACTGTGTTGGCCGTGTGGATGTCGGAGGGGAGGCATTTTCACTTGCATGGGCCCCAGATGGAACTGTCCTGCTGGCTGGGAGAATGGTAATATACCCCTAGTATTCTTCTTAACTCGTTACATACAATAGTGCTGACATGTGTTTCCATCTAGGATGACACATTAGTCCCCATATCCGTCGAGCCAATTGCCAGCCCTGCCGGCACTACTCCCAACGCTCCAAAGGCACCATCAACCTACAAGGTGCTGCCTCACCATAAACAACCTGTTCGTACCAATGGAATTGCGTTCTCGCACTCTTTCGACGCCGACCTTTTCCTTACTACTGGCGAAGGAACGGTCAAAATCCAATCTTACCCATCTTTCACCACTCTCCATACACTCAATGCACACACGGCCGCTTGTCTTTGTGTCTCACTTGCACCAACTGCAAGGTATCTAGCCATCGGCGGAGGCGACTCACTAATTTCCCTCTGGGATACGACAAACTGGGTGTGCCAACGCACTGTCTCGAGTAGTGGCGGCGGAGCCGTTCGCGGCATCAGCTGGAGTTGGGATGGCCGGTTTATCGTGAGTGCCTGTGATGAAGTTGACTGTGGAGGCACTGGTTTGGAAATCTTCCACGCAGAAACTGGAGATAGCGTTTACACCATCCCTACAGGCAACCCCAACGTCGGTGTCCCTGCCGTAGCCTGGCATCCATCCCGATATTGTCTTGCATATTCCCTTTATGCAGAGGGTATTGGAAGTGGCAATAACGGACTGCGTATCGTTGGTGCCGGTGCGGGTGACTTTTGAACGCTGTTGATGAAATGGATGTCATTAAGCAGCTCTTCCACAGACACAAAACTTAGCTATCACAGCATGACAGCTAGTACGTGTTACTCTGGACCTTTCTCCAGACCTCTCTGAATAATGGGATGGAATATGACCGGCATCTACAACGGTAGCTGGGGTAAAAATGAACTAAGCCACGGCTAGGCATCGGGTAACAACGAAATCGATACTGCATCCTCTAATTTGGCATCATGGCGTTCCATTGCCCATGCATGCATTAAAGATTCAATAACGGAGTGATATAGCGAGAGTCTTACGATACCAAGATCTCACCATTGTATAACAAAATCCAATTCCAGATAGCTGCTAGGATATAATGGACCGGTTTGAACAATTGCATATTTGTCTAAAAATATGTATAAATCAAGTCAATTGCCGAAAAAAAAAAATTATTATCCCACCGACATATAATATTGTGTACATAAAGAGGAGAGAAACGCGCCCGCAGCCTTCCAAAATAGAGCCTTCCAGGAATTCCCTTAAATTCTGACATGAAACCGTAGATTTCCCTCTTCCAGATCCCCACATCAAGACACCTAAATTGAGAACATTGGGGAATAATATTAAGCAGACTAAAGCTAGAACCAACCAAAATACCTCAACGCGGGTGAACATGCAACGGCGGCAACCGGAAACAGTCTAAACACAGAGGTGAAGGATAATGGCAGCATGGGGGAGCTGAGAGTATTTTTGATAGTATAATAGGGCCGTTTGGGGGAGCAGGGATGGTTAAATTCAATTAAATTGAAGGGTGTATGTGACGAATGATATCCAAAAGTGGTATATAACTAGTGGTTATTCAAAATTCTTTCAAAGGTTTACTGGGTCCATTGACCGGTGTTAAAACCATCGGGAGATTGAGACCAAGGGATATCTTCGAGCGAGGATATCACTGGGTCTATAGCGGATGGAGAACGGGCAGGAGGTATCAAGTCTGACTCAGCCTGTTGGAATGGCTGCTGCATAAAATCCCATCCATCTGGCAAGGTAAAAAGCTCTTGGGGCTGTAACTGGGGTCCGGAAGATGTAGCCGAAAAGGATGTAGTATTTGACTTAATTGGCATTGGAGCTCCAAAACCACCACTGGCTTCACTCGCCGTGTATGATAGCGAAGACAGAATATGCTGTGGAAGCTGTTGTTGGTTGGGCAGGTTTTGCTTAGGAGAGGGATGGTCCAGATGGGCTGGGGAGAACGAACTGTTTGAGGAGGCCTTGTTTGTAATTGGGCTAGGATTATCGGAGTAGGAGAGATGCCGTTCGCTTCCGGTACTGTTACCACCAGCTGAAGCATCCATGTCAAAATCCATGAAGTTAAATTGGTCATCTTGTGCCTGAGGCATCCTTAAATCGGGTATTGTCGCAGGCATACCCAGTCCGTAGATCTGAGTGGGAGCTGAGAATTGTTGCTCGCCCGGTTGTGACTGACGCTGGCTAGGTACGCCTTTAGGGTCGGATGATGAACCTGGTTCTGGCAAGTTTGACGAACAGTTCTGGGCTTTGTCCTTGTCTAAAAGCGCGATATCAACAATGCCGATAGCACACTTTTCAAACTGATAACGCACTGCCTGTAATATGAGACCAATGTTAGCCCATGAGATTTTACGGGAATAGGACGAGAATAGACTGCTGGCATGAAGGAATACATACACGGAGGGCGCTTTGCCGCGCATCGTCCTCTGGGCTCCTTTGGAGACTCCCGTATGAGAACTTCGATATCCCTTCATCAGTCACTAGCCCACTTCCCTCAAGATCAACGTCTAACTGCACAAGGAAAGATTCTGCCAGGGGGATCTTTCTTTTGACGGCGTTCATAGCCGAGAGCAAGAACTGAAGGGAAGATCGAACGGCTTGATCTTGAGGCCTGGATTTGAGGTACTGCACAAAAACCCTAGCGGCAACATATAAACAAAATACAAGGAAGGGATTCAACTATTGAAGAATGGTGTCAATACTGTTCAATTTCAGCGGATTCATCATTGCTGGCTTACCCTTGTTAAGTCTGTATGCGAGACCATTTTCATGATATTGGTGATTTGGTCGGCTGCAATTATACATCGCCGTTTACTCTCTGTAGAGATCTGGCCGGGCATATCGTGCTTCTCAGCCTTATATATCGCAGCCTGATGAAGACATATAGTCGAGGCGTGAATACACATGTTGCCAAACACAATTTCAGGACTGTTAATCCCTTCTGGGAGACGAAGATGGTTAGGGAGGGAAAGCGAGGTGTGAAGTAGGATATTGTCGAGAGCACGATGCCGTTTCCAGAATTCACCGTTTAAATCATGGTCCCTGTCATTGGTCGTGACACGGTGAAGATGGTGGAGGTTACGGCCAAACATGCATGCTAGCAGTACGTTAGCAGCATAGGAGGATAAAGATCCAGTTCCTTGACCGGACATTGCCTCTGCTAGGGATGACGTCAACTGTTCTTTACAGTTGACGAATGCTTCTTCAGATGCAGGAAGGTTTGTCAAGATCTAGAGGTAACAGAGTCAGTAATAAGGCAACCGGAAATGTTGAACAGAGTAATACTAACATCTCTCTCATCGACACTCATGGGCCAGCCAGTACCTGCCGAGGCGTATCTATCCTGACAGAATGCCGTCCAAAACGTTCTTCTTCTCTCTTCACGCTCTGTCCAGTCCCTGGGCGGTGGTAGACATTGTTTAACATCCAGGCCGCTAGCATCTTGCCTGTTCAGACCCATCATCAAACATAGCCTCATTCCAGCACCGGTGCTCATCCACGCCCTCGGGAAATACATCATCTTAAACTCATAGCACCCGATTAACTGCCAGCATTGGGCATGGGCTACTGAAATCATATTTTCACCCAGTCCTTTCATCTGGTCCAGTTCGGCGTACTTGCGGGCTCGGATGTAGAAATGGTTATGTATATCGGCATATTTATCAGTGGTAGCAGCAGCGTGAGCCCACATGATATACCGTAGACATATCGGCGGCCTCATCGAAGGTGCAAGATTCATTGCTGCGTAATATCGTGGTTTATGTATCATAGGCGAAGATGGATGTATTTTCTGAAAGTATATCTCATCTCTACAGCCATTCATTAGCCATGCAGTCAATTTACCAAGTAGAAAGAAGAAAGACGTACAGCTCATCGATAACCTCCTGGCTCGGGAGTGGTTCCTCCAGCCCCAAACCGATCATTTCCCATGAAAACTCGCTCGACGGGGCACCGTTCGACCCGGCATTGGTAGGTGGCGGCGGTAGAATATCTCCAATATCCCCAAACATATCTATGCCGTCGAGAGACAGATTCGGGTCAGCCTCTACTGACTTTGGGACTCCAGGAAACATGGTCTCTCGCCCCTGGGACAGTGCATTCTGGCTATCGAACGCTCTCGTCGGCGGAGAATGTCGCCTGGATTCTATAGAGTCAACCCCCTTCAACAGCGTCTCCACCTGGGCTACGAATTGGTCATATTAGCAGAGCACACGTTAAATCGAGTTGATATCACGATGTACACACCCAGTCTTGCCTCTAGATGCTTGACATATCCTCTCTTGGGGCCACTCTTCTTCCTGACCTCGTTATAAGCACAGTCATGGCCCAACCGCGCACAATTCCCACAGCTCGGCTTCGCTCCATCACATCGAAGTTTTCTTTTCCTGCAGACAACACAAGCAATGCGCTTTGGTCGAGGTATGTATCCCGGGTTCCCTTCCTGTGCATTTGGTGACTCGGCGCGGGCTCTCGCAGGCGCTGCACTTTCAGCCACAGCTGCGCCGGTCTGCTCGTTACCCGGCATGGTAACGTCTGGGATACTGCTGTCCTCTATCTGTTTCCTCCGTCTCTGTGTCGCTATCTCCTTGGTGGCAAGTTGCGGGGAAGCGCGGAGTCAGCGAACGGCGGGAAGGATGAGGCTTATAATCAGATAAACGCGGTAGTCGCTTGTGGCCGGAGGAAGACGGACGTTTGTGGCGACATCGAGGGTTGTTGGAAGGGCGTTTATCTGATTGATATTCTGCATTGACTATTTAACTTAACTGCTGGCCTTTTCCTCGAGGCGGCGAAAAAAAGCTGCTGCCTGTGATGTGGATTTACTCCTAGTCAAACTTTTTGTGGATGCAAGTCATCGTCATTTGTTGGCATTAATAATCAAGCTGAAGATGATAATTATAGAATACGATGGGAAGAAAGATGGTAACAGGAGTATACGGTGATAATATATAGTAATATGGTTGCCTTTTAGTACAAGAATATATAGTACACGCTCCTTGAAGCATCGATGCAAAAGGAGCTCTTATCGTCAACTCTTTAGCCATGGAAGAAAGCCGCCTGCGTAGACAGCTAGCAGGGATGCTGTGCGGTTAGTTGTAACCCCTACGACGTTTTCCTTGGTTACGGACTCTGGGAGTGATAACGTCTCTGTTGATGTTCGCCTTCAGTCTTGTCTTGTATCCAGATTTGGCCTGTATTCCTGTTAGTTATGGTGTGAAAAACATGGAAGATGCAGGTGTAGACATACCGGTAGACCCCATGGACTCTTAGGATGGACACCACCCTTGGACTTTCCTCTACCACCACCATGAGGATGGTCCTTTGCGTTCATGGCAACACCGCGAACGGTTGGACGGATGTTCAGCCAGCGCTTTCGACCAGCCTTACCGAGCTGAGCGTACTTCTTGTTGACGTTGCTGGCGACGCCGATAGTTGCAGGGCAGTCCTTGTGGATCAGGCGGACCTCACCGCTCTGCAGGCGGACGGAGACGTGCTCAGACAGCTTCTTCAGCCTCCTCCACTCTAATTCTGAAAGGACCGTCTTCTCGCCGGTCTTGCTCGTTATCTCAGCCTCAACTTCAGCGTCAAGTTGAGCATCTTTGGCCTCTTCGCTTTTGGCCTCTCCGTCTTTCGATTCTACCTTGGCATCTTCATCCTTGGGCTTGACTTCATCCCACGGGGGTGGTGCCTCTCCGGCCTTCGTCATTAGGATACCGTATGTTCCAGCACCACGGCAGAGTTGACCGCCTTTCCCCTTGTGTAGACCAATATTAAAGATCATTGAGCCGACAGGAACCATGTGTAGGGGCAGGCAGTTCCCTCGCCGTGCGGTCTTGGCCGCCAACACACCAGGATCGATACAGCCGCCCATGGCCTCCCACAGGTCATCTGGGATACCTGCACGATAACTCTGCACGACATCTCCCTCCCTCATCCCCTCGGGTGCAAGAATATAGCTCCGTTTCTTGGTAAGTTTGGATTTCAGCAGGGCAATGTGCGCTGTCCGACCGGGATCGTGCTCGATCCTCTCCACGACATGAGGGCCAGGCTCGTTCCGCTCAAAGTCGACAATACGTATTCTTCGCTTGTGACCACCTCCTCGATGGCGGACGGTCACTCGTCCGGTATAGTTTCGTCCACCCTTTCCATGGCCCTTTTTGGGGAACGTCAACTCCTTGACCGGCCTTCCTTTCCACAGATGGTCGTTTATCGGCCGCCGCAAATGTCTGAGACCAGGTGTACGGGGAGTATATGTCCGTAGCTGGATGGCTCCCTTCTCGCGGATCGGAGGCGGAGCCAAGGAGAGGTCTTCTTCGACCGTTGCGTCTGTGGCTGACTCTTGTCTCTTCAGGGTGCTAGAGGAAAACGGCCGGTAGGCGAGCGTTGTAAGGCATTTGCAGGACCGTTGGAGGCCGGCAAGTGGTACGCGAGCCTGCAGCATGATGGGAGTTGTGTGTTCTTGCAGGCCGGTGGAAATTTTTTTGTCAGATGTCAAACGACCCTCCTTATCGTGCCATGAAGACCAGAAAACCGTTCAATTGTATTTTATCGTCCTGCAACTTGTCGGTAAAGGCAGCTGTAGGCCTCCTGTCTTCGCCGTGAGGATGCGCAGGCTGATTCGAGTCGAGCTTGTTTGCCGTCGAAGCTCGTCGTCGCTTTTTTGATGAGAAAACTTTTTGGTCACAAATTTTGATGTCACGTGATATCAAATTGGTTTGGACCAACACAGAACAAGAAAAGAACAGTAAAGGATGATAGAATAATAGGATGAACAGTTAATAGAATATCTGTGAATAGGAGAGAAAGTGTTGGTTCCTCTATATCTCCATTCATAGATATCTCATACGCATGTACATAACACCTACAAATTGGCATTAACCGATGAAACATAACCAGAACATCGCATCCATCATATAGTCGTATACTATATAAGAAATAAGAAATATAAATAAATAAATATAAGTGAATATCAAGTCGCGTTGTGAGAACGTAACGGAAATACCAAAATGACAAGACGAAAGATACGGTTTCCGTGGTAACGCTCTTTGTTTTGGCTGACTATCGTTTCGCTGATACGCCAGCACGGCCAAGAAAACGCATGAAAGAAGCGACGCACAGCGTGTAAAGCGTGTAAGGCGTCTGTATTGAGAACGGTAATATTACATCTTGCGACGAAAAATACGGGAAAAGAAAACCAAAAAAACTGCGACTTTTTCGACTTTCAACTTCTTCTTCTTCCTTCGCTTCAAGACAACAAAAACAAGAACAGAAAAACCTCACGCCGTTTTTTTATCTTCCCAGTTTACTGGCATAGATTTTATTCTCTTCTCATCTCTTACACGGCTTATGATCTGTTTACCCTCGACTTCGAGTTATATATCTTCACGCGATCGATTCTCGTGGGGCGACTGCTTGACCTCCATTTAACAGAGACAACACACACGCACACACGGACAGACACCCCAGACACCCCAGCCAGTGAGACGTCTACGTTCGATAGAGTGAGTTCTACCTCTTCAATCTGCTTCTATATCCTGTTGTGGCTCTCCTTCGTGTGGCTGGCAGTGAAAACAAAACGCGAACTCTTTTCCTCATCCTTGGGGGGCGAAGGCTTAACACGGTTCTTCTACAACCACCACGTCCCAATTGTCAACATCCATGTTTATTCCCTTGGTGTTCCTAACCACAACACGGAATCTGCTGCCCAATTTGCCCTTCTGGCGCCTTCGTATCATCTCACTGCTGGGCTAGGAAGTGAATTCGCGAGTGCGTTCTAACCAAGGCCAAACTGACCGTTCTATCAAACAGGTTTCCGCTCCCGAACACGCCGTGAGGAGGCCGAACACATCCAGCATCTAGTCCGGATATCCAGCGTCTGGGAGACTTGGTGCCTGGCCTTTTTGTTCAAATAATAGTATCACCAGTATTGCATGTTAAATCACATTCACCATGCCACCAGTTAGTCACTCTCCCCTTCACCTATCTTACCCCTTGTCTTGCATCCACCTCACTCACGGCCTCTCCTAGACACGAAGCTTACGACAGCGCACTGCTACTAATGAAAATGACGAGAATGCAACTTCAACAATGACACGACTTACCAGAGCCAAAGCTGCCGCCCTGGCCGTCCCAGAATCCCAAACTGGCGCGGTCAAGAAGGCTCTAGGCACGAGAAACACGGTCAACACATCCGCTACCGCCATGCAACGGAAACGAGCAGCTCTCGGCGACGTGAGCAACGTGTCCAAACAAGAGAATGGCGATGGTAAACAGCCCAAGAAATCCTCAGCATCTCGAGTCACACTCACCTCCAAGTCGTCGACTCAGACAGGAGGTGTACAGAAGGTTACCCGCACAAACACGACAAGAACAGCGTTGGGAGTCAAGGACTCGAACAAGAGAGAAACCACCACAGAGCCTAAACGCCCTGGAAGCGGTTCTGGGGTGATGGGTGGACTGCAAACAAAACGTCACAGCCAGAAGCCTGTCCGAGCAGAGAGTGTTGTCAGCGAAGAGCCACCACGCAAGAAGCTTGATAGTGGGAAGGATACTCTGAAAACAGAAGAGACCTTGGAGGAGAAGCCGGAAGAGAAGTCAAAAGCTGAAGCTAAAGTCGAAGCCAAGGTAGAGGTCAAAGTAGAGGCCAAGGCGGAAGCTACGGTGGATGTGGTGGATTCTCAGGAGTCAGCCTTGGATGAAATCAAAGAAGAGCGTGATGCCGATGCCATATTAGACCTGGATGCCGAAGACCTCTACGACCCAATGATGGCTACCGAGTATGTCGCTGAAATCTTTGACTATCTCAAGGAACTTGAGCCACTCACCATGCCCAACCCTGACTACATGGACCACCAAGACGAACTAGAATGGAAGATGCGAGGCATTCTGGTTGACTGGCTCATCGAGGTCCACGCTCGCTTCCGCCTGCTCCCCGAGACTCTTTTCCTCACAGTCAACATCATTGACAGGTTCCTCTCCGCCGAAGTTGTTGCCCTTGGCAGACTCCAGCTTGTTGGTGTTACTGCCATGTTCATCGCGGCCAAATATGAAGAGATCCTCTCCCCACACGTTGCCACCTTTACCCATGTTGCCGACGGTTCCTTTTCAGACAAAGAGATTCTCGATGCTGAGAGACATATCCTCGCAACTCTCAACTATGACCTCAGCTACCCAAACCCAATGAACTTCCTCCGCAGAATATCCAAACCAGACAACTACGACGTCCGAACAAGGACTCTCGCAAAGTACCTAATGGAAATTAGCTTGGTTGACCACAGATTTATGGTATATCGCCAATCACACATTGCTGCCGCCTCCATCTTCCTTGCTCGCGTCATCTTCGATCGCGGTCCATGGGTAAGTTTGTTTCAACTCCCGTTTCACTCTGGTTGCACTCTTATCTAACGGTTAATCTTTAGGATGCAACTATTGCCTATTACTCTGGTTATACGAAAGAAGAAATTATGCCAGTGTACCAATTACTTATTGATTATCTCTGTCGGCCACCTGTTCATGAAGCATTCTTCAAGAAATATGCTAGCAAGAGATTCCTCAAAGGTATAGTCGTCTTTTTATCCGATAGAACCAACTCGTCATACTGACTGTACCTTATAGCCTCTATAATGACTCGACAATGGGCAAAGCAATATTATGCAATGTACTTGAAGGCCAAGAACGGTACCTCGCGCGAACAAGACTCCAAGCCCAAGTCGAAAACCGCATCATAGTCACTTCATGATCCTGGGTTAAATGAGAAGACGCTTCTCTTAGTTTAACAACCTTCCGCTTTACGAAAACGTCTGTTAATAGTCATTTCCATTTATCCCTGCCGACTGGCTGCTACTACGTATTGTACCTATCACTGCACTATTCTGCATGTGTATACATACATAAGCCGTCTTTTCTTATTCTCATCCTCATTCAGCACCTTTGTTTTGGCGTTACTTTCCGAGCTTTGCTTTGCTTTTTTTGGGATGTATTGCGTTATGGGTGGCGTTGTGCATTTGGAAAGCATTCTCGAGTTGTTGCTCTACTTCCTTGACTTCCACCCTCTTCTGCTTCGGCCTTTGACTTCTTTCTTCCCCTTCTTCACCGTTCTCGGTCTGTCTCCTGCGGAAATTCAGGGGTAAGGCAACCGGACCAGATCGGATTCTTTATTGTTTGCCTACATTTACCTTTACCGCGACCATCCATCCATCCATCCATGCATTACCGTTACCTGAAACTGCCCAACCTACCTTTGATACTACCAATATCTTGTTCTCTGAGTGCCAGTTGACCATTTTTTTAAAGCCTGTTTGAGTTATTTTCTTTACGAGGGGGGACGGACGGTATGCAAGGAAGAGGGAAAGGGAGGGAGAATTATGTTTCCATTGTTTCTCTCCAGCCTTTTCGCTGGCTTTGCTTAGTATTTACAAAACGGTGGGGTGAAGGCATTTTTTATTAATGAAGTATGTGGGATTATAAGCCATTCTGTCCATCTACGTAGAGCTAGAAGTAAAAAGACCGGCTCACTATTCACTATTTACTCCATCACGGCGCGTTTGTTGTTTGTTGATTTTCGTCCCGTTTCGGTTATATTGGCTGCTGACTAATCGCCTTTGAACCTCGGCATCTTTCGACTCTTTTCCTCCAAAAGTCCAAAGCATGAGGATGCGATGTCAAAGTCAGACCAAATATATTCCTACAATATAGATATGCCCATATAGAATGACCTCATCAGGATGCCCATTCTGTGATATCGCCTCTGCCTCAGCTCCATTTTCACCTTTAAGCCCACCAACCAGTGACGAAGTATGTAGACAAGATGCCTTGCCAGACTCACCTGCGGCATTCCCCATCTTATCTACAAAGCATGTCCTTGCATTCCTGGACATTATGCCTTTAACCAGAGGCCATATACTTGTTATTCCTAGGAAACACTATCGTAATATGGGTGATGTTGGGGTACATGAAGCCAGGCAGGTTAGTAACACGGGAGTGTTTCTATATGATGGAGTAACTAATTACTTGGCTATTAGCTTGGCCAATGGCTACCTATACTCTCTCGAGTTGTTGTCCGAACAGTTCTAGGTGAAGGGAGAGACGGACGAGGGGACGATCGGGGAAATTGGAACATTATACAAAATAATGGTTCGTTGCTCCCTTTTGCAATTATATTTTTAGTTCCAGGCCAACGTTTCATTTCTTAAGATATCCTCGCCTAACAATGGTTAGGTATACGTGCATCCCAGACCGTTCCTCATGTACATTTTCATATCATCCCCAGACCTGCTTTGGGCACCAGTGCCCCGGCGGGGGGAGGCTGGATCATGTTCGGGCGCGGACAGAGAGATGAACTTATGGATGATGAGGCGGAGGAATTGGCAACGCTGTTGAGAAACGAGTTAGCAAAGGAGGTAAAGAGAGTTAAAGAGGAGGAAGGTGTTGATTTAGAGGATTGCGAGCACATACCTCGATCAACTAAGTTGTGATTCTAGTAATATGTAACATATACGAAGATTTTTATTCTCATATTTTCTCTATCTTGGTAGACTCTATGGGTTGGAATTTTCTTCCACAGGAAAGGATTCGAAATACTGCAGCTTTATTAGTTCCCGTATCAAAGCATAATGGACCGGATTATAACCAACCTTTCGTCTAAACGGGTTCAAATCGTCGGCCTTTAGCCCTCTAGGTACTTCTTTTCTTCCCCTAGGGGCTGTAGATGATACTTCGCTGTCAGGCAGCCGCCTGTATACTAGTAGTCTCCGTGACCCTAAGATATATTAACCGTGCTGTCACTCAACATTTAAGGGGGGAGCAGGTTTACATTTGTTAAATGGCTGCACACAGGAATCAATGTGCTCGAGGCACGGGTGGCTCGGAATCTCAAGTTCAACCTCATCTTCGTTTGCAGTAGGCATCCAGAGAGATAGCCTGCCATTGATAACTAACGTGTGGGCAGCAAAATCAAGGATATCATCAAGCATAGCTTCAAAGCCATATGGCCTTTTCGGGAAAATATAATTCTCCCGCCTGTTGAAACCGTAAAGGTAAGACCCTAGATCGATAATACTCGATAGCGGAAGGGCTGAACTTACTTATAGGATGGAACACCCTGGTACATCATGAGTTCCCCCCTTCGACTTTCATCCTTATGTCCAAGGACCCGGAGCCCTTCTCGCACTCCATATGGTGGGTCACAGATTATTCCATCAAAAATACGTGTGTTTCGAATAGGGGTATTCGTCAAGTCGGAAGTAAATGTGTCCAGATATTTGGATTCCAGCCCGTATTGCTTGAAGTTGGCAATGACTCCAGTACTAGCCTTTGGTTCAGTCTCTTTGCCGCGGAAGCTCCGCCCATCAATATCCGAGCCACAAGTTATTGCACCAAAATGAGCAGCAGCAACAAGAAAACTGCCAGTTCCAACAAATGGATCATAAAAGAGCTTCCCAGGCGCCGCATGCGTCATGTTTGCTGATATTAAACTCAGTTCTGCATCCATAGAGGTAGTGCTAATATAACAGCGTTTCTTCAAGTCATATCTGTTGATCTCTACCCGACCTCCCTCCGTAACCCATCTACCAAGATAAACACGGTTCAATACCGGCTTGGTATGTGTTTTAGGATTTCCAGAAACAGCAAGTTGATGAGAGAATTCTTCAAAGACGCAGAACTCCTCCTCAGCATCAATCATCTTTATTGGTCCCTCAAAGGCCAAAAATGCAAACGAGTCGATTATCTCGTTCCTCTCCTTTGAATTTCTCGTTGATGCATAGGTATCAACGCCAAATTTGAAAGATACCATCTTGTAATCGGGCCATCTGGACTCAGTACGGCGGCGTACATCTGCTCTCAGCTGGTCGTATGTGTCTCCTTGCCCCCAAAGCTCATATATATTTTTAGCCAGAATGCTGCGTCGCATAAGCGCACGCGCAGCATCTTCATTCTCAAGTGTCACTACACAGAACGGAGTCTATATACTAGTTAGAATAAAACAATGAAACCAACCGGGCCATAATTTTATAATATTTACGTGGGGGAAGAGACACACATTATCATGATAAACTAGAAATTCTATCTTAACCCCCACCAAGCTGGCTAGAGCTTCAATTTCTGCTTTGCGAAATGATTCATGGCTCTGTGCAAAGCGAATCAGATAATCAACCATCTTGAAAAGTAGGAATCACCTGTTACTACTGCTAGGTTTGTGTTCCTAGTATTTGCAGGTTGAGATTGAACGTTTCAACTTTTCTTTAGCGAATGGAATTTAACAAGCCGCTTACTAAGCAATAACGTATGAAAATTTTGTTTATCTTGGCACGGAAAGCGCGCTAGTGGCTAGTGCCAAACTTTATATTAACTGATATAAAAAAGCCTTACATAAGCTCTAACAACTTCACCAAATCAACAACCAACAACCAAGCAACAAACTACACCAAAGCTCATTCTGATCCGAACTTCTTATAGGTCGCTAACTACGCAGGTAAAAACGATCTAGCCTGTATTTTCAGCTTTGTTTCATCTGAAAGCGATATATCAGCTTCAAATCTCTCAGTTCTACTTAGAATTGTGAGACTCCGGCAAACGCTGATATGTATCATTCTCAGATTAGCGCAGCCAGTATGGGTCGCGAGCCTCGGTCCGCCAAAGCCTCAGATCTGCCAACAGAGGAAGACTGCAAACGCGCTCAAAAGTTCAATCCTCCAGGAGTTCTAGCTATTGAATATGGAATGAAAAAGAATAATTTCTACCGGAACTTGGGGCTTGTGGCTGGCTATCTCAAGAACTGCGGTACTACTAACCAACTACATAGAATCGTCAATTCGGTTAGTGATATATTCAAGCAATATGACACAATGAGACGGGATGCCTGGGAAGGGGCCACCGTCCCTTGTGCTACACTCTTCGATTTCCTTGAAGAGTGTAAGTATGATCTACGGCTCTCCGTTCTGGTGAATGAAAAAGATATCCCGTCAAAAGAAGACATTGAACGCGTTTGCAGCGGCATCCATGACTTGGTTGCTCCCTTAGTAACCTGCAACGTACTGGTAAAGGTCATCAATCGTGTTCCTCAGCATTTTGCTGAAGTCTACCAGTACTCACCTGCACAGTTAAAGTACTTACCATTGTTTGAGGATCTTCACCGGGCCTATGCGCTTCTTCGTATGTGGTACTATCTCAATACAGAAAACAAGATGAACGATCTGCGGTGGACACCTAGAAGACAGTGTAGTAAAAATGCCAAAGTCATACACTATCTCGACACCTATACAGCGCCTCCCAATGAAAAATTATCTGGCTTGAAAGAAGAGCTTGATACTTATTTTGAACCGGTGAAGCAGGCGAAGGAGGAAGACAACTATGATCAACAATACCAGAGTGGGTTTGCATTTGTGATGCATCCCACTATGTTACGCTTTTATGACGTCTTGCTAACTAGATTGATGAATTATAGCCATTACTGGAAACTTAGGTACACTGGATAATCCAATAAACGAAACAAAAGTCAGTCAGGGGATCTTCCGTTATGCGGGTATCCCAATTCTATCACAGAAGGAGACCGACATGCTGGATCTTGACATTGACAACTTATTAACCCCGCTCAATGGATCTCTGGGCCTTGCTTTAACGATAGCCACTATGCTAGAGCAAGAAAGGGTAGCCTGGTCCTGCCGACTTCACTTACAACCCACTCTCCGGGCGCGTATCTTCACCCACTCGAAGAGTATTAATAGGAGACTTGTAACATACGACCTATTATATCCATCTTTCATGATTGGAATTCAAGACATGGGCAAAGTTGTGAAGCCTATGAAACCAACTTTAGTATGCATCCAATCGGCAGCGTCTTTAGGTTGGTACGAGGATTATATCCAGCATTTTGCTCTTAAACTACGCATCTTTTTCGTTGGATCATGCTTTAATAATCCTCACGTCCCAGGGACATCCAATATCACCGTTCATTCATTTCATCAGGCTATGCTGGAACCCGAAAATTCTCCCCTATTTCCTTATCCTGATGATCAGGGCTGGACAGTCTTCATCGTTCCTCACTCAAAGCTAAAGGAATATACAGTTGAGCCGCTTTATAAATGGGGGGCAACCGGAGAAACCAACTCTGGCTGCGGTAAAGCCATGGCATCTACTACGGTTACGACAGAAACTGAGGATCCGTATTTGCAGGCCGAGGCTGCTAAACTTGATGCGTTCATTGTTAACCATAGCTCCCAATTTACAAAGAAGTTATATCGAATAGTGGTTGACCAAGCACATATAGCTAGACGTACCAGCCCTGACGTTATGCCTGTTGTCACCATACTAAACCAGGATTTTACATGGTTGGTAGCAGAGTCAACCCAACCGGAGGAGATAACGGACCTATCTATTTATAGTCATGTTTTATATAATCCCGAGCGGGAACTTGATCTTTCAGAAGATTTCCTAAAGGCAAATACGTTACAAAAGTTTGAGGCTGCCGAATCCGATGATGAGCTCCTGGAACTGTTCAATCCGCTGAATATTCGGCGCCTGGCGGTTGATGGCCATATTAAGACGGAAGATGCCGAACGTACAATCCCATTTTTGCTGCAAGAGTGCATGATTCAGGCCACTTGTGGCTCCGAGGTCAACAGGAAAAGGAAACGAGAGGAAGATATAGAAGACACCACGGCTATTAGGACGGAGCCTGGAATATTTTTGTGGCAAGGCATTTTCTACAAGGCAACGGCTGGGAAGGGAAATCTAGCGGATGATCTATAGCCTCATGCCATGATCCCTTCGTTATATCTTCGTTATATTCCTTGCAAGTCTTCTATATTACTGGACCTCTGTTAAACACCAAGGCATGAAACCTATTGTGCTACTTATTAGCTCTGTTTATATCGTTAATAATGATCACATTTCATATTTGTATTGTCCCCGTAGAGGCCTAGATATACCACACTTCTGTGCAAGTGCAGGCTATACCAAAGTGACCCTCTTCATACACACTTTGCAATCTCCATCTCTTGACGTTCGGTCCGGCGCCAGCTCGAATGTAAATATCTATAAAAAGGGGAGCGATGATGTCATCATCTTTATTAAGCTCATTAATCAAAAAGCTTAATCTCATCTTTGTAACAAGCTTGAAGTGGCAACGTTTTTTATATATACTTGAGCCTTTGGATATCGGACCGCAGAGCGGATAGCGTTCTATCCAGGCACGCCCCAGGGTTTTTCTTCGTCGTTTCTTCTCGTTGTTCTGTAGATGGATCCCATAGAGAGTGCGTCGGGTTCCGACGCGCCAGAGTCGGAGGTTGCGGGACCCAGCTCGTCCCGCTTGCTGGCTGTGCAAAACCGCACGCCAACCCTCCGCCGGCCCAGCATTCGAATACGCAACTCTGGGCCATCGTTGATCGGAGAGCCTATAGTGCGAACTACAAGTCATAATCCAGAGCCTGCCAAGTGCTCTGACGACGATGTGATCGCCTCGAGGCGGAGGAGCAGTTCGGAGCCCCAACGTCCTCAAAACCTGGGAGTGCTCGGAGCTGGCCACGATGGCACTACCGAGTATACACCCATGGCAACGGTGGCAGAAGAAGCGCCAACTAGGCAGGCAACAATTGGAACTGGACGCGGAAGATGGAGGTCTGCTACCACTCCAACGAAGTCGTCACTACGCCTTGCGAAAGCTGGCCAGGACGTGGGAGAGAACATAAACGATGGAAAAGAATACGATTCGAGGGTCGTCAATTTGCTTGATGTTGTTGGTAGGGCTTTTTCCTTGGCTCACGCTTTCTTGGTTTCCTTGGGAAAACTAATCGTGACCGGTAATAGATCCCGAAGTATCGACTCTTACTACACTTACAAACGTCCAGAATTCGCTGTTTGTACCTGACCTAGGACGCTTTGTAAACCGTCAGCCTACCTACAATCTTACACGGCCTCGAAGCGACTCTACGCAATCTGTGGTATCTTCGATATCGGAAGAGGAGGAGGAAACTCCAACTTCAGGCGTGGAGCGACCAAGTGTTGAACGGATGGAGACAATAACGTCAAACCTCAGTGTGTCACGGTTTGCCGTCTTGCCAGAAGGCACCACTCTTGACGGCTGGGACCCGTCGGATAAGTGGGAAATTAATGACCATGTCAGACATATGCTACACTCTCGGAGGTCCAAATTCAAACGTGGAATGAAGGGGTTTTGGCAGTATGTCCAGAAGCGTGAGTAAATTCTCCGACCGTTTCGTAACTGGAACATGAAACTGACGGCTATATCTTGGTTAGCACTTGGATTTCTTGTTACTCTATACGCAACATTAATTACACTTTTTGGTCTCGCATGGGTGTTGTTTTTAATTGGTAGGTTGTCTATCTTATTAATTCCTTCAATCCGTCATTGAACCATACGCTAACTGACGAGGTAAAAGGCTGGATCTATGTTGGTGACCGCCAGCTATACGTTATCAATGTAATTGACAACGTACTTGTTGCACTTTTCGCCGTCGTTGGCGATGGGCTAGCACCATTCAGGGCTATAGATACATACCACATGATTTATATCGCCTACTATCACCGTCTAACCTGGCGACTTCGCCGGAAACAAGATCTCCCAAAGCTCAAAAACCCAAACGACCTTCCAGAAGCTCCTGTGGAAGATGTCATCCGATCAGAAGCAAAAGACAAGGAGGTCGATATCGAAAAGGCAGCTAAGGATGTCTTGACTAGCGGCGAAGGGGCTGAATATTCGGTCCTGACCCCCGAGCAGCAAAAGAAACTAACACATCATTCGAATAAATTCGCCAAATCTCATACCTTTTACAAACCTCACGAGACAACAACCCATCACGCCTTTCCTATCCGTCTCCTCATTGCTGTCGTTATATTACTAGACTGCCACTCTCTCTTCCAAATTGCTCTGGGTGCATGTACGTGGGGAATTGACTATCGTGTGCGCCCCGCCGCTCTAACGACGACTATACTATGCTTATCTATCTCCTGCAACGTTGCTTCTGGAATCGTTATTATGGCCGGTGACCGGATGACAAGGAAGAAGGATGTGATTGAGAAAATGTTGAGGCAGCAGCTTACCCGAGAGGCCATTAAGAAAGTCGAGAAGAGAAAGAAGAAAGAGAAGAAGAAACTGGAGGACGAAGCTGTGAACTGCATAAATGAAGAAGATGAAAAGGATAATAATACAGCAATTTCGGCCGAAGTCGGGAAGGATAAACCGCTGGTGGGATGATACCATTTTCCATATGCCATTTTACGATTTTTTGACATGTTTATATATCTTGAGATGAGCATTGATAGCTCTTGTGGATTTAGCACTCACGGTTAATAGATGTACAGCACTGCTAATGATGAGATGGAATTGAACCAAACCTAGAGAATGTCTCCGATATTCTGATATATTCGGGTTGCATAAATACAACATTCATGTACTCTATCAGCGCATGTAATGAACCCAAACACCAACCTAAAGCACAGTAAACCCATATCTCCATGTAAAAATGAGAAAAAGAAAAAAAAAAACTCTAGACATGATGACACCCGCGAAAAGATCTGGTAAAACGTGCAGAACGCAGTCTAGTGTGTATCAATAACCTGGCTGATCCTAAACCAAAGAAACCAAGCCACCTTCAACGCCGTGAAAAAAAAGGAAAATAGATGTCAAGTTCGAAAAGGCATAGGTGGTAGGCCTAGTTCTGAGTGTTGGTTACTGTAAACGTAAACCGGGACTCGAACCCTTCCACCTGTTCGACTTGAATCTGCTGGTCCTTGGGAATCATCTCGTGTTGCAAATCCCAACCTGCTCGACGACAAAGCTCGGAAACGACGACGTCACAGTCTCCTAGCATATCAACGTCAAACTCGATATGAGAGACAGGCTGGTTTAAAAGATCGTTAGAATTCTGAATCCTCTGTATTAAGGAGCAGGTAGGGGAAGGCTACGAACAGTGCGTGAGATGTGGACTTGTGGCACGTCGGGTGGAAGAACTCCGGGAACTTCAGCAACCGGAGAGACCTTTAGGGACGTGCCGATGACAATGACAAGATCAGCGAGTTCTCTATCATGTTCTAATAGTCGCTTCTTGAATATGTCTGGGAGGTCTTCTCCGAAAAATGTGATATCGGGCTGGATTGAATTAGCCTTATGAGTAGGTCAAGGTTGCCTGGGCCCTGGTGATTAAGAGTAGGAGCTCACCTTCATCACCGCGGCTGTAGGGGAAGTTGAGTATCCGCCGTCCGAATCATCGTCAAAAGCGGAATGAGACCGAGACCGGCTCGTATTACCGTTAGAGCTACGTTTACGTTTCAAGCCTCGCGGCCTGGACTGTGACCTTTCCTGACAGCGCATGCACTTGGGGATTTCACCCCTTCGGATGGTATCGAAAAGCTCTTCTCCTGGAACTTGATGTTTACAATCCATACAGGAGGCCGTAGCGAACGAGCCGTGGCACTGTATCATCTTTTCAGGAAGTATCCCAGCGGCTCCTTCTATGTTGTCAATGTTTTGCGTAAAGTTTGTGAGCAGTTTGCCCTTATCCTGCAGTAGGCGGATGAAAGCATGGGTAGGGGAGAATCTCTTCTCAGTTGGTAAAATGTCCTTTGCAATAGAGTAGAAGATACTTGGGTCTTCACGGAAGACTTCAATATCAAAGACCTCTTGGGGGTCACTCAAGCCGAGATGTTCCAACTTTGAGTAAAGACCAATGTCTTTTGATCGGAAATCGGGGATTCCGAGGCTTGTAGAGATCTACATCTCTGTCAGTATAAACGAAGATATATGCTCATGGATGTGGATAGTCTTACCCCTGCACCTGTAATGACGATGATATTCTTAGCTTTCTGCATTAGCTGAACAACATCATCGATAGTATTGTACTCTGGCAGCTTGAGACGCTTAGAGCTCTCTCTCGACATGCCCAGGGACAGAAGCGGGTGGTATGCCTTGTCTGGAGCGCCTTCAAGGAAAGGCGGAGGCATGATTCCAAAGGCCGTACATAGCTTTTTCGCGCTGACGGTGCCCCGGCCCAGTGTCTCTGCAATAAACGCAGCTTGTCCGATAGACCGGAGCCGTCTGCGATGCGCCATTGCTTCTTGAAGTGAGCATGCTCCGGGAACGACTATATGTTGCCCGTTAGTAAAAGACAGCTTGCAGATACAGATAGGAGGGGCTCACCGCGATCGCGCAAATTCTCGTCACTGATAAACTGCAGTGCATCCTCATAGAGAGAAGCAGTCTCCCATTCTTCGCCGGACTCTTCTTCCTCACTCTCTTCTGGTAGATGTGGCGCGTCCTCAACGGCTGCGCGCTCGCCGTCGGCATCGACAGCCGCAGCAACGAGAGCGCTCTCAACCCCTTCGTCGCCTGCCGGAGTCGCCATGACATCCATTATCTACCGAGTAAGACGAGCCACGGCTCAATGGTGTCGTTAACTGTCAACTTACTGCGAATATGTGATGCTCTGCTTCTTATAAACCCGGAGATTTGGGATTATCCGCGCGTCTTACTAAAGGCGTTAAGCGCGGTTTTCAGACGCTTGTTGATTCTTACATTCTTTTTCTTCTCTTTATATTTTTATTTTTGGATGACTATGTAAAGGGGTTAGGATTTCTACCTGCACCTTTTTGGTCTAGGAGTCCGCCATGTCCTGGTCGTTGTCCGAGTCCGAGTCCGTCTCATCCTCCCAGACGTCGTCTTCGCCGGCTTCGTCGTCTCCAGATATCCCCAGGCCACGTTCAAGCTCCTGGGCAAGCTCGCGTGCATGCTCCTTGAGCTTCTCATCCTCGTAGCCAACAATGTCACAGAGCTTCAAGGCCTGCTTCAGCCATTTCCGACTGGTCAGGAAAGTAGCAGTTTGTTGCTCCTTTGCCTCTGTGTCCGTCTCTTCCTGTTTCTGGTCCTTTTTACCTATCAGGTAAAGACACCATCCGCCCAGATACCATGTCTCGATGCTCTGGTCGTCTTCAAAGACCATTCTCTCTAGTACCTGGAGTGCCTCGTTTTCCATCTCGACTTCCATCAGTAGACGAGAAAGGCTAATTCTGGATGGAAAGTCCGGTATAAGGGTGCTTTCTGGCGGCTCATCTTTCCATACTTCTAGGCTTCGTGATAATGCTGCTTTGGCGTCATCGAACCGAAGCTGTGATATCCTGACCGATGCTAGAGTCTGTAGACACTCCGAGGAGTCGGGGGCGATTAGTAGTGCTTCTGTTATGAGTGCTTCACATCTACTCTCTGCGTCTTCTTCCCATCTATGCAATCCAATTAGCATTGCGCCCACTGTAGGCAAGAATATGTATACCCACGATAGATCTGTCATGTATATCTCTACCACTCCGCAGAGCGCATGTGCAAGCCTCTTCTTAAATCCTTCGCGTATCTCCTCCGCAATGTCATCATCTTTCCCTTCTAGCGACTGTAGATTTCTCTTCAATGCGCCAACGCCTCTTTCGAACCACCGCACGCTATCCTTTCCTCCTTCTTCGCTCAATTGGGCCAGCCATAGAAACTTCTCCGCACCCCCGTCAATTGTCTCGTCTATTTCGCCCTCTGGATCTAGTTCAACGGCTCGTAGGAACTTCTCTCGCGCAGCATCGATTTCACCCAGCTCAACGTATATCTCTCCTATCAGGTTCAATCCAATTAGATATTTCGGTGAGTCTGAGGAGATACTGTTTAGAGCTCGTTCGACAAGCGGCAATGCTTCGTCTGGTTGCCCGGTCTGTAGTAGAACTGTCGCCTGTTCAAACAGGGTTTGGGGGTCCTCTTTCGGTCTCGTCGACATGCCTTTTGTACCGTGGAGGACCGACTTGGACTTCTTCTTGGACTGTTTCTTCGATGGTCTGGTTTTGGCCATTAGGTCAATGCTCTTCAATCCTTCGGAGGAGTGTCCTTATATTCAATAACACAGTGTATATGATCCTCTAGAACTGTAGAATTGTAATTATTATGTTTAAATCGAGCTTGACTTGTTTCTTCTTTGAATTTCAATAATATTAAATTTATAAAATATAAAAAAAAAAGTAACCGCATGTTTGGCTTGTTTGCATCTTGATAAGTTCGATAACGAAGAAAGAAAGAAAAGAAAGAAAGCGAAATAATTCGACTTTGTTGACAAGAATAAACAAATAAGAGGGAAAAACTATTCAGAGTGTGTATAGTTATATCCAGGCTTGGGCCTGCCCATATGTAAGATGGGCCGTGAAGAGCAGGCGGAAGAGAAAGAGACCTTGCTATCTATCTTCCCCGACGAGTTGACAGGTGAGCTATCCTGAGAGTATGCGGGAGTGTATATACTGACAACAGCTATAGACGTCTCTGAGAACTCATATCGCATCTCGATACGTTTGGATGTCACCTCTCAAGATGATGAGGACATCGAGCCTCCCACGCTCATCCTGCAGGTCACTTATCCAGAGGACTACCCAGACGTAGCACCTCGACTGGAGCTATCCGCCCCTCCGAATGCGCCCAAATACCCACATCTCGATATCCAGGAAGACAGAGACCGGCTACTGGAGTCACTACAGTCTACAGTCGAAGAGAACCTGGGAATTGCCATGGTTTTCTCGCTAGTCGACTCTTTAAAAGAAGGAGCAGAGCTTCTCATATCAGAGCGCCAGGCGGCCATCCAGGCTTTGAAGGACATAGAAGCAGCCAAGGCCGAAGAGGAGGAGAACCGGAAGTTCCAGGGTACTCGAGTCACCCGAGAAACCTTCCTCGAGTGGCGGGAGAAATTCATGGCCGAGATGAAGGAGGCGGAGGAGAGACGGCAGGAAGAAAAGGAAGCAGAAGAGAAGAAGAAGAAGGCCTCGAGCAAGGAGCCAAAGAAGCTGACGGGGAAACAGCTGTGGGAGAGAGGACTGGCCGGAAAGGGAGACTATGACGACGATATAGACGACTCGATACCCGAGAAGCTCGAGAAGGTTGAATTAACTGCATAGCCGGTTCGACTTTTGGAGTTGTCTGGCAGAGGACTATATAGACAGAGAGTACTCCGTACTCTGGGTTGCGTCTTACATCAAGGGTATGACAAGCCACCGCCAGCCACAGGGAAGCAATGTTGATATTATTAATTGCTTCCTACCAATTGAACATATATTTGACCAAGATTGCTTCATTCTTCTCAGCTATTTAAAGACCCCACTCAGTGTACGAATTTTTCATATCGTTATATACATCTGATCTTGTTTAAAAAATACATCCTGCAGAAATGGTACAGTTCTATCCGTCCGTCTCGTCCGACCACCAGGAATGGATGCTCAACCAGCCCGTCTTCTTCGTTGCTTCAGCTCCCAGTCGCGGCAAACACATCAACATCTCGCCCAAAGGCCTGCCGTCGACCTCTCTCGCCATCCTCTCGCCCAACGAAGCGGCCTATCTCGATGCCACCGGCTCTGGCAACGAGACCATCAGCCATGTGCGTGAGAATGGCCGAATCACGGTCATGTTCTGCTCCTTTGGCCCAGCGCCTCGCATCCTCCGGCTCTTCTGCACCGGAAAGGTGGTTGAGTATAATGACCCTGCGTTTAGGAGCTGGCTGAACAAGATGAACCTTGCAGAGAATTACATCGTCGGCGCCAGAGCCGTTATTACGCTGGATATCTTCCAGGTACATACTCTACATCTATAGACACGTATATACATGCTGACATCTTCTAGGTGCAGACGTCCTGCGGCTTTGGGGTCCCTCGCCTTGCTCTCCGTACAGACGCAGAGACGGGAGCAGTGAAGCCCTATCTCCAGGACCGTGAGACCATCTCTGAGTGGGGCGAGAAGAAGTTGGTCAAGCAGGAGTTGTTCAAGTACCAGCAAGTGTGGAATGCAGAGTCTCTCGACGGTCTGCCAGGCCTGCGCGCCGCCATGCTTGCTCGCGGGAAGTCCAAGGTCGCTGTCGGCCTGTCCATCGCCTTGTACAGATATCGACGGCTGGTCGAGCTGGTCGGCGCTGTGTTTGTGACGGTGCTGGCTCTCTGGTTTGCTGGGTGTTTGAAGCAGCCAGCCATGCTCAATAGTACGGCTTCCATATGACATGCATCATACATCTTAACTCTGCTCCGGCCCACGCCCTAAGGATGTCTAATTCGTCTGGACTTATTTATACGAAGATCGGTGGGATTAATAGCCCGATTGGCCGTGAATATATGTCATCATTTCGGTTCCTCCGCGCGGGGGCGTTTTTATAGTTGTAGATCTATATAAAAACACCTGCTCCTCAAGAACAAGCAGGCATCTACATTTACAACCAACATCTACAACCACCACAAACACAGCTACCAAGAGTACACTTGTCAAGATGCCTCAATTTACTCTCTACGCCAACCCGATTGCCACGGCGCCAGACCGTATTCTGCTCGCCCTGGCTGATGCCGGGTTCACTGACTTTGAGTATATCAACGTCGATATGCGCACCCAGGAGCACAAGGTCTGCTCTGCCTCTCGACTTCTAAATAGATTTAACGGGCTGACTGGCGTTAATAGTCTGCCGAATACCTTGCCCGTAACCCCTTCGGCAAGGTCCCAACCCTCGTAACCAGCGACGGCATCGTCATGTACGAGTCCCGCGCCATCGCCCGCTTTCTCTGCACGAAGCTCAACCTCCCTCTCCTCCCCAACCCTGCCACGGCCACGGCTGCCTCGCTGGCTCTCTTCGAACAGGAACTCTCCTGCGAATCATCTTACTTTGAGGGCCCGGTCTCTGGCGTCATCTGGGAGACCTTCATCAAGCCTATAATCAAAATGGAGACCGACAACGCAGCATTGGCCGAGCACAAGAAGAAGCTTGAAGACTACTTCGATATCGTCGAGGCCAAGTTCAAATCTTCTGGTAAGAAGTTCATGGCTGGCGAGGAGTACACACTTGCAGATGTCTATTATCTTCCTTTCTTGGCTAGGCTGTTTGATCGTGGGTTCGGAGAGTTGGTTACTTCTCGACCTCAGGTGAAGGCTTGGTGGGACCGTTGCATGGAGAGATCCAACACCAAGGCCTGGATCGATCAGTCGCCAAAGTTGGACCTCTTGCTGGCTGGTAGAAAGTAAGATGGCATTGCAGGGTAGATCAATGGCATCTTAAATATATCATCGAGTGTTGACAAATATCGCATTGTAAAAAAAAAAAAAAAAAAAAACAAAATCTGCTTTGGAGTGTTGTATAAACATACCACAGTTGCAAAGCCTGTCTGCATATCATAGTTGTATCGTGTTTGAAGAAGAGCTCGACTTGGCTTCTTCCTGACCTAGTTTCTCCCTCTGTTTGGCCTCTTTCTCAGCCAGCCTTCTCTCAGCCACTACTACATTCCACATCTTCCTCGCCAGCTCGAGATCTCTCTCATCCCCTTTCTTAATCGTATTCACCACGCGGCCGATATTCTCCTGGATAGCCTTATCCCAAGTGCCGCTCTCTTTCTTCTCTGTGAACTGATCCCACGCATCCTCATCTTGTGCGAACAAGGCATCCACAGCCAGTTCTTGCTTGCGTAGGATGTTCTTCCATCGAGCGTCTTGCCTGATTCTTATGGCTATGCCCAGACTCTTCGGTTGAGGCTTCTTGATCCTGAGAAATGGTATCCCACGCGCACATGCAAATCGAGGAACATGGCGTATACCGGACACTTTGGGATAAGGTCGTGATAGGACAGATTCCAACACTGCTTTGGCACTAAAACGGCGCTTTCTCTCTCTCTTTCTATCATTCTCTAACTCTATCATCTGGCGTCGGTGGGCGAGTTGTGCGCATTTCTTCTTGTATTTCTCGAGGAAGGGCTGCGTTCCGGCAATGAGGGAATCAACTCGCTCAATGCTTCTAGGTTCTCCACTAGCACATGATTTCATCAATTCTAAAGCCTTGTGTGGTAAAGGGACGGTAAGTAACAGTCTGAGATAGAAGTTAAGGAGCTAGGGAAGCTACCTCATAGCCTGCTCTCAGGGACTTTTCAATTCGACTAGGGCTTTCAATTGGTTTGTCCAGACGGAATCTGGCCTGTATTATGCCTCGGATATGTGATGCCTTGGAGCTTGTAAGCCACGGTTTAGAGCACTGTGAGAGCAAGGCATGGTAGAGGGAAAGGCCTATGATAATATTATCCGTTAACGCCGACTCTGAATATCCACGGGCAAGCAACTTACACGCTAAACGGTGAACGCCAGACTGTGTTGGATGTAAGAATCGGGGCATCTGGACATTTGGACAGTGATCGCTGGCCACCCTTCGAGGAGTGGTTGGCTTGTTATTTCTCTTCTTCTTGCATTTGGCAAGCTTCAAAACTTCGTTTTAAGGTTTCAAACGTCATTCATATTATTGTGGTCACGTGTGATCTTATCTTATCGCCTTCCTCCCCTCATATTTTTTGATAACAGTTGCTTTTGTTATTAACTATTCATTCCTAGGTTGAAATCCCACTTGGCTAAAGAAAACCGCGCTTAAATTATATATGCAGTTATAGAATGCAAAAAGAAATAAAAAATCATGGTGACCAGATATGCGTTCATCATTGAGTATCATTGAGTATCTTTCCAGGCCTGTGGGTGGCGGAGGGGGGGGCGGAATTTCGTTAAAAGGTTGACCCTTCTTGTGGTTGGGGGAGTTTCTTATGTTGTGGTAGTGCCATGTATCTGACACGTAAATGGATTAGTTGGTTGTGGCTGTAACCGGCTGAGTCTTGCAAAGCGCATCTTACCTTCTGAGCTCAAGAAGTACTGTCTCCATGTTGTTGTCACGTTTCCACTGTGCTAAACACGGAAGCTTGGAGGGATCAACCTAGGGAAATATGCGGTTAGAAAAGTAAAAAGGACTGATGCTAATCCTCATATCCATACCTTTCCGGTCTTTGCATCAACACAAGGTAGGTTCACCCGCGAGACAAACTGAATAGTGGGAGGCACATCCGGATACTGTTCACCGCAGTGAATGTTGACACTGTATATCCGGTTCTCATGTACGCTCTATTACTCTTAGTGATTAGGATGCTAGAAAACCCTAGTATCGGGAGGGTAGATAGTAGGGATGGTTTGGATAAGGGCAATACGGACGTGTGGTGGGCCGAGGATTGTGCCATTCCAGTTCGTCATCATCAAGTCGTCTCCATCAGCCAGGCCGTATGAGCATGCCTCTATTCGGAACTGGTGTTAGTGTCCATGGCAAAGCGGTATAAGCGTCATCTGGGTCGCGTACCAGGGCCCATTCCCTTTTCTCCCTTTTCCAGCTCTTCAAGAAGGCGAAAGTTTCTAGGAACTTTGGCTGCCATGGTTGCGATGTGAAACAAGGGTGTATATTCCTGTGTATTCTTTGTGCGGTAAGGCTCTTAATGAAGTGTACGGCAGTCGGCTCAGTGTGGACTTGGAGTATGTTTTTGTTATCTTCTTGAACTTCATTCTTCAAGGTCTTCTGATCCTTGCAGGTGTGTTTGATGACTAAGTATGGCTACACGTGATTAGATCTAGCTTCTTGTTGAGATCGCAAAGTAAATCGAAAGGTTGATAGCAAGAAACGAACATTTCCACTACCTGGCAGATTGTTTGACTTGCTCCAGCCTCCTGTAGCTCCGTGGAGCCATATCGATGGGAAACTCTTAGGGAATGGATTAAGTCTATACTGGAGCTTTGCATCTTCACTATTCTCATCCTTGCTTGATAGACGCCACGTACACTATGCCCAAACCCCGTTTCTGACATGACGTCCAACACTTTGCAGGCAGAGCTGTCGAACCTGATCCAGGAATCTAAAAGGAAACATTCTGACCTAAGAAATGTCCGTTTGAGCTCATGTTAATGTTCTTCAATCGTAGGATGTCCATGTAGTTCTTGGGTTGACGTATAAAAACAGGCAGCCGAACAATCGCTTGCGGAGCTTAAAGCTCTACCATCAACATCTGAATCACAGCTAGCAGCAGGTTTGTCTGCTCCAATGTGATTTTGCAAGTTTTTTTGGACCCCATGCTGAGCTTCCGAGAGACCTGGCCAGAAAGCCACAGTTTGCCAGACCGTTTGTTCTAGCGTGCCAGACTCGGCATACCCGTCTTGCTGCTATCGGGGTAGCAAATCTTCAAAGGCTAGTAACCATTGGGGCATTGCCTCAGGAGCGCCTAAAAGATGTACTTCAAGGGCTACATGAAACCGCAAATCTAAGTCCGTTCTTGCCTATTTGTATCCTTTGGTATCATATTTGGACCTCGACTTACCGTATATATATTAGGCCTTGAAATACAACTCAAAATATTGCAGACATTGCCGTCACTATTTCGATTTTACGCAGATAACCTGACTGGTGTTCTTCTTGCAACCACGCTAGAAATATGTGCCACGCTACAGAATAGCAAGACGACAGCATTATCGAATACCGCTGCTGCTACTCTTCAACAGCTAGTGGTTGCTGTCTTTGAGAAAGTCTCACGGGAAGATGGTTCGTTTTGCAGCATTCTTCTAATCTAGTTGGTACTCTGAAGAAGCTGATCTAGAAACTTTTAGATAAAGATGGCGGCAATATAACCTATACTACTATTTCACTAGAAGACCAAAAGCTTGATGTGACTACATTCAGTTACGATGCTTTCCGGGTAATAAGAAACCCCAGATTAATGCTTGCTAACATGGCTGCTAATGCATGTATCTAGATATTAGATGATTTATGCCGCCTGCTGGAGGGCGAGCAACTTACATACTTAAGTATCAAGTCACTTTCTAAAATATTTATATTAGAATTGATTGAGAGCATCTTGGTGAATAACGCTGAAGTTTTTGCTCGGCATCCTGAGCATACCCAAGTCCTTAGGCACAGACTGATGCCTTTGGCGGTCAGATATCTTTCTGAACGCCATTCCTTTTCTCTGACAGTCCGCGTTGCAAGGATAGTGCTGCATATTCTTAAAGCTCACCTATCACTATTAACTGTTGAATGCGAGGTGATTTTATCACTTCTGATCCATTTAATCGATACGGAAACGTCTTTGCCCTGGAAACGGGTGCTTTGCATGGAGATTTTTAGATCTTTATACACTGAACCGGGTATTATTCGACTTATATATACCCTTTTTGACAATGAGGAGGGCCGCAAAGCTGTATTGCGAGATCATATGTCATGTTTAGTCAGGCTTGCTTCAGAAAAGTCTTCATTGATCGGCTTAGGCCATCAATCCACTGTACCCTTGGCAACTCAAACCAATAAAGATTCAATCGAGGACCAAGTTACTCTCGAATCCGTCGGGGTGAGTGGCATAATTGGAAGCCCTTCGAACAGGCCCGAAATGTGTGGCATTAGCACACAGTGGAGTCTCCTGCGAGTCCCATATATCGAAACACTTGACAAAATAGACTCTCCATCACCGCCAGAAACATATATCTACAGCCTAGTGCTTAACTGTATAGCAGCATTCTCCGAAAGCATTGCCAGGTTCATCATTCCGCTTGCTGTCGCTGAATCTAAGAGCAAACGGAAACGCAACACTTCAAATTCGAACAAAGATCAAGATTCGGCTCAGCAAGACACAGATATCAAAGAATCCACAGGGAAGTCGTCAGTCCCACCTAACCCCCTTGAGTTGAAGTCTCATCCGCAAATCGCCAATATTGAAGCCACCGCCGGTATAATTGACATTTGCTGGCCAGCCATATTAGCTACTTCATCTACTTTCTTGTATGCTGCATTGGATGGAGAATTTTATCACACATTAGTCCGGGCATTCCAAAAGTTAGCTCATGTTGCGGGTCTTCTACGATTGTCTACTCCACGAGATGCATTCCTAACGACTCTCGGGAAAGCTGCTGTCCCTACTGACTTTCCGGGATCCAATACTGCTCCTGATGGTAGCACGCACCATTCGCCTGTCATTGATAACACCAACCAACGGTCAACTAGTGTTTCGGAGGTTGCTAACTCCCCCGTCGATACCCCTCTCAATATGCTAAATACCAGAAATCTTCTTTGTTTACGAGCACTCCTGAACCTAGGTATTGCCCTTGGGCCAACCTTAGACCGTGGTTCTTGGTCAATTGTCCTTGAAACTCTTCAAAATGCGGAACTTGTCATCAACATTACAAGTTCCACGTTTATTTCAATGGCAACAGATCAAAACATGGAGACTAAAAGTTCGAACTCTGACCTACCGAAATCCAATCTTGGACCTGAAATTATGGCTGTTCAGGCTGTCACCAATAAGCTCTGCGAAAGCACAGGCGATTACCCCAATTCTGCCTTCAAAACCTTTCTCATCACTCTCTTAAGTTTACCGGAGAGCTTTACCAAAGAGACAGCTTCTACACCAACCCAAAAACAAACACCATCGCCTCTTCTCCCACAAGGACAGCAAGGAGGACGTGTCCACCAGAATAAACGAAGTTTGTCGATAGCTCTGGGCCGAAGCAGGGTACGTGAAGATGAACTGAAATTTGTGCTAGATAAGGCATCCGGTATTGCCAAAGCAAATATTGAACGGCTTTCTCTCCCGCAAGATGAGGGTATCTGGGACCTTTTGGTCAATAACCTTGTTAAAACGATCCAAAATGACCAGATTAGCTCAGGACTGCGCCTCAAGGCGAGCGATATCATTAACACAATAATTTCGAAAACCATTAAACTGACAGAATCTATCGAGGAGGAATCAAGGAATGATGTGCAACTCCGGGGATTGCTCGCTTTGAAATCTCAATCTTCTATGCACTACCAGGCACGAAGACCGAGTTCTTCGATTCGCGCAGCCGATCTAGAAGTCCATGAACTCGCCCTTGAAACATTGAAATCCATCCTGGAGGGATCTGGCCAATCGGTGGTTGCAGGCTGGAACTTGGTATTCGAGCTAATATCGAGCGTCTTCGATAAAGAAATACCTGTTCTGACGGAGAAAGATGAAGCCCAGAAACCACCTTCGTCAACCCCAGGCAGCCCAACAATAGTTAAAGTGAAGTCTCAAAAACTACTACGAACAGCTTTTGATTCGCTACAACTTGTGACGTCGGACTTTTTATCGTTACTTCCCGCGTCGTGTCTACTTGAGCTCGTAGAATGCTTCTATAGCTTCGCGTCTCAAAAGGAAGATTTTAACATTTCACTAACAGCCACCACGTCATTTTGGAATATATCAGATTTTCTCCGGGTCCAAATCAACCAATTTTCTTGCGAAGATGAGATTACCGTTTCAACTTCCGAAACACGTATTGTGGATATTGCCAAAAACCCTGACAACTCCTCATCAACCTGTGCACTGTGGTTACTTTTGCTCTTAAAGATAGTTGATCTTACGGTTGATAGCCGTACTGAAGTCCGAAATAGTGCAATCCAGACAATGCTTCGAATACTGGATCATTCAAGCGAGCAGTTGCCTCCGGGTATCTGGCATCTATGTTTGAATAAAATACTTTTCGTTATGGCTGAATCTGTCCAAGCAGAAACTGTCCAACTAATGGAATCTTCGACGGAGAGTTCGGAAGACCAAAAGTCATGGGTGGATACGTCCGCACTATTGAGCAAGGGATTGTCAAATCTTATTGCTACATATTTTGGTACCATTATTCAGTGCGATAGTTTTCATCAATCCTGGACCCGACTGCTCCGGTTCTACGAACCCCTGATCAAGTTGAATTCATTGGAGCTGATGGAGGCCATTTTTTCCAGTTTCTCCCAAATTCTGTCCTGCATTCGAGTACCAGAAGACATTGGTACAAACTTGGCCCAACAAGCTTGGGATGTTTGGGTCAATGGCAATCCTGTCTCGGAAGAGGGGAAGCAAAACTACGAGAGTTCAAATCAAAATGCGTTACTAGCTTACTTCCGAGCGTACAAGCAGCTCTACAGACTCCTTAAAAACTACTTGGGGGAAAAGCAGATTCTCGAAGCTCTGCAAAATGCCCAAATAGCTATCGAGCAATCAGTCCATTCGAAATATTCCTCAGACACCGAAACTACTTCCGAGTTACAAACCCAAATTATTGAGTGCCTTAAAACTCTTTGCACAGATAAGCCAGACTCACAATCCGTAATTATGGAGAGTTTTTCCAAATTCTTCCAATTACCCTTGGAAGGGAAGCCACAGGCTGACCGAACTAAACCAACCTTTGTTGCACTGTCTAAGGCTTCAATGCGGCTTTTAAGCTGGTATATAACAGAGCATGGATTGAAAGCCAATGTTTTGTCGGATGGAGTGCTGAGCAACACGCTCGGAAGACTGACCACTCCAATTTCCAGCAAGTACAACTGGCTAGGGAAGGACGGAAACCCAACTTTATGGCAAACAGCAACGACAGCCTCTTTGGACTTCATAGAAGTCGCAACCCCGTACGTTGAGGCCCAATATAAGGCGTGTGACCGTACAGTTACAGACCGCTTCTGGGCATCCGTAGTTGGTGTTGTAAAGGGGGTTGTGTCTTGCGGGGAGTATACTGATCTAAAATTAACACCATCCGCTGTGTTATCCGACGAGCAATTCGACATCACGGCCTTTGAACGGCTTCGTGGTATGATAATCCCGGCTCTTGGCTCTTCTTTCATCTCTCCGGAGATCCGGCGGGATTTTGCATTTGCGCTTTTTGATTCTTCGCATATTTTCCCGCCTCAACGATTGGACCTTCCCGATAATTCTGCACAAAAGGAACCACTCCGTGATCTATATAAAGTCAGACGCGGCCGCACCCATGGCCCGCAGCCGACGATGCGGGTTAAATTATCATATGTGTTAATCGACACATTATTTGACCTAGCATCTGTTCGCAAACCGGCTGCAGGAGAAAGCCAAGCTTCGCCAAATTATGTGACACCATATATATCCCTTGCAAAGTCTGTGTCACCGTACCTTATCTTACGGTGTGCCTTACCCTTGAAATCATATATCGCCGACCAACCACTTCTGGGGCTGATGCCACAACCTTTAATTTCAAGAAAGGAACTAATGTACCTTCTGACCCGATTGGTTGAACTGAAAAGTGAACCTACCGCCATTCCAGCCGCTGGTCCCAGCGTTCCTATAGGGGGTTCGAATGAAGCCTCGGAAGATGAGGGAGATGAAGAGGGGGAGGAGGAAAGTTGCAGTCAAACAGGGGCCAGGTTCAAGAAACATCTCGGGTGGATGTATCCCCTTGTTATTCGTGCAATAACGGTTGCTAGCAAAGAATCCAATGATCGTCAAGTTCTAGATGTGCTGACAAAGGTTTTAGAGGGTATACAGGGATAGTGACCTGGTCCACGGGAATTAGAAGAGCGGTGTCCCCGTTCCATTATTATAAGTTATGGCTGTTTGATACGTAGATAATTATTCTTTGCTTGTATCGACCTTGATCGAAATATGATACCGATATAATTATGCTTGATATTTGGCGCTTCATATATGCAACGTTATCATTGAAACTGGGTAGTCGATACCTGATGTAGTGTGGGGGTAAAGTTGTACTGAATCATGGACAACGCCGTACGATAAAAATTAATATGAGAATATTACATATTCCAAATAGAATAATAAATAAGTAGACACATTAGAACTCCAGACTCCCATCACCTCCTTTTATGTGAGCCCGCACAGAGGCTAAAAAGGGTAAAGTAAACCATGGGGATCATTCTTGATTTATGCCGGCGTTGTGGATGCAGATGCGGGTTCAGGTGCAAGTTGGGATGGGGCCGATGCAAGATGTGGGTTTTGCAGTGCGTCCCCTTCCCCGTCGTCACTATGACGTACAGCTTGCTTGCGTTCTGGTGGAGGCACCGCATGCTGGCCATCATGAGGTTGGTTTTCGAGTTGGGCAGCTGCCGCCATCTCTGGGGATTGGCGGAATAGGACAATCTCCGATTGCTTAAAATATCGACGCGCGTCTAACCATTGTCAGGATAGTATATTGCCAAATGGCGGAATAGACCGTGCATATACTAAAGGCGTAGGGTAGAGGGCGGGAATCTTACCTTCATCTATTAATACAAGGCTGAGATAGTATCTTGTCGAGTACTTCTTATTCACGTCTCGGAAGGTAGGCGTCAGATCAAATCCACCAAGGAATAATCTGATGGGTATAGTTTCGCCTAATTAGAAAGCATCAGCATGTTAATAGGGGAATAAGTTGGGGTGCTTTCTTCACGCATACCTCTTGATGGCGAGCCATCCATAATCTATACCAGGGCAGTCAATATCATTCTATATCAGGAATAACGAGGGAGAATTTACGTACCTCGAATCTCACCAATGTCTCGCTTTCGTTATACTGATTTGGCGGGGAACCCGTCGTCTCTCGCCTTATAATCGAGAGCTCCATATGCTTAATCTTCAGCCGAACAAGCAAAAAGTATATTCTGCCCACAATAACATCCTTCAAGTGGTATTTCGACTTTGAGTACTCAAATTCTATATGTAGGCAATCCTCGATGCCAACGTCCATTTTAATTGGGTTGTTGGACTCTGGCGGCAGTCGGTAGGAGTATACCCAGATATCCTTCTCCCGCACTACATCCGCGATGCGACGGGATACAGTAACTCGAACAAAGTACCGTAGCTTGACGTTGATTCCATTGTATGATTCGTATTGTTTCTCAACATTTTTGAAATTAAATGGGAATGTCTGCGGGTGCTGCAGTTCACCTGGAGCAGCAAGCTCTTGACCCAGGGAGAGGAATTCGTAGTGGTTGCCGCGATCATAGAACATCTCTGCACACATAGACAGGGAATGGTAAGCAAATGTTTCTTTTATTTTCTTTTTGATCACAGCTGGCATGACGAGGGTGAGTGGGATGGATGGGCCGGAACTGTATACGTACCAATCATGCCAATGAATTGTACCTTAATGCCCGTATGTTCCAGTCGTTTGCCGTCCTTTGGCCTCACTGTGACAGCGCCCTTGACTGACTCCCCGTCGAGATACAACGGTGCCTTCTCTCGCCGGTTCTTCTCGAGTTTGATGTCCACTGTTTCCCGCTCATCGCCGTCTTCCAGCAAGATGTCGATATCGACGGGTGTGGAGAAAAAGAAGGACGACATCCTGGTCGCAAACCACTAGGGACAGGTTAATCGAAAAAGTATGCAGCCAACACGAGCAGCGGTTGCGCTATCTCAAGCTGTTCTACTCTTGAGAGCTTGCTTCATGATGTTTGCCTTGGAAGCGTTTTGGACGGTTTGAATGTTAGAGATTATGTAAGCAGAACCCTCATTTTCTGGCTTCCTTTTTTATCTTTCTTACTTCGACATCAACAACGCCTTTTCCCCCCTGGACGGACAAGAATGAGCTATGAGATTGGATGCTGACTCTGTCATAAGAGAAGAATACGATATTGCCTGCGGTAGTCAGGCTCTGAATACTATTTTTTTTCACCTGTCATCATACGAGGAACTACCGGCGTTCTATGAAAATGAATAGTTCAACAGTGCTAATCACCAACGCTAAACCGTCATTTGGCAGGCCTCATATGCAGGACGAGGCGATCAAAGGCGATAGTTCATGATGCTATTCCCTCTCCGCTTCCGTTTCCGTACCCACTAACCTAGAAAATCTATGGAGGGGGGGAAGGGGGGAGAGAGGAATTGGTTGTAAACCATGCCATCGTTCCCGATCATTCCACTTATTATATACTTCTTCTGGTAACTTATCTATAACATGGTTGTAAGATGATACTGATGAGTGAATGACACCGGAAAAGATGCTTGACATCCGCGCAGAACGGAAGAGCTGGAACTTGAAACCGGCCTTTGGAGCGGTGTATGTGTCTATATACGTATAAAGGTCGGCTCAGGGAGATACGAGGCACTAGGAGGGGAGCAATCTAAGTAAGCGAGGGGATTTTCTTTTCCATTCGATGTCCCTGAACCGTATAACTACTCAACCCTGGCTCCAGGAATGAATGAAGGTATCCATGCTAACGTCTTTTTGTAGGTATACTAATAAATACATATATGTAATATCCTTCCGGGGGTCAGCTTAGTATCCATCCTAGTGAGAGAACAGCTAATAATAGGCTCATTCCCCATCATCCTGCGCGAAACGCACAAGGCCTATATAGGATATATGGAGCAAGCATCAAACTAACCCCAGCATGCAACCTCGTCGTAGTAGGTGTGCATGCCCTGGCAAGGTCAGCAGCAAAGTCGAGAGTCAAATCCCTGTACGTATGTATGCATGCTTGTTATATAACAATGTAATTCGACATGAAAAAGCAAAACTCCGACAGGTTTCCATCAATGGGATCATTTCGTTTTCACAGCCGTGAAGGGGGGACAGAAGGGAAACGAGAATACACTCTCCCAGGGCTCCGTAAGGATTGTGGCTCTGTTTTTAGTGGCAATCGTGCAGCGAGGCAACGTGGCAGACAGGATCAACTTACCAGATTGGACCTTGTCGCCGTTTGAATCATGCCCTGAGGCGGCTAAGATTGTGATCCTGGCTGGGGTCTTCGTGTGAACCAGCATCTCACGAAGACGCAGCTCGAGCAGTTCCTTCCAAGATATGGAGTACCAAGTACAATGTACGGTCAACTAGTGATGTGACGGTGGCTCGTATATCACTTTCCAAGAGTCTCTCTTCTGCATCTTTCTTCTTCTGGTTTGAATGAAAGTTGCTGCGGCTGCATCGGACGCATAATACTTTCTGATAATACTCCGTACATAGTACATCTGACCATCAATGCAGCCGCAACACTGACCTCATCATGCATGGAACCAACGACTGGTGTTCTGACCTCATTCCCCACGCAAACCGTTGCGATTCGACTCCATATACTCGCAACAACAATAGTGCAAGCCGCTCACCGTCTCTTCAAAGCACGCCAACTAACTATCGACGCACCAGGCTGAATGTTTTGTAGACGAGAGTTAAGAATCTGACTTGCTCATCATCCTTAGAAAGGGGGGAAAGCAGGGGGTATCCCAGCAGGGCGGCCGCCGGTTGAGTCTTCCACACGCACACTCATCTCATTCCCAATCATCCCCGTAGCCTAGAAAGAAGGTACATGGCTAGTGGTCGCAGCTCCAGCTCCATCGGCCATCCCGCGGGCCCTTTTTGCATAGCATCCTTCTTTCTCTGGACCTTGGACGATCAGGTCCCCCCAGCCCTGATTGCTATCACCAACAAAGACCCAACACCAACCAACTCATCGAACCTCCCACCTCAAATGCGCGAATACACCAGTTTTGTATCCTTGGAGATCGGCCCAGCTCCGGCCCAGAACCGTGACCGTGGGTTAGCCCTGTCTCTGCTTGTTTTTCTCATCCCGTTCTCTTGTCCTCCCTTTATCCCCGGCTTTTACGTTCCCCCCACTGGCATCCACCGCGGCCACTGTCCACCCATTGCCGATGCCTCTTGATTGGGCTGCGGCCAAATTAAGATTTGCAATAAGACAACAACCAGAAGTTCTGGACGGATTGTCTCATGGCGTTGAGTTGGGCCTCATCGGGCGTGGGATGGCTCAAGAGGAAATTCCAGAGCTTAAAACCAACCGTTCGCCCGCAAATCGCTTTTCCCTATTCCCTCTTCTTTAAGAATGCCCTCTTTTTTTTCTTTGCCACTATAATCTTTCCCTTGTGATCCAGATATTTCTTTGAGTGCGTTGCTGCGCTTTTACCATACTCATTGACAAAGCATCCGTACGGTGTGCTACGATATATATATCTTGTTTGTCCGATACAAACATCCTCAAGCCGCTTTCAGGCCTATCATAGCTTCACTGCTACAGGCAGCAAACGAGAGAAGCAAGCTGGTATCCTGGCTTTAAATCTAAACATCATGCTCTCCACGGAACAGCCTTCCACTGGCCCTTATATGCCAGCTACTAGGTCACCACTGCCACTACAAAACATGAGTCGCAATAGCCTCTCCCGCCGGTATCCTTCGGCCACAACCCCATCCCCATCACCATCTTTATCTTCAAGTGCTTCATATGCACTGAAGTCTCAACAAAATCCTAATGCCATGCCACAACACATCTGGATAGTTACCGGGCCGGCAGGCTGCGGGAAGACTACCGTTGCCCAAGGCCTGGCAAAGGAGCTTCGTATTCCATACATAGAAGGCGACGATGTATGTATTCAGTGCTATCTACAATACAGGACAATTGAAACCCCATTCTAACGGTTTCATCTAGTATCACTCCAAGTCCAACAAGGAAAAAATGACAAATAGCATCCCACTCACTGATGCAGACAGATGGGACTGGTTGATCCAGCTTCGCGAAGCTGCGATTAGCGCCCTTACCACACCATCTTCCTCTTCGCCTGCGACTCCCCGGTCTTGTCCGCCTGGCGTCGTTGCAACCTGTTCTGCGCTCAAGCATAAATACCGCGACGTTATTCGTGTTGCCGCCTATGACCACCCCACCGTTAGAATACACTTCATTTACCTTCGTGCTCCAGAGGAAGTACTCCTACAGCGCGTTAGGCAGCGCAAAGGTCACTACATGAAGTCTACGATGGTCCATTCACAATTTGAAATGCTAGAAGAGCCAGACTCCGAATGGGATGCACTCTCAGTAGATTGTGCCGCCTCCCCTGCCGAAGTACAGAGACGAGTCAATTCAATTGTCCAACAGAAATTGGATGAGTATTCGGAATAACCAACAATACTTTGCGGAAGAGTCCTAACCGCAACTATCCAGAACAATTAGCACCAACTAGACGTCACGCCACACGGCGCCATGCAGCCAGAACCGTTATTTCTTCTTTTTTCCTCAGTCCTCTTTGCTTTTTTCCCACCTTTTCGATGCAGGCGATCTCATCGGACCTATCGATTTTAATTCTTCCACTTTTTCCCGGTTTCTCTTTTTCCCATTTCTTTTCTTATAATTTTTCTTATTTGTATCCAGACTTTAAGCGATCGGCGCACCGGCTGGGAGGCAGAGAATTGACCAGTGAGATTCACCCAATTATCACCCTTTTCGATGAATTTCTGTCTTCATTTTTTCTATGTTGACCTTTTATTTTTTTGATTACGTATTTCACCAAAGATATCCTTATCTCAGTTAAATCTATCATGTCCACTTGTTCTAGACCTTTCTTTGTCCTTTTGCTTCTTTCTTCCGTGTCTTTCTGCGCTAGAACTTTACTCAACCGCCCCTTTAGCCACTACGGAGTACTCCGTGGTAGTAGTCATGAGATCAAAAATAACCGAATATGCATTTCTTTTGGAGAACCCGCCTTTGTAAAGACCTATGTACTGGTTGTTATATGAGATGTCATTCAAGCAATATTGGGAGTTAATGGGCTGCAAGTCCAGAACCGTGCGAATCGATGTACTTTGTCACAGCACATGCAAACGCCCTGCATCGAACCGCAGCCTTGCCGTACTATGTAACTAACTAATGCATAGACATCTGCCTGCTGGCTGACCAAGCCCCGGGATAGTTACTAGTGGTCGCTCGCCAGCATGCCATACTATGTAAAGAGTGAATGCTGCCCTCTCGACAACTGCAGCTTATATCCTTAGTTTGCAGACGGGCATAGCTTTATCAGCCTATCATTGTGCCTATATCGCCCCTCTGTTGGCTTCTCGTTTCCTCAGGCGCCCAACCTAGGTGTTGAATCGGTGGTTATGGCTCACCATATCTTGACAAGGCCTAAGTTCAGTGCATCCTGAAGAGCTTCAAACATGGATACACCTTTGATATTAAGACGGTGACGACTCTGACGGTTCCTAGCTCCCAAGGGTGATAAACACCTTTTCCCGGGTCTACCGAAGCTCGTGATGATGTTCTAGCGTTTCGAACGGCCTTCGAATTCCTTATTTATGTGTTGGCAAGACATGTTTCAAGCCATGAACCATGTTAAAGGAATATATAGTTGTTAAAAAGGGTGGGGGGATACTTCCTCAACGCCTGAGAAGACGAAAAGATACAAGGGTCTGGAGTATAGTATGTAAAGGACTGTCCGGGAGATTGCTTATCCACATTGCTTCCGAATTATAAGATGTATGCGGAGTTGAATTGAGGTTCCGTAAGAGGAATGTAGACTATAGATCACCAGTGCATCCATGCACGGTGCGTATGTATACTGGAAATTTACGTACGTGATATTTAGGATAGGACTGTCCCTGGATATCTCAGCTGCAGCTCTTGTCCGTGGGGGCCCCGACTGTCTGTATAATCCCTTCCAGCCAAGCTTGCCAACTCTGGGCAATCGAAGTCACAAATTAAAACCGTGCATAGGAGCGCAGAAGTTGGTGTTAGGGGCGGCAGGCGAGTTGGACGCTAAAGATTTACTCTGGATTAAGATATAGAACCCCCGCAGGCGGGGATGGTCTAACAATTTCAGAACCGACGGAGCCACTCTCCGATAGCCTCTAGATCACTGCATCTATAACAATGACTGTTCGAAGAGTAGTGTAGGATCGCAGAAGTGAAATGCGTCGATAAACCGGGGTAGATATGGCCTCCTGGCGCTCTCTGGTTGAAACGAGTCGTGAATCCGGTCTACAAAGTCAAGCAATAGCTAGTTGTATTAGGAAGAAATCGGAATATTTGGAATAGTGTTGCTTGTAATAACAAAAAAACCGGTCAACCGTACGGAGAGAGCATATAGCTCTGCTGGTACTAATGGTTTCTGCGGTCATTAGGTAGTGGTAACTAGGCAAACTACCTCCAGGATAAATCTCTGGGGCTTTGAGCAATGGTTATCCTCAGGTCATATTCCTCTGGAGGTGTCGAGACAAGCAGGTTGGTCTGTCTCAGCTAGTTTAATCTGATTAAACCGCCCTTAGAGAAGTAGTGTCACTATTGACTCCCTATCATGGGCTATTATATGTTGGGGATGCGAGTGATCCATCAGCTGTATCTCTCTCCAGCAAAACGCGGGCGAGTAACTAATAATATTAGACAACTGTTTTCGGAATATTACGTAAATATAAGCGTACTTCCTTTTCCTGTTGCAACTTGTCAATGCAAGGGCGCGGAGTAGAAACGAGGCTGAGCTATTAATCAGTGAAATTCCAAGTTGGCGTAAATAATTGTTGCATATAGAATGATAGCCTTGCACTCTGAGAGCCCTTGAAAATCAATACAAAGATGGACTCTGTTATCCTCACGCCACGGCTGAAGCTAACTCTGGTTACGAGGGCGGAGAGGGGGGGTCCAGAATTTGAATGGCTTCACGAACTGTACAGCAATGAAGAGTCGATGTTCTGGAGGTAAACGGTACACACACTCGATCTGGTTCACCTTTACTGACCTGACCAAGGGTTGGTGGGCCATTAGATTCCACCGGGGAAACGGAGAAGTTAATGAGCAGCTTCCTACCAATAAACAAAGAAAACGGAGCCAGCTACCGAGTCGCCTATGCTGTCCACAGGGCCGAAGAACCATTTGGCTTTATCGGTCTTATCACTTTGGGCTCATTGGATTCCCATAGCCTTCCGTTGCCGGAACATCTCACTTTACCAGCTGCTGCCGCTGCCACGACGCTGACCATCGAAATTGCGTATTCATTCCTACCAGTTGGATGGGGCAAAGGGTACGCAACCGAGTCGGTCAAGGCGGTGTTTGAGGGTTGTCGGCAAGCCCGATCCTTCTGGATACCCTTCTCAAAGCTTTATGTCAGGGCGATTGTGAATGCCGAGAATGCACCGAGCAAGCGGGTGATGGAGAAGACGGGAATGGTAGAGAAGGGGGTGCACGAATGGAGAGGGGAGGCTGTCTTCGTTGGCGGGAGATGGCGAGAGGTAGACAGTATCTGCATCTTCGGCATGTATCTGTTTGGTGATGACGAAATGTAGGAGCCTTAAGCTGGAATATAATATCTATAGTATTTCCTCGGCTCAGAGTTCCGGTTTCTATCTTTAGCTCCTGTACCAAAGAGGAAAGGACCCAGGCACGAACCTCTGCTGACTAAAGATGACGCATTTCTCCACAATTTTGGCTTCCCAGCGGCACGGGACGCTTGGCATGCTTGGTATTCTTGGCAAGCGCTTGGCTGTAGTCACGGGACGCGGCCTCATGATGAAGATGCGCAAGCGGGACGAACCGTGAGAGAACATCGAAAGGGATGGGGAGGCCGAGGAACAAGGGTAAAAGAACATGAAGGAGCGGCGATGGACCTAGGTGACGGAAATCAGTTAGACAGATGGGCCCTGTTCCACAGTTAGCTTGCCTAATGGGTCCGCCGCCGGGATTTCAGGGCTGAAAGAGCGGCTCTTCGGCCAGCCCTAAAACCGGGTCACGGGACCAACTGGGCCGCGCTTTTTTCGTATAAACAGCCTCTTGCCGACCTTCAGCTGCAACTCGTCCAACGTCGCCAAATAATCCCATACGTCTGAGCAGGCCACATAGTGAAGAAGAATATCGGCTCAAGGCCGGACTGAGTGCCCACCCCATTCATGTCTTACTGGCAGAACACCATACCCTTTAACGAGGGCGCAGGCGGCTACTATCAGCAACAACCTCCGCCTCAGCCGCAATATCAGCAGCCATACCAGCAGCCGTACCAGCAGCAATATCAACATTCGCCGTATCAGCAACCAACATACCAACAGCCGCCATACCAGCAGAACCTGACACCACAACCCCAGTACCCATATCCGTAAGCCATCCCTATCGCACTGTCTTGTAGTAGATATCCCTCCGGAGAACTAACGACTTCTCCAAGCGCGCCCTCACCCACGCCCAGCTACCATCAGCAGCCACCACCATCACCACGTCCTCCATCCCATCAGCAGTCATACCCTTCACAAGAACCGCCGCGGGCGCCTCCATCCCCTTACCCCGCCAATAACGGAAACGGCGGCAACCACCATCACACGCCTCCTCCTCCACCACAGAGCAGCCAGAGTTTCGGCCATGGTGCTCCATCGTCATACCGCTTCAAATATTCGACTTGCTCTGGCCGGCGCCGCGCTCTTCTCGTCGGGATAAACTACTTTGGACAAGGAAGGCCGCTAAAGGGCTGCATCAACGATGTAGCACGCATGTCAACGTTTTTAAATCGCTCCTATGGCTATCGTCGCGAGGACATGGTAATTCTCACAGACGATCAGGCGAATCCCATGAGTCATCCGACGAAAGCGAATATGATTCGCGCAATGCACTGGTTGGTTGCGGGTGCGAAGCCGAATGATTCGCTGTTTTTTCATTTTTCAGGTACTATCAAGCATTTTCCTGTTCCTGTTAACGTTCCGACCGTACCCGGTTTTTATCCCTTATTAAGTATGCTCATGCTGATTGGTGAACTTTAGGCCACGGAGGTCGTACTCGGGATTTGGACGGTGACGAAGACGACGGTGAGCATTGACTCAGAACAAAAACTAAAAAAAAATACGATGGGGCGTATGCTAACAGCAGTGCTAGGGTTTGATGAAGTGATATACCCGGTCGACTACCAGAAAGCCGGCCACATAGTCGACGATGAAATGCATTCTATCATGTTAGTTTAGCATCCAACTACTTCTTTAATCTCTACTGACAAGTTCCCTCTCAGGGTTCGTCCTCTGTTACCTGGAGTCAGGCTAACCGCCATCTTTGACTCCTGCCACTCTGGAACCGCCCTGGATCTCCCATTCCAATACTCCACGCAAGTACGTATCACTCCCGTGTTTAATTCCATTAAATAAACTCTGGACCAAAACTCAACGCTAACTGTAATGCAGGGTGTTCTAAAAGAACCCAACCTCGCCAAAGAAACTGCTTTGGACCTCTTAAGTGCCTTCAAAAGCTATGAAAGCGGTGACATTCGTGGCGTAGCTAATACGACAATCGGCCTATTCAAAAAGTTAACCATCGGCGATTCAGCTCGTCAGAAGACGCTTAGGACCAAGACATCGCCGGCAGATGTAATCATGTTATCTGGTTCGAAAGACACACAGACATCGTACGTCATTTCATCGCCATTTTTTTATCCATTTACTTGTTCCAGACTAACGAGTGCGACGTAGAGCGGACACCGTCGAAGGTGGTTCTGCACAGGGTGCGATGAGCTGGGCCTTCCAGGAAGCATTATCCAAGAACCCTAAGCAGAGCTATATACAGCTTCTAAACAGCATTCGAGCAGAGTTGAGCGGCAAATATTCTCAGAAGCCGCAGTTGAGCTGCAGCCATCCTCTAGGTGGGTTCTCTCTTGCGCACCCCCTGATCTTTTACTTCGTGTTTGATGTACTGACATGGTAGCGCAGATACCAACTTACTTTTTGTGATGTAATGAATGATAAAGATAAGATAAGATGGATGCACGGGCCTGTTCTTTGCGAGGACGAGAAGATGGAAGTACGACATTTATGACAAGACATGATATGACTGGAGTTATTGTTTATATTTAATATTGCGTCCTGGTGACACAGTATATATATATGTGCTGACTGGACTAGTTCGCCTCTATTGCTTATTGCTATTCTTATTCTTTATTCCTCGCGTTGCCGGTCTGTATCTGTAGATCGGTATAATATAAATCTATGTACAATTTCTTTTCGCCAAACAACGAAGAATAACCTTAAAAAAAAAAACAGATCTTTCTATACAGTCAGGGGAGAGGGCGATCATCGCATATTAAGCATCATCGCATCCGGGCTCTCGACCATACGACCGACTAGCGCCGCCATTCTAGCCATGGTGGCACCGTCGATGACTCTGTGGTCGGCACTCCAGCTGAAGTTCATCATCTCACCTGCGGCAACTTTACCCTCGGCGTCAAAGACCGGAACCTTTCTCAGCTTGCCGATACCCAGGATGGCGACTTCTGTGGGCACAAGAACAGGAGCAACGACCGTCCCGCCGATGGTACCAATGTTGGAGACTGTGATGGTACCGCCTGAGAGGTCTGCAGGGGTAAGCTTGCCTGCTCTGGCCACCTCACCGAGCCGGGCGAGTTCCATTGCGATATCGAGGATGGATCGAGCCTGGACGTTCTTGATGTTGGGGACTAGTAGCCCCGTGGGGGTGTCCATCGCAACACCAATATTGTGGCTTGCGCGCATGACAAGGGATGGCTTGGCAGGGTTTGAAGTGGTGTCGACTCGTGCGTTGAGAATGGGGAACTGGTTCAAGGCCAGGGAAACTGCCTTGATGATGAAGGGAAGGTAAGACAGCTTAGGCTGGGAGCCGTCCTTGGGAGCTGTTGCGTTGAGCTGGGATCGCATGCGAGACAGGGCGGCAATGTTGAGTTCGTCCGAGTAGAGGAAGTGAGGGATTGTGAGGGATTTGGTCATTGTCTTGAACATCTGGGATTGGATGGGGGTTAGGGATTGGTTGGTCTCGACCTGTGGTGTGTTGAGACCAGGAATTGACGCGGGAGCTGTAGATGTGCCGGCGACAGGGGTTTGGGTCTGGCCTCCCTCAAGGTACCTCTGGACATCTTCCTTGAGCACCCGGCCATGAGCGCCGGTCCCATTGATGAGCGAGATGTCGATGTTGTGCTGCTTAAGCATTCCTCGGACGGCTGGGGTCGCAAACGTAGCGTATTTGCCCTTTGGAGGAGCCTCCACCGTCTCCGAAACCTGTGCTGCTGACGTCTCCGCGGCCACGTCTGCGGACGTCGTCTCTGCTGCCGGTGCGGCTGCCTCTGGAGCCGGAGTCGGAGCCGGCGCAGAGTCAGGATACTTGGCGTCGTCAACCTCGATATCACAGAGCGCCATGCCCGTGGGAACCGTATCGTCCGGCTGGAAGTGCAGCTTCTTGATGACACCCTCATACCGCGACGTTATCTGCAGATCCAACCCTTAGCTTTGTCTCCCTTTCAGTCTCTCCTCACCTGACGAGGGCATACGTACATCATCAATGGCCTTGTCTGACTGGTACTGGCATAGAGGCTTCCACTCCTCGATCCGGGCTCCCTCCTCAACATACCACTGTATGACCTGGACCTCAGTGATTCCTAACAACTGCCGTTAGCCTCTGGCCCAATGGACCGTGTACATAGAGCGGGAGAAATGTACCCTCGCCGACATCCTTGAGAATCTGCGATCTGATGCCCCAGGGAACGGGCGAGCTGTGAAACCGTCTTCGGAAGCGGGAGGTGTATGTGGCGGGCAGACAGACAGGCGGGGAGGAGAGCAGTCCTCGCGACAGGGACGCCCTGTGAACCAGCGATCTCACGGTAGACATCTCAATTGCAGGCCAGCAATGGATATATATATATATGTATGTATGCGTGTATATATATCGGCGTATGTGTCTGGATGTATGTGAATGTCTGGTTTGCATCGACTGGTCAAGGAAAACGAAAGAAGGAAGAAACAAGAAAGAGGAAGGTAAAGCCGATGGTAGCCGCAGCGAGGGAGAGAAAGAGGGGTCACGGGGCCTGGAAAAGCCCTAAGCCCCACCCTATCCCGATCGGGAGGCGGCAGCGACGGCCGACATCCCGAAGACTTAGGGCTTAGGGCTAGATTATGTCATCTTCAACCGTTTCTTGTTTTGGTTCCTGCATGAGGTTAAGTTATGCTTATATGGGAAAAAGTGGCCTTTACACGTTGACCTTGTTTATAACGCAAGCATCGCAGCGATATTACACTAAATAAAAGATGAAACAGCTCGGATCTTGGTGTTTATCAGATCTGGTGAAGCGGCGGCAGGGCTAGCCCGATATGGCAGCTATGATGCAACCCTTAGCTGTTGATCCTCCTTGATGCCCCCCCTCGTCCTTCCGACGCCGACTTCATCTCTTCATCCAGCAGGATACCAATTGACAAGATCGAGAGAGATAGATATAGAACCATGGTCGCCGAACATCTCACTGTCCGCAACCTGACCCGGACGCCGGTCGTCCTCAAGCTGGTCGAGCGCTTCAACCCGCCGGATGCGCCCAAGACGCTCGCAGGCACCTTCACCACCATGATGAACAACATCACAGGCACCCCGGCTGAAGTCGCTGCCATCCAGGATGGGACGGAGTCCTTTGCGCGCAGGGACGTTGACGTTCGCGTGGAGCCCTTCCAGTCTCTGACCAGCGATGTCAAGTCCTTTGACAAGTCGGACAAGGAGCGTATGCGCCTCACCTTCGAAATCGAAGGAGAACGGTACCAGATCCAGGTCCCACTGCCTACCAAGGAGACAATAACCATGAAGTGTCTCTCTCCTGACCCGCGTTTCCACTTCACGGGCGTCTACAACGCTGAACACGCCCACCTGGCCCTCTTTTCATCCGCCAACCTCAGCTGCTGGATGCGTGAGCTCAAGGACGATACCCTGACCTCCGCCCTCTCCATACCGGGAACACACAACTCTCCCACATGCCATGTTGCTCCTCCCTCTGTGCGCTGCCAGGCCGCCAGCCCGCGTGAACAGCTCGATAATGGAGTCCGCTTCTTCGACATACGTGCCCACCCGCAGTGGCCCAACGATGCATCCAAAGACGGGCTACTGCTCGCCCACAGCGTCTTCCCCGTCTCCCTCACCGGCCAAAAGACGTTCAAGGAAATGCTCGGTCAGGTCGAGGAGTTCCTCGACCGTAACCCGTCAGAGACACTCATCATGTCTCTCAAGCGTGAGGGCCCTGGAGATCACAACGACCACCAGCTGGCCAACATCCTAAAGACACATTATGCCAACGCAAAGCCATCACGCTGGTACACTGACACCAAAGTGCCGACGTTGGGTGAAGCAAGAGGTAAAATAGTCCTCGTCCGCCGCTTCGATATCCCGGATCACCTAAAACAGGAACACGACGGTCGAGGCTGGGGTATCGACGCTACCGGCTGGGCTGATAACACTGACTATCACCTCTGTCCCAGCGGCACGATCTGCATCCAAGACTTTTACGAAGTCCTAGAGACAGAGAACATCGAGAAGAAGGTCGGCTTCGTCAACGCCCAGCTCTGTCGATCTGCTGAATCCTGTTACCCTGTTGGCACTCGCAAGCCAGACGGAGACGGGTGCCCATTCTTCATCAACTTCCTGAGCGCAAGCAATTTCTGGAAAGTGCAGACTTGGCCTGAGAAAATTGCTGCGAAGCTCAATCCAGCCACGGTCGATTATATCTGTCGCTCTCACAAGGCGGACAAAGGTGACTGGTCGACTGGTATTATCGTTTGTGATTGGGTGGGCAAGGACGGAGACTGGAATTTGGTCAGATGCATTGTTGGAATGAACTCCAAGCTGGAAAAGAATTAGATTTTGTCTCTCTCCATCCGTTATGGTCGTATGATTATTTTTTTTTTTTACTTTTTCCCACCTTTGAACTCGTTTTTCTTATCTGGGCTGGTGGATGGTGGGTATTGTACAGGTTGTGTCGGGCAGGAATGAGGTAATGAGGTAGGACATAGGTATTCAAACATCTGTTACATATACTGTCACATATATTATACAAGTTCTATCCAACAACACACTTATTATCGTCTCTACTTCTGCTCTGACTGTTCCTCCTTTTTGCCGCCATTCTGCTCTTCTTCCATCACGCTCCTCCGACTCTCAAGAGTAAGATAGACGTTATTCCCAGCACTCTCCAAAGTTCTCGCCAGTCCGGAGCTGACGCCTTGCAGCATACCGACCAATCTAGCTCTCAGTCCTCCTATTCCACCCTCAATGCTGCCAACCCATTTCGTCTCGTCAGCGTCAAACAGCTTTCCTTCCACTCGGGCACCCAACAGCATCAACTTCTGTAGTCCAGCCTGAGTAGTAAGGTCGTATAGGCCAGGATTCGCCTTACGAGGAGGCGGAGGGAACAGACCGCTCTTGCCTGTCGGCGCCAGTATAGAGAACGCAGCACGTAGATGGTCCGGCGATACAGAAGGGAACGAAAGGGTAGCAATCGGTCCCACAAGCAGAGTAGAAAATCCGTGTTGTCCACGTTTAGACAGCACAGCTCTATAAGCGGAGTAGGACAGATCATGCGTTAATCGAGGATCTTCCTTATCCAGTATCGGTCCCTCTCCTCCAAAAGCAGCAGTGTCCGGACGGTAGAAATCCACCACTCTCATGGCTGTTTCGTATATAGACGTCTGGATGATCTGTAGCTTGATAGCGTCCGCAATCGCTGGCTCGGAACTACCCATTGCGGCATTCTTTTCGTCAACTTTACGCAATGCCTTGGTCAGTTCGCGACGGATGTTGGCCCATTCGGTGGATTGTAGGTTATTATGCTGGAAGTAGATGATCAATGGCATCGTTCGTAGGATCGAAGCGTATTGCCGGTGGAGTTGGGATTTGCGATATTCGGGGCGTCGGTGGGAGAGCGGTTGGAGGACTTCTGGTGACATCGAGGTTGCGGCGGCGGATGGTGCAACGGAGGCCATTGATCTTGACCTGGTGAAGGCGGATATGGATGCTGTGAGGGATTGTATCTCATGCTGGAGGAGGGTATGAGGTGTTCTCGTTCTCTGGGCTAGAGATTGAAGACTTATTCGTGGAGGCATTGTGGCTGGTAGAGGGCGTGCTGCAAGTAGGTAGCGGTTGTATTCTATACTGCGGTATATGATATATACCTCTGGTGCTTGAGATTGCACGTCAGAAGTCGCCGGCGCAGCTTGATGGGTTTGCTAAGTTCTTGCAACTCGACGAAGTTTGAAGTTAAACTTGCCAAATCCAGAAAATATTTCCGGAGTGGAATTACTATCCTCCGCTAGAACTTTATTAGTCATCAACGCTAGTTATAGTTGATTGGTCAGTATTTTAAACGGCGACACCGCAAGAGAGCGGCTAGGGCGCTTATTGATTTACTGAGTAGGCTTGCCATATCATCGATACCCCTAGAGTTGTTGCGAGAGACGGACAACTACATACATATATGGCCCAGTCTATTATCTGATAACTTCTTCTATAATATTGTGAACCAACTCGGAAATCCTAACTTCATATACATAACCTCTTCGACGACAAACCATTCCGCTTAAAGCGCTTTAATCTGCCTTAAAATGTCTTATGTGAGCTGGCAATGATACGGCACGAATTTTTATTCAGCACTAATCTCATCGATCAAGTATCTGAGCAAGCCTATGCTCAAGTTCTACTACGATGAGATCAAAAAACCTGGATCCATGAAGAGCACCGTCAACAACTTCTGGAACAACGCCCTCCTCCACTACTTCACACAGGAGAAGTTTTACGGGATCGAGCAAGACCAGTGCCAACTTGATGGAACCACCGACGGTTGCGCTGATTTTGCCATTCGACGTATCAATAACGGCGAGTCAAGGAAAGTTGTTCTAATGAAGAACGAGACACAAGCTTATCATTGGGGTGAGGCTGTTGAGCAGCTTACCCGATACCTAAAGCTGGTTCGTGCCGAACAGGGAAGCAGTCACGTTCTGTACGCTGCCATTACTATCGGGACTTACGCTCGCTTCTACTACCTCGAGCCTCAAGAGCAGACCTTAGCTGATTATCCAACCACGCGCACCGGAGACTTCTATGAGCTTAAACTCAACGAGGATGAGATCCACAATGTATTGAGCGAGTGGGTTGAGAAAACTAGTCACTAAGTTGGAGCTGGACAGGTGGAGGTGTTACAATGTGGGAAAGTAGGGACAGCTTCCGTTTACCTACCTACCCAGAGGTATCTTTCGAATGCGCGGGGTGTCGGCACGGAAATATAAGTGTCCCGAAACCTATAGTTTTTAAGGTCCAAGGTTCCAATTAGGCCCGTCCCTAAGGTAAGTAGCTACTTACGTAGTTGGCATCAACGTTGGCTCTATCCCCAAAGCTACACCATACACTATTTCAGATCCCTTCCGGTCGACATACACTGTTGACAGTATCCTTACTTCTTCCTTTTGATATTAAGGATCTTAGATCTCAAGGTGGCTTACCTTGTTGAATCTACGTACTACAGCTATGACCGGGACAATGAGCCCTGATATATTCAGCTGTGTTATTTGTGGCTACTCCATCTGGAGCGAGGAAAGGTCGTATTGGTTGGAAGAATTTCGTGCTGGTGCGTTGCAACTTCAACCATTTTATGCGTATCAAGGAGTTGAAGCTCATACTTAGTAGTCTACTCCAATGCAAAAGGCACATTCATCTCCAGTGTTGGCCGCTACTATAATCCACATAGAGGCTGGAGAGCCTCATCGGATAGTATGGTTCGCTGGGATGATGCGGGCGATGCCTCCCAGCATTCCGATGTGATTCCAGTTATTCGACAGGTCAATTAAAATGGCCTGCATGGTTTTGTTACGCACAACATGTGCTAGAAGATTTTGCAAAAGTTTTACGAGCCTGATGATGTCCCGCTTGAGCGGCTTCTTGAAATCTGCAGGCCTCTTCCCCAGTGTAGCGCAGGTGTTTGGTTGGGCCATGACTACAGCGGGCTGATAATATTGGATACTAAGAACCATTACCCATGGGAAGGCAGGGTGACAGGGAGGCGCAACATCCTCCTACCATGTGCCGAAGAGATCCCGTACGATATCGCGGAGATGTCCAGTCTATTTATGCTTTCCTCCAATCCTCCCAGAACACCCGAGGCGTCAAGATCTATACCAATGATAGGAACAAACAGAGACTGCTTTGCAACACTTCCTTGGGAGCTTATTGAAGCTATATGCGTCAACCTATCGGTGCCAGATATATTAAGCTTAGTGAGAGCTTCAAGGTCTTTCCACCCTATTCTCACCAGCCAAACGTTTTGGGCTACTAGGTTTGAACCTGGCAAAGACCGCGAATTAATTTTCGAGAAATGGAACTCCAAAGAGAACAGAGACTGGATTAAGTTGTATCAACTTACGAATCGTTCATCAAGTTCACCAGGACTGGAAAATCGGAGGCACATATGGGATTTAGTCCGGGAATTTGCTCCCTCTCTAGACTCGTCCCTGGATAAATCTCACGAGCGTCCTCTATCAAGTAATATCTATGACAAAAGCCATGAAGTAACTGCAGAGATTCTACCAGACCCTACTTTGAGTATTGGGGGGTTCTTTAATCAGGGCTGTTTGCTGTTTCACAAACAGCACACCGCTGTTCCTCCTAATCTTTCGGGTGTTGCCTTTTCAATCACAGCAAATTACATAACCGGCATACGCTTGATGTCCCGCAGCCAGGAGGATATTTGCTTAGGCTATATAATCAAAAACAAGGAGACGGCTCTTGAGGTGACAGCTATATCTGGATTTATTCTAGCAGTCGACTCTCGAGGAGTACGGGCTATCCGTGCCATTGACGGCAACGGAAATGAGTCAAGATGGTTTGGTAACCCAAAAGACACGCCAATCACAAAACGTTTGACGGGCTTTAAAGTTATCACTGCCTTGGAAATAGGTGTTGATGTAAGTGAAGTGATTTTTCTCCTTCCCACAACTATTGCTAACGTCTCATATTACAACAGGGATATAAGATAATCAGCATTGCAGCTGCTGAGTATCAACCAACAGTACAGGAGAAAACACTACGGCTTATGGCTTTATGGTATCCCGCTGTGCCCAGCCCAGAGTTAAACTTGAACGACCAATATTTCACCGGTGAGGATCCCCTGACCGGCTACCGACCCCTGGCTTGGATTCATTTTGGAGGTCCTCAGGGATGTTACCTCCGAAACATAAAAGCAGTCTGTGTTACTCGACAAGGGAACACATGCTGCATTGAGTTTGAGTATGACATAGACCTGCCGGTAGAGATACGCAAGCTGGGTCGCCGCAAGGTCATAGACTATTATAAAACTGCTCGATTCGAGATAGATGGTCGTGCTGGAGAATACATCACCGAGGTTGCTGTCAGCACTCTACACAAGAGCGAAGGAAATGTTTACCGATATCGGGGGTTGGAGACACTGAGCTCTTTCAAGGTTGGTAAGACACTCACTGTGGGGTGGACTAATCATGATTTATTGATGAGGTGTAGATTACCACAAACCACGGGAGGTTAGCACATTTCATATCTGAAGATGTGACAAGTAATCAATTGGCCATGGCACCACTATCGGTTGAGCCGGGCACTACAGTAACAGGCTTTTATGCGAGCCAGGTGCGTCTAGGCCTCCCTTGAAGGTGCAACTCGCGCTGACTGGTTAATAGCATCCACAGCATGGGTTTATTAGCCTGGGAGTCATATCTGAACTTGTTCCTATGCACAGCCACAAGTGAGAAACAGGGATCGGTGATCCTTAACCGTAGCAATTCTATGTCCAGCAGATAATCAATATCAGCTTGGTTACCTCTTACTTACATCCTCCCCTTTAAACAATATATAAGTACGATCACCTTAGTCATCCGATTACTCATCACTGAGTCATCTGAGGGGCTTTTATTTCTTTTTCTCGCTCTTGAAGCGGGAACAGACTAAATATTGAGGCAGAGAAGAGAAGAAGCTTGCATGCAGACTTATTTATAGGAGACCAACAGGGGATGAGCTGAGCTGAAGATGCATCGCCGGTCCCGCATCCTCCTCCTTCACTGAAATAAAACACCGGGCTTCAGAATAATCAGCAGATAACCAGATAAACACCACATCAACCATGGATACATCAAGAGCACAAGGTACAGAGCCTGAGAAGGTCTCGATCTCGCCGTTGCTCAAGCGTCTGGCGTATCCAGATGCCACTTGCATTAAGGCGTCTGCCGGTGAAATTGCTGCTGCCTTTGCACTCATCTTCGAGGACAGGCTGTCGGCGATTCAGACTGCGGCATTGCTCACACTTCTACACTCAACGGGGCTGGATAAGGACCCTGATGTCATTGCTCAATGTTCCCACCGGATGAGAGAAGCTGCCACACCAACGGAGAAAGGGCCGTTGCTTGAAGTGCTCGAGAAACGTGGGCGAAAAGAAGGATCGTACAATGGCGGGCTGGTATGCCATTGAGAGACTCTAATGACCAAGATTGACAGTGAACGGCATGCTAACAGTTTTATGTGTCGAATCAGTGTGACATCGTTGGAACTGGCGGCGACCACCACTCCACGTTCAACATTTCCACGACTTCCTCCATCGTCGCATCACCCTTCCTTATGACCGCTAAACATGGCAACAGGGCCCAGACATCATTCTCTGGGTCCGCAGATGTCCTCATGCACGTTGCTCCTACCGCACCAAAGATCGAAGCTGTCAACTCGGGGAACCTGGCCAAGGTTCTCGAACAAACTAATTATGCCTTCCTATTCGCTCCTGTCTTCCATCCTGGAATGATGTATGCCAATCCAGTCAGGAGAGGGCTGGGTCTGAGGACCATATTCAACCTTATGGGGCCCCTGGCCAACCCTGTCGACTGGGCAATTGAAGCTCGAGTCGTCGGTGTAGCGTACCAAGCTCTTGGACCTGTGTTCGCTGACGCTCTCCGCCTAAGTGGCGTGACCAAGGCAATGGTCGTGTGTGGTGAAGAAGATCTGGACGAGATAAGTTGTGCCGGCAAAACAAATGTCTGGAGAATCGTTGAATGTGATGCTTCCGAAGCTACTCCAGTCACGCCGACTCAAGCGTACGATGAGGAAGGAAACGAGCGTGTGCTGAAGCCAACCAAAATCGAAAAATTCTCAGTTGAGGCTGCGGACTTTGGCCTGCCTGCTCACCCGCTGTCAGAAGTTGGTGGTGGTAAAGGGCCACAGGAGAATGCAGTCAAGTTAATCAGCATCCTACGTAACGAGTTGCCTCGGGACGACCCTGTCTTGCACTTTGTGTTGATGAATGTTGCTGGACTCTTGGCTATATCTGGAATCTGTGAGGCTGACACCAGCAACATGGGCCCCGGAGATGACGGTAAGGTGGTCACCGAACGCGGGCCTGGTGGGCTCAGATGGAAGGAAGGCCTGAGACGTGCCCGCTGGGCCATCGAGAGTGGCGAGGCATATAAATCCTTCGAGCAATTTATCAAAGTGTCCAACACATTTTAGAGGATACCATTTTGATAGATATGGAAAGAGGCTGCCATTTTTTCTTTGAATTTGATCTTGCACTTATTGTTTTTTAGATCTGTCCTTCTTCCTAATAATTATGTCATTTGGTATATCTTTTTCATGCTCTTCTTTGCTGCAAAGAACATAAATAGAACAGTTCATTCTACTGCTCTAGTAGTCAAATCACAACGTCAGTCATGGGATGAAACGATAAGAAGAGAAATGAAGATATTAGAAGGCCTTGGATAGAAATAATCTAGCGTTTCTGCAGGAAAAGCTTTTGATCTCCGACGAAGACCCTGTCCACTTTTTCCAAGTTAAAGTAAAAAAACACAGCTAATGCCGGCCCTGACACCTATATCCCCGCGCGCCCAATTTGAAAGGAAGTCGTCATAGTAATCGCGGTAAAACGCAGTCTATCGAGCTTGGAATTGCACCATTCTAAAGAAGAAAAATGAGTTAGTTATTTGAAGCGCAAGTCTAGCAGCCGGATCAGATGACTCACCTCTTCGTTCTCTCTTTGTACAGTACTCGATGGCCACATTCCTTGCATCGGATTTGGTCATTTCGCTTCATCGATACACGGGAGCTGCAGTCTCCGCAAATATAGACAACGGATAGTACTTCATTGCCGGTGGCTGCGGCAGCTGTGCTTGCGGATGTTGGGCCCTGCTGGGAGAGCGAGGGGACTTGATAGGCTTCTCTGGACATGCTGTAGGGTATGAAGGTGCTTGCTTGTCCGCTTTTTGAGAGAAGATGGTGCGATTTCTTTCGTGTCTGCTTGTTGGTTTCTGTAGATGTTTTTGCATGGAGAGAAAAGGAAAAACTACATTTAATTACATAATCAATATATAATCACGTGATATACAAAATTCAATTAGGCAAGCAGACACAACGACGAGCAAAGAAGTTCAACATCTTTGATTTGTATAGGAGACTATAGAGATATATATGTCTATATCTTAACCACATATTACCTTGGGTAGCCTGCTTCCAACCTGCTAATATCAGCCAATACCAGGCTATTCCATACATTCGTCCTTGTTGCAAGAAAAATCACGGCAGATTTGTACCCAGCAATCTTGACTGGTACATCCACCGTCCCTACAATTCTCCCCACAGCAACTGTCCTCATGGGGTTGATGATCGCCATTACAGTTAGGTCTGAGACAATCATCACAATCTTCTGCAACGTAACCGCATGTACCACACAGTATTCCCCATCGGTGGCCATCTTCGCAATCCGGAATGCTGCGCTGGCCGTCAGCACTGCGAGGCCTCACCTCATGCCCGACCATTAGGTTCTTATTAGAGCTATCAGCCTCATTTGGAGCTTCGTGTGAATCGGCATCTCGTTCAGAATAGTCATCCGATGATGTACTAGAGCCTGGAGGCCAGGGAGCAAGCACACACTCACTCCTATCTGACTCTGCACTTCCATTGAATGCACTAACACACCACTCAAAGTTCCAAACACCTGGAACCAGGAAATATTGGTCACTGCAAGGCATCGTCTCCGTACCATTGGTCTTTTGGAACTCATTATCTGGCTCATTCACGTTACGGAACCAAAGCTGGTAGCCCGCTGCAATGGGAGAGCCAGTCCAACTAAGATGAGCTGAAGTGGCATCCTTGGCGATAATGCTCAAACCGGTAGGTATTGGTGGAGTGCCACGGCCGATAGTGACGCTTTTCACTACCTTGGGGAACCCTCCACCAGCATCATTCCATGAGACAATGGCAACTTGATAGTGATGCCCTGGAATAAGCCTGTCTACATGTGCTGGAGATTCCTTGAAGCCTGCACTAGTGATAAATGCGTGTACTTCATCTTTATCCCAATACAGGATTTCATACTCTGTGACATTAAAATCACCAGTAGGAGAATCCCATGAGATGTCGAATCCAGTAGCCGTAGCTCGGGTCACCACATTATCAGGGCCAGGAGGCGTCCTGGGAGTTGACTTCGCTGACTTGATGCTTGTCCACTTACTCTTTAGTGAATTCCCTGCGCTTGCACGAACTTGGACTTCATAGACCCAACCTTCTTGGGTCCATTGGGCATCCCATCGATTAGATGAGACTCTGCTAATCCGGAATTTGGTAATTCCAGAGATCCTAGACCTGATATCGTACCCAACTGCGCCATACACTAAGGCTTAGTTAATGAGATATCCAGGACCTGGAGCAGATATGAATGTTGACACGTACCTGCATCCCAGGAGGCAGTGACGCCCCCAGGGCTGGATGCTACTTTGAAATTCCCTGGACATGGCAAGGGTCGAGGTGGGATATCGCTAGGGATTGCCAGCGGGGAAGTACCAATCTTGAAGTCTTTAACGAGAGCAAGTGAGAATGCGCGTGCGATTTCGTACTCGCCCTTAGCATTCGGATGGAGGCCATCGTAACCTGCGGGGCAGCCACTGGGGCTGCAGCTGTAGTGCTCACAGATCTCAACGAGGTGAATAGGGGAGTCATCAGTACTCCATCGTCGAATAGCATGACGCAATAAGTCATTGTATTCTCGCGTGATACGAGGCAAGTCCTCGCGCCCAGTGATAGCCACGCGTTGAGGAACATCTGATATAGCAAATTTAAGGCTCGGATTGACTCTACGAGCATTATCGACTAACATTTTGATGCTGTCAAGGGTTCTCAGGGCATCACTATGGAGCCAACCCAAATCGTTGAAGCCCAGCATCAACAGCATTAAATCGGCCGGATGAGAAGTGAGAACGTCCTCAATCAAATATTTATCAGCGACCGCCGTGCGGCCCCAGACAGCGAAGTGGTGACTATCAAAATCCGACGAAACACCGAGAGCATAACCACCGTCTACCTTGACGCCCCGGATAGGTTTAGGAGAGCCATAAAGCGGCGGTGGTGAGGGTGGCCTGGGGCTATCAGGTTGAACGGTGCCAGTGTAAGGCCCAACAAAGGTTGTAGCAACTTTCTGGTCACGAAACCACTGCCAAATGCGATATCGCCAGGTCCAGTCGCCCTCATGGCCCTGGGATATGGAGTCACCCACTATCATGACCCTGAGGCTGGTGCTAGAGCCTGACATCGTGGAAGATCTTTCAGTATTTTCGCCGCCAACGGTGAGTTTGGTCTGTAGAGCACCTGGTCGAGGGTATCATAGCTGTGAGTGCTGGCCTTATCACTCGGCAGACTAGGGAGGTTGACGTTGACAAAACAAGAGGATTCAAAATCAGACCAGCATCTGAATGTAAAGATTTAGTTTGACTTGGTGGAAAAAGAGAAGACCCGACACTAGTGGGAGCGTACCACACATACTCCCGTACTATGTACGATAGAACTTCGGGACACTTACAAAACGTCAGGGGTTTAACCAATTATATACAATGTTAAATATCTTAGGCATTTAGTTTACTACGAGGCACAGGACATAGAGCAGGAATTAGTTATATCTGAATCTATCAAGACTTCCGCCCTTCAGCCAAAAAGGGTGTGCTATCGCCGGCTCCGAGATACCAACACGGCGCCAGTACTTCGAAGTTGTTAACGCCTCTCGATGCTCTGGTCTCGTCGTCTTCGAATGGAACGAGAATATATTAGTAGTAATTATGAGGTAAATGTAAGCTCCTGTTTTCTGCAAGACGAATGTCATGAACGATGGTGAAAATGTTCCTTGTATTTTGATACGTTCCAGCTTGTAAGAATATATTGTCACAGTACATGAAACATACTTTATCTAATTAACATGCATAGAATCGCCTAAGTCGAGTTAGTATGAATAATCATCTGGAAGAAGGGTTTAAGCACATACTATATAAAAGGCAGACAGGAGTTAAACACGAATAGTAGTGAGAGCCTGCAGACACGGCGGTGGATAGATTGAGCTATGTAGCCAGACTTTGTTTCCAAAACAACCAATCCTGTCAGCTAAGGTTGCCTGGATAGGCCTTGGTTGGGTTGAAAGTGTGATGATATTTATGATAGTTGACATGATGCCGACTGATGTAGCTAATACTACTCACGTGTCTTGTATACATCACTACATCAATGCGGTCACAAATCCTCAAATTATTAACTTCGGCAAATAAAATCTCGAGAAGATGACTTTCTCATCCAACACTATATGTTAAACCCAACGTCGGGAAAGGCTGGTTTCTCGAAGGGCAGATGTGTGAGAAAGCTGGCAGCGAAGAGAAGAAGAGTAAATTTGTCCCTATTAAGACTCGCGTCAGGTTATGGTCTGGTGATTCTTATGGGACGTTAGGCCTTTTTGTCCATTTTGGCCCAGCGGTTAATCTCTCATAAGTTTCCTCGGTATGGAAATGCCATCGTGTTGCTTGTTTAATATTGTCTCAATGAGATTTCTGACTGAGAAATAGCGGTGATAGGCCTACTTCTCAACGTATGGTGTGTCTTAATTATTCGGGGTACTGCAAGTCCTGGAATAGATGAGAGTATTTCCTCAGAACCGTGACAATAGCAAGCAGTTCCTTCTTGTAGGTGTGGTATTTCCGCTTCGTAGCCTGGGTTCTGGGCTTTTATCCCTCACATACTTGGGGAGAGTCCCAACCACGCATCCTCAGCCTTATCGGAGGTTTCGTATATATACATATGCTCATCAGGCATACAAGTATATAAGAGGTGCAGCGACTCACTATGGCTTCAGCCATTACTGTGTTTCTTTTGGTCGATTGGTATTATTGCTGCCCATATCCTTTACGCCAATTCTTATGATTGCTCTTTGAGCTACGACGGTGTTCCTCTTTGCGTAGCGTTGGATGGCACAATCGTAGAAGAGTTATGGAAGCCGTGTGGAGGAAAGTTAGTTGGCAGAATAGGCATCCTGGGTATCATGTCAGAGAGATTTTCCGTATATATACAAAGGTAAAAAGTGAAGAATTATTACGGAGTGAAGTTTCACATATAAAAAATAGTTAATACATAAATACGTCATAGAGTCACGTGTCTCACCAGGCTGGAAGGATCAAATATTATCCGTGATGCGACGACTTCAGCCCCTTTTTTATCATGAACATCGAGGATAACAACATAGAAGGTTGTATTCCTGATGTGCGGAAAGCTAGATCTACTTATGTACTTGGTATATAGATATCATACCATGAAAGATGAGCTGTAGAGTGCATCTCTTCTTAAAAATTTCTATTTTGTACGTTATATCCGTTCAGTTAGAGGGCCATCCAGCCTAGCCAAAGCATCATCAGCTTGACATCAACTTCAAGCTCTTTATCTTCACCTTGATCATGACTTTGAGAATAGGAAAATAGCACATGCAGTGCCATTATTTTGCCTGCCGTAGCTATGGATCGGGCTTGCTGCAACTTTAAGATACCCGGACAGCCCCTTCCTAGGCATTGGGCTATAGAAAACCCTGATATTCTTGTCCAGCCGGCAAAGCCTTGAATAATATGAAATATTCCAGGCCTGCTGCTGTTTTTGCATTGTATTCTATCGCCAGACACTCAAGAAAAGAGATACATATTCTATTTATAGGTCTTCACCATACTGCTCTTTTACGCTATCTCTTATAGTCGTCACTCCTTCCGGTGCTATTGCAGGTTTATTACACAATGAATTACGGACAAGCTGGACTACTTTATACTCCTCCCCCAAGGCATCAGAGTAGTATTCATTTCCGCCAAGGATATAATCAATCACCCTTCCCCCCAAGAAACTACTGGCATGGCCCGTCACGGGGAAGTTGGAACCGCCAGATTCCTCGCTACCGTAGGCATAATCATCCGCAGGTATTCATGCGGCCGGTTTTGTCTTACCCTTCGACCTCTACGAGACATCGCCATCATGGGCAGAATGGAAACTGGGAGCGCTGGAGACAAAACCCATACACGTCTGCACCAGGATTATTGCCTTCATCGTTCCACAACCACTCCTCCGATCGGTACAACATTTCGGCCCCCCAGAGAAGGGTTCCACGAGTGGTGCCAAATGACAGGCAGGAGAAGGCATTTAGCGAGATCATGAATGGAGCGTTTGATTTGAAACGATCACCCATGTGCCTGGGGAAGAGACTGGCAAACATTGATACCACACCAGCTTCAACTTGGCTGTTACAGCAACACGGCTCTTTTGGCGCCCGGAAACTGGGGAAGCGAGCTGCGTCTTCTCAAATCACACCTCCCGTTGAGACTTACAAGAAGGCCAACTCTTCCTCGTCTGGTGGAAGCAACCAAAGTGAAACAGTTTCAACTAGACTTGAATGCGACAGTAGAGCCCTGAATCCAGTCTCCGTGGAACTCACAAATCTCGCCCAGTTAATCCAACAGAATACAGAGCAGTCAACAGAGCTGAAGGAACTCCTATCCAGGTACTTGAGCCTCAAACAAGAGGAGTTGAGCAGCCGCCAAAGCACTGATCGTGGCTCTAACCGGACACCGGAACAATCCGAAGATAATGGAGGCATGTTAAGTCCTGGCCCACATGTTGCAAATGGAGGTGGTGAAAGCCCAGATCCCCCACATGGCAATAGGGATGCTTTCAAGGGACACATGATAGACTGTGTCGAGGTGACTTCAGAGTCAAGGACTAATTCTGATGTCGGAACTAACTCTACTAAGGCAACTTCAGTAGATGTAGAGATTTTTGGTAAGTCATAACCAGCATTTGGCCAAATATCTACCATTTCTTACCTGTACATGCCAGACCCTGCCTGTTTCCTCGAGTTATTTCCAGAGAAGCCCCTCATAAGGCCCATGAATACAGTTCAACACCGTCCCAGCTCCAAGAACTCCATATCTTCTGAGAGTTCGGAGGAGCGTAAAAACCGCTTTGAGCGTAGCCCTAAGTGCACAAACAACAAAACACGGGTATCCTCTTCGATGGAGGCTGAATGTCGCCGTAGAGCAGGGCTATGCCGAGGGGCACCATCACCAGGCAATAGCCCATCTGGAAAGCAAATCGAATTCGAGTTTGTAAGTATATCATGTTTAAGACTTCAAAAATATTTATCGATACTAACCGCCGACTCGTAGTTTCCAAGATCTCCATCTTCAGGAAGCCTAGCCGGCTCATCTACCAACGGAGATGGCCATCCACAGCCGGTGGTAAGTCCGATGTCTCGATACTCACCCAGACGCCCGTTATTAATCTCGAGCACCGGGTCTTCCCCCTTGATTGGAGATCGACATATCGACCCATGCATATCTTCCGAGTTCGTGTTGCCCTATTATGCCCGTTCTCAGTTAAGAGAACGTTCCTATCAATCCTGGGGCAGCAGTCCACAGTCCCCCTGATTTTTTGTGCAGTATCCGAAGGCGCTCTTAGGAGGCAACCCATTCAGGATGGAAACCGAACACGCCTTGCCCTTCTTTTTAGACCAGTTACCCATTTCTACTATTCTTATGCCACTGCTTATTATTTGCTGTGGAAGCACATTCCTTTTGAACTTGTAATTCGACGTTAGATATAGACCGGCAACGAAGAAAATTGTCTCTATTCTACTGTAGAATTGATTTTATATCCCCTGCGTCCACGCACCGCATCCACCTAACCATTGATTTCCCAGTTTACCCAAGCCTCAATGCAAAAATGTTATACATGGTATGGTATGCCACGCTTAAATAACAAATTCTAGATGCAATATTATATTCGTAAAACAGAGTCCATGAAACACCGACCTACCATCCACCGCCAGCCTTGCCAGCCAGCTCCGCAACACGAGCGGTGTCCATGCCTCCGGCCGGGCCCTTTTTCTTCCCTACATCGCTTTCCACTTTCCGGTAAGTAGTATAAACAAGATCCTCGAGGGGTACTTCCACCATATCGGACCAATACTTTAGCACGGAATGAATCTCATCTGACAAGGATACACTCCCCGGAACGGCAGATTGACCGCCATCATTCTGACCCTCATCATCCGAGGAATCCGAATAATACGCTTCATCGACACGGGCAAGCCAGGCCCGTTGATCTTGCGGCGTCGACTTTTGACCGTTTTGAGCCACGTTCTCCGACAGTGCTGAGTTAGCTTGTCTAGCGTCTTCAAGTCGAATCTGGCCTCCACCATTCGTACATCCGCCCGGACAAGCCATAACTTCAACATATGCAAACTCAGATGGAGGAGCAGGAGTTGCAGCCTTTCCATTTGCCAATGGTGACGGTCGTGTTCTTGCCCCGTTAGGGTTGGGCTGGATGACCCTTGAGCCTGGTAGTCTCGAGGTTCGAGCAGGCTTTAACTTGCGTACGAGATTCTGGATGTTTCTGAACCCGTAGTATCGCGCTGCTTTGATTATTGGATCGCCTGTTGCTGAAACGAGGGTATATTCGACTACGTCTGCGTTGCGGCCTCGTTGGGCTTGGATTATGCTGTTCGGGTGGCGGGATTGATAGGTTGTTAGGAGGTGGTGAAGGTATCCGTCGGATGGGCCGGCGGCGGACGATTGCGTAGAGCGGAAGGCATTGGCAGAAAGAAAGCGGGAGACCGTCTGGTCCGGGAACGGGGTTGAGTAGTGTGCTGGTAGTGGCTCGAGTGGAAGGGATGAAAGAGTGATGTTTCGGGAAGATGCGAGCATAAGCAACTCTTTGGATGTAATAACGCAGTCGACGTCTCTGATGGGCGAACCGGATTCTTCCATAGTATTTGATTCATTTCTCCAAGAAACATCCGTTAACTCCTGTCGACTTGCTTCGAGTTTCTTATCGAAACAAGGCATTATCGCAAGATGCCATATCTGTGATGGCGATATGTTGAGTTTCCTGCTTATAATAGTTTTGAGAAAGGTCCCCGTCAATGCCTGTGGTGACTTCAGACGTGATAGGTGAGGTAGGACATGTGGATGGGTTTTCTCCGCATAACAAATCCACCCAGGACAAGACGAGGTGAGAATAGGTCTGTTAGGGATGGGGAATTTTCCATGCCCGTCTCGAGACGACGTAGATGAGGCGGCGGCTAGTGATTCAGTAACTTCGGCCGTGCTGAGTTCCAACACTGCCTGGCGCATGATATTGGTGTCAACGACCCACGTAAACCCACTGCCATGTTGTCCGCCCGCTCTCAGTCCACTAGGCCCGCTGAGAAGCTGCTCGATCATATATCCTGCCTTCTTCTCTGATATACCGTACGTTGCAGCCAAGCTGGCCCGGACCTGCGGGCTCACACTGGCAACAAATATCTTTCCACATCCAGCTCCATCTGCGCTGCCGATCCGTATCTCGGGACTGGCATCAAGTGTATTTAATACCTCCGCATGCGACTGTAGCGAGACCAATACCGCTTCAGCAGACGTAACGCATCCCGAGCATGCCAAACAATCCGTGAGAGAAATCTGAGCTGGTGGGGGGTTCTCTTCTTCGAGCTTATCTTCCGTGGTCACTTCATACAGATTCTACAAGGAACATGACCTGGTCAGTCGAACACTCGAGAGAATACAAATCGGATAGCTTACCTCTTCCTTTTTTTTTGGCAACGTTTCAACAGGTTTAATGCATGCAACTCCCGGCGAGATGAAGTCGTTCAAATCATCCGCAGAAAGAATCGCGCTCATGTTGACTCATTGACAGGCCCGAATAACCGCCACTGCGTATAGCCTACTTCACCAGGCCGGTAACTATTAACGTGCAGAAGGACGTAGTATACGGCCGTTTTATGAGAAAAGAAAAGCTGTATAATATCTAATATGCGGGTTGGCGGCGTTTCTTATCTGATGGCGTTATCGGGAAGAAAAAATAGTTAAGCTTTGGCCAATAAGATGTGGAAAATAATAAGCGCGTTAGTAAGCGCAATTTTATACTGTGAGGCTCAGTTAGAAGACACCAACCGGCGGGGAGAAGATGCTGTGGGAAATCTGCCATGTCCAAGGTACCCGGCGAGATGCTGAGCAAGTGCTGGCCCACCGTGGGTCAGCCCCAGGCTGCTGGAAGGATAAGGCGGGAAACCAGGTGTTATCGATGAGATACTAGATTAGGCAGAAGCATTAAGTTAGGTATAGGGTAGTCGGGTATCGATATTTTATTAATTATTGTAGTTAGCTACACATTTTACAATAATTGGGAGGCACTGGTAAACCTAGGATATGGAGAAGAAAAGGAGGTATGTGTCTTGTAATTTTATAATTACCACGTCCGCAAAGGGTCCCAGCCCCTATGAATAAAGTATGCTGTTTTCAAATCCCAGATTGGTATGCCGAGGACCAGTGATAGGGCAAAACATCGAGTAATGGCAAGCTGAAGAGACGGCGTGGGGCAAGTAACCAGAAGCAATAATGGGATAATGGAGATGCCAACACTGCATATGGCAATATCGGACCACGGGTCTACCAATACTGCACCAATCATGCTAAGCGAGAAGTAAGTATTGAAGGCCATCGAATGGTCAAGAAGTCGGGATTAAGTGACTTACAGGCACAAAGTTGTGAAGATAAGAGTAAGCCTACTGCCAAGTGCGGTGGCTATTGTCTTCTGTCCTACATCAGCATCTGTGTGCTGATCTGTATATGCCCCCATTGCATGGAACGCAGAACCGATGAAGAAGATGAATAGACCGTTGCGCAAAACATCGCTGGAATAGTGCGTTAGGTCCTTATCACCACTGCAGACGTATCCGCACGCCCATGCCGCCCAGCAAGCTATACCGTTGGAAAACGAGTCTATGACGGGCCTTTCTTTCAACCGCAGTGGTGGCGCCGAGTATGTCCAGGCAATCAGTAGGGTTAACGCCATGTATCCCATAACTAGAGGTGACCGAAGAGCAGCCGGGAGCGTGAGAAGGAGAACGAGGACGGATGCGACTTTAGAGGCAGAGAGGACAAACTGATGATCAGCCTTCTGCAGACGAGCACCATCAACCCATGTATCCTTTTTGCGAGGGTTCAGCATATCAGAATCGTGGTCGTAGACATCATTTACTCCAAAAAGGACTATACATATATTAGCGAAACAGCATGTCTTGAACCAGCGCATGTGGTGTATACCTATGCAGAGAGGGAACGAAAACGCAAGGGCGAGTAGTATCCCCGGCAGAAGCTCAGGATAGCTACCGGAGTGTATGATGCCTAGAAAGTAGGTGGAAGACACCAGTAGGCAGCCTATAGGACGACTGACCCTGGCAAGAAGGCGAACCCGTTCAAGGACCGCCATGAAGGAGTGTCAAAATGTAGGTCGAATAGGGATGAAAATGCAGTAATATCGAGGATATCGAGATGTCGACGGGGATAAAAGGGAGCTCTTGCAAGTCTTTATACCTGGCACAGGGTGGAAAAGAGGCAGTGTCAACCCCCCCCCCCCCCCCATGGGGCCCTTTCAAAAGAGTCATGCCATGCGCGGCTAGAGGTGACACCCGACTGAGGTGAATGGCCGGGGACGGGGATATCATGTTATTCATGGCCTCTTCCTTTAGTTGTGGATATCAACATGAGCGGCCGTCTCTTGTCAAGTCTCCCTTTCAGGCCTCCGTTTTCAGTCATGTAGCCGCTGGCCCCCGTTATTGACCAGCAGGGAGAACAAGGGTTAAAAGCAGCTATAATCCATGTCCTATATGTCCTTTGTAATCTGTACATACGCCTAATGCATCCTGATATCACATCTAGAGGCTTGGCCTCTTACTAGCAGTAGTAGTTGTTGGTTAATATTTTCTTTTTGTACGCGGTAACTCGTTAGGCGGAGTGTTGGTCAAGTCAACCCATCATCATATCATATTACACCACGACACCGGACTGTTATATCCATAGAAAGAATAAAAGAGCAGAAAGAGTAGAAAGAATAAAAATGATAAGAGAAAAAAAAAAGAAATGAAGAAGTGACCAAACTGAGGCTCGATCTCAGGACCTTGTCGGTGTTAACGACACGTGATAACCAACTACACCATTCGGCCTTTCTTGTTGGATGACGATCAGTTGAAGCGCGTCTTAGCGGGTAAAGTTGGGCCCTGAGGCTTCTGCCTGACATGATCATACAGAAGGATAAGAGAGAGAGAGAGAGAGAGAAGAGAGACACCATCCACAGGCAACAAGGAGAGATGGAGTCTACCTCGTCCCAGCCAAAGATGGTCCAGACAGTGCTGAACTTTGGCTCTTCTCGCTCCCAGGGCAAAGATACACCCCAGATCATCAGAAGGGACCCTGATACCACCAGCACTAAGGATACCCTGGGCCGTGATAGCGGCATGGACTACGAGATGGAGCTTGACAGCGAGAGCAAGCTGGACAGCCAGACCAGCCTTGGGTCTACCGACTGGCCACCCTCTCAGTCGACAGGAGCAGCAGTGCCGTCACAGTCTCCGGCACAAAATGCAATGCAGAGACGGAAGATACTGCGGTGCATCGCCGGAGAGACGAGCACTTTCTTGCCTGGCATCCTAGAGATGGCTCCCTGGGCACCGCCAAACGGATATCTCTACTCTCCGAACAAGGTCTCGGAGATACATCCAAAGTACTGTCCGCGCTTCAGCAAGACTTCCATCCGCGTACTCAACGCAGACACTCTAGACACAGCCATCGCCCTGGCTAACTGCGCGCAGTACGTCACTGTGCGGGACAAGAAGCCAGTCTGTGTTTTGAACATGGCAAACGCCTACAGTGCCGGAGGAGGGTGGAAGAACGGGGCCCTCGCGCAGGAAGAAACACTCTGCTATCGAACCAGCCTCAGCTTCACGCTTAAACTGAGATTTTACCCCCTCGACGAGCTGCAGGTGATATACTCGCCCACGGTCCTGGTCATACGCAAGAGCATAGATGACGGACACGGCCTCTTGTCATTCAACAAGCCTGAGAAACTACCAGTCGTAAGCGTCGTCAGTGTGGCGGCCCTGTGCGAACCCAAGGTAGCTGTCAAGAAGATACCGGTTCCAAACTCGTCTGATGCCCGAGTTGAAGAGGTATTCAGGGATGTTGCCGATCGCGACATGACCAAGGACAAGATACGCATGGTTCTACGGACCGCTGCGTTTAATGGCCATCGGAGACTGGTGCTGGGCGCGCTGGGTTGCGGGGCGTTTTTGAACCCGCGTGAGGACGTTGCCGACTGCTTTGCTGAGGTGTTTAACGAGAAGGAGTTTAGTGGCGGGTGGTGGGAGAGCATTATATTCGCAGTCATGGACGATCTAGGCGAGGGAGAGGACGGAGATGGGAACTACGGCGTCTTCTATAGAAAGCTTCATGGCATGATGGTATGAATGTACATGTGTTTTTTTTTTTGGCAGCAAGCTTGCATATAATCTGTTTATAGTTGTTTAGCGACCGATATAAGCCTAGCATGAAACTGGTTTTACAAGCAAAGAGAGATAAAAGATTAGTATAACAAGGCCGTTTTCCTATAAAGAACAGGCCTACTCTACCGTCCAGAAACTCCTAGCTCGCCAACGAACAGTAATACATAAAGCGAAAGGAACAACATTGCACACGAAAACGGATGGAAACAAGGTAGATGATGGATCTCACTTCTTTGAGGCAGATCGTCCCCTTCTCAGCGGTACCGGTGGCTCTTCTGGCTCAGCCTTCACCTTTGTAGCCCTGGACTTCTTCGATGCCGGCGTGGTAGCGGTGCTATCCTCTTCCTTGACGGCCTTTGTAGCTGGTTGCTTGCGCTTCCGGCCCGGAGTCGCTGGTGCTGCCGCTGGTTCATCTGCATCGTTCTCCTCTGCCTTCACTTTCGACGTGGCCTTTGCCTTGACGGCGGTCTTTTTAGGCTTGGTATCTGCCTCCTCCTCTTCGCCATCGGCTACTTCACCGTTCTTCTTCTGCACTGATGGAACGACAGCACTTGTGCGGCCACCAACTGTCACAAAGACGATCGCTTCTCCACTGGGGAGTTTACCCGCAGCGCCCTTCTTGCCTTTACCCCATCGGTGGTGAAAGAGCCAGTCTGTAGGGAAGTCGGATGACTCCCCTTTCAGGTCAACTGACACAGAGCACACGTAATTTATAGCAGAGTGCAGCTCGGTGATCTGGTTATCCCTGAGCGTGTCGCTGTACTGCTCAGGGTGAATGCGAGCATGGTATAAGATCTCATCTCTATCTCCAGCGTCAGTTTACCCCCTTTGTAGTGAAAACAATAGATAGAGAAAATATGAGCATACCCCATCCAGTTACCCAATCCGCTGATATTAGCCTGGTCCAGCAACAAGGCCTTTATAGGGACCTTCTTCCTCCGCACAAGAGCCTTCAGCCAGTCCTCCGTCACAATGGCCTTGTCGATGACCGGGTCTGGCCCATTCTCCTTCAGAGGCGTATACTTCCTGATATCATCCCCGGGACAGTCCACAAGCCTGACACGGCCCAGCCTCCTCGCATCCACAAACGCAGCCTCCGTCTTGGGCTCGTTATCCGTCTCTAGCAAAAACTTCCAAAACTTCGGGGGCCAGACGTCTGCTTCAAAGTTCTCGTTTTTCCCATTGCTTCGATAATAGGTATTCTCGCTCCTGATCTTCAACCACCCCGTCATCCCAAAATGCATGACAGGGTGCGGCGGAGAAGACATGATCATCCAGAAGTATTTGCCTTGCTGGCCTGTTCCTATCACTGTCTTGCCCTGCATGTGCTTCTTGAATTCTTCAGCACTGGTGCCAACTTTGCCGAACAGGAGGTCGTCATGGTTGGCTACGACTTTGGCGATTGTGTGTCCTACCAGGTGCTTTCTGATATAATTCACAATCCGCGCAACTTCTGCTAGCTCAGGCATGGTGATAGAGCTGAAACACGAAGGAAATGAGATAAGAGAACTGAAGCTGGCTCTTTTTACTAATTGACTTGACCCAAGTCTTCGAGTCAATGTTCGTTAACTAATCCAACGGGGCTGGCAGAGAAGAAGAAACACAAGTCTCGATGCGATTGGCAGCTCGACTGGCGTTCCGGGTCAGAGATGATGAAAGGGTTGCAAGTTGGAGATCTTCCGGGAAATTTGAACACAGCAACAGGAATACGTTTATACCAAGAAATGAACAGTTTGAGGGTACGGAATGCCTCGCTTAAGATATCCAATCCATAACATGTCGAAAAGGTAGATACAAAGAAGAAGAAACGGCTTTTGAGCGACCTGACAGCTTAGCTTCGTGTTTCCTTCGCGTCGATATCACCAACCAGTGCGGTTCCCTGCCACCTTGGCGTCTTCTCTAGTGTCTAGGTACATCGTGATAAAATAAAAGGCCGTTGAAAGCTGCATAGTTTATATACAACTAGACTTCTTCCTTTTCTTCGGAAGGAAAAAAGCTGAAAAAAAGCTGAAAAGGCTGAAAAAAGCTCGAAAAGAGCTGCTGGTCATGTGACATCTTTAGATATCTTGGATTTGAACCAGACAAGAAAGAATCACAACTTTGGAGCTGAAGAAACAAGCTGTAGAAACTTGTATATCTGCCATTTCTTGACTTATAGCACTGCTGTGCCCGGCAGCTGAGCTTCAGGCTGGATTTGTTTTGGACTAGACAGTCAACCGCGGCGACGGTTGCCTCTGGTGGTAGCAAGATGTCAAAGACATCGACACAGCCGAAGCTGTCACCACAGTTTTGTTTCAATGAACGAGCATTAAGAGGTGAGTTGGGCGATACCTGCTATTGATACCTATTTACTGATACTGTGGCGTCAGATTTCCTTCGAATCTCTCGATCGACGATAGATGACTCCATATCTCAAAACCTGAATGCGCTGATTACCCCGGCCCGGTCAGGGTTCGACCCGTCCTCGACCACCGCCAGACAGACAGAAATGTCCCATCACGGCCAGATTGACGGAGAGAGATGTCAGACTTTCAAAGACGAGGTCTTGTTCGCTTCCTGGCAAGCTAGATCGGATGTCTTGACGTACTGTGCCGGCGTTGCTACGAGTCCTGACCCCGACGATCCGGATCTGTTGCTACGACAGGAAGAGTCATCGAGGGACCGGGAGAGAGTGGTAGATGAACGCCTGGATCCTTATTCGGCCAGGTTCTTCCCCAAGGAGCCGCGGACAGAGTCCCTCGCCATGCTGATCCGGAACGAACGTGGCGTGGAGAGGATAGTGAGGTCTCGCACCTGGGATATAGTGGGAGAGCGCTGTGGCAACTCATTTGAGAGCTGGGAGGATGCTCTCAACCGGTGGCGGGCAAAGCGCGAGCAGTCTCATTGACCGTTGACTTCTCTCCGTCTCCCCGCAACCCGTGAACGGACCTCTCTTTCCCCTCCCCTGAACGAATAATGACTCGAGCGGAGCAAAACTGTATCATTTTATACGGGCGTACGGCAGGAGTCTTTATTTGATCTACAGAAGATTAACCGAAGATAATACACGCCTGGTTATTGTCATTGCATAAAAGGCAGCATGTACGATAGGAAGAATCATGTATATATACTCTCCAGAATACCCATTCATGAATACGAACCAAGTCACAGAAGCTATCCATGGGCCACTGAACTATCTATCCTTATATTGTTCTTCTGCCTTTGAATGAAACCGCAAAAGGCCAAGTCACCTGACTTGCCCCGGATAAACTATTTTATTTTATTTTTATTATTTTTTGGTTTGCACAAACAAGTTGACGGAATTGAAGCCAAAAGGAAGACAACGAATTGGTTGACGAGCTTCAGGACGAAACATCTACGAAGATACGAAGGATTTCTTTACTTGACTACCAAAGGTCTTATTTTTGTCTGCTGTTCTGGAACCGGGTAGAGGGGCCTTTGCCTTTCGCTTTTCTTTTGGCTTATTGTCCCGCCCTTCAGCCCACCAATTCACGAAACCCCGGTGTCCCTCCTATTGACCGAAACATCCTATTCACCTTTCTTGTGGTAGACCTGGCTAGGCGCCCCGGACTGTAGAATAGGGCGGCCATCATGCCTCAGCCATTGAGCTCGAAAGATAGCTCATTGTTCCGTCAAGTAGTTCGGAATTGCGAGAATAAACAGTATAAAAAAGGTGCGAGCTTGCCCGCTATTGAGGAAGAACGATATTGAACCCCCCGTATTGTTGTCTATTGTCCTGACTATGTGCTGTCTATAATTATAGGGCTCAAGGCCGCGGAGCAGATCCTTAAGAAGAACCCAAACCATGGAGACACACAAGCGATGAAAGGGCTCATGTTGAGCTACCAGGGACAACAGGAAGAAGCATTTGCGCTGGCTAAGATGGCTCTCAAGAACGATATGAAGTCGCATATCTGCTGGCACGTCTACGGCCTGCTCTACCGCGCAGAGAAGAACTACGATGAAGCTATCAAGGCCTATAGATTTGCTCTCAAGCTCGAGCCGGAGTCACAGCCTATACAGCGAGATCTGGCCTATCTACAAGCTCAGATACGGGATTTCCAGGGATACATTCAAAGCAGATCAACAATGCTTCAGCAGCGGCCCGCGCTCCGTCAGAACTGGACTGCGCTTGCGATTGCCTATCACCTCGCGGGCAACCTCTCGGAAGCAGAGAATGTGCTTACGACTTACGAAGAAACGCTAAAGACGCCCGCGCCGCGAACTGACATGGAGCACTCTGAGGCGGTTTTATATAAGAATATGATTATTGCGGAATCAGGTGACCTGGAGAAGGCCCTTGAACACCTTGAAGCCGTCGGCAAACAGTGTTTCGATATCCTTGCCATCATGGAAATGCGCGCGGACTACCTCCAACGGCTTGGCCGAACATCCGAAGCTGTTGCCGCTTATGAGGCTTTGTTGGAGAGAAATCCAGAAAACTCGCAGTACTATGACCATCTAATTGAGGCCAAGGGAATACCTAAGGGTGACCATAAAGCCCTGAAGGCTGTTTATGATTATTGGGTTGAACAGAATCCTCGCGGAGACGCACCTCAGCGCATTCCTTTAGACTTCCTAGAAGGAGATGATTTTAAAGAAGCTGCAGATGCGTACCTTCAGCGAATGTTGCGCAAGGGTATACCGTCTACATTCGCCAATATTAAGACACTCTACACTAACCCTGAAAAACTAGCTGTTATTCAGGAGCTTGTGGAAGGTTATGCAGCCGGGGATCTAAAGGACCAACCCAATGGGTCTGCCGACAAACAGGCAAACGGAGATGAGTCGCGGTTTGAGGGCTCCGTTCTCTACTTCCTTGCCCAGCACTACAACTACCACCTAAGCCGTGATCTTGAAAAGGCGATGTCCTACGTGGATAAAGCCATCGAACTCTCACCCAAATCGGTAGAATGTTGGATGACCAAGGCACGGATATGGAAGCACTACGGAAACCTTGCCAAAGCTGCAGAAACCATGGAAGCTGCTCGGCTACTGGACGATAAGGATAGGTACATCAATTCAAAGGCCGTCAAGTACCAGCTCCGACACGACGAAAACGACAAAGGCCTTGATAACATGAGTAAATTTACTCGAAATGAAACTGTTGGAGGCGCGCTTGGGGACCTGCACGAAATGCAATGCGTTTGGTTCTTGACTGAAGATGGCGAATCATACCTGCGTCAACGGAAGCTCGGCCTGGCCCTAAAACGGTTCCATGCAATCAGCAATATCTTCGATATATGGCAGGAAGACCAGTTTGATTTCCACAACTTCTCTCTACGCAAAGGCATGATCAGGGCTTACATCGATATGATTCGATGGGAAAATTGCCTACGGGAACACCCGTACTATAGCAGAGCTGCCATCGGGGGAATAAAATCTTATATCCTACTACACGATGAGCCAGATCTTGCTCACGGGCCCATTCCCAGCGGTATGAACGGGGCCGATGGAGGTGTGGATAGTGCTGAGCGTAAGAAGGCTCTCAAGAAGGCCAAGAAGGAACAGCAGCGACTGAAAGAGGCAGAGGCCGAAAAGCAGAGACTCAAGAAGGCTTCTGGAACAGGCACTGGTGGTGACTCCAAGAAGGAGGACACCGACCCTCTTGGCTTGAATCTGGTTCATACCTCTGATCCACTGAAGGAAGCCATGAAGTTCTTGAACCCCTTGCTGGAGGCTTGCCCGGGTAACATTGATGCGCAGATGGCCGGCTTTGAGGTGTACATCCGAAGAAGTAAGTATCTGCCCTTGGAATATACCGATACGTTTTACCACAGTTACTGACTGGACTTATGTATAGAAAAATACCTCCTGGCAATCAAATGCCTGCTCGCAGCTCATGCCATCGACCCATCCAACCCAACCCTACACATCCAACTCGTCAAATTCCGCCAACAGTTTGACGCAGGCGCCGCCGCAGCCCTCACGCCACCAGACATCATCGACCTTATCAACGCAGAATTTGATATCCTGCTACCCAAATCCACCGATCTCACGAAATGGAACGAAGAGTTCCTATCTTCCCATGCAAAGAGCGCCGCCCACGTCCAGGCAGCACTAACAGTCCGCCAAATGCTCAGCCCGGAGTCAAAGGGCCAATCTGAAAAGGACCTTATTTCATCCATCGACCTAGACACCACAACGCTCGAGGACGCTTTGGCTGGTCTCAGCTTACTTGATGACTGGGGCAGTGCAGCAGAGACGAAGGCTTCGTATTCATCCAACGCTCGCCGCAGATGGACAAAGGCTTCTGTATTTCCGCAGTGAGAGATAGTATTCCCGTGTGATGGGGAAATCTTCCAACATGTTCGTGACCTGTGTGTAACTATTCTGTCTTGAGCATTTTCCTGCTTCATCCGAGTTTTAAAAATTAATCTTAGAGCAGAAAAAATGAGAAACGATATAATCACATATTGGCTCCTTTCGTTAGCCGTAGAAGTTGAAGTATTTTGTATAATTAATACACCATCCCATGCCCCGAGTCCTCTCTATACACATGATATATCATACACAAGAAGCAGGCAATTATATAAAAATACAGACAAGGCAGGCCAAAAGCCAACCAAAGTAGCTATCATTCATACATGAGACGGCATCACATCTATTCACCATCCTCACCGTCTAAATTCCCAATTACAACTTTACTCCTGGAATTCTCCTCCTCTCCCCATCCATACGTATCCCAAAGTCGTTTCCAGGCCGGAACATGCGTCGGCCGCTCTTGACCCATAACCCACTCTTTACCCTCAGCAATACGCTGTGATCGAGCAAGGTCTTCAGGGGAGAGCACGAATCTGCGCATTCGAGAAGCGATTCGGGGATCGAGAACCATGGCATCGGTCCATTCTCGCTCCTCTCTGATCTCAGCAGGATCGGTAGGTTTTTTGTACGCTGACTTGTGCCAGTCTTTTTCCTCCTCTTGAAGGACCGATTGCTGCTCACTTGCATCTGAAGGGGAAGTCAGCGGTTCTTCTTCTTCAGAGGTTGATGGCTGGCTTTGAGTGATTGCTGAGAAGTCAGAGTCAGAGCTGTATGTGCTGTTGGTGTAGGGCCGTATGGATGAAGCGAGTACTGCAGCTGCAACTTGTTCTCCGACGGTGTCTGCCATGCGGCGGCGCGTGAGGAAGCGGTACATGCGGATTGGAGTGTTGAGGAAGCCTAGTATATGGGGAAATGCAATGGGAGCTGAGCCGTCGAACTCGGTGGGAGCGATGGGGGAGATTTGATGGGTGGTATAGGCGGATGGAAGAAGGTAGGAGGCAGGAGGACCGGTTGGCTTTGGTTTCTCAGCTGGTTTCTCAGTCTCCTTCTTTTCTTCTGTTGTTGGAGAGTTTTCATCCGGCGTGTCTGAGAGTAATGGCTCCTCCACCACGACTGGCTCGTCCGGCTTGAGAGAAGCAGGGTCAACCAGGGGGCCCAACCAGCCTTCGTGGATGCCACGAATATATTCTTTCCATGCATGTCGACCGAGAACCAGATCGCCTTTCGTCTCAGGCTCGTCATGAACGCCCGTCACCTGCCGTATGTGTCGAAGCCTGGTCTCGTAGTCTGCGGTATCAATATCAGGTTCCGGCAGCGGCCCTGACTCCCCGGCCAGCTCTCTCCTCTTGCGAATCCTGCTTGCAACAGCAGCTCTGAGATCTCCTTCCCTTCTCCCCTCTACGACTTCGTAGTCCAACGCTCCGGAGACTAGGATCGGCTTGACGTAGTCACGGAAATGGTCCCTTGCGTTCCGCATGCTGTCTCCCGGAGGGGCAGAGAGAAAGACAGTAATCTTCCTGCGAGTCTCGTTCGTCCGTAGCGGTTCATTGGCAAGGTGTGCTACCACGTTCGACCATTTGTCTTGTATCTTTTTCTTCTCACGGCGGTCATAGACAAGAGCACCAACGAAGGAGCCGGTGACGGTCAGGAATATCATCCAATTCCTCGACGGGAGCTTTAGCTTGATGTTTGGAAGCCCTAGCAACCTGTTAGCATTTGTATCTACCTTATTTACTCATATATTCGCCTTACCTAGCATGCGCAGGGCAGGATTCTGCGGCTTTGGAGCTGGCTTTGGAACAGCAGCAGCAGCAGCATCAGAGCCTGAAGCCGGAGTCTCCATGGCTGTCGATGAACTGAGCAGGTCAACCTGCTCTCCAGCTGTATAGACTTAACAACTGTTTATTATCTTCTTCTTCTTCTTCTTTGCGACTTCATGAAGCTCTTCTTTGTCCATGAAAAAATCTAGCGGACTTACTTTTCTCCGTTATTTCGCTTCAAGACTGAAGATGAAGAGAAGAAGATAACTTGCTACTTATTCATATAAAGATACAGAGATATATAGATGTATAGATATATAGAAGAATCTGGTGATATTGACAGAGAGATTCATGTCTGGTCACTTTCTGTGCTGTAGATGTAGAAACACCGCAAAAAGTCCATAATCCGCATATCAACACACAAAATATTCAACTTCTATCATCTTGACTACAGAATATTAATCAAATATAAGGAACATGACCATATTAAAGTGATATAAAGGAGAAAGGCCCCTTGCTGCGAGGTGTTTTCTTGAACGTTTCGCATGCCCTTGAAAAAGTCGTTTCAGATCTTCAACTTCGGCTTCTTCTTCTTCCACCGCATCCCCCCTTTTTACTCGCATTTTCTACAACAAGCGGCGAAGGACAGACCGGAATAGCTTGACAGCCTGAGCAGTTCGTCTTCTTCTTGCTATACAAACGGCCATGGACGGCAACAGAAACAACCCCAACGGTGCTCCGCCCAACGGCGGTGCTAATGGCCGGCTTCACCTAAACTTTGGCTACGACCAGCAGCAGCAGCAGTACAGCAACAACCCATCGAGCAACAGAGCCTATCCTACGACTCCATCGACCTTCCCGCAGCCCATGTATGCCGGCCAGGGCAATCAGGAGTTCGTCGACGCTCAGCAGAATGCCTACAACCAGGGATACTTCGTGAACAACCCCTATATGGGCGGCCACCAGCAGCAACAGCAGCAGCAGTATGCTCCAGCACCGCATGGAAGTGCTCCCCAGGCTGTGTACCAGCAACGAGCAGCTCCAGCTGGAGGACAGCACCAGGGGAACGACGAGACCTCGGGCCTGATACAGCAGTTTTCGAACCAGGACCTCTCTGCTTCCCCGCGGCCTGCTCGCGCCGCCCCGCAAGGGAGTCAACAGCGTCCTCGTACCGCTGGCTCTGCCGGCCACCAGCAGCAGCAGACGCCAGCTCACTTGACGCCTCCTGTTCCCGCTCGTGGTGCTAACCCGGAAGACGAGGAGCTCGTCAGATGTCCTGAGAGATACTCGGAGAACGCCCATAAACGTGGAAAGGCAGCCAAGGAGCTCGTCAATGTCTTCTTCCGCGAGAACATCGAGAGAGCTCGTGATAGGAATATGCGGTATGTCTATGTCTCTATATATTGTTCTGGAATAGTATACTGATCTATCTGTAGTGCCGCCAACCTCGACAAGATCTGCCAGAACGCAACCATCTCTGACGCAAAGCGGAAACATGAATCAGAGGCCATGGCGAAGAAGGAAGCCAACTTCCTCCGGTTTATCAGAACGAGAGAGACCCCTGCCAACTTCCAGACGATCAAGATCATCGGTAAAGGAGCGTTCGGAGAAGTCAAGCTCGTACAGCGCAAGACAGACGGCAAGATCTACGCCTTGAAGTCACTGATCAAGACTGAGATGTTCAAGAAGGACCAACTTGCCCACGTACGCGCTGAGCGTGATATCCTTGCCGACTCCAAGGACAACCCATGGCTCGTCAAGCTCCACGCCTCGTTCCAGGATAAGGCTTACCTCTACCTCCTCATGGAGTTCTTGCCTGGCGGTGATCTTATGACCATGCTTATTAAATATGAAATCTTCTCGGAGGATATCACCAGATTTTACATGGCTGAGCTTGTCATGGCCATCGAGGCCGTTCATAAACTTGGCTTCTTACATCGGTAGGCCTATTCCCCTTTTCTTCAAACAACAGAACCAGAGCTAACTAGAGGGTAGTGATATTAAACCAGATAATATTTTACTGGATCGTGGTGGGCATATCAAATTAACTGACTTTGGCCTGTCAACTGGCGGCAAGAAACAGCATGACAACTCATACTACCAGGCCCTGTTAAAAAATACATCCACATCCAAAGATAAGAATAGAAACTCTGGCTTCTTCTCGGATGCCATTAATCTGACGGTCTCCAACCGTGGTCAGATCAATACCTGGCGTCGATCACGTCGTGCCATGGCATACTCCACCGTTGGAACACCAGATTACATTGCCCCTGAGATATTCAACGGCCAGGGATACACCTATCTCTGCGACTGGTGGTCCGTTGGAGCTATTATGTTTGAGTGTCTCGTCGGATGGCCACCGTTCTGCGCCGAACAGCCAACGGATACATACCGGAAGATCGTTTACTGGCGTGAACATCTTGCTTTCCCTGAAGAACTTGTTCTCTCTAGGGATTCAGAGCATCTCATCCGAAGGTTCGTCCCTAACCCCTTTTTTCTTTTCACTATCCATAACCAACCCTGCTCACCTGTCAAATAGCTTCCTTTGTGATCCAGAAAACCGTATTGGCCAAGAAGGCGGCCAACACGGTGGCGCAACCCAGATTAAAAATCATCCATTCTTCCGTGGCGTCGTATGGGAACAGCTGCGCCGAATTCGTGCTCCCTTCGAACCCAGGCTCACCTCCAATATCGACGTCTCCTACTTCCCCATCGACGAGATTCCCCAGGAAGACAACAGTGCCCTCCTACGTGCCCAGGCCCGTGCTATGCCTGAGGAACAAGAGGCGGAGATGTCCCTCCCCTTCATCGGTTACACTTATAAGGCCTTCAATGCGTTTCAGAGCAGCTAATCGCAGCTTTGGGCGCAGCACTCAACTGAGCATGAAAGAAAAGGCTGTAATTGATATTTACGATCTTTTTCAAAGCGAGGGAAACACACGTTGCTCCGGGCGTTTATTTTCTAACTCTGTTCCTTGAATCGCCTCTTCTTTCTCTTCAGTAAATTCAAAAGTGATAAAAAAATATGTGTGATGACCTGGACTTGTGGATGTTGACCTGATAAATATCTCGATTCTTCGGATCTTCGGTATACCTGAATTTCCATTATCTGATAATTGGTCTGAGACCCGATATATAGCAGGAGAGATATTCAGCTAGGTTAACAATTCCACAATATGACAACATGACTGAACTTATTCAGAATCAAATCTCCATTCTTGAGATGATATCGTCAAATGCTATTTATTACACATGCCCATTAAACGCCATAACATATTCCCAGGCGCCCAGTAACAGAAATAAATTTATAACCAGTTCATCTCCGAATACCGGCCGGTGCCAGACCCGGAACACCACTATATCTCTCCTCTCTCTCAGTCTTAAACAACAACTGAATCCAAAACTCCTTACTATCCTCATCAAACCACGTCCACAACTTCCCTTCTCTCCTATCAACCTCTCGAGCCTGCAGTTTGAATCCACACGTCTGATACGGTTCCGCAGCAACGAGCAAATACTGATAATCCTTATCCGGCGGATCGTCCACCTTCTGCTCAAAAGCAGACATGAATCGAATCCGCGGCGTAACCCCCGGCGTAATCTCCTGATACTGAAGCTGAAAAAGTAACCCGTGCTGCCTGGTAAGCGGATCTCGAATCTTCGTGATCTTATAGCCCGGTCTACCGATCTTCACCGTGTTTCTCTTCACTTGTACGCCCATGTTGCCCGCAGGCAGGGCGCCGCCAGCTCCATCCTGAGCTCGGCCTTCCTTTTGCTCTCGTGCTGCTCGCCGGGCAAGGTTGGTCTGATGTTTTCGGCCCTGGGTGTGAGCGAGGTAGGACCCGTCATTTTGATGGACAGTAAGACAGAGACGGCACTCGAAGCTTCCGACGTGGTTTTTGAAGAAGTACGGATCCTTTGCGAGGTCGATGTGTTCGAGCGCAAGCTTGCGGAGTCGTTCTCTTCTGTCTGCGTTTGTGGCGGAATGCGACGCGACTCCGCCGCCGCCAAATTTGGAGCCTGCTCTGTTCTGTAGTTATTGCACGGTTAGTATATTTAATGCAAACCACTGGGCACAATAACTCACCTGGTAGTCCATCTTTTGCTGCGTGGTTTCAATACTTTGTTAATCTCGAGTTTCTTCGCGCTTTTGGGAGTTTTTGGGCGGAAATTTGCTAGGAGCTTTTTCTTAGTCGCTGATTGGCTTAATTTAATAAACTTGCTTGGAAGCTTTTTTCCTGGTCGTTGATTGGATGAAATTAATAAAATGAGGATATCAAATATTTATCTGCTTATAGAGAAGATTCAATTTATCCATCTCTTTCTAATGACTGCATTTTGATTAAGAGAAGTGTTTCTTTGCTAAGACAGACTTGAAACAGCTTGACTACCGAAACCGTCAAGGTTCTATTAGGGACATAGATACCTGCTCATTTACAAGTTGACTGGGTGAATGGTTCAAACACTGATAACCTTTTGATAATAACAATCTCGGTTTGATATCTTTAAATGAATAAAATAATTATCCACTCTTGCTAATGACTGATCAATATATTTCTGCTTAGAAGCTCCTTCGCGTAGTTGAATCTTTCCTTGTGGCCTCATTAAATTCACTTGCTCTTGTAGGTTTGGCTATAACTCCGTCAAACGGGGCTCCAGCGACTGGATATAGAAGGACTTATATATTTGGAAACTAAGTATAAACACGAAAGGCTCTCGGGGCTGTTCGTCCGTCATATAACTATTACTTTTTCATTTTAACCCAACAACCTTCACCGCTCGACACGACCAAGGTCAGCGTTTGCTTTTCTTCGCCAACTGGTGGGTATGGCCCCTTCTCTTCCGCCATTTCAATTGTTTCAAACGTCTGCAGTAACCTAACAACGGTATACCCTACCTCCAATAACGCGAACTCTTGACCTAAACATATTCGTGGGCCCCCGTTAAAGGGTAAATAGCCGTAACCCACATCCTTGAGTGAATCATCTTCCCAGCGTTCGGGGCGGAAGAAATTAGCATCGGGGCCGTAGATATCTTTACGGCGGTGCATAGCATAAACGCAATATCCTACTGCTTCACCTCGACGGACTAGGACAGGAGCTTTCCCGTCGACACCGCCACCAGTTGGAAGGATGGTTGTCTTTGTAGCCGCACGGGAGTTTACAGGGACGGATGGATACAAGCGAAGAACTATTGACCTGTTAGAAGGTTGCATGCGGTGTGACGTGCTAAAATGAGGAAGTTAATTACCTTCCTTGATAACCAGTGACAGGTATGATAATTTCTTGACTTGGTTGATTGTAGGGTCTGGTGCCTCAGGGCCGACACCGATTGCATCTTTGACTTCGTCGCGAAGTTTAGCAAGAACATTTGGATGCTGAACCAGTAGACGACTTAATTTGGGGTCTATTAGCAGTGGCTTATAAACATCTTCCTTCAGAAGTGAAAGACTTACAGAGTCCATGTGAGACAGCATGCCGTGGTGTCCCTTCCAGCTAAGAGAATATTAAGACACTGGTCCCTCAGGGCGCTTGGCTCACGGGTTTCTTGAATAAGAGCGTCAATAAACACATATGGCTCTTTCCGAAGATCTCTGTTCTGTTTGTGAACCGAGAGCTCCAAAGCCATTTGCACAGCATCGTCTATAAAATCATGACACATTTTACAGACGTCCCGAAATTTTTGGCCTCCCCAGAGCCAGTATAAATCACCTAGACGCCCCCGTTGGGCTAGATAGTCCTGCCCTACATTGAAAGCATTTGCAAATTCGGATTCGCGGCTTGTAATGCCTTCTGACTTCAAAGACGGCAGATGTTGTCCGAATAATAGGAACAGAGTCGTTTCGAAGGTGAGACGGAAAAAGAGTGGCTGCAGGTCAACAACACCAGTTTCGGGGACACTTTCAACGAGGTTGTTTACAGCATGTTTGATCTGCTCGAAATTATTGAATCGGTTGGACATGAATTGAGGTCGTAAAAGCTCGCGCGAGTGTTTCCATTTGGGCCCGTCTTGGGTGAAGATACCGCTGCCCAGTAAAGGTGCAAAGGTTGGGGGTCTCAAGCCGAGTCCAAAGTCTTTGGTTTGAGTACCAGGTTAGTACGTAACTATCAAATCTAGCTCTTCTTGTTAAGACTGTTTTACCAACCAGTAAATTGCGTAGATAGGATGGCCTCGATGTTTTCCGGATCGACTGTATCTATTCCTCGGGCGAAAAGAAGATTCTGCTCAAAGGTAACTCCCGAACTCGCAACTTCCTCGAGGAAAAGCTTCAGTATCTGCTGTCTTTTTTCGTAACGAAATGCTTTCACGAGTAGGTCAACCCCCAGAGGCCATTTCGCACTCCACCGTCGAGGTGGCTGGCACCCCTTGGACGCAGCAAATTGTTCATCCTTCTAGTATTCGAGTTAGACCGTGCACGTACTCCGTATTCTTTGGTGTAATTGTTAAGATCCTTTCATACCTGCGATTCGAAATGGGATCTAACAAGCTTATAGCATATCAGAACGAGAATAAAGCCTAGAGTAATGAGGCTGAGCATCGTCACAGCTTAGTAAGCTAGTTATATAAGCTAGCTCACGTTTTGAACTCTGTCAACACAAAGAAATAATTGCCTGGCGATGGGAGAACCAACATATAAATATTTCAAAGGAACTACACCAAATGCCGGCCCCTTACTCAGTATCTGAGATGATTTGGGAGAATTATACAAGCGGCGCGGGGGCCGTGACAGACATGCAGAATTCCACATATATCACACGCTAGCATGGGGTATTTGGTTTGGGACTGGGGGGGTTGATATGTTAAACTAGGGAGCTGATTGGCCTCCAGGACTTGAGTTACGCGCTGTCATTAACTTGCGGATAATAATAGCCATGAACAGGGCGCAAAGGGCTCTTTAAGAAAGGCAGTATGGGATCCTTGCAACAGAGCAAAGTCTCGTCTGTTGGCCAGAAGATGCTTGCACAACGATTTATACACCATAAACTGCGAGTATCATTGAGTTCTCGATGAGCAACGTTGGCCATTTTTGTGGACTATGGATCCGCTTTCAATTGCAGCCGGGGCGGTTGGGATTACCGACGTCTGTTGGCGTATTGTCAAATATCTAAAAGACATTCCCGCCGCCGTTGCAGGCGTTCAGAAGGAAATCGACAACTTAATCACTGAGGTTGAGTCCCTACAAACAATAGTTCGATCTGTCGATGAAGCATTTGAGGGGAGTTTCGTCAAATCTTCAAGCGAGTCTCCGTTGAGAGCAGCCAACCTCGAAAATCTGTGGAGAGACTGTAAGAAGAGCCTCGAAGGGTGCCAAAATATTGCAACTGAACTTGAACGCATCATTAAGGAGATCTACGGCAAAACTGGTGTGAAGGTTACCAGCAAGCTCGATGGACTGGGCAAAGAGAACCGTAGACGGGACAAAGCCACCGGTCTGCAGCGCGTACGTGATAGGCTTTCGACTGAGAAAGAAAATCTCCAGATCCTACTTACGGGAATCAGCTTGTGAGTATCATATATATCCGCTTGCCTGTTTAAACTTCCGAGGAGGATTAACCAACTATGTAGATACAATCACCATGTTTCACAAGATACCCTAGTTCAGATGTCGAAGGACCTAAGGTCCCTTGACCAAGACTTCAAGTCACAGATAATGTCTCTGGAAAACAGAATTCAATTTTCTGGTGGCATGAGTACGGAGAAAAATCAGGAAGACATAGCCACACTATCAAGAATCAGGCAGTTCCGCAATTCTGTTCGATCCGTCGCTACCGCTGTCTCCATTACCACACCCAATAAATTCTTTGACGTCCCTCAACCAGTCAGCAGTTTTTATACTGGGCGGACTCTCTTTCTAGAGAAACTGCAAAATATAATATTCACATCGGTAACTACGGAGCCGACGCAGAAACAGCTTCGCTTTGTCATTTACGGCATTGGTGGTTCTGGGAAAACACAGTTCTGCTCAAAGTTTGCAGAGCAGAATAGAGATAGGTGTGTTGTTCTTCTTATAGTTTCTCCCCAAGGTTTATAAAGACAATTATTAACTCTTTTTCCTGTAAGTTTCTGGGGAGTCTTTTGGATTGATGCCAGCTCTCATGAACGAATCAGACAGACATATGCGGAAATCGGCAAATTTGGCAAGGTTGAACCGAATCACAGCGCTGCAATGCACTGGCTCTCTAATCTTGAAGAGCGATGGCTCCTAATCATTGATAATGCTGATGATCCTCACATCGACTTACATGAGTATTTCCCTAAAGGCGATAGAGGCTGCATTATCGTCACAACAAGAAACCCAGCGCATAAGGTATACGGTAATATACAGCCGGGTTTTTTTGAGTTTCAAGGCATGGAGGACGATGATGCGCGTGCTCTTCTCCTACGAGCTGCTCGGCTGTCCGAACCTTGGGACGCGGATTCCTCGTCATGGGCTGTCCAAATCACTAAACAACTTGGATTCCTTGCCCTTGCTCTAATCCACGCTGGTGCTGCAATACGAAATGGCCTATGTACTCTGAAAGACTACTTGACATTCTATGATCGGGATTGGGAACGTATCCGTCGAACTCGCCGGTTATCCATCGACTCTAGTGGTCGACGTGATGAGTATATGAGTGCTCACGCGACATATGAAGTCTCTTACAGTGGCATTGAGAAAAAGGGAACTGAATCCTCACAAGATGCAATTCAATTGCTCAAGCTCTTTTCCTTTTTTTACTTTAAGAATATCCGATTCGACATCATAAAGAAGGCAGTAATAAACTGTGAAACCGAGAGGGCTGAGCAAGAAAAGAAGGACCAACATGAGGCGGAACGGCCATTGACTTGGTATCAGAAATACAAAACTATGCAGTTCAACATATTGAATTATATCATGCAAGATCGAAGCCCTCCAGCGTTACCCTCCTTTATTCGAGAAGGCAGAGCCACTCGGTTTTTCGACGAGGTACGAATACGCTACGCATTAAGAGAACTTGTGCAAATGTCACTTATCACGCACCATGAGTCCAACGACAGCTATTCAATGCACCCCCTAGTCCATAAGTGGGCACGGGAGAGGCCAGACATGAGTGCGTCAGAGCAAGCTGTTTGGTCGCAAGCTGCAGCTACAACACTGTCCCACTCGATTCTTCTTCCACCTCTGGGAGAAACTGAAGCTGACGAGCTCTTTCGGAGAGACATTCTCCCTCATATTGACCATGTACGAAAGTGTCTCCAAGTAGTTAATGATAAAATAACAGAGAACCGAAAACATCGCTGGTATGGGCTAGTTGAATGGCCTGGTGCGGGATCAAGGTTTGGTCGAGCTCAAGCACTGCTTTATGCAAAGTTTAGCATTGTATTTGCACAAAATGGACGCTGGAATGACGCCGAATCGCTTCAGCTAGCCGTAAAACACTATGCGGATAGCCTTCTTGGACTAGAGCACCCTGTCACCAGGCGGATAACGCTAGCTTTAGCGCTAACATACTGGAACCAGGGGAGAGGTGATGAGGCTGCAGATCTGCAAGATGCAGTTTTACAGGCCTGTATCACCTCATTGGGCCCCAACAGTCATGAGACATTGATGGCTATGGATCTTCTGGGTCAGGCGAGATGGCAGCAGGGAAGATACAGTGAAGCTAGAATGCTTCAGAAACATGCCGTTGACGGTTTACTCAAAGTTAGAGGCCCTAGTCACGAAGACACCCTTAGTGCAATGGGAAACTTGGGCCGGACACTGGCTAAGTTCTATGAAAACTTAGATGAAGCAAAGCAGCTTTTGACCGAAGCTTATGATGGAATGAGCAAAATTCTTGGCCCAAACCATCTGAAGTCTTTGGCCGTGAAGGAGGACATTGCCATGGTCACTTTACAAATGGAGGAGCAGCAAACCCTAGCCGCAACGATGATTGAGGAGGTCCTCGAAAGTCGCAAGGAGAAATTAGGCAAGGAACACCCATATACACTTCTAGCTATGGTTAACCTAGCGAGGGTCAAAATTGCGTTGGGTCAATACCAAGAAGCGGAATCGCTCGTCCTGAAAGGACTACAAGTTGCGGATAGAAATCTCGGCCGTAACCACATAGGGACATTGATGGGAAGAACGGTCTTGGGCGTCATACTGACTCGTGAATCTCGGTTTTCTGAGGCCGAAGCTACTCTTCTTGAGGTAATTGAAAATCTACGGCACCTTTCGACTTATAGAGGAGATTTCCATCCTGATCGCCTGGGTGCGATGATTGAGCTTGCGACCTGCTATAAATTGCAAGGCAAATTTGATCAAAGCATTAGGCTCTGCGACGAGACAATTGAAGGACTCAGTAGGATAAGCTTAAAGGAGCATCCTCTTGAAAAGAAGATGAAAAGGCTGAAAATAGAGCTGATTGAGATGAAAAATGGCAATGGGAAGTGAGTGAACATTGACAATTAAAACAGAGAGAGAGTTAATAGGTCAATTGCAACTCATAAGAGTTGGTAATGAATGTGGCTATGAGCACGTTGAGTGGATATAGATCGTCAATAGGTCGCCTCATCTGGATAGCATCAACCGGTTTTTGTTACATTAGCTAAGGGTGACTATAAGAAGTTACAACCTATATTTTCATAAGGGACAATAAATTGGTAGAACCCATTAGATAAGAACTGCTATGCAAATTTCTAGCACAGACTATACCAAATTACCAATTTTTATATTAATAAGAGGGCAAAGAACGCAGTAATATATATAAAAGGCTTTCTATGTAGTGAAGTGTCATGTTATTATAAACTAGGCTGCTAGTTTGGATTATAACGCTCTTCACCACTCGATGTCACAACCACTTGATGCACTACTTACCCAACAAATTTATTAATAGTAGTTATCATCTCTACAATAAACTACATATATTTGAACCTTTTTATTAGCTACCAAGTACTAATAACGGAGGCTAAATATGTAGTAACATATTGATGATAGAATACTCCGATGTGTTTTATGTAGCTACTATCCTACCCCCTTCTTAGAGCTCTTTTTGTAAAGGATGCCTGATACCTAGCAGTATACTAGTTTGTTTATCATAAATACATGTCACTCCGCTGAGTAGAGTTGCCCACAGCACCATAACTAATTTGAATTTTGATCAACGCGGCTGAAAGTTTAACTTAGAGAAGAAGCAGCTACTGCGGCTCGTGCAGCCGCTAGTTAATACCTTATTTTTATAATGGCTGTATAACGAGCGTACAAACAATGAGTAAACGATGTCTAAGTGCACATTATATACTCCATAGTTGGGAGCTCAACTAGTTCTCTTTGTGCGTTTCCGAGATGGTTGGGCGCAAACACTCAACGAGTTACCATTATCCTCCCATGATGCACTAGCTTCTAGCTCCTTTGTTTGTTGAGGACTAATGGCTAGCTTTCGAAATCATTTCAAGCCTTCCCCGCTAAGCAGCATGAAGGATTTTCTCCGATTCAGCTCCGTCCTTTCGAAGGGCCAGCAGCTCGGACGTCTAGTTCTGGCGAGGTCAAGTGGCGTTTGTCCTTGGCTATTAACGAGAGATGGATCAACTCCTGACTCAAGCAACAGCTGGACCACTTCATGGCTTTCGTTGGAGTTCGGGTGGCAATACTCCTCTATATTGCGGAACCTTACAGCGGGCGCGAACTCCATCACAGAGAGATGCAGTGCCGTCCAACCATAAACATCCTTCAAGTCGAGGATTGACTTGATATATGCTTCAGGGCTGACTGAGTGACTCTGCATAGGAGTGGTGTCTTCTGGTATTGCGCGCCGTTTTAATGCTCTTATAAGCTGTGACAGTTGTAGAGGGTGCCCTGCCCACGCTGCATAATGTATAGCAGTCCACCCGCATATGTCTTCACGAAGAGGGTCCATTCCTGCATCAAAAAGTGGTTGTAGATCAAAGTCTAACCCACCGCTGCATGCAACATGTAAAGGGGTCTGGTGGACTCGATTCACCAACGACGCATCCGCTCCTCTATCCATAAATTCCTGAAATAGGTTTATAGAAAATGGTTTTTGAGTACCACAACGAAGGGCAAGGTCATGGAGAAGTGTGTTTCCAGATCTATCCTGACATTTGATATCCGCACCAGCCTCTATCAGCATCTTAATAGAGTTATCGTGGCCACCCTGTTTACAGAAGGGAGATAGAATCGATCCCCCGTCATTAGAGGGTCTCGAGATATCAACTCCGTTTTCAAGAAAGTATGAAATAATTAGCGCACTTTTTCCTCTTGGTGTAGTGGGATGAGAAGCAGCAGCTTCTAAGACACCGTAACTTTCATGGCGACAAATATTAATCTCAGCTCCCTCTTCGATTAACATTTTAACAAGACTCAGATTACAAAAACCCGAACCATAACCCCGAGCCGCTAGAATCAACGGTGGTTCTGACGGATTCCCTTTAGCTGATATGTCCGCCCCGTTTCTCAGAAGCACACGAGCAATTGCCGTAGCCCCTTGTTTAATTGCGCATTGGAGTGGGTAGCGTTTAGAACAGCAATACCGGTTAGGGTCCGCACCATATTTTAGCAGGAGCTCGACAAGATCCTCAGTTCCCTCCGCTATTGCAATATGGAGAGCAGATATCATATAATTTCCCCTAACACATGAGATATCCGCACCAGCTTCAAGAAGATATCTGACCATATCCGGATCATGCTTTTCCACCGCCCCATTTAGTGCCAATGGCTTCTTTGGCGGCGGCGTGAGTTTAACACCCGTCTTTTTAAGGAGAAGCTGTAACGTATCCATAGAGCCACCTTCAGCCGCGTAATGTAATGCTGTCCGCCGGTTATAGTCAATAGCAAGAGGGTCTACATCATCCATAGTTAGAAGCCGTAAAAGTTCAATAGACGGATACCCTGCCTCTGCTGCAATATGTATAGCGCAAGCGCCCTCATTGTTCTTAGTTGTAAGAGAAGCGCCTGCAGCCAAAAGAACCTCTACCACTTCTACTTGGCAATTAGAAATCGCATGGTATAAAGGGGTTAGCCCTTGAGTATCCCTTGAAGTCGTATCAGCCCCAAGGCTGATCAGATATTTAACGAGCTCGACGTAACCATTAGCAGATGCTAAGTGAAGAACCGTAATCCCATGATGATTTTGCATATAAAGATCCGAACCATGGTCGAGAAGCATTTTAATAACCCGCCTATGGCCAGCGGAGAATGCCATGGTTCTCTTTTTGAATTCGGGATTAACTAGGCTGTAAGGCGGCTCTACTGTTATAGCAATATTCATCATAGCTGTATTGTTTTCGACGCACCTGGCTATTGGATTAACTCCGTTATCAAGAAGGAATTCAACGACGAGAGCTTGACCGTGAAACGCAGCATAATGAAGCGGCCGCCATGATGTAGAGGGTTCGGGCTCGTCAAGATCGGCGCCACAGCTCATTATAAACTGCAGTAAGTCGATACGGCCCCAGCATGCAGCAGCATGTACTGCATAAATACCTAGGTTGGGCTGTGGAATATGCCAGACCCGATCCTTCAACATAGCTCCAGCACCCGCCAGCAGCGTATATATCTCGGGGGATTGAGATACTATTGCCCTATTCAACGCTTGTGTGCCGTACTTCGACAGGTCCAATCCACTATCGTTCAATATTATCTGGACGAGGTCCAAATATCCCTTTTCTGCGGCACATTCCAAGGCTGATCTATATGTCATCATCTCCAGCGAGCCCCGTCCAATCTCTAGCAGTGCTTTTGCTCTTTCAATATGGCCTTTGGATATAGCACAACGAAGAATAGTATGGAAGTCGGCCCAATCGCCGACGGTAACATCGCGAAGAGCTTTTCTCATGAGCATCCGGTCCAGGGCCATATGGAATCGCGTTGCGGTCATGACAAGAGCTCTCAGGTCCCATGCATCAAGATATCCACCGATTAAACAGAGTATTTCGCTTGGAAGAGAACCGAAACCACAAGGTGAATCCTCCATGCAAACGCCTCCTGCTGGCTCTTCAGTCGTTGAGTCAGCCATGGCAATGGATGCAGTATTTAATAACGGGGCGAGGGTGAGAAGGTCTGTTATCGAAGACTTTGATCGATAGAACTTGACAAGGACTTGAGCCACTCTGTCAAGGCCGAAATCTGCCTTTATAAGTACGGATTATTAAACAGGGGTATCCTAGTGAACTAATGTTTTGAGAGACAAACACTAGCGACGTCGTCCTTGTAACAAATAATGAAAGCATTCGGAATTTCATGTCGAGTCTGGTTAACCAAAGGGCCAAAGATGTTGTTAATGTAGGCTCAGTCCGGCATATAAAACTGGTTAAGTCGACTTGCTTGTGGAACGCTCAACCATGGCCTTGATCATCTCCTGATTCTCGCTGCCTCTTCGAACATGTCGTAGCAAGTCCAACAAATCCGCATCTTTGGCTCATGGGCATCCACGGGGCTGCAATGCTGTTGATGCAGATTTGAGAATCGCCAGGCACAGTATCTAACCCTTAAACACCCTACCAAGACACAGAAACTCTCCATCAAGTATCTTCTACCAACAACTATTTGGTACTTATGAAGGAGTGACCTTGGCCTGACAAGGGGTCCAATATGATCGTGGGTCCCTAAAGCAGAAAAGATGACATATAAGCTATGTCTAAGAAGCCAGAAACTCGCTCGCTCGTTCGGCAGTGGACTGTTCTAGGCTTCGATACGGACATCGAAAGCTGTAGGGTGAGAGTTGGAATAAGAATACCTGTTTGGCTCCGCGCCGTTCAGGTCTTATTCATATCGGGGTGATAAAGGTTACATTGTTAAAATATGTGATGCTGTAGAAGGAAGATAGACACTGTATTACCTACACGTCAAGGTCCCGCCAGTCTGCACAATCCATAGAGATATAATCAGGGCTATATGCCCTTCTTTCATAGCGTGGGTAACAGAGACACGCCCAACTCGGTATCAACCGAACCTTGCTTTCTAGGATCATAAATTTACCACATTTATGGCAAACTGACCCGAACCCCCCGCCCGCTCCCCCATATCGAATAATTGCTTCTCGGCCATAATGACCGTGAGATACCCCGCATGGTATACAGTAGCGTCGGGACCGTTGCTCTATAGAACCCGTACCCAATTTTCCACGTTTACTTTTCATCATAGCGTTTGAGAAATAGCTAGCAGAGCGTATTTTCAGGCAGAGGCTGCAGGCGAAGAAATCGTACCCCGGAACCGGTTGCGTCAATCCATGCAGCCTATGGCCAGCCGCGTTATAAGCTGGCCACATCTCGATTTCTACGAGGTCTTCTATGCCATATGCTTTGGGTTTGGAGCCAGAGAATGCCACCTCTGTAGACGGCGGGAATCGATTGGGATCTTCCATTTTAGTATAGAGCTCCCGGCAGGTCAGTACGAGAGCGAAACGTGAGGCGTAGTTGAGGTAGCTTGCTATTTCGCGAATTATCTCGGTGGGAAAGTTTGGCAAATTCATTGTTTGTCGTCGCTCAGTGAACCGCAGCAATAGCTTGTATGGGCTAATCCGCAAATGGTCGATAGTACTCTTATAACACGAAATCTCACTTCTTCGACTTTGGCAAGTCTCACCCGGAGTTTAGCCACATCCTAGTCCCTATAACGCATCCAGGCTTACTGAAGGCATAGATATTGGAGATGAAGATGTAGTGCTGATGGATAAGGGGGGGGTTGCGGCCAAGGCTATGATATGCACATTGTCGTCAGTGGCTAGATGATCACCTAATAACCTGTGAGGAATAATTGCCCATGTCATAAGGGATTGCATCCGTCCATCGAACCAATGGAATATGATTTTTTTAGAGCACCCGATCAAGGGTAGTATATCCGTACGGTCATATCTCTGGTCGCGAAATTGATGGCTGACTGGGTTGTTGACAGGGGCCCGAGCCTACCTTATGCACTCCATCCTCCGCGACTGAACTGATCAAATACCACGGGGCGAGGCTTGTTGGGAAAATACCAGTCTGGACCTCGTTATGATGGTTAATCTGGGGGTATAGAATGGTCGACTGCTGATTGGTATGCTCTTCTTGAGTCTGCTGGTTAAGGGTATCAATATTCAGAGTGCTCAGGGGGCATCTAGAACCTGATTGAATGTGAACTCGCCTCAGGAATACTCGTTCATCAAATATTCTATTCTATCAAGAACAAAATGGATGAAGAAGTTGAGATTGACGAAGTAGAAAGTGGCCTTAAAGCGGCGATGACACCGTCCAAATATGGCCTAGCGTCTAGCTACCACTTTGGAACTTTTGATGCTGAAGAAGATGAAAAGACAAGCAAGAAAGCCGCAGGACTTTATAAAACATGTCAAGCAAGCCTTTGGCAGGCGTGAATGCCGATAGTCAGTATACCCTGGGGTCAAGGCTGTCCTTCGATGGCGCGCTATGCACGGTCCGATATATCGGGCCTGTTCAAGGCACCAAGGGCGACTGGCTGGGCGTTGAATGGGATGAGCCATCAAGGGGCAAACACTCAGGATCTCACAACGACGTGAAATACTTTCAATGTACAGGCCAGATCGTTATAAACATATACGAAACGACAGTAGCTACTCAGCTGACAACCTATATTAGGCAAAAGTAAACATCCAACAGCTGGCTCATTTGTCCGTCCAAGCAGGCCGTCAGACAAACCACTAAGCTTCCTGGAAGGAGCCCATGAGAAATACGTTTCTGAGCTGCCTGTGTTTTACTCTGCTTCTAAGGGGGACCGTGTTTTAGAAGAGTCCATATCTAAGCCTATTGAAATCAGCGGCAAGGTCGTGGAAGAGATTGGGTTTGATGAGATTCGGAAACAGCTTGCTGCTCTGCATGAACTCCGAATCATCATTCTGGATGGCTTGCGCATCAATGGCGTGCTTGCAGGCCCAGCTGTATCTGACGAGAGAGAAGAGGAGCTCGAAAGGATCAAGAAGACATGTCCCAAGGTCATGGAGCTTGACTTGAGTCGCAACCTTTTACGGCGATGGTACGAGATAGTTGATATCTGTGCCCAGCTACCTCAGTTAAAAATATTAAAGTTGAAGTATGCAATGCCATGCTATATCTTCCGCGTTCATAACTACAAACTGACCGGGTTATAGTGGAAATTTTTTCGAAGACGTAGAGAGCTGTTCTGTGGATATAATCTCCCGCACAGCTAGCAGTTTATTTTTAAACTCAACCTTGATGAGTTGGAAGGAGGTATGGCTCTAAAGACTCTTCTTTCTATGTTTAATGCCGCTAACAAATTCCCAAGATTGCCATGGTATCTAGCAAATTCCCTTCCCTCACCAGCTTATCCTTGGAGAATAACCAGTTGTCGTCTACTTCGGCTGCACTATCAGCCATGATACAAGAGCTTTCATTGGAATTCAATGACTTTGAATCTTTGGACTGTCTACACCATCTCACTGCACTACGCAACCTCCGCCGTCTTTGCCTTCGAGGAAACAAGATCAGCAAGATCTATTCATCAACGCCCTCAGGCCTGGTCTTCTCTCCAACTCTAGACTTTGTGGATATATCGCTCAACCAAATACCGTCATGGAGCTTTTTGAATGCCCTACAAGCAGTATTCCCAGGCCTCACAAGCCTACGTATCTCAGACAACCCTTTATACGACATGCCACCAGCTCCGACAAAGGTTACCGGCCTACCGGAGAAGCGTATGACAGTGGACGAAGCCTTTATGCTGACACTCTCGCGACTGTCTAACCTTAAGCTTTTGAATTACGGGAAGATCACCCCGCTTGATCGCCTCAACGGAGAGTTATACTATCTCTCCTTGATCCGAAAGGAGCTGCTTGCACACCCGCAGAGCATGGAGCAGGACATCCTCAATTCCCATCCGCGATACAAGGAACTTTGCAAGATATACGACACGCCTGAAATCCAGCGGACGGCTAAAGATGACCCATCAAACGGGATAGACCCTCGCTCTTTGGCAGCACAACTGATAAAGTTTAAATTCCACCTAGCAGACCCTAGCAATGTAGGGCAAAAAAGAAGTATCTACGAGTTTGAGAAGGAGATACCCAAGTCATTTGATGTATATCACATCAAAGCCATCGTGGCTCGACGGTTTTCCCTGCCGGCTCTTCGGTTCAAGTTGATCTGGGAATCTGACGAATGGGACCCGGTCATAAAAGGGACAGCAGAGGAAGACGAATGGGATAGTGAGGAAGAAGAAGAAGACTCGCAACCTGAAAACGCTATAGACAGCAAGAATGGCAAAGAGTTTATCAGACGGGAGGAGGAGCTGATAGATTCAACCCGGGAGGTTAGCCACTGGTTTCCCAATGATGTGAGAGAGGTGAATGTGAGAGTAGAGCCGTTTTGATACCCGAGATATAGACGATTACAAGCTGGTTCAGATTGTTCACGTCTGCGAATCGACGGTCGTATTTAAATAATGTTAAAGATAAGATAAGCTTTTGGTGACATTGAAATATTTCAAGCTTGCGAAAAAGCTGAAGCTCGAACAAAAACTTCATGTTATCTCGAGTATCGCAATAGATAGATTGAATATGTCAGAATACTGGAAGTCGACAGTGAGTTTTACCCCAGCCAGTCGGAACCGTATCCATAACTAAGCAGCCTTTTTCCTCTAGCCCAAATACTGGTGTAAACACTGCAAGGTCTTCGTCCGCGACACACCCTACGAGCGAACGCAACACGAAGCCACAGGGAAGCATCAAGGCAGCCTAAAACGGTTCTTACGAGACGTACACAGAGACCAAGAACGAGGAGAGAAGGAAAGCCAGAGGGCGAAGAGCGAAGTAGAGCGACTGCGAGGAATAGTATCCAACCCCGGCACCTCCTCATCTGGGCCCAAACGAACACCAAATGACCCGCCATGGAAGAAGCCGACGGCGACGGGCGCAAACACCGCGGGGTTGACACAAGACCGGATGCAACAGGTATCACAGCTGGCGGAGATGGGCGTTGCTGTTCCCGAAGAGTTTAGGCCTAGTATGGCGCTGGCCGGAGACTGGAAGGTTGTCTCGGAAACGCCCATTGGGGAGAAGACCACTTCTGATCCCGAGGTCAAGAACGTCGGCGTTCGCAAACGAAAGCTACGGGAAGACGAGCAGGAAGAAGCGGATATGCAGCAAGAAGTTGCGAGAAAGGCATGGGGTTCAGCGATCCGCGAGTATCGAGCTGACGACAACGACCTTGACGCGCTGTTAAACAAGACTACGAACCTGAAGAAGGTGAAGGCAGAGGTTGAAGAGGACCCTGAGACCAGTGGCAAGCGGGAGCCTGTCATCAAGGAGGAAAACGACCCCGAAGACGACGGAGGAGGCGCACCCGTCAACGCACCGCCTGATGTCAAGCAGGAAGAGAAGACTGAAACAGGAGATGAGACGGAGAACACCGCACCGGCTGTTATGTTTAAGAAACGGAGACCGAAGAATATAAAACGATAGCGTCTACCCTGCAGCCACAACACCACGGCTTTACCTCCCAGACTTGGACTCTTCGTCTCAGGACTCCTCGTCTCAGGACACTCGGATATCCCATCATCCAACCAGAAGAGTGATCAATCCTCATAGAAGAGTGATCATACAGGCCGCTTCTGCCTGTATATCAGTATCGAGATCCGGGGTTGATAGAACACGCCAGGGCGCAACTCCGCCCATCTATAGAATATCAACATGTACAGTGTCCTATAGTACCATCTAAACAACATCCCATGCAGAAAGAATACAACCAGTGAATGCGCTTCTTGTAGAAACCATCTTCATCCAAGCTTGGCATCGCCACCTTCATTTTTCTTATCAAAAAAAGTTGAGCCGCTTCAAAAGCGAGACAGCTTTTTGATCGTTAAGAGACAGAACAGAGACCGCAAGAGAGACAGCTAAGGAGAAAGGCGATGCTGGTGTCTGTCTTGTTAGGCTGGTAAGTTGAGATATTCAGCTGTTCTTGCGTCTGCTTTATATTCTTCAGATGCACACACATGGCCAACCCTTCCTCCTCCCTTGTCGAATTGCTTTCCTCCAGCCTCTTTCTGGCCCAGAAGACCATGCCGTTGGTATTACCAGGCTGAATGGCATGCGATATAAGGGCCGGATGCTATGTGCGGCTCCAGCAGCGGTGGGAGGGCCAGCGGCGCGCACTGCGACTTTCATCCGCTTTCATCTGAATAACATCTATTGCCTCGCGAAGAGGGCGTATCTCTGTTTGATACACCGTATATGGCTATATATACGTCTGTTGGAAGCTTGTCTACTTGGTGCTGGATACAGACTACGCATATATACTACCCGGTCTTCCCTCGAGACGAAGTCGAACAGCAAGGTCGAGACAATCGCTAACTAGAAGTCATGACAGATCAATCGCATACACCCGAATACCATACTCGATGCCCGGGTTGCGGAACCCGTCGAAAGACCGAGGAACTCTGTAACCGGATAGAGATGCGGAAGATTAAACAATTGGGCGTATTCTGATAGACCTCATCACGGAGACTTGAGCCGGCCATCACCTGTGCTTTTGGTATATTCGGCAGTGGAAAGAGACATGGCGGACGATGAAACACCTTCAGGCTCAGCACCAGCCCCGACGGAGACCGTAGACCCTTCAACAGGCGCTCAAACACCTGCCCAGGGCGAGCAGGCAGCCGCCACGAACGGCAACGGCCAGTCAAACCCTCCCACCGAACCACAGCACACCTCGACCGTCGATAACAGCTTCATCCAACCTCCTTCCGACTCGAATCCCCAGCAACAACCACCCCCGTCGCAGACAGCAGCTCCAGACCCGGTCTACCAGTTAGCGGCCGCAAACTCGCCCCTACTCGCCCCCCAGACAGGAGCCATCGACCACGCCGTACAGCTCCAGGCCTTGCAGCAGTTCAATAATGATCAAGGGCCCTTCGATCCCAACGTGGCTGCGCCCGCTCCTCCGCCAGCGCCAGCACCTGTAACCCATATCACCCAGTATTATGGTGAGATCCCGGCAGGCGGCTTCTCGGACGGCTTCGAGCTGGTGACAGACGAAAGCGCTGCGAATCGAATGAAGAGAGATGTCAAGCGGAGGACAAAAACCGGCTGTCTTACTTGCAGGAAGCGCCGAATTAAGGTAAGAAACAGCCTCTACCTTGTTTTCTCTCCTCGTGTTAGTCTCAAGCAGCCGTCGCAAGAATTCTCTTTAAAGAGAAGAAATAATGTCTTTTTGTTGTTTATTATATCTTGGTTTGTTATTGTTGCCTTGAAAGGTTTTGTTTCCCCCCCCGCGGCCTGCAGGCTCGCTTAGCAGCATCAAGAAAAAAAAAAAACCTCCTTTCGACGCTGCCAAAATCTCAACAAGCACCAAAACATCCTCGACGGCCACAACTCGACCCGCCATGTTGATGTTCCAGCATCCTGTCGAGCCAGCTTATAGCTTGTGAAGGGCCGGCTCTTCTGTTTTGTTGCCTTTTTCGTTTCTCTGCAATCCCTTTCAACCCGTGTTATACCCCATTCGAGGCCATATTGGCTGAGCTTTGATACAGTGCGACGAACGGCATCCAGTGTGCAGAAACTGCGAAAAGAGCAAGCGAGATTGTCTCGGGTACGATCCAGTATTCAGAAGCCAGCCAGGTCCCTCTTCGCTTCAGCCAGCGCCAACTGCACATCCCTCGCTGCAGGTCGCGCCTCAGAACCCCCATCAAGCTGCCGGAGTCAACCAAGCGCATCTTACCACTGCTACAGCACACTCTGTTTCACCCTCTCTTCATAATACCACAGGTTCATCCGCATCGCCGCCACAGGAGAAGTTTGACTTCGGTACCGAGCCAGAACCTACCCCCCTAGCCGCGCAGGCTCAGGTTCCAGCCCCAGCTCCGGTCACAGCTCCAGCCGAGTCATCGAGGAGTGTAACCCCCAGGCTGACCGAAGGCCAGCCATTGATAGCTATCTCATCGACCTTGCCGGGCTCGGAGAAGATGGAAGGTAAGACTTCCTGGCTTTATACATGGTATCAGAAACTTGTTGTACTAACGTGTGAATTAAAGCGAGACAACCAAAAATGGCTGAATTACTATCAATCGGTGGCTTTACATTGCCAGCAATTGACACAAACCCTCTCTCTGCCACGAAGCTGGGAGAAGTTAAAATGCTGTACAAAATATACGCCCAAGGCATGGACCGCATGCTTGAGTGTAACTGGTACGACACCCATGGACTATCTCACCTACTTGCCAATCCGCGTCTTCTCTCCCTCTACTCTTCTCTCCTCGACGGCTTTACCGATCCAAACATTCACGACGCCCCGGTGATCGCTCGTATGGAGTCATTCGAAAGCCATGTCATCTGGGAAAGCCTTTGCCTGTGCCGCATCGCCCGTGCCCAGGAGCCATCTAATGGAAATGAGAATGCAACTTCGCCAGATCCACAGCTCACATACGCTGTCAAGCGTCTCTCTCTCCTCGAAGCTTTACTCACAGGGACTGTCCTTGAAAACAACCCCGTTGCTCGTAATTACTACCCGGAAGACGATCCTGCCGCCGCAGCCTCCGGGCTAGGCACGCAGATAAAGAACCGCCAACTAAATTTCTGGGAGTCCATAGGAGATTATCTCTCCATCCCCGACAGTGACCCAGACGCGGGCGGGAAGCGCGACAAAGCTCTCTTTGCAGCTCGTGCGTTCCTCGACATGATCGAAAGCCGAGACGTCGTTTATTCTATTGCCGTCGTTAGAAATATATCCAAATTCCAACCTCGAAAGTTCAAGCTTCCAGCCGCCTCTGATGAAAAGGACCCAGCCGCAAAGCTGTATGTAGCCTCTCGATTCCTAGAGGACGAAGTCCGTGGAAAGGCGACTAGTCAGGTTGCTCGGCGGATTTCTCAGTTGGTTGTTAGATATTGGGATGAGCCTTTCAACCTTTGACCATAAACAACCCCTTACCAGTCATACTTTCACAACCCCCATTTTGCCGTACTACGCCTTTTTATGTAACGGTTGCTCTTCATCTACACGTTTGTATCTTTCCTCCCCAATGGCGTTTTAGAGCAGGATTATGGAAATATCCCGGAGAAAACGGAACCAGGCTGGAGCGTTTGTAGGATAAATTTGATTTTTCTTTCCCTTTTCCCTTTTTCTTCTTTATACATATTCAGATCATAAACACTGCACTGCTGGCTAGCTATTAGAGAAAGCATCTACTTGACAAGAAAGCTAACCCAAGTCAACCAATGGAGTGTATTTTATGTATATATTTCCTCGAAAATAATATTATTTCACAGACATGAACATGCGTCTGCGCTTGTTGTATCTTCAGTATCTCCATCTAGACTTCCCTAGGTAAACGAATGGTACCTTTGATCACCGCCTCATCACAACTGTATCCTCCTTTTTATAGCTCTGCCTGTTCAGGTACGGGAGACTTTAATTTCCCAGTCTCAACGGCCTGTCTAACATTGCTAATTGCCCATTCCTCCATCCCGGTTTGAGTCTGTTGATAAGAGCATTAACAATCTCCTCAGCACTGCTTACAATGGCTGTAAAAGGGGCCCACTTACTTCAATGCTCCAGGTGCCCATATGCGGAATGAGAATCACATTTGGATTTTGAATCAAGCCTGGGTGGACTTTCGGCTCATTTTCAAAAACATCGAGCCCCGCGGAAGTAACCTTTCCGCTATCGAGTGCCATAACAAGAGCTTCTTCGTCCAAAACCGGGCCGCGAGCGGTGTTCACAATGATGACGCCTGTCTTCATCTTGGCAAATTCTGCATGGCTAATAATGTGTCTTGTGTTTTTCTGTACCGGATTAAATGTCAGCTGTCCAAATTTCCCGACACTTTGGTTGTATATATGCGGCCAGGCTGGGTGTCGTTAAATGCCAGCAAGGTCAGGCAGGGTCAGGGGGAGTAAGCAGGAACGGCACGTACATTTAGAGGCAAGTTCAAGCTAATAACGTCGCTCTGAGCTAGAAGTTCATCGAAGGACACATATTGTGCTCCACCGGCCAATTCTTCACTGAGTTTTTTTCGATTATGGTAAATCACGGTCATCCCAAATGCCTCGGCTTTCTTCTTGAGATTGCGTCCAATGCCTCCCATGCCTAGAATACCGAGTATTTTCCCCTGAGGATCGTGGCCAAGGGCAATTGGTTCGGGGTAACCTTTCCATTTACCGGCTCGCGGGTTCTGCATACCGGCATTGAAATTGCGAAGTGCTCCGATGATTAAGAACAGGGCCACATCAGCCGTGGATTCGTCTACGGCGGTAGGCACATTGGACACTCGCAATGGTGGTGACCGAGCACTGCAGGCCGCGACATCTACTTGATCATACCCAGAGCCTGGTCGAGTTTGTCAGTGTTAAGTTCATAGCTATTTTCAGGGAGCACGGTTCATTCGTTTCCTTCTCATACCGCAGTGGGCGAGGAATTCCATAGACTTTGGCAATGCATCCACCACCTCCTGATCAATCAAACCGGTGATTGAAACAGACGAGAACGTTCGATACGCCACCCTCACTCCATCAAGTTTACCATCACGACATTCTTGGAGGAACTCAGCTCGATTGGTGGCTTGGGGAGTTACAAGCTCTCCGATATTGGAAAGGCGTTGCCATGTGTCATGAGCACTTTATCTTCATACTCTATACTTCCCTCCCAAGGAGGGAAGACCCAAAGATAGTCCAAGTTAGTGCATGGGTACAAAGCTGTTGAATGAGACATTCCACTCGGAACCGACGGATTCGTGTTCGCGATGTAATCCTCCGCATGTCCATACATGTAATACCGGGGGGTAAGGGGGGTCAATCCGTTGCTGCATACATAGTAGCCCGTACATATAATACGATGTACGCATATGCAGGGACGGAAGGGATGCCCTGCTTCTTGATGTATACATGGTCGAAAGGAACAATAGGATCATAGGCATTATAAGAGGAGAACTAGAGCTGCAACGTACTGATCGATCTCTCCCAAAAGTAGGATTTTCGGCTTCTCAGCGGGTGATATCATCGTCATTTTGTGTGCTTTGAGGGCTCTTATAACTCTCGAACGGCAGCGAGTGACGATATGAACGTATTTCTCTGCTTCAGTCAAGGACCCAACCTGACGTTCTCAGGATGTTAGACCGAGGATTTTGAGCGTTGATATATATTCTTCCCGGGCATTCGTGGGGTGACTCCATAAAACGAGTTGTGGATCAACTTAAATAATCGCAGACGAAATTCGACCAAGTAGATAATCTTTCCTCAGAAACTCATTTCCTGACTGGTTCTTCCTTCGTCCAGCTGTATAACTCTCTTCAATACAGGAAAATTCGGCCGAGTCCGTGTCATAATTCTCGAGTGTGTCATATTTTCTTGGAGGAGACCCAGCAGTTTGCTCTTCATCCAGGCTTATTTTCGTATATATATGTATATTTTTCCGGTGTACCGGAAGAAGAGCGATGTGATGTTCATCAATTTCAATAATAGTTTGCCATGGCCAAAGACGTTAAGCCCAGGAAGCCGGCTCTGCGTTGTACAATTTATGTATGCTGTATGTTTATTCTGCCTGATATGAATACTTTTTGATCCTGCTGTGCAACTTCATGGCTGTAGATCACCCGATTAGCTGAGGCGACAGCCCGACGTTTGGCCATCACCGATATTTGGACAACGGGGTTGATGTTGAAGACTAGCCCTCTTTGGCAGCGAGTATTCTGGTTTATTGACTGGGGTTGCCCGTATCATTGACATATATAAGATGTTAGAGCCTTGGTCGTGGAAAAGCCTTCACAACAGCTTAACAAGACGAGCGTCACTCCTCAGCCAACACTCTCGTCCAGTCGAACTTCCTCCATCGTTTCCTAAACCCATCCAGCCTTCTATCGGTGCCGTGACGCCACCGCCCCTGCCGCTTAATCACATCGGGCCCCAAGTCAAGCATGCCTCCGATAATTTCTCGGGCAAAGAGGTCACCTTTTGGCCATCGGTTTGGGTCTTCAACGACGTGTCCTAGACCGCCGTCGAGCTCAAACCAAACATGGAAATAAGGCATCTCCTTGGCCAACGTATTGCGGAATGCGAGCTTTCCACCGCCTTGCCGCGCTTTAGCGAGAGTATCAATGACTTTTTTGTGCTGAGTCCATTCCTCGTCTGCGGAGAGGATTGCTTCCTTGAAGAAAGCAGGAGCCGTCTCTCCGAGGCTGTATGGGAGTGGTACCACTTCCATGGCTGCATGTCGTTTCTGACCTGGCCTAGCTGCGTTCTCGTAGAAAATAACATCTCGTCCCTGGTCATGATACATTCTTGTTAGACATTTCATAAAGTTACGAATCTCCTCCCACTCATCATCATCACATTCTAAGAGATTAGTTCGGTGTTGAATGGGTACGATGCATGTACTGCCTTCGCTCAGCTCTGGTTCTGTAGGGAGAGTGAGATAGACGCGGGTTGCAAGTGATACCACAGGTGCAATGGGAGGTTTTCCGGTGTCCTCATGGTGGCATAACGGACAGTTATCTAATATTCGATTCATCTTTTGGAATTCACTTATTGACGCATTTTTGATGTTGATTTCCGATTTGTGTACTCTCTTTGCGAGCTTGGAAGCGTTCTCATCCATATAATCCAGATCATTCTAGATGGGAATTTAGCAACCGGGAAATCCGCATTTGGTTTGAAGGATAAGATGAACTCACGTCGAATTTAGCATCTTTGGCAATTCTTTCAGCAAATCGCTGCCCTTCTCCCGCACCTCCGCGGGTTCTGCGCTCTTCACGAACCATATCTTCAATGCTCATATCCTCATTTTCCTCGACCTGGCCTCTCTCCCTACCCCGTTTGGATTCTACAGCGCGAACTTCAGCTCGGTTGCCACCAGCCAGCATGCGATTATCCATGACTCCGAGCACGACAACATCCGATTCCTTCTGGTTCGCAGCCCCAGCGACTGCTGCATTATATTGAGCTTCTAACTCGGCGGCATCGGGTGCACGCCTTAATTTTGCCTTCATCATCTGAGCCTTCAGTTTGTTCAGAGAGCTGGCATCGAGCACTTTCGTCTCCCGTGGGACGGGTTCAGTCTCCATCCTCTCTCCCTGTACAGGAGGTTTGTCCTCGTCACTTGCGGCTTCTCGTTGATTAATATTCCTCCCCGTCGATTCCTTATCCAACTTTCTCTCTTTGAAAAGCTCCCCTGATGGCTTCTCTTTTCCAACATAATCTTTGCCATATCTCTCCCTTCGGTCAAGTTCAATTTCTTCCTCTCTGGCATGGTCAAAATGCTGTAGATCGCCATATCGTTCCATTGCAACCTCTTCGACGGTTCGGCCGGTTTCCTTTGCCTGTCTGAAGACAGCCTTGAGTTTCGTCATGCGCCATTGTGACCCTTCATCACCAAATGTGTAGTCCACCTCCGCCGGGCCGCCTTGTCGTGTAGTATTAGCATCCGACGCGGCCTCAGCGTCCTCTGCAACATCGAGAAGATGTCGGTTCAGCTCTTTCTCATGCAGTTTTTGTCCGAAATCAACTTGAAGCATTCGAGCTGCTGGGGCTTCCTGTGGCTTCTCCTTTGGCCGGTGTATATAATCGATATCAAGACCGGACGGGCCTTCCATCCATGAATCTCTTTGTAGTTTGGCCTCTGATTCTGGCTCTATAACAGGCTCCTTTGGCTCTCCTTTTGTATCATTCTCCCTGTGAGCACTTCTGTCTCGATGGCGTCGTTTATGCCGGTGTTCCCTTTCCTCCCCATTGCTCGTCGAATGTCGAGATCTCTTGTGCCTGTGCCTGCCATCATCATCATCATCATCGTCTCGACGGCCATGACCATCATGCGGAGAACGATGCTGGTGGTGTCGATGGGAGCGATGTTTAGAATCCTCGTCGCGGTCGCTGCGGTGTCGATGTCTTCGTTTAGACCTTTCGAGCTCTCTCTCTTCTCTCTCCTTCTCCTTCCTATTATTCTCCGCCAATTCCCTTTCAAAATCTTCCAATGTCATCGTGTTCGGAGGTTGGTTGTGTTGTAGGCGCTGAAGCTGCGCAAATTGAAAGTTTTGGAGCTTTCGAGCTTTCTTGAATGACGTGAATTTATTTTTTTGACCAAATTCTTTTTCATTCACTTAACAAAATCTCGATTAATCTCATACCACAAGATTTTGCTCTATAGCTCTAATAAAGAGTACTTCGGCCTTCTCATCTCATCTTATATCACTTGAATCTCTATATATTGCCTGGTTGGCCTGGCCGCAACGATGGCAACCCCGCCAGTCTCAGTTGTCTGCGTCGGGATGGCAGGTAATTCACTCTGGTAAATCTGTGCTATTGCTGATAAGAGTGGAATTCTAACGCGATGAATGTACTTTTCAGGCTCTGGCAAGACGACATTCATGCAGAGAATCAACTCCTACCTCTACAGCCAGAAGAAGCCTCCATATGTCATGAATCTCGATCCAGCAGTGCATTCGGTTCCGTTTGAGAGCAATATCGACATACGAGACTCTATAAATTACAAGGAGGTCATGAAGCAATACAATCTTGGGCCTAATGGCGGCATTCTCACATCTCTAAACCTCTTCGCCACGAAGATCGATCAAATAATGGCAATTCTTGAGAAGCGCGCATTACCACCTACCACCCCAGAGCAACCCTCAGCCCCTAAGCAGATGGAGCATATCCTTGTGGATACGCCAGGCCAGATAGAAGTGTTTGTGTGGAGTGCGTCTGGCAGCATCCTCCTTGAATCGCTGGCGTCTTCCTTCCCGACAGTTATCGCATATATTATCGACACGCCACGGACGAGTTCTACAAGCACATTTATGAGCAACATGCTTTATGCATGCAGTATTTTATACAAAACAAAACTGCCTATGATCCTAGTTTTTAACAAGACTGACGTGAAGGATGCTGAGTTTGCGAAAGAATGGATGACGGACTTTGAGAAATTCCAGGCTGCCCTGGCAGAGGAGGAACAACATGGCGCATTCGGCGGTGGTGAAGGCGGCACAGGCGGAGTTGGGGGTGGTAGTGGATATATGGGCTCATTCTTGAACAGTATGAGCTTGATGCTTGAGGAGTTTTACCACCATCTGAGCGTCGTGGGGGTCAGCTCCATGACGGGAGACGGGGTGGATGAGTTTTTCGCTGCGGTGGAAGAAAAGCGCAAAGAATTTGACCGCGATTACAAGCCGGAGCTCGAGCGGAAGCGAGAACAGAGAGAAAAAGAAAAGCTGGAGAGACGAGATATCGAGCTCGGGAAGTTGCTCAAAGATATGAATGTCTCGAGCCATTCGGCCTCGTCCAAAGAGAAAGGGGATCCGGTTGAGACCATCTCAGACGCTGAAGATGACGACGATGACGAGGAGGACGAACGTCCTGGCCAGCGAGACGACGATGGGCTCTCCCAGCGGTATAGTAAGGCTTTGGCTGACTCTGGAGAAGGAGGGACGGAGGATAGCAGCTTTGCGCGGTATCTAAAATCATCCAACTTAGGATAAATTCACCAGCTTGTCGAGTAGATGCTTTTCCCTTGACGTAATGATTGCATGATACTGTCGTCTCTATCAAGATAAAAAAAACCATCGTACATAAATTTTGTCTCATGATATATTTTGTACTTAACCGGGATTCTTGTATGATGTCATCGCTTCCAGTTTCTTATTTAAAGCGTGAGAAAAGCCAACAGCAACAAACAAGCTACCTTCAAGGAGATATACGAACTAGATAGCAATTCACAGTGGCCAATTAAGTATAACGATACTGTTCTACTTGACCATGGACGTGAGTGACTTCTCGGAAGCTATGCTTGTATCCTACCCCGCTAACATTGCACATCAGGGCTTTTATCCGTACTCATACGGCAGCTTTGCCTGGCTGACTCTCCAGGGCACTGCTCTTCTGGTTACTCCGAAACTGATATTAGCGACTCTGCTTGACGAGACCCGACAACCTACGTGTAGGTGGCCTCCTCACACTCCCTAGCATTCCAATCCTTACTAACAGACGGATGACGAGGTTTTTAGCGCTGGAAATATATTTCGCCAGAACCTGCGGTATAAGCCAAGTGGCACTGGCCCTGATATTTTTGATTCTCACAGGAGCGCTGCCGCTCGCCTCATCCTACGCGATTACATCCGATGAATCTGACCCCAAGAAGGAATACGCATATCCGGTGCTCTTGATCACATCCGGATTCCACGCAGCGGTAGCTAGCTATGCATATTCCTGGTATTCTGGAACGGGACAGACTGGCTTCGCGGCTGGGATGGTGGTCTCAGGGTCTTTGGCTGCCATGGGGCTCTGGTGCATGATGTTTGCCGGGTCAGGGAGGATCAGTAAGAGAACAGGCGCAGACAAGAGGACATCTGGATTTCCATTCAAGAATCTAGAGGCAGACAAGAGGAAGAAGAGGTGATATTCTGTTTGCCATCTCTTGTCTATCCAACCATCTTGTATGACTTATGCGAGTTCTAAATAGCTTCTACTTAACTTTCCATCTATACAACGCACCTACTATTTAGTTATATAACTTAACTACATCATCGACTACATCACCATCTATACATACATACACATACATACACATACACACACATACATATATATACACATACACGTCGTCGTCAGTAGAAAATAAAGATTTAAGCATATTGCTGGCCCGGCTTGGCGTTCCAGACCCGCGGAAGAAACAGAAAAAGTCACGCCGCTTCAACTGCGCCGCCGGGTTTGCCCACAGCAAGCGTCCGCCATCCTCTGAGACGCCGCAGAATCCGTCGCCAGTTTAGCCAGATCCATCGTTAACTATGGCAGACAGCCCAAACAAACTAGCCGCACCCCACGACCTGCGCGACCAACATGCCGCAGCACCGCCCACGGATCCAGAACTCGAGTCGCAGCTTCATAGCCTCAATGCCGTCCAGTCGCTCTCCTCTTCGGCTGTTGATTCGTTACAGCAGCAGCAACATCAACAACATCATCAACAACAGACATCTCGAACAGGTATCTCGTCACGAGGGGCGTTTGACACGGGCCTAAGCAATGACGTGGAAGGGCACCTCTCGCCCGCTGTGCGGTCGGCTGGTCATGGGTTGGAGCAGATGGAGCAGTTGGGGCAGGTTGACATCACCTTTCCCAGCGACGGGATGGTTCTAAGCACACCGCACGGCACCAGGCACTCGCAACATCCCGACACGCAGATGCCAGAGACCTCTGGCCATCAATTTGTATCGGCGACGAATAACGACATGCAATTCGCGCCATTCACCCAGCACCCACTGCCGCAGAATATGATACCCCATTTCCAGACTCCGACTCACCCGAATATATCCCAGGCGGGTAGTAGTATTGGTGAAGGTCATTTTAAGAATATGAAATCCATTCCGAACCCGCCTGATCTGCAGAAGTGGAGAGAGAAGCTGTTTAATGTGGAGGACACTATTGTCATGAGTGAAGAAGAGTAAGTGCGTCAGTTTAAAGGTGTAAGCCTTCTTGTTAACATGCGCCAGGTTCCAAACATATTTCCCCCATGTAGACAATGTCTACTCCCACCGCTCTACGCAAAGATACAAGCGCAAGCCCTTTGTATCTCACTACTGGGACTGTCGGTTAAAAGGGCGGCCACCAGGAACTCCCAAGACCCATGATCCCAACAAGAAGAAGAGAAAGAGAACGGCCCGAGAACGAAATCTATGCGATGTCAAGATCAAGATCACTGAATACTTTCCGGGTGCCATGACAGCTTCTCAGGACCTCTCCTCGGGGTTTGAACAAGCTTCCCAGGGCACTCAGCAGTCCGATTTACTAGTAGTACCGGGCTCTTCAAACGCACATCTGGATGGGTCTCAACCATTTGGCGTGCTAACTCCTAGCGCAACCTTACCGCCAGGCCACCCCGGTGTAACGGGAGCTCGGTACTATACAATTCAACGTGTGAATGGAAACGGAGGAAATGGGAGATCGGATTCGGTTGAGGGCCCTCACCGGCATACACTCGAAGAGAGTGACCGTATCAAGAAGAATAGCGTACAGAGAAATTTACTCAAAGAGGAAAAGGGTAAAAAGAAGTCAATAGTACGTTAAATTTCTATCTCACACTTCCCAGATATCACCTTCGAGCTGTTGACCAGACTGTCTAGGCTCAGCAAAAGTCATACCATAGCCGTGCATCTGGTTATGCATATGCCACCGTTAAGAAACATATGAAGGAGAGTGACTTGAAGCTCTACGGGAGCTGTTTCTGGTATGTTTGAACATGAGCCATCTCATCAGCCAGGCTTTGCAGCTAATGCCCTTCTAGCCCCTTTGTACAGCGAGTATGGGTTGCTCTCGAGGTTAAAGATATACCGTATCAGTATATTGAGATAGATCCATATAAGAAGCCGGACTCCCTCCTCGAAGTCAATCCTCGTGGCCTTGTACCAGCCATTCGACACGGTAATTGGGGATGCTATGAGAGTAGTGTACTCCTTGAATATGTACGTTCATCCTAATGCTGAGTCGTTGGCAGTCCCTATTGACTAACCCATGTTATCTCTATCAGCTCGAGGATTTAGACATTGGCAAGCCCTTGTTACCCCCCGGCGATCCACAGCTTCGTGCCCATTGTCGCCTATGGGTAGACCATGTACGTACTTATTTCAATGCCTAACTCCAAAATTTATCGTAACTAACCACGCCATGATTACAGATAAACCGCCATATAATTCCTTGCTTCTATCGGCTGTTACAGGAGCAAGACCTGGCTAAACAGATTTCCTACACCGAACAACTAAAGGATCACATTAGTAAACTTGTCAACGCCTCACACGTCCATGGACCTTTCTTCTTAGGCCGCAGCATCTCGTTCGTCGACATCCATTTTGCACCCTGGATGCTACGGCTGACCCGAGTGCTGAAACCGTACCGTGGTTGGCCTGACCCAGAACGGGGGAGCCGATGGGCTGCGTGGATGGAGGCTGTAGAGTTAGATGAGCATGTCATGGCTACTACGAGTTCAGATGACTTGTATTTGGACAGCTACCAGAGATATGCAGGCGAGTAGCATTAGCATCTATTCCACTGTCTAGATTGGTTAACTAATAATACATTCCATTTTAACAGAAAATCGACCGAATACGTCTCAGCTAGCAAACGCTATCAATGCTGGACATGATTTACCCTGAGCAAGAGAAGGACCTCGGCTCTGGTGTATTACTACCAGGCATGGCAGTTATTCTTGTATTATATCGTTATATTATGTCCAATGCTGATGAGTGCTGTATTTCGCTTTGTACAAAAAACGAGGGTAGTCATTCCCAACGCCAAAAGTAATACAAAAATGTAAGTCCTTAACTTGCGAGCAAGTCAGAACTTGGTAGCTCTCTGACTACGAACCGTTGGGCCTCATCTCTGGTTCCATTCCCAGTGCGTATATATCGGGCACCAATCTAGGAGCCCGCAGGTTCATCTATGGTTTCTTTCATTGATCAAAAAGGCAATTCCTAGGCATGACCCATGTGTTTAAAATAGGCCTCCTGTTTAGCGAGTTAACCGCGCGTGGGAATACTTTAGCCCCAATCGGGCTCCTTGTTCTTGGTGACACGTAATCGATGCCCCATATCCTAACGTACTCGACGTAGACCGGAGAAATACCCTTAATGGCCGTGCTAGTACTCGTATATAGAGTGGTATTTCTGTGGCCTAGCTACTAGATGTAGCCTTGCTGATACCCAATATCTTTCGTTGTGATGAAGACTTGGGTCGTCGCAACCACATGCAATTATCTTATGTGATGCTTATCACGAGTTGTAAGTCATCCACCTCTTCCACCTCGTGAGGGGAAGCCGCCGAATCCGCCTCTCCCACTCGGGTCTGGCCCCCTGGGACTCCTGATGGGCATCTGGGGCTGAGTATATTGAGACGGCAACTGCGGCTGAACCTGATGTTGCGATAGAGAAGCATATGGCTCTTTACCCTGTTCTTTCTCCTTCCGCTGAACATAGTTTGAACTTGCTTTGGGAGCATAATTTGGATCGTATAAACGGCCTGCGGGTTTTGTAGATGCGTTGGAATTTTCTCTTTCCCTTCTTTCTCTACTTTCTCGATTTCCCCCAGTACTAGATCTGTTATTTCGCCCTCTTCTCTTACCCTCTCCACCTTGGTGATGCTGCCCCTGACGCGGAGGTGTGACGTTACCAGGAGACGATGCCCCTGAGCCTGGGGTTGAACTGCCAAACAGTCTTTCTCGAACCTCCTCGTACTTGCGTTGTTTTTCTTCCCTCTCCTTTTGAGCCTTTGCAACCCTCTCTTCATATGTAAGTTGTCCGGGCTTTCTTTCAAAGTCTTCATCATCGTCATCCACCTGACCCTGGTCTCCTATCGATAATCCCTGGACTCCAGATTCTAGACCTGATTTATTGCTTTGGGGTTTGCGCGCAAGTACTCTCATAGGTGTTTTATATTCTGACTTCATTGGGATGGTAGACCGAGACTCTAGGAAATGAAAGGTTTGTGGTGCTTCACTAGAGCCTATGTTAGACCTGGAAAAGATAGAACTTTAGGCTTCGCAAGGCTGCTATAGGGTAAATCTCACGCTTCGGCCCATAGCTGTCTGTTGAATTCAGCATGTTCCGCTCGACGCTGGGCTTTTGCGGCTCTTGCGGACAGCTTCTTCTCGGGTACCGGCTCCGAAGGTTGTGGTGCCTGTTTCTGTTTTTATAAATCATAATCAGTTTCATGTATTCTATTGTATTCATATATTAGACCGAGCTGATAGCTTGAGAGCGTACATCGGCAATACTCTCCCAGTCCTGGTCCCACGCATCTGGGATTTGGTTTTGCCGACTCATGGTAAGACCAGACAAGATACAGAATCCAGATAGCCGTATAACAGTAAACACTCCTTCTATCAGCCCAAATATCGCTGTATAAACTCGTCAAGGACGCTATTAAAGATGCCTTCTATGCAGGGGCGCTGTAAGTCGTCGAGGATATGATGGTGGAGTCTTTTCGCAAAGTTCTTTGGCAAGTAACGCATAGGAATGGCAAATCACACTATATAAGAGGGAAACAGGTCTTATGTACTTGCAAGACGCAGGAAAACAGGGTCACTAAATGTTTAAGTCTTGATGTTTTTTGAACTTCAGCTTTTTGGTTCGTTTTGAAAGTCGAAAAAAAGAGACGAATCACGTGATATAGTTATCGATAAGAGAAGACGAAGAGATCAACTTCAGATCAACTTCATATCAGTTTCTGGCTAAGAAAGACTGTTCGGTGGACGAGGATAGGATCAATTCTACGGGATATAGCTTACACGATGGCAGGTAGGAGCAGTATCAGCCGTCAATCCATAGGTAGAAAACTCGCTAACACCGAAACAAACTGCTTCTAGACGATTTCGACTCGGAGATGCTCTCTTCTACTTCCTCATCCCCCTCCGCGAGAAGTGTCCCTCAGACCCCGGCAGGAAACGGGTTTCGGGATAATATATCCGGAGTAGCGATGCCGGAGCTCTCGCCTCCTGGGTCTCAGGGCCCCACGACTCGAGAAGCAACCATGACGGGCTATAACGAGAATGTAAAAGAGTCTACGACATTGGCAGGCCAGTCAATGAATCCTAACCTGAGTGAGGAGGCGGCAGAAGCGTCGACAAGCCAGCTGCCTTCTATACTGCGGGAGGAGCCCGGCGCATCATGGATGAGCAAGAAAGCAGACGAAGAGGCAAAGAGAGCGCTAGAGTTTGTCGTGGACAAGGAATTTAGCCTGAGTATGTTTTATCCGGTTGATTTCAAATTCCTCATGCGGGAAATACCGTCGGTTTACTAACGTTTTCCGGCCACAGAGGAGTTTGGGGACCCGTTTGACGATAGAGATATCAACCCGGCCCAGACTAAATAAGATGAGTAACAGACATGCCGAGAGACGACCTTTTTTACGACGTAATGCCGAGGCGTTTAAGATGGTTTACTGTAGTTCAACGATATCGGAAAGCTGTGGCTTGTGTGGAGGCCTTGGTTGGCACGGCAACGACCTTGCTAGCAGGGGATGAAAACATAAAGAAAAAAAAAAAACGCGCCAACTCATCCAGGCCGATGACAGGAATAGTTCAGCTTGGTTGAATAACAAAATACACGCATCATAACCTCTCTGTTATTGTTTTGTGGTCTTGTGTTTGATTCTATATCGATATTTATTCCTTCGTCTCACCTTGAAGCCATCGATACGTTATCCCTTTACACGCAAATTGCAATCACAGCGAACGAGTGTCACAGAACAAACCGTCATATTATTCCCGCAGCTTGAGTAATTTTATCGATACTCTCCAGTGAACAGCAAGAGAATGGGGCAAGATACTATGCGATCTCCGAGACGGTATGAATCTTCACATTTCAAGTCGCTCACTGCCTCAGGCGCAGACAGATTCACACTCAGTTTATGCAGAGACACGTCGACTGGCATGCAAGATCTAATAATAATAATAACTAATACGCATCGCAGAAAGAATCGCCTGTTCGATCATGACCGCTTCAGGTTCACTCCCGTAGCAACGTCGAAGAAAACAACCCGGCTTTGGGATCGCAAGCCCACAACGCCCGTCCTACCGCGCTCGAGGACACAGAAGATCTGGAAGCGACATCTTGGATCTACGTCATTAGAAGGGAGCAATATGCATGACACTTATACGTTTTCTACGGAGATAAACTTGGCTGCGACTCTGGCGGCGCTACGTGGCGTGAAGAGACAGCGACTGGCGCATACCCCAGACTGCGAGCGTGGACGGTCATTTTTGGAAACAAAATGGGAAGAGCAGGTTGAAGACAGGAGACGTAAGTGGTTTATTTGCTACTTCTGCTTGGTCCCTCCTTACTAGTATGCTGATGGAGGGTACTGATTTGTTGTCATTTAGGGAAATACGTTGCGCCAGCGAAGGACGCTGACGATGCGCGAACAACAGCACCAGCCGGCTGTTTGGCTCGAGAGAGGAGTGAGGACGAGCATATGGAGCTGCCTGATGAAGAGGCGGGCTGTAGCAATCCCAGAGAAACTCCGCAACTTGAGAAGACGGTATCAGAGGCCCTTATGCCGCCAGAGGAGAGAACGATGCCAGGAGGAATCAACCAAGACAAACCCGGCACTGCCTACGCAGAGGGAGCTGAAGAGGAGACCTACTTTGATGCCGTAGCAGAACCTATGGCAGTTGTTCCGGAGCAAGGAGATAAACCGCCCCAGGCTGCGCCGATGCGTAGGATAGCTATTCTAGACGGCGATGATGCAGAGCTCATTTCCGAGTTTCTGTCCAAAGCACGGGCTAAGAGAGCTGCTATCATGCCGCTTAAAGAAAATGCTAGAGTCGACTGTGTCCCTGAATCACCAATTTCTAGCTCACGGCGTGCCCTAGAAGCCGTAGATGGCAACTCACCTCGCTCGCATAGACGGCATGCGTTTCCGGAAAGGCCTCACCCCCCAGACTTCTACTTTAACAGACGACCACCCCGTATCGGATCATCAAAAGCGGTTGGAACGAGAACCATTGAAGCAGTATGGGAGGGACCGGTCATCCCAAGCTCGCCTATGGTTGAAGTGACGGTTGAGCATGGCCGTCATGCCCCCAAGGTCCCGGATCAGATCCCAACGCGCCGTCGAAAGGGCACTGAATTCGTGTTTATGCAGCGAACAGACGACCAGCAAACGGCTCTTCTGACCAAGGCCAACACGAGACTGAACAAGGGTAGCAAGCCTCCTCACAAGCTGCTTCCCATACTCAACAGAGCCATTGCCGCTCTGGAGGCGGACCCAGAAGACGGTCAACTCCGGCAACGAGACCAGTCAAAGAAGCAGGTCAAATGGAACGACGAAGCTCTGCTTGAGTACTGTGGAGAGGAGAAAGTCCCCGAATTCGACTCGGAGGTTTACCAGAATTCGCAGGCCATCGAACGGAGCCTGCGTTCATCGAGTAGACGAAATACGAACAAGGCAGAGCAGCCGGCTGATGCCGTGGAAAAGGGCAAACAACATGAACGCCCAGCTCCGTTCCTACCACCAGCACCAGCGACCCCGTATCGTTCCACGCCTGTGCCGAGAAAGATGCGAAAGCTGGTGGGCGCCAAACATCTGGATGTCCATCCGAACGAAGGTGAGAGCCCACCGGTCACCCGCATCAATCTGTCTGTGAAGTCCTCGGTAGTGCTCCCAGGCACTCCGCTCCGGCACAAGAAGACGTTCTCGTTGGCGCAGGGCGTTCCGCGCACTCTGTCCCTGAAATCGGCGAAGGCAACCACGTCAACGACATCGGGATCCAGCCTTGCCTACCCAACCGTGTTACTCCGGAAGCAAACGAAATGAGAGCTATGCGTCGTACGGTATACAGAGGTTGCGAGACTAGAGGTACAAAAAAGGAATAATACTAATAATAGGGAGTAAATTGAGCTAAGGGGCTGGGATGGTCGTCACAGCAGGGCAGTGTTTGATTTCATCCTCTTGGCTTCTCTATCAGGGCATTCAGGGTTGTATTTGGTGTTACGATCAAGCATTGGTGCGCCTTCTTGGTTGAACAGTTAATTGATCCCGGGCAAGGAGGAGTTTGGGCGGTTTTGGTCATTTTTGTGTGATTCCCGAGAACAAATTGCATTGACATTGATAGTGTTCATATTCAGATTTCTTTTTACTGGAGTATATCCTTTCCCATCTAGATCTATACTCTGTAGTCGTAGGTAGAGACAGGATATATTCTAGGTACATACCATAACTAGCAGCAGCCTCTTAACATGCCCACGTATTAAGAACTAGAAAGCATATAAGGTGAATCCTGAACAAGAGGCTTTGATTCGTTCCTTGACTGGTGTGTTGATATTGCTGGATAGTATAAAGGGCCTGAACTCACTATCGAAGAATATAGCTGAAAGTTCCACACATGCTACTTACTATGAATAACAGTGGGTAGGTTGCAAAAATTGGCTTCCTAGATACTTACTCCCTTTGTTTCTTAAACAAGCTGGGAGTCAGATACCCAATGGGCGCCACCCGCACACCGATACCCGCCGTTCTGTTTGATCCATCTAAACCCGGCGACACAAACCCCCATCTCCCTCAATTTGCGCTGAGCAAGTTCTTCCTTTTTTCTTTTCTGCTCCTCTTCCTGCCTTTTCCTTTCCAGCTCTCTCCGAATGCGTTCCGCCTCAGCCTTTGCTTCTATCTCGCGAATCCTTGCCTCTTCACGAAGGCGTAAGCGCTCAAGAATTTCGGCATCAGTTTTGGCCTTCATTTCTCGCAACGAGGCCGCAGCTTTCTCAGCTTCCTTTTCAACTTCCTCCGCGGCACGCTGGGCTTCTTCTAGTTCGCGGATTTTTAGCTTGCTTTTCTGCGCCTGGACTTCAGCGTCCTTTTTGTCAGTTTGAAGTTGTTCCCAAATGTCATCGGCAACCCCTGCGTCACGACCATCCTCTATGGTAACCCCGGGTTGTGGTTTATCTGGACCTTCGTCTTCTTTTGGTTTCGATACCTCAGACTTTGTTGTTGTCGAAGCACCAATTCCAACGGGAGGCGGCGAATATGAATCATCCTGCGATTTAACTGGCCCTACATACTGTGGTCGTGATGAAGGTGTGACGTTCGCTCTCTTGCACCGGTCGACCAACATGTCCCGGAGGCACTTCTGGGCTACCTCGGCCGGTAAAATGAGCTGGTCTACCTTGGTGGTATTACTCTGATATACGGCCCGAACCATCGCCTTCGCGAGCGACTGAACATCCCTCGCGTTTCCCCAGCCAGGAAGCTTGGACATTTGTGCAATTTGTTCTTGAAAGTCCAGATAAATTGATGGGTCATGCATTCGTGGGAAGGCGACTTGGCTTTGCTTGAGCATGTCCTCGAGTAGCTGAAGGCAGTGTTTTGGGCTTAGTGATGGAAAAACTATCTCGTCTGCAAAACGGCTGCTTAGCCCCTCGTTCACACGGAGGAGATTATTCATATCGTTATCGTAACCTGCAAGAATTATGATAAGCTTTCCTGCGAATTTGGGCTTGGTGATATTGTCAACGAGCTCGTCTATTGCTTCCTGGGCGAATTGACCTTGGCCGAGCCTGTAAGCCTCATCTATAAAGAGGACTTTGCCTAATCCGCGCTCGAGTTGCTTTATGGTCTTTGGTCCGGTGTGGCCGACGTATTGACCGATTAGATCAGCGGAGGAGCATTCTACCACTTCAACCTGCGATAGGAAGCCAAGATCATAGTAAATTTGACCAAATTTTCGCGCTGTGGTGGTTTTTCCAGTCCCTAACTCGAGTTAGATTGTCTAGAATAAAGGAGGCAGTATGAGAAAAAGAGGTTTGATTACCAGGTGGCCCTTTAAATATGAAATTCATTGGTATATGTCCACGAGGATCAAGGCCTTGAGCTCGCATCCCTCGAGCAACTCTCAAAAACCCATCTAGCTTCGCTATGATTCCTTCACAGCCAACCACACCCCTGAAGAGCTCCTGCAGATTAGTTTCAGCTCCAGCGGATCGGTCATAATCCGGGTCAAAATCTTGTGGCTCGAATATGAAGTCAGAGGATCTCTGTGCAGCCGGCAAAACAGATTGTCGAGTCTGATAACTAACTTTAGCTTTCGATATCAACGTTTCGACATCTCCGCCATTTCCGAAATTGAGTCCGTTGCGCAGACGGGCCAAAACATCAACAGCCGTAGACACGGCTTTCTGCGTTGCGCCCAAGTCCTGCTTTTTAAGTTTCAGTTGTAGAATCTCCTGCAGCTCGGAATCACTGAAGTCTTCAAACCGAAATGCATCCGAAAGTTGAAATCTTCGGGTAAGGCCTGGATTAACGTTCTGGAACATGTCCAGCATCTGTGATTCGTATCCAAGGAGTAGCACACATCGATCGTCCCCTGGCACACTTTGGACTTCCGCGACAATAGTGTCAATGACAGCGGTCTTAAATATATCGGTGTTGCCTCCCCCTGTTGAACCAGATCCGGAGTAGAGCATATAAGCTTCGTCAATAATAAGGACTTTGCCGACAGTGGTAGCGAGTATGGCTTTTGTGTTTGCTTCGGACTGGCCAATAACGTTACCAATAAAATCGGACGGATTCTTGACGACAACTTAGAAAGAAAAATCAGTAAAAGTTATACTAAGACAGCTTTTCCTCCGAGATCTTACCTTCACCACTACTTAACATCCCAATATCTGCGAGAATTTGACCGTACAGTTTGGCGACAGAAGTTTTTCCAGTTCCTGGCGGGCCAAGGAAGATACGGTTGAGAGATACGTCGATTATCTCCTTTTCGTCTAACTCCCTGACATAGTTTGTCTTGATAAGGTCAATCATTGTCCTGATAGACTTCTTGACAGATTTTAGACCAATCATTTGCTGGAGCTGGGTCCAGGCGTTGCAGGTTAAGATCACTTTTGACGGATCAGGCCCGATGAGATCCTCCTTGCTTATATGATAGTCATCCGGACTACTCCCTTCCTTCCTTTGCTTTGTTAACCGTTCTGATTGTCGCTCCCGAATCTGAGCAAACATATTCTCTAACGCTCTGGCATTACCGAAGCCATCGCGCCCCCGTCCTCTCCCTAATCGACGAACGGCAATCCGCATATATAAACCATCAAAACCATCCTCGACGTCAACTCCATGTTTAAAGAATCGGTTCATTTGAAACTGTAACATCTTCAAAAGTTCTGCATCGGTATAGTCGTCAAAGTGGAGAGTGTAGGGTATACGACTAGAAAACCCAGGGTTATGTTCAAAGAATTTCTCCATCTGCTTCCGGTATCCAGCAAAGACAAAAACTACTCGCCCAGTGAGGTTCTCAATTTCGGCAAGCAAAAAATCAAGTACCGGTTTACCACCATGATTGTGCGTCTCTGTAAGCTGGTAGGCTTCATCGATGAAGTATACACCGCCCTCTGAATTTTCTAATTGCTGTAGGTGATTTTTGACCTCAGTAATGCCGCCGTGCGCAAGACGTGAGCCGGTGGTCTCGATGAAGCCATCTCCGGGAAGGACTTTCAGCGAGCTCAGTGCCTTCGCGTAGTGCCTTGCAACAGTTGTTTTACCTTTTGATCGTTAGAGTAATAATACTTCAGGGGGGCTGATTAGAGAACAGACCTGTGCCTGGATTTCCTAGGAGGGTGAGCCCAAGGCGTTCCTTCTTGAGATCGGCGTCCTGGCGGAGGGAAGTTTCGACCTTTGCTTTGATTTTCAGAACCTGGCTTTTCACATGCTCCAGGCCAACCATCTCCATGATCTTATCGATAGCTGGATTTTTTGCATTTTCTTGGTCCTTCTGGCGTTGCCATTCTGTCTTGGAAGGGGACTCGTTATGCTCGACGGCCGATTTTAAGTGCTCGTGAACCCGTAAACGCGTACTTGGTTTGTTCGGGCTGGACTTAACTGCGGGCAAAGGCTTTGATGTGATTTTAAGGCTTTCACTGGTGGGGATTGAAGCTTGTTTAGAGTTATCTGCTTGATGAGCGGTCGTTTGTTCCATGTTAGCCCGATCCTTGGCAGCCGCAAGGTCCTGTCGTTTTTGAAGAAGAATAGCCTGTCGCTCATGATCTAGCCGCACTTCTTTCATCTTCCGGTTGATCTCTTCAATGGCTTCGTCTACCTTTGCAACTTCTTCTTGATGTCTTCTCGCCTTTTCCTCCCGCTTTTCTTTTTCCTCTAGGGCTTTTTGGGCCTTTTTTAAGGCCTCCTTTCTGTCACGCTCGCACTTCTGACAAGCTAGTGGTGCACCACGGTGGCACCTCCAGGATTGACTATGTCCATTGGAACACTTTTGAGTCAAAGGGGCCTGGCAAAGAATTTTAGAATGATCGAACAGCTGGTGGCAGCTACTCGGGCATTTATGAAGGCCGCATTTCAGCATTTCGCCACTAGTACAAGTTAAAAGTACGATCTTGACTGGCTATATATCACGGTAGAACATACCAGGGCTCTGTACATCCCCCATCTGGGCATTCTGCCTCGAAATCTTCAGTTTTACAGAGCAAAGCCGTTCGATCTGGATGTTTCTCACATCTCACGGGAAATCCTTCGTAGATGTGTCCGTTTTCTTTCAGGTGAACGAATAATTTTCGCCAAACATCCTTACCTTTGCGAGCATGCATGAAGGTCTCAGAGTTTCCAATCATGATCAGACCATCCCGTGCACGGGAGAGCAAGACATTCAAACGTTCAGGTGCTGCCATAAAGCCGATATCAGATGACTTATTGCTTCGGGTCATCGAGGCCAAGACGATATCGCTCTCTTCACCTTGGTAGTTGTCTAAATCAAAGGTTTAGTATGCTATTAACTAGAAAGAAAAAAGGGATGGTCTAGTAGAAGAGATTAGGAATTATGGTAACGGGGAATGCCATTTGGTGAAGTATTTGTAATAGATGAGCAGATTAGAAGTATGAGATAGCTGAGGGAAATGATCCAAGTATACTCACCGATGGTTGATATACGGAGCGATGGCTTTGTTGTCTTTAAGCTAAGGTCAGTCAATAACCCTGCACGTACTAAGTCAAACTTGTCGAGGTCATTGAGTATGGGGTCATTTTCTTTCGCGAGGTGCTCTCTCAAAAGCTTCAGCTGCCCAAGATAGGGCGTAATAACGACTAGTTTGTCGGAGGTATAACCCTGCTGTGCCAAATACCGAACGCACTTTAATATCATCTGCGCTTCAAATGCATTTTGCTTCGAGGTGGTTCTGCCATCCCTCAACTCCTTCGAACTCTTCAGTTCAGCTTCTGGTTTGGAGTGATTAACAAATATAACATTATCGCAGAAGCCGCGAATATTGGCCCGGTTGTAGGTTGAGTTAGCATCGGTAAGGTCAGAGTAGGTTAGATGTCGGATCATGGAAGAGATCTCCGGCCTCATACGATGTTGCTTTGTGAGAGTGACGTGCGGAAAGCCTTTACGGACAAGCCTTTCGAACAAAGATCGATTGAGGTCGAAACCGTCACCCTGGTCAACACTGAGCTCATATGAACACTTAGGACGAAGTTGCTTATGATCTCCGATCAAGATCAATTGCTCAGTATGCAGCCCTAAAGAGGTCAAGATGTGAGCTTCCAAGATCTCACCAGCCTCTTCAACAATGATGACGCCTGGTGCCGCATTTTGTATTTCCGCAGAGTATTTGGCGGCCCCGTTTGTAGTACAAGCAATAATCCTCTTAGTTTTTATAATACCCGCATCTCTCTCTCTAAATAATCTGTCAAGTTCAGCTCGATCCAAGTTAAACTGCCGTCCGATATCCCGAATCTCCATAACAAGATCATCTAGGATAGCTGTCTGCCAGCGAACTAGAGTGGATTGTCTTAACGCAAGTGGCATTTTCCAAACCGCATCGGCACCTATCGGCTGTAAATTTTGGAGAGCTCCAGCGTTACTTTCACCCCTGATCCACCGATCGAGAAGGTAGAATGGGCTCATGGCTTTTCCAGCTTTGCCAATCCGAGTCGTGCCATTCTCGGTTTCTGGGACCGTAAAAGTGTCATAGAATGGAAGGTCTTCAGATAAAAATTCAAGAAACTCCATGAGATGTTTTTTCTGAATATTGGCAGTCTGGTAGCGGTTAAAAACATCCTTCAGTTTTCTCTCGCTATGGCATATGCTTCGTTTTAGCGTATCAATCCGAGCCCATTGCATTCGGGTGGACTTTACGCTGGGCATTTCTCGAATCATCAAGGGCCTCGTCCGGTCCGTCGATTTGCCCCCTAGACGAATCATAGCCGATTGTGGAATCCCAATATCCATTAAGTCCTCGAGAAATTGATCTAGGGCATGGTTGGTGAAACAAACTACCAGAATCTTCTCAGACGTTGAGTCGTGCAGGGCCTTGGTTATCAAGGCACCAATAAAGGACTTTCCAGTTCCTGCTTTCCGTTAGAAGCGAGAGTTGGAATGGAGAGCACTTTAACACTTACCGGGTGGACCTTGAATTAGACTAACGCGTTGAAATAAGCTATTGCAAAGAGATATCATTTGTGAATCGTCTAGAATAACCTTTTTCTTGAGGCCTAAGAGACCTTGCACACTCTTACCAGAGAGCTCTTTGAGTGCAGTGATTAAGGTTGTCGGCTGAAAAGATGGGGCCCCGATGGTTTTACCTTCCTCCCAGTAAAGCAGCTCTTCCGCTAGTGGTAACTCAACCATCTCTTGCAAGCGTCGCAAGAATGGCTCAAATGCAAATATTGCTGCATCGAGCTGGGCTAATTTAACACTTTTAGCTGTCTTCATCTTAGACAGGGCATATGAGAGCGTTAGATCATCAGGGAACTGTACAGCGATTGTAGCAGGGTTATCAAGGAGCCTGTCTTCATCTCGATGGATGGTCGGAAACGCTACTGGCTCGTCATCAATCATCAGACACGCCATGTTTCCGTGCCGTAAAATGTGCCGGTTGTCTTCCAGAAAGTCTTTCTTCTTCTCCTTGGTAAGATTCTTCAATTGGGGGAACTCGCCATTGCATTTGAGCACGACACACCACGGTAAGCGCTTACGGTCAGTACCCGTCTCCACTCCTGCAAGAGAAAGACCGCCCAGAACGATACCTCTGTGGCGGCCACGCTTTTCCCCTGACATTATTTTTAGCTCATCTCGTATTTCACAGAGCATATCTTCGCGAAGAAGCCGGAACTGATTATCTAGATGCATGTCGCGGCGTGAAGATACAAGCTCCGGGTCGTCGATAAAGTCAGCGGTGCGGAGAAAAGGGCGGTCCTTTGACAAAAGCTCATCTGCAGTAGGCATGATTAAAATCTCCCTATGATTCGCATGATCGTTGTCATGCCTGCCACCAGGTGAAGAACCTTCGGTGTCGTGAAGTTCCGATGCATCCAGCGGTAAGGCATGTTTGATCTTCTGTCCTAGGATGCGAGTTTCTCCGTTCGGTGATGTTAGTATTGATTCTAGTATATTCTGTGAATTTGCTACTGCAGCGTAGGGTGATGATGCCTTGCCAGGCAAGCAGATGAGCTGTAGCAGTAGCCATGCGAAGGCGTGGCAAGCATCTGGCCCAAGTAAACCATCCACGAATGATTGTATGCAAGCATCCCAGAAGAATGGCGGCTCTACCATGCTAAGCAGTAACTGGTTAAGAATCGACCCGGAGTCGATCAATTTTAGGGACGGTGACTGAAGGTACTGAAGCAATGTCAAAGCATTCTCATTTAGAAATGAGGGAGAAGTATCGAATCGCACTGATGCTTGGAGGGCGGGAAGCCCTCCCTGGCTGGAAAGGAGCTTGTGGGCACAAGTTGCTGGGTCGGTCTGAGCACACAAGGCCTCGATAAAGAGCTTGCCGTCACGCGCGGTAGACAGTGTTCTCTGGCCGTGGACGACCTTGTTGAAAAAAGCCGAGAGCCTCACGGTTCGAGCATCATCTAGGTTCGAGGAAGCCATGTTCATCAACTAGGAGCACAGCAGCGCATAAATCAACCGCAAAGGAGTCTTCAGGCTCTAAGCTCAGAGAGTGGGAACAGAAAAACATTCGCGGTCCAAGAGGGTGTTAAACAAAGAGTGCTAGTCAAACTGGGAAATTCCATATTGTAGCTGGCAATAGGACAGCCATTTGACCCTAGACTGCTGCCTGGCGGGGTTAAAAAATGTAAGGCTGCTGAGGCGAGTTCTTGGACAGCATCGTGCAGATGCTCCCCCTCCCCCTTATTGGTCATCCTAGTAGCAGTGGTAGCCTTGAAAGCTACTCTACCCCCTCCTTAGACACGTCTTTTTCAAGTCCTTGGATCAACCTCATCTTATTATTCAAAATCAGCGTTCCAGAAAATGTCTTTTCGCGACGGCTTTTACAAAGGGCGAGAAAAACGAGGTTCATCGTGGCGCGGCAGCGGCAGCGCTAGAGTGGAAGAGCCGCCAGCTCCACCAAATAAACCTTTTGGTCCCACAATCGATAGCATCGACATCAAGACGCTGTTGATCGAGGAGGCTGCTCCCAAAATCAAAGACGTTGAGTATATCGCATCCTATAACTGGCTCAACGGCAAATCTCCCACTATTTTGGTCCCAGGTCAGTCAAAAAGCCACCCTCGGTCATTGAGGATCGAAGATTTTGGGCAAATTTCTCTAACCTACGGAATACACTCTGTATATATATACAGGCTCTCCACCAGCATGGACCCCACCAACGGAAGACACAAAGCTAAAACCCGACAGTGAGGAAGTTTTCCGAGATATCAATGCGGCTCGATACGCATCATACCCTATGGAGCCTGCATTTCGCTCACTACAAGCTATGAAACCGGAATACGACCTACAGTCAATAGATATTGCCGGATGTGGTAGCACATTTGGGAACCTCCTGAGGTTTGCAAGGTCAGAGTCGAGGCCATTTCGGTTTGATGTGGACGTTATTAGTGACACCGTACTCTTCGTCCGTCGAGAAAGCTCCCCTACTGAGGTCATCACGAATTTACATGGCTATGGCCATACTTTTCCTGATGCGTATACAACGTGGGATATGGAAGTTCGAAACTCATGCTCTCACCAACGCATCATTAGGTATGATTTTGGCGGCCTGGAGTTCCTTGTCCGGACCGAAACAGACGGCTATATCAAATTGCCCGGTACAGATGCACCATCGAGGCCCTCAGAGCCTGCAAACGAGCCATCAGTCACTGAAGAGCTTGGATCTATGTTGATGGTCAGCGGAGAACCTGCTCATGACCAGAAACTGAAATTAAAAATGAAAGGCAGGTTGATACCTCAGCAGCAGATTTTTGATATAAAAACCCGTGCAAGCTACAGGTTATTCGACATGGACGAGATCCTTCCGCGACTTTGGCTTAACCAAACACCCAAATTTCTAATCGCCTATCACACGTCTGGTCTCTTCAATAACCCAGGGGTTAAAAATATCAGGCAAGATGTCCTCCAGTGGGAACATGATAATTCTGCCATCTTGGCACGTTTCCACTCCCTTGTTAGCAGGATCGTGGATGTTGTTCGGGATTCTGATTCCAAGCAATGCGAAGTCAGCTGGGACGGCCAGGGGCCCCTACTCATTACGAGCCAGATTGGTGAACCGAGGCGAGCCCTTCCACTTGATCTTATACAGCTCTTCCCAAGCCAAACATAAGCTTGATCTTAAGTAGAATATGAACAATGAATTTCAGCTAGGTCCCTATCCACAGCCCTTATTTCTCACATTGTTCCAGCCTTTCTCCGATGTTGTAGACGAACCGGCGTGCCGCACCTGCAGTAATAAATACATAAACCAGGGTGTTATGACTAGCGTCGTCAATCTTAGCGTTGGCAGGCAGGCCTCAGAATATCAGTTCTCGATAGAGTTGCAAGTGCGATGACAGATCTCCAAGAACCCATCTTGGCAGGGCTATTCCCATGAAAGTAGTACAATGTAATGGTCATTTTACTTGTTAGCACTATACAAGATAAAGTACTCGTAACAGGGGCCACAGGGGCCAACCTATATCCGAATAGGAGTAGCTTGGCATATGTAGCCAGGAAAGATGATAAGATCAAGGGCAAGCCAATTTTACACCACACTCTATACTATCGGTGACACGTCAGTATGCATGATGGCTGCGTCTCTATTTAAGGGCACCAGAGACCGCAACTTGCATATGGTTAGTGTTACCACTGTATATACTTTTGCTAGACGAAATATATTACTTACGACTGTAAGTATGTATTGATATTTGCCTTATAAAAGTTGCGGCTGATAAAGGGAACCGCAAAGCATATACCGTCATTAGAGATTGAGGAAATATATTAGTTATAACAAAGACCTGGGCTCCCGATATACCTGACCATCTAGATAATTCCGCCAAACTACACGCTATGAATATTTATGTCTTTCAAGAACGTTCCATTGAGAATCTCAGGAACTTTGATATATTCATTGAGAATTTCTGAAACCTTCGGGCTGCTACATCGATAACAGTTGCCACCAGGGATATATGGTCTAAGACCCCAGCGCACAAAGTCGTCTTCATAAAAACTTAGCGACTCCGGGCCGTCCAGTATATCCGTCTGCTCATGGTCAATGAACCAGCTAGCAACATTAGCATAGATAGATATAACCATCCGTGTGCGTCAGGCTTACCACTTATTCTCCTGCTCATCATAGATGATATTCTCTTTGCGTGGGTCCTCAGCATATGCATTATACGACAAGAAGTTCCTACCAAAAAATTCAGCCTCCGACATGAGCGTAGTAGATATAGGGAAACATACGTATAACCTCTGCGAAATGCTTCCCGTATCTTCTCCCGTTTCGCTTCGTTATACCGCCAGAAATCTGTCAAAGGAGCTCCGGGGCACTTCTGCATAATCAATATGACGACATATCCCATTGGTATAGACATTTCTATAGACTGATAGTGATTAACCCGATATAAAAGCTGGGGAACCACACTGCACCTTTTTTTATTGAGGTGAGTTAAGGTAAGTATTTCCGTGGCTGTCGGGCCTGGGATACACTCCGTGACAGCCTCCCGAGCACGAATATTTGGATCAGAGTTCGCTGGATATATGTGAGGAACCCTATTGATATACCATATAGCATATATTAGAGCCCTCTCGCGTCGAGTTATATATTTTGCAGCGTGTATCTTAACTTACTGCATCCGAACCTTGATGATGGCTTCCTTTCCAACAGACTGACCCTTCACCTGGTGGCAGTGATATACTGCCTGGGACTCTGCAAGAGCCACATCACGCTCATCATGAAACCTGATAGATTTCTCACTGATCTTTTTATCGAATTTCCACTCGCTCTCGTCGGGGCAGGTGAACGTGCTATCCTTGAACATGTCGCCTATCCAGTTTAGGCAGCCATACCGGCCCATGATGTGCACTAGCGAATATTGTTTAGAAATTTGTATGGGCTGATCGTCCAGCTAAATTTGAGATGTTGCCTGTTTATGTTAATAAGTATTAGTTTACATAAGCTAGTCATAACGTTGAAAATTGGTGTATCGAGAACTGGGCCATGCCAGCTCCCGGCAATGTTGTGATATAGAAGACAAACTAGTCGCGTGAAACACTTCCTGGTTTATCATAATCCCTAAAAGAAGGTAATATGACTTCATCTGCATATGAAGGAAGTTACAGTTTGGTTCTCTCAATCGAGCTATACCTTGAGTGGGAGATCCTACAGATGCCCAGCCTGCGAATCTCATAACATGACCATCTCGTATAATGATGGAAGTTCGCGACTTTAAATTCAAGCGCGAGGAGAACGTCCAATAACTGTTGCCATAAAGGATGCGACTTCTTCCAAAAATTTTAGTTGTGTTCTCTAGTGGAGCGCCACCTTGTAAAAAGAAGTGGAAGCTGGCTAGAATGTGACTGTAAAGGGCAAACTAGTTGACTGCCAATACAATAATCAAGAATAGAACCTGGGCAGATTCAACCGGGACGGCGTTCTCGAAGCTGAGTTAAGATGGCCACGATATCATTAATGATGATTTCTTAAGCCATATACCCACAGAGTTTCAAGGCCTGTGCCTTGAGTATAGTTCGCCATGATATATATGCCCCTTGGTACATTGTACGTACACCTGACTCGAACACCTGGGGTTGGGGTGCGTTCTACAATGTAGAGCAGTGTTTCAAGTCCTGGGAGCTGACACAGCTCCTTTATGACATGGTTCCAACCGGAGTTGGACCTACACCGTAGAGACCCCAAGACTAACTGGGTCATCCTAAATCGAGCGTGGGGAATGATGGCTTTCGAATCAACATTGACGACCTTAGCTGGAATTACTCTTGGCTCTTCAGGGAGGTTGAAAGAAGAGAAAACGTAGGGCTAGGCCCGCATCAGGTGACAAAGCTTAGTTTCCCGCTTGTATAAAAGTCAATTTCATATATGTAAAACAAAGACGGAGACTTTTTCCAGGAGGTCGTATTATTCTCACAGCCTTACTACTTTGTGTGTATATTTTTCTCTCGTACAAAGTGCTCAACAAACTATTCTACACTGCCTTCACTTTCCTCTCTATCCTTTACAATACTGCCATCTGCTCTGCTTCTCTTGTCAACCATCACGAACTGTATATTATGTCATACACGCCGAATAGGGTCTAGCGTGGATCTGCGGTTAAATAAGGTTTTACATGGGAATACGCCCGCGTACCAGCCGGTAATATATTACGTCAATACGACCCTAGGATACGGCTCTACACACTTTACATATTCTTCTACGTAGTGATATCCGTAGACGATAGACATCCGACATGGAGGAGACGGTGAAAGACGCTACTGGGGAGACCTGCAGAGGGTATTTGTCCAAGGGAGAATGAAGTGAGTAGCGTGGCGAGCTAACTCCTTGGTATGAGTAAGTGTTCTATGTAGTGTAAGAGGAAGTGGAGATAGTTCGGCGTTATGGGAGTACAGGCGGTGTCAGGTGACGACCACGAAGCTCCCTCCACTATGCGGCCTTGGCCGTTTTTCTTTCTTCTTCTTCCATCTTGACAACTTCATCTTTTCTTCTCTGCTTCATCTTCTTCTACTCTTCTTCTTCTGCTGCTGCTTCACTTGTTCTAATTGTCTACCTCTTCTACTGTTCTACTGCTACTCTCACTCCTCTACGTTGTATCTTCTCTACGATTCTATAAAAAAATACAGACTAAGTACGCCCTGCAGTCGCCCCTGGAGGAGCGGATCCTCCGTTTTCGCCTCTTCCCTTTGCTTCTACGCCCTTATACCTCTACCTCTACATCTACCTGTTTGTCTGTCTGGGATAAGATACAGTGGCTCTCACACCGGCTCGGTTCGGAGGTCTTGTATAGATAGACAGCTCGAGAAGACTTGGAGACTGGCAGCCAAAGGAGAGAGAAAGAGAAGAGAAGAGAACCAAGTCTCACAGATAAATATTACCTGCTGGGAGAATCTTTGTCTGACTCTTTGGGTGTGCTGTGTTGCCTGCTGGTTGTCCCTCCACAGATATCTATCTGTGCCTTCCTGTTGCCTCTTCTTGTCTTGTTATTATTATTCTCTCTCTGTCTGTCTGTCTGTCCAGATTGATACTGCAAAGGAAAGGATCAATCTATCAAGAAGAAAGTGGACAGCAAAAGAAAGAAAAAAAGAAACAAAACCAGTAGCTGTTCTGCTCTTCATCTCTGTTCTTGCTCTTGTTCTGCCTTCTACAGCCAAAAATTCTACAAGCCAAAGCCAACAACAACAACCGCCACAACAAGCCCATCTATCCACCGAAAGAAAAGAAAGAAAAAAGAAAAAGAGAAAAAGAAGCGGTACTAATCATTATCATCTCAAGTTATAGAACCGGGCCAAAACAATAGTTATTCTATCAGTATACTCCCCGTACATAGCATGACTCCCTCTGACCTCGCTCGATCTCCTTGCCCTCATACTCCTCCCTTGCCCGTCTCTGCCCCCGACCAGAGTAATGACATTGACCTCCCCGATGCCGACGACCTGGAAGATCTCAAGATAGCTGCTCACAAGAGGCAGGACTCCTTCAGCTCCCAGGCTCACTCCCATTCTCGCTCCAGCAGCATCGGAGGCGCCTCCTTTGGCTCCATCGAGGAAGACAATACCGGTACATCTTCCCTTATATATCTTATACCAATATGTTATACTTGGCCCTAATTCGATTATGATAATATGCAGGAATCGCCCAGTCCTTTCTTGACACTAAGGAAAACAATTCTTCTGGTGATAAGGCACACACCGCAAACTGTTCGGCCGTCCAGGTCCAGGAGCCCAAGGCTCAGATTCCCGACTTCTGCTGCCCATGTGGCACCTTTCGAGGATGGAAACAGATTCGTCTTGGGGGGAGGAAGCAGAGCAGAAGCTACAGTGACTTACGGCTCCTTGGAGGAGCTCAGGCAAGAGGATGGGCATGGGAAGAGGAAATCCCAGATCTGGCACCGCCAAAGGTACGGGAGCAGCAGCAGCATCATCAGCAGCAGCAACAAAAGGAGCTACGCCCACCTCTCAGAGAGATCAAGCGAGCCTGTCTTGAGAGGCTGCCGGTAGAGATACTGGATGAGATCATATCGTATCTGGCTCTGGATATCCCACCAAACGGATACACTCCTCGCAATGTAGACTTGATATCATGTCTGCTGACCTGCCGCACTCTGCACTCTGCCACCTTGGGAGTGCTCTACAGGCACATCACCTTTCCCCACTCCATCATCTTCTCCAAGGCTCTCAACCATATTCGCCAGTATCCCTCTCTAGGCACAATTGTTCGACGGCTGGACTTCTCACATTTCACTTCCGTCGGCCTCGGACGCACTCAGCAAATGAACGTTGAGATCCAAAACCTCACTTCCAAGACTCTGCTGCAGTGTCTAGATCTGCTGCCAAATCTCAAGGAGTTGCTTCTCCAGGAACACGTTGAGGACGACGTAGACGGAGATGTTGTTCGCAAGATCTTTATCACCAAGACTCTTCTCCGGGCAATCGACTTCTGCGGCTGCTCGTCTGCAAAATTCTCCTCTGGTTTCCTCAGCGCTGTCACTCAGGAGCCCAACTTCCCCAGTGTCCTTCCTAACCTTCGTCGCCTATCTCTCCATGAGTGTACTGGTCTGCCTGACGAGGCCTTCCAATCTCTTCTACCACGACTCACCAACCTCACCCATCTCGATGTTGCCCATACGCAGATAAGCAACAGCACCCTCTTCTTGATCCCATACACCGCTCGAATCACTCACCTCAACATCTCAAGGTGCACCAAACTTACCGGCCCAGAGGTCGTCAGGTTCCTCACCACTCATCCAGCAGTAACATCCTCGCTAGTCTACCTTAACATCATGGTAGACGCTTCACGACACCGTATCCTTGAGGAGGCTGATGTACCAAACCTCCTACCACACCTCACCTCCACCCTCCGCTCTCTAAACCTAGGGGGTGCCCGTATCTCTTCTGCCCACATGCCTGACCTTCTCAGGCTCTCCAAGCACGTCGAAGAACTCGGCTTATCCTCTGCAGACCTCACTCTAGATGACATAAACTCCTTCTTTGCCCCTCCACCAGATTCCTCCACCGACTCATCCACCCCGACCCCCTGGCAGCCTTCTCACCTTCGCTACCTCGACCTGACTCGTAACCCTTATCTGACACAGGCTGCCCTTTTCAACTCCAAATCATGTCTGCTGGTCACTCCTCAAAGTTATCCACTGCTAGTTATCGAGCTGAGTGAACGAATCATCGCTCCGCTGCGCACGCGTAGCAAGTCTAGCAACAACCGTAGCGGATGGGTGGTTCGTGAACTGGGCAGGAGAGGCTGGTATGTTCGTGAACCAAGCGGTGATCCTGCTATGCCTATTGATGATGGTCAGAGAAGCTGGAAGATGGGAGCACATTGGTGGGGGACCAGGAAGATTCCTGTCTCTGTGGGTGATGTCGGTGGCATCTATGGACATTATATGTTCAAGAAGTGATGGCCATCCTTAAAACACATTATCATCCACTAGCCTACTGCCCCTTTTAACACAATAAACCATGACCGTCAAAAAAAAGCAATAAACAACATAAGATGGAAAAATATAATAATTGAAAGAGTCCGGGTTTCTGGTTCCAGGAGCAAGCGAAATGGAGTTGGTCAGTTAAATGGATTTGCTTCTCTCTATTTTATGTATGTTTTCTCTTGAGCATCCCCTTCCCTGTTCCCTATTAGTCACTCTTCCTACAGATATGTATGATGGCGTGTTATAGGCATTGTGGGTTCACGTTCTTGATATCCTTTCTCGTTATTTCCGTGTATCTCTACTCATTTGTCTTTTGCTTCTCTTCCATTACCAGTCTTGTATTACTTTTTATTTGATATCTTTTATCAGGCTCTCTTTCTCCTTCACAGTCGAATTAAAGCAGTGTGTTAAATATATACCATTTCTATCATTTCGTATGCACACTAATATTTTCACAATCAAGAAAATGTACATATATACTTGATCAGTCCCCATACTGAACAGTATACTCTACATTCTTCTTGATAACTAACTTCGTTTTATCATCGTTCCAATCCGCTTCGGGATTCGCTTCTGTCCCACTCCCCCCTCCAGCAGTAATGGCGGTAGTGATCGTCCTCGCAGCCGCAGCAGGAGTCTCAATAATCGCATCGGACGCAACGGGCCCAGGCCCCACACTAGGCACGGTCCCGTGAGAATCAATGGATCCAGTACCCTTTCTTTCCCCCCTGTTTAAAAACGACACTCGTACCCCGCGGCTAGCGGTGCGAATATGTTTGTGTGTATGTGAATTTGCAGGCGCATGCGTAGGCGAGTGTATAGACCCCATCTCGTGATTTTCGTCCGATGATTGCAGACGTTGATGTTGTGGTGTTGGAGAAGCTGGTGAGAAAAGTGAAAAACGTGTAAAGGAGGTCGAGGTCATAGATTTATTTTCAGATTTACTCGCTATCGATCGAGACAAGGATGTAGAAAGTTGACTCTTTCTTCGAGGTCGCTGCTTTTTTTGTCCCTGTCCGTTGCCATTGCTGTACGGCCTGGAGAGAAAACTGTGCTCCTTCGATCTGGATGTGTGTGTGCCGCTTTCTAGATCGCGTGAGTATCCGTTGTCAACGGTACTTCCGTTACTGTTGTTCTTTGTGCTTTGTAGTGATTGATCGCCTGCTGTGCCGTAGTTTGTGCTCACTGCTGCTGTGAATGGTTTAAGTGCGAAGATTGTGCAGGCGATCACATTGTAGTTGAGATTGATTTGGGTCCAGACTGATGAGTCGATTAGGTCCAGGGTGAGGTTTGTATGGTCGCTGCATATGTTGAGAAAGTGAAGCCTTATTATGGAGAGAGCGATTATTCTGTGGACGTACGTTAATATCGGTTTTTTTTGAAGAGCATGTGGTTGTGGTAAGGATAAAAACTCACGGTAACCGGGCAGCAAAGGCGCTCAACACTACGACTTTTGTTCCAAGTCGCATTTGAAGCCCCCGGATGAGGTGTACGGCAAGGAGAAATATGATGATTTCGGATAAAACGTCAAACGAGACGATGACTTGCCATTTGACAAGCTAAGGGTTGACATACATTAGTTTGATGTATCTAGATGCTAACAAGCGATTTGCATACCTTGAGTTTGCAGTAGGAGATGCTAAAAGCCTTTACGGTTTTCGTGTCTAGGATCCCACTCCTGATACCGACTGCCACGATCGCGCCGATGGCCCATAGTGTGCAGAAACCGAGTGTCGCTAGTGTAGCACGGTTGTGTGTTTTTTTAGGTGTCAGTTTGAGGAAGATGCATATTACACAGCATTTCGAGAGATAGAGGGTAGTCAGATATAGGATCTCGCTGGAGAAGAAGGCCTGGTAAAAGCGGTTAGCCAGAATAATTGCAGGGGGTATATATCTCTATGCTATCAGCAGGAGAACAAATAATTCCTTACCCGTCGCAATATTATCAAGTTGTCGTGATCTATGAGGTCAGCAGAAGTGCCAAACCCCTTGGATACGGAGACAAATATTAATATTGATTGGCAGAAAGCGACAAACTAGACATTTGCTAGGTAAGTAATGGTTCAGAATATCAGCTTCCAGAGAGGATAATACACACTGCTGAGCCTAGAAGGAAAAAGTCATCTCGTCCATAATGTGGGTTGATTGCGAGGTGAATATATAGTCTGATAGTTAAGCCGGTCAAGGTGACAGCACCTGCGATCGCACCGGCGATAACAACCAGGGACCCTCGATGGGTTGCGTCGAGCGGTAGCAGAGGTGGGGATTGGTCGGGTAGGAGAGGCATGGTAGTCGCTGTGATAGTGGATCACCCGCGACCAGGAGAGCTCGTAAACGATATCTGAACAGGCAAGTCGCTTATTCAACGCTATAAAGGAGCACGCATTCCCTCCAAGCAAGGTCAGAGAGAAGTCAGGACAGTCTATCCATCCTGAGGAAATGTGAAGGAAGCGAGGATAATGTGATCTTCAAGAGCAATGTCTCCTCTGACTGTGCCTCCCTGGTATAGATCTGAATCTGAAAATCGAAAGGGAAAAAAAAGGGGAAAAAGTAAGAGTTAGGCTCCATGATCCGTATATATGTATACCAGCTCATGCGACACATGCACCCCATAGATCTTGGGTGTGGTCATCATGCTTCAGGTAAGAGTTGCACAAAGCAATGAAAAGAAAAGGCGAAAACCGTAAAGTCGGATCGACTTCCGGGCTGGTGAAGATAGCCAGTTAACGGGAGGCGTGCAAGCCGAGGCAGATCCTGGCCTTTGGAGAGTTCTATTTTTGTTTTTTTCTCCGTGCTTTATTTTTTTCTTTTTGGAGAGGTATGTATGATATATTTTAGGGGCAAATGGTATCTCTAGCTTGAAGAGCGGGAAAAACAAGACTATGAAGGAGATATTAAACTGTGCTCTATAGGGCGCTAAACTGTTGCGGTCAATATGGATCTCTTGGCGGCAATGGCGGGAGGTGGGCCCTCTGGACAGAGCTTAGGTTTGATGACTCAGCAGATATCCTGGTAGTTTTATCGGGCCCCTTAACCTAAAGCCAACTACCGACCTTGTGGCTCGCCTAGCTACATATCAGCTTCTGCATTAAGCATCGAGCAGCATATTCGTGCAGCAGATTGAAAAAGCAACGGGGGTGAAAGGGGGGGGGTTGGAAAGCAAGAGAATTAAACGGCAGTTGGACGACAGGAGGACGGCCGCGTATGAGCAATTCTGATGGGTTCCATTCTCGCCCAAGGCTCACCTGATCGTGAGGTTTTCTTTTTGCTCTGGCTGCAGTGTAACCAGCGTCCCATTCGTTGGATCTTCGTCTCTCTCCCTGAGCCACATCAAATTCCCCGATCCGGTATAATGCTCCTGATTTACTCTTTCTCCTAAGGCTTTTTTCTCTTAGTATTATCGATAGGGATAAAGGTAGCTTGAACAACTCACATCTTTCATCCTAATAGTAATTATTTTTGGTTCAAGTAGTGCAATTTAAACAAGGTTTGAAGTGAGCATCAAGGTACACGAATACAAGTGGTCCTTGGAATCGCAAGAGTTGATGGAGCCTCAGATTCAGATCTATCTTGTTGGACTCTAAGCGAATCCAGACGTTTTCCATAGTTTCAGTATGTGGCAGTAATTCCTGGATTTTTTTTAGAATTGGCCTCCTCGTGAGAAAGACACTTGAATGAGGAACCATTTTCTGAACTCGCTAACTTTTCAATAAGTCGAACTCGACAGCGGCTGTCATTATTTTCTAGGTAGAAATGGCGATGGAAGTTTTGACGAAGTGAAGCTGACGTGATGACATAATAAAACAACGTCGACAACTTTTCATCCGACGACGACGACGACATTTTACTACTTACTAGAACCAAGATTTTTTAATATCGCACGCTATATGAGCGTTTCTCGATAAGGTCTGGGATTCAACCCGATCCCAGTTGTACAGAGTATCACATCCACTGATAACAGGATTCTTTGTCCCACAGGACCACTCGTGAGAGAGGGGGACCCAGAGGAGGCAAGGTGCGCGGGTGCAGACATCCGTTATGCGTCGCTCGGGACGGGGCTCCCAACGCCATGGTGTGTGACGGCCCACCGACAGGGACCCTAGGTGGCCATTTTAGTGAGGGTTTAGGCTTCCGTGGCGGTCAACTAAGTCTGTATAGAGGACTGATCAGATCTGATCGACTCTTGGCCCGGCTCCCCGTTGGTCACGATGCCTCACTCGAATTCCTCTGCAAAGTTCAAGCCTAAGGAGCACTCAAAAACCCTTTTTCTTTTCCTTGGGTCTGGCTCTTGTTTGGTCAGTGCATCTGTGGACGGACGCCATGTTGCAAAGCCTCCAAGTTGAGAGCTCTGATACCGCTCGCCAACGCTATCGATAACTAGCTGTATGAACAGTATGCTATTTTGGTCCACGCCAGTGGCCAATAATTCAGAGAGGGGACTTGCACAGGCTGAGCACAGCTCTGCCTGGGCTGCCTGGGCCCTGAAGAAGCGTAAACTTGGCTTTTTCCGCGGGTACGTATACTCGATACCTCCACCTTGGGGTTTCCACAGGCCCCCTGGCCTGCAGGAGGAGTTTATTCTCCCACTTGCATGGGCTGGGACCGTTCAAGGGATACTAGCATTGTCGCAATACCTCGTCTTTCCTTTTTTTTCCATTCCCCATCCCTTGTTTAGTCTTGGATATCTATTCCAGACCATGATATTAGCATTCTACTCGCAAAAGTTATACTTCATAATATTTCTTTTAAGAGAGGTCACTTCGCCCGTGGTGCCTGTGTGCCATTATTGAACTTACGGGGGGATGTTAATATTAGACAGGTTTTTTCTTCCTTTTTCCTGTCAATGTTGCAGGTTTTCCACGTTGTTCAAAATTTCCGATTTTCGCCCTTTCTTCCATCCATTGTGATTTCATCCTTTCCAACACAGCCTGCAATTTCCCAATCACCTCCATTCCACCCTTTTTTTTCTACCCCTGGTTCCTTGTCCATCCCAAATCTTGGTGGGATCCAACGGTTGAAACTCTATTCTACTCTCTTTCTTTGACACAGAAACTGTGAATACTAGAGATATCTTTGTATTTGGGCATTCCGATTCGACACCTGCAAAGATGTCTTCCGACAGCACTTCTACAAGGCGGTTGAAGACTGCCGAAGACACCGTCGGACATCCTGAAGAAGGCTTCGAGTATGATGAACAGCATCAGCATGTCCCGGCGAAATATCTCGGGACTTCTCGAGATCGAGATGATATGTGCCAGCTGGGGAAGACACAGGTCTTGCGCGTATGTCTGCACATCTTCTTCATAGTTGATCAATTATTTACTCTTGGAATGATGATTTAACATGGCATTTTGAATACTGTGTATAGAGAAATTTCCGCTTTGTCTCTATTCTCGGATTCGCATGCACACTGATTGCTACCTGGGAGGTGGTGTTGAGGTACTATTCTCGCTTTCACTGGCTCTGGATGGATAACTGACGAAGGGCAGTCTTCTCGGATTTGCCTTGCTCGATGGAGGAACTGCCGGCCTCATCTGGGGATTTCTTGCTGTCTCATGCGGATTCACTCTAGTATTTGCAAGTCTTGCAGAGATCGCTTCCATGTGAGCCTATCCCCCCATCCATCTTCATTCCTGCAGTATATACTCATTACAAACAGGTCCCCGACAGCCGGAGGCCAGTATCACTGGGTTTCCGAGTTCGCCCCACCGAGCTGCCAAAAATACCTTAGCTACCTCACTGGTAAGAGCTTCATCTTAGTCACAGCTGTCTTCACCTTTAGGTCTATATACTAAGGCTCTACTTAGGCTGGCTCTGCTCGACTGGATGGCAATGCGCCATCGTTACAATCGCATTCTTAGCCGGAACCATCATCCAGGGTCTCCTGATATTAAACCTTCCGGAGTACAACCCCCAACGCTGGCATGGCACCATGCTAGTTATTGCTATCTCGGCTTTTTCCATCATATTCAACACTTTCCTCGCAAAAAAGCTTCCCCTGGTCGAGGCTTTACTTCTTCTCCTTCACGTCATTGGAATAATTGCAGTTATCGTGCCACTTGTGGTGCTTTCTCCCCGCAGCAGTGCCGAGACCGTCTTCACTGAATTTAATAACGGCGGGGGATGGAGCACCGCAGGGGTTGCAGTCATGGTTGGGCTCCCTCCAGCCATTGCATCGATGATAGGCTACGACTGTGCAGTCCACATGGGTATGTATTCTTCATGCAAGAAACCCTGCAATATTTCCCTTATTCCCAGAACAAAGTGCTAAAACGTGCCTTTTCTTCACGCATTTAGCCGAAGAAATCAAAGATGCTTCAAAGACGCTGCCCCAGGCCATGATGAGTGCAGTGGGTGTCAACTTTGTTCTAGGCCTGGCTGTCATTCTCACTATATGCTTTACTGTGGGGGATATTCAAGCTGTCCTTGCCAGTCCCACCGGATTCCCGTTTATTCAAATCTTCTTCAATGCCACCCAGAGCCATGCAGCCACCAATGCCATGACGTCGATCGTCGTGATTACACTCGTTGCAAGCACTATCACCGAAGTGGCAACTGCATCCAGACAGACTTGGTCGTTTGCCAGGGATAGAGGAGTCCCGTTTGCTGACTTTCTCTCCCACGTAAGTTAGAAAACTATTTTCTCCTTACCCACTAATGCCGCATGATTGCATGATTCTATTTAATTATTCCCTGCTAATGTGTAGCAATCAATACCAGGTCAACCCATCATGGAACATTCCTCTACACTCCGTGATAGTCTCCCTCATCGTGACTATCCTGCTCTCGCTCATCAATGTTGGCTCAACTACCGCTCTGAATGCCATCACCTCTCTCACGGTAGCCTCATTGATGAGTGCGTACCTGATTTCCATTGGCTGCGTGCTTCTCAAGCGCATACGCGGTGAACCACTCCCTTCCCGACGCTGGTCTCTTGGCAGATGGGGAGGATTCATCAATGCCGTGGCAATGTTGTTTCTCCTCCCGTTGTTTGTATTCTCTTTCTTCCCGTTGACTAAGCAAGTGGAGGTTACAACCATGAACTGGAGCTCGCTCATCTACGTCTCGGTGATCTTGTTTGCGACTATCTATTATTTCATCTATGGCAGGAAGACATATGTGCCTCCAAACTCCCTTATAAGGAGACCATTCAAGCCCTGAGGTTTCACGATGCTAGCCGCACTTACCTCTTGTCCTTTTTTTTCTTGTTTTTTTACATTCTCTCACATATTTTATTATTCATACATGGTATCCCGGCAATCGGCGACTTGGGACGGCGAAGGTGGCTTGCAATGTCGACTTTATTCTTTCCTCTTTCTGTCTTTTACTGTACTTGTATAAAACGTGCGCTTGGTCTTGGGTCGAGCGGGAACTATATAACTCGCCCGTTGTTGACCTTGTCCAATTAATTTAGCTGAAAAATCAAAAAAAAGGCCCCAGTTATTATAGTTTGCAGCTAAAATAATACGGGATGTCTGTTATGCTACTCCGTACTTGCTGCAGCAATGATAAAACCCCAGCGTGGGTTGGGATTTGCCTGGAGCTTTCGATCAAGGGGGAAAGTAGTTCCGCAGAATCTGCATGATGGCGGAGCTACCACGATAACAATTCCCACATGAGCTGCCATGGACCAAGATTTGGGCATCACGTTTATGGAGCATGGCCGGTTTTGTGCAACCGGATGGAAGATGTTTGGCGCAATTAGTTATCCATGTGTGAGGAGTGGATGTATATAAAACTATTATGCGAGGGCAGGGCGGGATGTAGTAAACCCCGAATCAACGGCGTCTCCCTCCACAGTATGGGCTCCGATAACTAATATATACACATCTCCGGTCTGGATGGCTTTCCTATAAGAAGGAATAGTGTGTATCTTGTTTTTATACTTTTACCAACAGGGCCAGTTTACCATTCGTTCGTCGTGGGGTTAACTAAACGACAGTTGTGACCGGTAAGATGGGAGCGCCCCTATATATGACTTGAACTTCTTCCTGGCATGCCATAGCCCTTCTTGAACGAGATTCCTCAAGTCAGCCTCATTCATCATCGAAGCAAGCCCAGAATAAAAGAAAGAAAAAAGAAGAGTGGAAGCTATGATTTTCCTACTCGTCCTCCCTGTCCTCGCCTTGTGCGCCTATCGATATATCATCTACCCCTTATACTTCTCGCCACTCGCCCGGATCCCCAAGGCACACTTTACATCCGCATTTCTTCCCACATGGCTCTGGTGGATACGCAACTACCGCTGCCGCGAGGTATCGACCATCTATGCCCTTCACAAGAAACTGGGGCCGATCGTGCAGCTGGCCCCGAATGAAGTCAGCGTCAACTCAGCCAACGGCCTCAAAGCCATCTACCTTGGCGGATTCCCCAAAGACAACTATTATGAGGACCTGTTCATGAATTATGAACGCTACCCTAACCTGGCCAGCATGCTGTCCTTCAAGGCTCACTCGGAGCAGAAGAGGATGGTGTCCCGTGTCTATTCGAAGTCTTTCATCTTGGCCTCCGAGGACCTGAGAGTGGCCTCCGAACAGCTAATCTGGGAGAGATACTTGCCTATGTTCGAGAAGATTGCGTTGCCGTCCTCTTTCCCTGCGGATAGTGAAGAAGAGAGATTGAACCTTAGCCGGGACAAGACGCTGAACGTCTTCCCTCCCTTCCAGGCTTTGGGTATGGATTTCATGACGGCATACCTCTTCGGAATTGATGCCAGTACCGACTTTCTCCGTGATACGCAGTATCGTGACCGCTGGCTGAAGCTATATTCCGTGTTCAAGACCCAGCTTCCAAAGCAGAGAGCGTTTGGAGAGGTTGAAAGCCTCTGCCTGAAGATGTGCGACAGGGTTGCGAGCCAGATATCTGGGAAGGAGAAGGCGGAAGCTGAGCCCAAGCCCGGCTCTACCAGGCCAGTGGTATATGGTCAACTCTCAAACGGGATCCTCTCTCAGATAAACCCCAACAACGATGTCGAAAAGGCGGATGCCAGGCTCAGAATCGCCTCGGAAATGATGGATCATATAGTTGCCGGCCACGAAACGACCGGGATAACGCTGACTTATATCGTCTATGAAATGTCGCGCAACCCTTCACTGCAAAAAAAGCTGCGAGAAGAACTGCTCACCTTATCCCCCCCCATATTCTATAGGCGGGGCGGCACCTCGGAGACCACCAGCGGCGGAGATGAAAAGGGCAGCCGGCTCCCTTCTTTCCATGCTCTCGATGATCTCCCGTTGCTCAACGGAATCGTCCATGAAACCCTTCGTGTATACCCAGCTGCACCATTGCCGTTGCCTCGAATCGCGCCAGCAGATCGGCCAGTAGAGCTTGAGGGCTACCAGATACCTGCCGGTACCCGAGTGATGTCCTCTGCGTATACCTTACACCGAACTCCGGACATATTCCCAGAACCGGAGCGCTGGAAGCCCCAAAGATGGGTCGACGCAAGCAAGGTGGAACTCGAGAAGATGAGAAGGCTTTTCTGGGCGTTTGGTAGCGGTGGAAGAATGTGCCTAGGAAGCAACTTTGCACTTCAGGGTATGTATGGTCTAACGATTTCAAGTCCATGGCCGTTGGCTGACCTGAAACACTCTATTTAGATATAAAACTCGCCATTGCGGCGCTTTACACGAACTATACTACCTTTATCGCGGGCAACGATAACATGGAACAAACAGAGACATTCATAGCGCAGCCTGTTTCAGGGAAGCTGGTCATTGGAGTTAAGCACATCTAAGCAACAAACATGGCGCGAGAACGAAGTGAGAGAGCTGGTGGATATGTATGTAAAGCCGGAGTCAATAGACACACCATTACAACCAGGCCGACCACGAGTGCGTAGTTATACCCGTAACCTATCCCGTCGTTGAAGCCGTCGTGGCTTGCGGCTTCGTCTGCGCCGTAAAAGGAGAGGCATAGCATGTCACGTGTTTGTCTTTATGCCTCGGCTCGCACGGACCTTGATCTGCGAGTCAATCACGTGATATATGACTAATCACGATGCTTGTAAAAAGTTCCAAGCCAACGACCAAGATACTATCATGTCTGGGCCATGGACTGGCTTGTTTACTATCTGCCCCAATCTTGGACCTCTGCGAGCAGGCAAAAGCACAGAATGGACTTCTCAGTGACTCTGCGTATAGTAATCACGTCGTTAGAATCTCGGACACGATCGCAGTGAAGTACGGATATGGGTTTCCCCGGGCGAGGCTGCGACTCAACGCTACGCTTATCAGCATCTCAATCAGCGAGTTGTCAGGATTCCAAGGGTCTACCGCTACTTTCAAGACAAAACTGAGCCTTCATGGCCGAAAGGCTATCTATTATGGAATATATCCCTGGAAAATCTCTTGAAGATTTAGACCTGCTGCCTGATGACATCTCCGAGCGCCTGGCGGCCATCGTTTCTGAGCTCGCGTCAGTAAGAGAAGGTACTGTACCAGGACGAGTTGATGGTGGAACGCTTCAGGGCTACTTGTGGGGAGATAACGGCACTGGCGAAATATTCAATCTGCTGATGATATGAATCGCTGGCTCAACAAGCGACTAAAACTCACCAACAAAGAGATAGACCTGCGTCCGTATCCTTTGGTCCTCTGTCACCTTGACCTCTGCCGCCGTAACATCAAGCTGATGGAAGATAACTCAATATGTCTGCTTGACTGGGGCCATGCGGGATTTTTCCCTCAGTTTTTCGAAGCTGCTGCTTCTTGTGCATGAATGATAATTCTGGTTATGGGGAAAACCTTTACAATGCGATTATAAAGATTGCAAAACTGGCACAGGATGAGCAAGAGTGCGTTCGGGTGCTTTTGAAAGCCCGTGCCGCTAGTTTACGGTATATATTGTGAGTCAAAAGCCTGGACTGAAATATATAGTGGGTCGGATTAACTGTTCTATAGTGAACCGTTGGGTAAGGCCTTCCGCACCGACATTGATTCATTGCCCCTTTGCCACCTCTCCCATCTCCGGAACCCTGACTGCGCTAGGAACCAAAAGATACATCGTGTGGCCTGTCAAACTACAAAAAAGAGGTACTACCTAATGTGGCCAAATATTGTTTTGCATGAAGGACCTACACAACTGCGGTAAGAGTCGTGTTCATGCTGACCGAAAGTTACCGGGGGGAGTAGCAGAGTGCTCTGTCGATGTAGCTGATCCAAAGCTATGAAGTGTAGCCACAGAGTCCCTAAGCTCTCTACATTTCGAGAAAGGCATTTACACCTTACTTCACTATCACAGTTTTGTAAGTTTGGTATAATAACTCAGCTCCTAATAGGTCATTCATAGAGCCCGGCCCAGTGGATAGCTTGATATTGTGATTGATACTCCGTACTTTTGAATTAATAAATTTTAATAAATAACCACGTTTTGAATTAAACGGTAGAGCGAAGAAGCGTCAACTAGCTAAGTTACTTAGGAATTAGTTAGTTAGTAAGCGCCCTCTTATTTAATAGCATAACCAAAGTGAGCAGTAACAAAACCAAAAAAAAAAGGCTTTCAAGACAAACTACACTCTCACCTGTCCCCGCTGCCATGGCTCCTCAATTCTGTGATAGCTGTGGGATGATTCTTGATGAATTGGCGAGTACAACTATACAATGCGATGTCTGTGGAGAGCTGAACACGAGTAAGTTCATCAATCTCTAAGCGGGTCGTTAATTTTAAGCTTAAATTCATGTCATCAAAGACAGGCTGCTCACCCAGACAAAGGATATTATATCTACTTCCAGCAATTTCCCCTCGAGCCTACGTGCAAAGAGATCCCAGGTACAGGTTTCGACCGTCCAAGCGCGTGAGAGTAGGACAATCCAGGTGGACTGTGAAAAGTGCGATGCAAAGGAAGTCACCTGGTCGGAGATGCAACTGAGAAGTGCGGATGAAGGAAGCACAATATTCTATCGTTGTTCAAAATGCGGTCATAAGTAAGCTTTGCTGAAACTCCTATCCACTGCATGACTTTTGTGGCTAATCTAAGGTGTGATTTGTGCAGGTGGACTCAAAATAATTAAGTAGAAGCGGTTTCGACTCAGAATTTTGACTTCTACTAATATGATTTCATAATATTATATCTTCAATGGCTTAATGTTCGAATGTCTTAATCCTTTGAGGTAGTATTAGAAAGTTTTAGAACCCTTTCCGTGATTTTGCCTGGATGTCCCCTGTCCTTATGCCGGAAGTTTGGAATATGATGATGTTTTCCTAAGGGCTTTTCCGAGGAGTTTCTGAGTTATCCCCAGGGTTTAGTATGCTAAAAAAGGGTATTTAGCAAGTTGCCATGCAAGCGGTGCTTTTTGCACATGCGGAATATGACCATGATGTGCGAGGGGCAAGAAATGCTTGCGTTGCTCTGAGGCACGCCACGCATGCGAGGCGGTAAGTAATGGAATGCGAATCGCGTGTGGAATTAGGTTTGCTAATATTGGTAATATAGGTGCCTGATACTCTTGCATTGCGCCAGTTTGTCTGGCTAAGAATGGCTGCCAATCCCGAGCCTTCTCCAGTTTAGATCGCATAGTTGTGATGCGGCACTCTTCAGAATCCACGATGTTCATATGTATGCCAGAGTCCACAATTGTTCTATGAGTATCACAATATTGGCATTGCTCTGCCTGGGTCGTCTTCAATACTATAAATGTGTTTCCATGAAACTCCCCTTATTTACCAAGTACTATGCTATCACAGTACTCTGCAAGAACGGTTGGATACTATGTGATCTTGGTCGAGTCGACATTGGGAAAGGCCCATAAATTTACTCTGAGAAATTATCTATCCACGAGGCCACAAGATGGGTTATCCATAAAATAGTCTCAAACCGACGGACTCTGATCGATGTCAAAGTATGCCGCCGCCTAGTCGTGCATCGTTTTAGAAACTATCGCTCTCAAACTGAATATTGTTATCAAGCTAGACAAGAGAGGTATCAGTGTCTATCCTATCCAAGCTGTGTTCAGCCTGGGATGCCACAGTCATGAAAACAGTTTACTCTAAAAACTCACGTATATTATACAATGGCCCTTCGACGGCCACACCAAACTGGGTAGGGGAAGATATGCGACAGTCTGTCAGACCTCATTAGTTAAATGTTGTCAAATTAGATAACTGGTCGCCTTTTTGGCCAAATGACTGGATGTTTGAAGAAAAGATATCGTATATACTTCTTCAGTAGCGAATATTATAGACGCTGCCAACCAGTGAATTAAGGTATTAAAGTGAATAATAACAATCACTATTCACGGTTATACCATAGATTGCTACTGTACCGTCGGGCAGGCGGAATCATACTGAGCCATAAGATGGGGACGCTGGAGCATTAATGACACCTTGCCTTCTTATCAAGTAGATACCAGAGTATATTAAGCCAATATCGTCTCCATTGGAGACGCAGTTTGAACTCCCTCCCCAGGTATGTTTTTTTTGCTTCTCAATTATTGAATCGATTCAACTTGTAGACCTTTACAGCATGATCACGTGATATGAAACTTGCAGTGATGGACTTTTCGGTTCTTCTGAAAAGCAACATCAAGAAAAGATATAGAAATGTCAACGCTTCAGGAGGATTGCCTGCCTGTCTGTCTATCTGGACTTATCTGACCTGTAGCCCTCTCCTCCAGATGGGTTCAGGCCACTTCATCGATCCCGTACAGCATAGTGGGAGCTGGCAAACTCGCCTGTGCAAGCTTGAGCCATGGCACCTCCCAGCGCATCTGCGTCTTATAAGAAAAAGGATGGAACGCTGGTGATATCCAGTGACCTCCGGTCTATAACCTGGTCCCCCAAGGCCGGGTTAGATGGCTCATTAACCTTGCAAACAGGATCTGTTACCAGTAGGTTGCCCGTTACGACAAGCTGCTATGAACCAACAGATACGGGAAGCCAATTTCGTGGGTTTTTTACTGGACTAACGTGGAAGATTGTCTCTATTAGACTTACAGCAGACTCCCGTTAACAACCCGAAGGTAATGCTGAAGATATTTGTCCAAGGACCAAGTCAGGGGCAAGGCCAGGAGAGCGCTGCTCCAGTTCCCTACGTCTTTACTTTCACCTCTCCCTCGAATGCGCGCACTGAGGCGGACGCCATCAAGGAAGCACTTAATACCATCATCCAGAATACAAAGTCAGCCCAGACGCCTGCACGCGATGGGCCTCCGGCAGCACTCGCAGCTACAAAACCGCCATGGTACGACGATAGTCGCCTGAAGGCAGATATGGCCCTGCAGCAGTCACTATTGAACTCCAATGAGAGTCTAAAACGAGTATTTGCGGAGTCCCTGCGAACTAAACCAGCTTCCGTTACACATGGGCAGCTTGTATCGCAGTTTTGGTCTTCGCGAATACATTTACTACGCGCTCATGCGATAGAAAAGTCTCAGGAACAGGGGGCGTACAATGTTCTGTCAACGGTCAAACCGCGGGTGGAAGATAAACGAAGGCTTAACCTGAGCAAGGAGCAAATTCAGCTGATTTTCAGCCAGCATCCTTTGGTTAAGAAAGTTTACGATGAGAATGTTCCCAAGGTGGCCGAAGAGATATTCTGGTCTCAATTTTTCCAGAGCCGTCTTTTCAAGAAATTGAGAGGCGAGCGGATCACGGACGCCGACCCTACGGATTCCCTACTCGATAAATATCTGAAATACGACGAGCATACAGGGCGGCCTGCCAGCGACACCGAACAAGTGCCCCGCCTTTTCAACCTAGAAGGAAATGAAGAGAATGTCTCCCAAAGGCAAGGTAATCGGCCAAATTTTGACATGAGACCAACGCCGGTAGACAAAGTCCCTATCATCAGGACTTTAAACTCTCTTAGTGAAAAGATCATGAGAAACGTGGCTCCAGCCGACCAAAACCTGACCGATGCCGAAAATGCGGACGCAGAAATGTATAATGAATTACAATTGCGGGACCTTCGTGAGGAAGAAGAGCAGAAGCGGATCATGTTGAATATTCGGGATCAGAGCCGCTTCTTTTCTGAAGGTAATGCCGGTCAGGTCCAACAAGAACGTGTTTTCACCAAACAAGACCCAGCAACTAGTCTGAATATGCTACAGACAGAGTTCAGCCGGACCTACATAGATACAGCGCAAGTTAGACTTAGTCGCCTGGTCGAACCAGAAGAAGGGGATAGTAGTGATGACGAGCAGTCTAAGCCTAAGAGAGACCCCGTCGGCTCAAAGGCCAGCCTAGCAAGCGCGAAATCCCAGATCTTTGGAATTATTGGACAACGAAAGGCTCAAGCAGACCCAGGGTCATTGTCGAGCACTTGTGGCCTTTCTCAGACAGTCTTTGATCGCCTGACTCTGACACACGCTACCACAACCGAGTTCCTGACTCAGTTCTGGCAAGCATTCTTGTCTGGAAACCCTGATCGAGCTTCTGAGATTGCGTCAATGGTGGAATCGCTTAGTAGAGCGATGGATCGAATTAACGAGGTCGCAAAGGCAGCTGAAGCGGAACGGCAGGTTGAAGTTGAAAAGCTCAAGAAGCATGCTAGAGAAGTATTGGCTTCGACAGGCAGGAAGATTCGTCTGGCCGATGTTGATGGCGGAGAGAAGGTCGTCAAGCAGCTAATGGGCCCGACTATTAATGCGTTAGCAAAGGCGACCTCTGAGTACCAGAAAGCCCTTGCTCAGCAGACAGCAGAGGGACAGTTGTGATTTTAGCATGGTGCATTGTTTCTTCGGGGATGTTGGATATTAAAAAGAAAGGGGCACTCGGGGAGTTTGGAGTCAGGCTATATTCACATTGAATTACGATGCAATTCACTCTAGATAATATCATGATCAATATCAACATCGACTTTTACGTCTTTCTATATAACGGTTATCTGAGTGGTCCGTGCGTATCACTGTACTTATTTTATATCTGGCAAGTTTCAACGTCTTTCTACAGCTTTTAAACATCACAATCACAACATGCCGGTTACATGTCATACTTAGTGTAATGTGGTAAAGGAGATATAGCTACTCAATTGAGCTACTGGACCGTCGAGCGAAAAGAGGAAGTCCGGGGCAAGACTTTGGCAGGGAGAAAGAAGGCGTCGAGATGCTCAGCTCAGGGTTCACCAATGCGCCGGTGACCAAGTTGGCCCTGATCTTTATAATCACTTCGTCGATCGTAGCGAGCATAGCAGACGTCAAATACCTCTTTTATATTCAAGTGAACCCGCATATATGGCAGTACCATCAGCTATGGCGGTTTCTAATCTGGCCGGTATGCTGCTCTATACACCGCCCACCCCCGCGGGAAGCCCTATTAGAAAGGAATATGTGAACTAATTATTATGATATATAGCTCTGCTACGTCAATTCTACGGAAGTTATGCAGGCAGGAGTGGTTATCTATAGTCTACGGGTGATAGAGCGGTTATGGGGATCGAGGAAGTTTGTGGTAAGAACGCTTGAAGAATCGATAACTAGGTAATGAAGTACTGATTCTATCATGTTATAGAGCTTCATTCTTAGCACTCTTCCATTTACGACTCTTCTCCCACCCCTTGTTCTCACACTTGTGGTCCGCCCGCTGTCTCTGAATACGCTGAACCATCTCCCCGCTGGTCCGACGGCAATCATATTCGCGATCCTCGCGCAGTACCACGCTACTATCCCCACAACATACAAATACCGTATATTAACCAGCTCGTCAGCCACTTCGGCATCGTCGTTAGGATCGTCAATCACATTTAGTGATAAATCAACAATCTATTTCCTTGCTCTTCAGCTGTCACTGTCGCAATTACCCCACACTATATTGCCGGCTTTCATAGGCTGGGTGGTTGGCTACGCATGGCGTGCTGAGCTGTTACCTAGCAAGATATCATCGTGGAGGATACCGGGTCGGTTGTATGGTGGATCACCCGAACGGCAGAGACGGCGTGGAGTACCTACACGCAGTGGGGATGCTTCTTCATCAGGGCTGGTAGGGGCGGGGAGCAGAGATCCCGAGCAGTTGGAAGGGCTACGGCGGAGGTTGGAGGGTGAATCTAGAGCTGCTGCCGTAGCTGTAGCGAATACAGACACAGAAGGGGGCAGAAGGAGCTCAAGTAGTGCTGGTGGGAGGGTAGGAGTCCAAGAAGAAGATCAACGAAGGCCGCTGGCTGGGCAGATATTAGATCGGTTTAGGGGAACATTTTAAATAATACTATTTTGTATAAAATTATGAACGATTATGATGACTCCATGCTTAAGTATGGTAAAACATAGCGTAATAGCTCAGGGTACTAGGATGGAATATAAAAAGATGACTTCTAGAGTACATATATTGTTCTAGTATTGAATTGAATATCACGCTAGATGTTCAGTAAAAAGGTAAATGCGCCTAGAATGCAGGATATAAAGATATAAGAGAACTGCCCCTTAGCCTTGAAGTCATATTCATAAATGAAAACAAATAGCCAACCAAAGAATTCCAAAAAAAAAATGTAGGGATATCTCCAGAGTGCCCTTACTTCCCATTCCCAGATTTCGCCTTTTTTGCCCCGTCCTTGCATTCGTTGCAATACCAGACCACTGTTGAAATAAGCAGGAGTTAGCCATGTCTCTAATGAGATAGAGAGTACAAGGGGAATACACACCACTCTTAGAAGGCGGTTTGGTTAGACCGACGCATGAGAGATGGAACCACTCCCGAGGACAATTGGGATTATCGCATGCCACCATCTCTCCGAAGCTGACTTCGTTACAGTAACAATAACGTGGTTCCGTTGGGTCATCGCCCCGTGGTTCATCAGCAGCCTCGTCCGCGGCGGCGGACAAAGCCATCTGCCGCGCAGTTGATATGCTTCCTGTTTTCTTGTGGGATCGCTTCGGACCATCGCCAGTCCTGGACGGCCGTGACCTCTGCTGTGATTCCGTGTATGTAGACGAAACAGGTGTTGAGTTCTTGGATGACCGTTTTGTAGAAACACCGGTGTTTATTTCCGGGAGATTCGAGTAATCTGCTTTACCATCGTGCACATGATTAGAGGCTGCCAGTGGGCCCATGGAGTTGACTTCTTCATGTTTGAGCTCGAGAGCAGCTGTCTTTGGGCTGTTCCTGATGGTGTCGCCGTTGGACCTGGTTACCAATGAGTCAATCCTGGGGCTGGCAGTGCTTTTTGCGGACGGGGGCCTAGCGTCCAGCAGCTCTTTTTCTGTTTTATTCCAGAGTTAGACAAAGTTATCGAAGGGAGTATTTTTGCAGGACCTGGGCTCGGGTCCGGGAAACATACTAGGGTTGCGGTTTGACGCAGATGAAGACGGTCTTTGGCGAGAAGAAGCCTGAGTCTGATTCTGTGGTCGCGGTTGAGAGCGGAGGGAGGAATTTGGCACCGGACTGTTGGAAGAATGATTGAGCTGAGATGCGTTCATTGCGCCGGTAAGGGATGGAGAGCCAGTTATTGATGATACTGTATTTGTTCTGCGTAACGTTCATTTGTTAGTTTGCTCTTCTGGATGCTGCTGCCGCTCTTCCAAGTGCTGCGTGCTGGCGGCTGAAAGGAAGTAAGCCCCTTTTGCATTGTGGAAGGAGTTGATGCAATGACTGGTGTAGAGGTGGCTGACTCTTCTCCCCAGACATATTGGTGCAGAAATATAACGTTATGTTGGAGGAACAGAGTAATGAAGAATATAGAAACCATACCTTTTCCTTGCAGCTGCATTGGCGTTAGGAGCTCTCGTCCTCTTTTTCGCCGTATCAGGAGCAGGGCTTTCCTTCGATCCTGCCCGGCCAATTGGCGCATTTGTTGCAGTACTTGCTGATCGTTCCATGGCTGCCGCTGTCATAGTTTGAGTATGCTCTACCTTTCGTCGTTTAGACCCACCGGCTGTCACAGCCCCAGGTCCAGCTCCGGCAGCCAAAGCTTGTTCGTTCGGCTGATTTTCCGCAACTCGGCTTTTCGGGCCCGGTTTTCCTCTTCGCACAGGTCCGCCTGCTCGTGCTTCGTCTGCTTCGATTTCTGCTTGGGTTCGACGTTGCCGGCGAACAGGCTCTTTCCTTGGCTCGTTATCTGCATCTCCGTGACTGACTCTATGACTGTTTGCGCCCGCTGTGTCTCTCCTGGGACGTTCATTGACAGCACTAGCACTTGTTTTAGGTGTAGGTTTGTTTATATATGCCCAGTGTGTTAAACTCCCGAGCCGAGCTTCGTCACTCACTTCTCGCTGTACGTAAGGGTAAATGGCATCGAGGCGGCCAACGTCCCGCTGAAGTGTAGCATTCGCATTACGCGCAACATGGTTCTTTTCATCGATAGTCCCTAAAAGGTCGCTGAGGGTAGAACGGATATTTTGAAAAACCTGTCTCGTCGGCGTGACATCAACCTTGAATCCTCATCCGTCAGTAAACCACTTCACCTACACAGAACAAAAAATTGATATTGAAGAAAAATGAGAGAGAGTGAAAACAGTACCGTTCTCGTCCTGGGAGCGTCATAGTCTACGGAGATCAGCTTCGTTGCAGAAGTAAGTAACTTAGACAACTGCTCTTCTAGCGCCCACGCTTTGCCATCAACCTCATTCAATAACGAGTTGTGTCTCCGGAACTCTCTAGGTAGCGCATCTATAGCATCACTGAAGTGAGTGATGCCCGGATAGATCCCCGCTGGCATCTGATTCCCTTGGTGTGAAAAGCCAGCTGCAAGCCCTCCTCCAAGGCTCGAGGGGCCACTGGCTTGGTTGCCGACAAGAGACGACCGGCCAGCGGTTTTAGACTGTCTCGACGGATTCGTACGAGTTTGACGAGCGGATTGACGCATACTGCTGGCGTTGGCACCGGTGGGAAAGCCGCTGGACGCCATTGCGAGAGAAAGGGCTGGGTTTGCGGCGGACGGGCGAACTTGGGGGAGTCTGTGGGCTCCAAGGAGCTGTCCTGGCACAGAGATGAATCTGAGACCAAGACTGCACCCGGAAACAGCTTGAGCAAGAGAGAATAAAAGCGCTCTAAAAGACACTGCCGGGTGAAGTTGTAAAGGTTGAAGTTGAAAAAGACGAAGAAGAAGAAGAAGAAGCGTGACTTTGAAGCTTTCCGCATTGAGGCCGGTTTGGGTTTAGCGCGATAAGCTGGCTTATGTAAGTCTTCGAAGAAGATGGCAAGAAACAGCAATTTCATCGTTACTTTTTGGTTATTTCGTGCCAAACAGCTCGGTATAGGAACATGAGCACTGCTAATTGCACCAAATGTCTACAGAGCGAGCCATTGGCTTGCATTGCTACTGTTGGTCGATTTTATATATGAAGAAGCGCATTATCTACTTCGCTCGATGACGTAGTATTAGCTAAGCAGCTACCGCTTAGTCAGCCAAAGATCTTTGCCAAAATTTACAAGAAAAGATGAAGAAATCGAGGCAATAAAGGAAATTATTTGGATTTATACACTATAGAAACAAATGTGGTTGTGGAAAAGGGACAAATGAAAGGCCATCACACTCATGCATGTAGAATACTGTCTTCGATGGGAGACACTTCAGCTCTCATCTGCTTTCTAGTTTATGTTGATTGTTCTCAGATCTACTCGCCCTTCAGCTTCTCCTGGTGGACAGTGAAAGCATCGTGCAATAGATCTTGCTCTTCCTTGATGTGACTGCTCTTCAAACCGGTGGCCACACTAGCGCTTGGGTTACGGCCAGCGTACATAACATGGCGTCTGTTGTGGTGGACGGTCTCGTTGAGAAGAGTCTCAATGCGAGGCTGCATGTAGCTCCAACTTCCGGCATTGAGTGGCTCTTCTTGGCAGAAGACGATGTCCTTAGCGTTGGGGTAGCTATCAAGGTTCTCCTTTAGCTGTTGCCAGGGGAAGGGGTGCATTTGCTCGATACGGGTGATAGCGGTGTTCTTGATTCCATTGGCCTCACGATGTTTGGTCAGGGCAGCCCAGACTTGACCGGAACACATTATCACACGCTCGATGTTCTCGGGCTCATTGATCTGTTTGCCGTGCTGGTCATCAGGGATGATCCAGCGGAAGTGAGAGTCGCCAGTGAACTCTTCAATAGAAGATCGACAGCTTGGGTGACGAAGGAGTGATTTCGAGAAGAAGATGATCAGTGCTAGTTAAGACCTGTCAGTACTGGAGCTGGCATCAACAAACACAAGAAAGCAAGCTTACGTTTTCGGAATTGACGGTTGATCTGTCGACGAAGAATGTGGAACAAGTTGGCGGGAGAGGTCATGTAGGCAATCTGGATGTTACAGTCCTGGTGTTGTCTGTCGATCTTGTCGGCACTTGGGTACACACGAGGATCTTCGTTACAAAGCTGGAGGTAACGTTCCAGTCTACCGGATGAGTGCTCGGGGCCCTGACCGTCATATCCATGAGGCAAAGACATAACGAGACCAGATCGCTGGACCCATTTAGATTCACCGGAGGCAATGAACTGATCAATGATACATTGGGCGTTATTGGCGAAGTCACCGAACTGGGCTTCCCACATAACCAAAGCATGGGGAGAGGTTAGAGAATAGCCATACTCGAAGCCGAGTCTATTAAAAATTGAGTTAGTTGGAGGATAAAAAAGCGTTTGGTAGAAATATTGACTCGACTTACGCTCCGTATTCACTGAGGGAGGAGTTAGAAATAACGAAGGATCCTTGGTCGGGGCTAATATGCTGCAGAGCGGTGTATGTGCTTTCGTTCTCCTGATCGTGCAAAACGGCATGACGCTGAGAGAAAGTACCACGCTCAACATCCTGACCAGACACACGAACGTGGTGGCCTTCCTTACACAAGGTACCGAATGCAAGAGCCTCAGCCGTGGACCAGTCAATGTTTTGACCTTCGTTGATGGACTTTTCCCTATTGGCCAGGATACGCTTCAAGTTACGGTGGGGGGTGAAGTTCTCGGGGACGCTTCCGAGCTTCGCACCGATCATCTGGAGAGTCTCAGCTTCAACGCCGGTAGGAGGATGAGCTAGGACCTCAGTCGCAAGCTCTTTGGGGGTCTTGAACCCGTTCCAGGCGGAGGTGAGCCACTCTCGGCTGGTTGGGGTGTAGTCCTTGCTTCGGTCGAAGCTATCGTTGAGCATACCCCAGACCCACTTCTTGTGCTCATCGATATCCTCCTTAGTGAAGGTCTTTTCCTTCAAGAGTTTATCGACGTACTTGTCGATTTGGCTCTGTTGCGAGGCAATGCGCTTGTACATGAGAGGTTGGGTAAAGGCGGGTTGATCGGTTTCATTGTGACCTTGTTTACGGTAGCAGACGATATCAATGACTACGTCGCTCTTGAATTGAGCACGCCAGTCAGCAGCCAACTGGCAAACGTAGTTCAGCGCTTCAACATCGTCTCCGTTAACGTGGAAGACGGGAGCGTCAATAGCCTTGGCGATATCAGAACAGTAAGGGGTAGATCTGGCGAAACGAGGATCGGTGGTGAAACCGATCTGGTTGTTGACAACGATATGGATTGTTCCGCCGGTGGAGTATGCGGGTAGCGCGTGGAAGCCCATGGTCTCATAAACGATACCCTGGGCAGCAAAGGCAGCATCACCGTGGAGAAGAACACCCATAGCGGTGTTGAACTCCTTCTCATCATTGTTGTAGTGCTGAATAGAACGAGTCTTTCCGAGGACAACGGGGTCCTCGGCCTCCAAGTGGGACGGGTTCGCGACAAGGGAAAGTTGGACACGCTTTCCAGAGGGAGTCGGGCGCTCGAAGTTCATACCAAGATGGTACTTGACATCACCGGAGCCCTCATCAGAAGGTTCGGCGCTACCGCTGAATTCGCTGAAGATGGACTCATTGGGCTTACGAACGACGTTACTAAGAACGTTCAATCGACCACGATGAGGCATACCAATCACAATGTCCTTGACGCCGTAATCAACACTTCGGTCGATCAAAGCCTTCATGCCGGGTACCAAGGTCTCACAACCTTCCAGACCGAATCGCTTGTCATTGGGGAACTTGGTGGCCAAGAAGGATTCGAAGCTGGAACTCCAGATGAGACGGTCGAGGATGCGGCGCTTCTCGTCAACAGAGTACTTGTACGGCTGTGGGATCTCAATACGGTCACGGATCCAGTCGCAGGGAACGCGGTCTGGAATATGGATGTATTCTACACCGAAAGAGCCACAGTAGATCTTTTCGCAGGCATCGATAATCTCGCGAAGAGTCATCTTCTTGCGTGTTTCGGTCTCAAAACGTGGAAGAATTCCGGGTCCAAGAGCGAACTCCTCGTCCAGATCCTTTTCAGTGAAGCCATAGTGAGACAATTCGAGCTCCTTTGGTTTGCTGTATCCGAAAGAATCGGCCTCGCCGCGGATGCCAAGAGGATCAATCTTTGCCTTGTGGTGTCCGCGAGCCTGGTACGCGCGAACGAGTAGCTGAACCTTGAGATGGTTTGAGACATTGGTTCCAGCGGCGTTTCCGGGCATATGTTGAGGGACACCGCCGGTAGGAGTAGGGACGATGGTAGGCGGAGGCTGGAAAGCTTGCGAGATGGGCATTTTACCCTCTTCCATGTTGTGGAAGTAGGTGCGCCATGAGACGTGGACGCTTTGGGGGTCCTCTTTCCAGGCCATGTACATCTCATCGATATAGTTGGCGGTGTTCCCCTGGAGGAATGAATCGTTTGGGTCCTACAGTCGAACAAGAGGTTAACTACAAGTACGAATGGCTATGGAAAAGTAGTACTAACCACTCCTTTGCTGCTCTCACCAGTCGCAACAGCATAACTTCTGGCCTGCTTCCAGGGCTGTCTGGCGCAGACAACACTCAAAGGCTTGCGGGCGGCCAGATGAAGATTTGACCTTGCTGCAGAACATATCGACCGTGTATACGACGATTGTCTGAGGATGGAGGAAGCTCCAGACGCCTTCAGCGTCACACTTCTTGTCGTTCGAAGCATATTCACAATGTATTAAAAGAAAAGAAAAAGTTCTAAACAGAAAAGAAATCCCAGTTAGCCCATCCGCCTTTAATATCAACCGGAGAGCTCTCTCCTTTGTTCCTCATACCTATAATATATTATTTTCCGGACCGTCCGATCTAGTAATTTTTTTTATCGACGTTTCAGCCGCGTTTCAAAGGGAAGCAAAAAAAAGTTCAAATACGACCAGCCAAAGAGGACACCAAGAATATAGAATATATAATGGATGTCGAAAGAGGCTGGAATTATCGACTATATCTGCCGTTCCGCCTCACACGAGCTCGAGGTCATCAGAACGTCTCCCTTTATTCAAGAGAGACAGATATATGTATAAACTAGGTCTGTTATATCAAGTTAGCCACGACCAAGAGAAAAAAAAAAATTGAGTAGAGCAGTTCCGAGCAGAAGACGAGAGCAAGATATGAGTCGAGAGGAGAAACGAGCGAGGCTCGGACAGCATTGCAGAAAAAGCAACAATCAATAGATCAGCTCATGAGCTGCATACACCCTCTCGTAGACTCACACGACACAGGTACATAGTACAGCTAAAGGGGGCTGAGAAAAAGGCTTGCAGGGAGAGCACAGGAGAGGATACGTACAGTTAGACAGGTCAATTGCTCGCAGACGAGGCGAGAGAAGCGCAACGCGAGAGAAACGAGCCAAAGATGCAGCTTTGAGAGGACTTTGGAAGAGAGAAAAGACAAGATGATGTTGGATCGGAGGAAAGGCGAAGGGAAAAATAGGACAGCAAGACTTCCCGATCGGGTAAGGGGCCGTGACTTGCTTAGGTAAGCCGGCAGAAGCTGGCCGGATATTAATTACATGCCGCCTTTACTCGGGCGGTGGAGTCGGTTACAGTACGTTACGGCTAGGGCCAGACAATATGCTGACATATCGAAATTCGTCGGGCCAATAGCACCTCGCGCGTTGTCAGACACAGGTGCGACGCCCCAAGGCCCAGGGTAGGCTAGCGTGTAACTCCGTATTGGCAGTACAAGCGTGCATTCCTGCATGATGACATCAGCAAGCCGTGATTGGTGGAAGTTGAGGCGTTCTCCAGCCGCTGGTTGGCTCGTTTCTCGCCTTTTTAAAAAGTGGCAGTGCATCGCCATTTTTCTTTTTTTTTTCCTTCTGTTCTGCTTCAAACTCCAAGCTCTTGTTTTGCATTATGGCAGAGTTTTTGTTCCCTGGTCTTCGCCTGGCCTGTTAATTGGCCTTTAAATACCTCGTTTTATCAGCTGGACAGGAAGCCTGCAGAAGTAAACGGCTGTGACGGGGTCAGCCGTTGCCGTGTACATAGTTACATCTGCTACAGTTGGATGCCGCAGCCGATCAGGTGATCGGCAATGGTTGACCTTCATCTATAAAACCTTCCCATACATATATATACATGGGAGATTTTGGCGTATAAATGTGCAGAGGACAAGGACAGGCTGCCATCTCGGCAAAGTCTCTTTTCTTGACGCCCTGCATATTACATCTCTCCTCCGGGCGTGGTCTCGTGGATGGATGGTTGAAGATATTCGCTTGCCCAACAAGTGTCTGCAGCTAACCGATCAGCACTTTGTCGACTTTTCAAGACGGAGGAACAGACTCCGTGAGACAGACAGGGCCCCTGTGCTAGGGGGCGGCCTCTCCGTCACCGTCTCCAGCACATCCACTTCCCAGCCAACGAATATCTCTCAGTTTTTTTGTTGGGCCGTAGGTGCAGTGGAGGAGTTAATGGAGTATTTTTCATGGTCTCTTCATATCATTGCAGGATTCTTCCGCTGTATGGAGCACACCGAAGCAAATTGATATGCGTGACTGATCTCCTAACTTGACAGAATCGTACATAATGTAAACTAGGGTCTGATCCTTCTTCTGCACATCATGCATGCCAGGAAGCTCTCTCGTTGCTTGTTTCATCCCGAGTCTTCCCACTTAACACATGTATAACCCCCACAAAGCATGGAGCATTGACAAGGTTGGTTTACCGTGGAGGATGTCAACATCTTCACCATGAGAGAAATGACTTTCTCAAAGCTGCCTGGTGGCGGGAAGGGAAAAGCTCTGCTAGGTTTCGGCGTATATACACCTTCTCAAGAAAGGGTTAATAATTATGCTTTTAGGAGAAACTTAAGATGGGAAGTGGCACTTAATCTCGGGCTGTCTAGATGACCTTTATCCATCTATAGAACTTGACATAAACAAGTACTCGTTGGCATATCACACTTAACATGCTGCTGTGGCGGCCACTGTTTATTCTTTGAAGGAGATTGGACCTTACTCAATGCCACTACTTCATAACCAATTTCAGCGTGTCTGTAGAGGGTTATAGCGATGAGCCTAGCCTTTGTCAATAGCACAGGATCAACACAATACCCTTTGTCCTCCAAACACTAACCGACAACAGTATAGCTGCATTTTGGTGCGTACATACCACCACGCAACGCCAGAAAGCAAGCAGGTAGTCTAAAAGTGGAATCACCAAGCTTTGGGGCGGGAAGACGGGAGCGGCACGTTGCCGCACCCAGCAGCGCGGACTTGGTCTTGGCAGTTGACTTTGGTACATTCACTGCTAACTCCAGCGGATACAGCGGAAGTTATATACTCCGGATGAAGCTGCTCGATTTACTATTAAAGTGATGCCTGAGATTGTAAAGGCCAAGACACCCGAACCGTTTATATTAATGTCTTTCCCTTCGTTATTAAAAAAACAACACATGGAAAGTAAATATAGAAAATAACATTACCAATACAAAGGATGAATGTAGCCGAGGAAATTTAATAGACATCAAAAATATATATAAGAATATTGTCCACACTCGTGGTTCGTTGCATCTCTCATATTCATACCTTCGAGGATAACGTACTCGCGTATACTACCCCTTTGCGCTATACTTCTCATTAAATGCATTGACAGCTATAGAGTCCATGTTAGCTAACGAACTTTTTCAAGTTGACGGGGAAACGCGGTAAAAGGTAGACTTACCAATGGCAATTTGTTTATAAAACCAGTTTCTCCCACTCTCATCTTGCACGGGAATGAATGGGCCGTTGGTGCCGCCTTTAAGCGTTATGGTCATTCCGGTCCTTTCCTTTGAAATTTTTTGAATGTCGGTTAATTTGATGTCCCATTCTGTTGTAAGGCGCTTGGACCGGACGAGCATGATTCGATCATAGGTCAACAGCACAAGCATGTCTTTGCCGGGGAACTCAAGATGCGCAATATATTCTTCGTTGAAATATTTGCCATCATCTGTTGTTTTAAGCCAGAACTGGCCCAAGGCCTCGCGCTGAGAGTATTGCTTGACAATTCCAGCACGGCCGATAAACCGAGTCAAACGCACTCGATCAAGCCCTCCAGCATCGAATACCGTAGTCGTGTTCCGCACTCCTTCAGCAAGATCTATGCTTACCGTTAGTTTATCAATGGAAAGGGACAGGGGGTGAATTAGCACTTACTTGAAGCGAGGTCAAAAGCACCAAGAGCTGGTTTGGTTGCAAGGCCCAGGAACCCTTTCCCAACACCTTTGACAAATCCTTGGAATCCCTCCTTTTCGGCACCCTCAAGAGGATGACGTGCAAGGCCACCAATTCCACTAGCCATGCTAGAAGCGAAAGCACTGCCTCCTGCAGTTACTCCGTATAGTGCATGCTTTGGCCTATTCCGGGCCCTAGACATCCGTCGCTGATCTTGGAACTCTTTATCCAGCGTTGCCGCAGCAAGACCCTTGGAAACACTGCCAGTGAACTTTGTAAGACTGTCTGATATTCCAAATACTGATTTCTTGACAAATGAAGTAGCACCCTTAGCAATCCCTAGACCTAGCTCTTGTGGCCGGTCCGACATGACGAAGCCTTGGTAGGGCTCATAGAATATATCTGCAACCCCAGAGCTGACCGTGTTAAAGAGACCAACAGGGTTTCCTAGGAAATCTGCGGAGCCAATAACGACATGCACTTGGCGGAGGAATTCCTGAGTATAATGGTTCGTAATGTTCGAAACGAGCATTGGTATAGACACCCTCGCATTCTCAAGTAAGAGCGCATTAAGTCTGACAGGAGCGTCGTTGACGTTACCGATGGACATTGTCATGACGTTCACAAAGAACATCAATGGGTTAGACGACTCTGTAGTATCCTCTACATTGACTCGCTCCGTGCGCACGAAGGACAGATCGAGCTGCATGGGGTGCAAATGGAGGACCTCAAAATATACATCCTGCCCGTGAGCTTCAGTTTTGGGCTCAGGAATGCCAAGCTCAGCCTCACAGATCGGGTCCTCATGTTCCTCGGACCACGATGCACCAGGAACCTTCACAAAGTCAAGGAGGGCAAAAATGAAGTCTTCATCAAGTTCCAGAGTCATTTGCTGTACGAGAAGTGACGCATACTTCACATACAAGACACCATACGAATCATCTTTCACCCGGGTAACTGTGGCTGTGAAAATTGGGTGTGCCTCCATCTCCTTACCTGTCTTTGGGACAACACTTGGATATAGAAGAATTGGAAATATTCCACCATAGAGTTGATTGTCGATTTGGATCCATTTTATCGTGGTGTTTATGGTCTGGTAGATCTTCGACTCGCTGAACTTGAGATCTATCTCGCGGAAAGTGATATATACTAGCTCTTTTAAGTTTTGATTAACCAAAGAGATCCCAATACCGTTTAATCGGAGTTGAGCCTTAAAGGTGATATCCGAATTAACTTCTTTAACTTCAAACCCAGTGGATACACTTGTTTGAGAGGAAGCGGGCTTTTGCTGTCTGTATATACTCCTTGATGGCCGGAAATTAGACAAAACGAGCGTTTGTGTTGGCCCTTCCGCTTCGATGCGGATATCAATAATTTTTTGGGGCGAATCTTGGGTCGGTGGGAGTTTCATCGGTATTAAGTTGCCCATTTCAGCGAGCTTGATATATCTCTCCTTCCCTCGACAAAGAAGAACAAGAGATTTGTTTTTAGCAGCAGGATAATCCCATGCATAAGGCATAATACTACGTGGTGGCAGGCGGTAACGGATAGGGCGCCAGGTAGTGCTGCGGTCATCTTCATCCTCACTGATATTTGGGTTCTACAATCCGTTAGAATATATTCTCAGAAATTGGAGTCAGAGTTCAATAGCATACCGCTTGAAAGAATATGAATTCTGCGTCTGATTCATTCTTCATGGAGAATGGCCAATGCACTGCCTCCATGCTAATACGTAAAAATATGGTAGCACCTTCCATGAGTATTTCGACTTTGAGCAACCTCTGGCGCTGATTTGCCTTTGCCAACTTCACGTGGGTTATTCCGAGATCGGCAATGTTGAACAGCGACGACCATTGATTGTTGACACCAGGGAAACAGAAGCAGAGCTGATTTTCGGCTGATTGCCTAAGGAAGTGAAGCGGGACAAGGTCACCAGGTTTCAGTGTGATAACATTCGACGAGCCAGGCTCACGAGCAACCAATTCTTCATCTAGACGGTTCTCAAGTATGAACCTAGGGGAGACTGTGACGATTTTTGTGACCTTATACTTTCCAGTACCTTCTTCTACCGTCACACCTGCGTGGTACTCTGTTCGACCATTGCTAGCGGGTAAAGTAACCTCGAAGCTGCTCCCAATTGCTTCAAAGCTTTGAGGTTTACTCCATGAGGACCCATTGACCCTTAGAACGGATCTGTTTTTATGGTCATCCGTTTGGTATGAATACATATAAGGGATGGCGGAGCGAACTCCACTAGATGCATCCGTTTTGATAGCTCTGCCCGCCGCGGCTCTGCCTCCATGGAAAACACTTTTGCTCTGAATATTCAGGTCAAGCCCAGTTTTGTTTAAAACAAGGTAGGGACTGAACACAGAAACCTTAAAGGCACCTCCACTATCTGGAACAGTGAAGTAATGAAGACCTAATTTGAGCTCCTGGCCTTGATCGTCCTGAACAATGAGCGTAGTTTCTCTTCTGAAGTCCTCTTGAACATTCCCATTGACGATTGCAAATTCGCATTGCCGGAATGCGGTGTCCTGCATATCAATACTAAGAAGAAGCACATGAGAAAGCTCCACAACATGAACCGGGCTCACTCCGCCTTTTCGGAGGAAGTTTGTCCAATCTTTCTTCAAGTTTTTGTCATAAATTCGATACTTAAAGTCATATGGGAGCAGATTTTGTATCTCAATAGGAGCAGAGACGCGGATCCGCATATATGGGTATACGGACAGAAGAGGGTCATTTCTGTCGAAAGTGGCATTCATCTGGAAATAAAATGGTGGAGAATGCTGGCCGCTCTCACTCTGACATTTGAGCGTCCTTGTTGGTCGTTTTAGCAAATCTTTCCAGAATAGTCTCTCGTTTGACCAATCATATCCGAAGCCTTGATCGGGACGAACGACAAGGGAGTGCAGATAGGCGGCACCTACTGGTGCCGGGCGTGAATCGCCTGGTAGGATTTTTTCAATCTTGAGAAGGTGTCCCTCCGCAGGGCTAAACACCCCAACCTCAACTGGAATCTGAGTTCTGTTCTCCACTACAAGGGGAGAGCGGAATGTGATATATTTGACATAGTCTGCTCCCAGGGTGACTTCCACCAGGAGCTTATGCAGCACTTTGTCTTTCTTTGGCTTCAGGTTATATAGTGTTTCTCCTTCACGAATTAGGGGAATTCGGCTGATGCTATCAAAGCCGCTACCCTCGAGTTTAATTCCTACTGTGCCAGCGTTACCTTCTGGTGTGAGGTTTTCTCGCATAGTAGTTGGATCCTCAAATCTCCATGGATATTCCTCGCCATCCTCGAGGGTACAAGCGTGACCCTCCTCACCCTTGCCAGTATCTGCCCATACTCGCAATTCAAAACCGGTGTAATTTCGGATTCGATAAGGGGTATCTGTGCCCCTTGGCTTGGAAAGAACATCTTCGTCGGCAGATAAGAATTGCATTGTCTTAGATGCCAAAGCAATTGTTGCAGATGTTACTGTTAACTCCATATTTTTATGGGAGTAGGCATCAATTGAGAAAATGTCTGGGCTGAGTTCTTTCGACATGTGGAACCCAAGCTGCCATGGCTCAATCAAGGGTTCCCAGGTCGACTTGGAGAAGTTATAAACGTTGATGAAGGTATCGAAGGTGGTATCAGCACTCATATTCGCAGACCAGTCCCTGACATCTGCACGGAATGACTGCACATTCCAGTCAAGAAGCGGAAGGATGTGCACATCGCCAATAAGTATAACTCTAATACCATCCATCTGAATGCACATTTCTTCCTTCTTCAAAATAGCCGATTGCTGAATCCTATCCATAGCAGTCAATCGGGATTGAACAGGGGTGCTCGGAGATTGGAGATCTGCTTGAGTGGGCTTTGCTGTAACTGCTTTCGACTCTTTTGCCGTATTCTGCGATTGAATTGGTGAAGTCATTTCGGAGACTCTATTCATTATCTGTAGAGCGAGAAGGATATCCCGAGGAGACAATCGAAGAATCAATGGTTCAACATGTACATCAATCCTCGTAGTTGAATATACTTTGCTCTTACTCTGGGTATCCATTGACAACTCAAGGGAGAAATCGTCTAGAATGCGGAGTCTGCTTGTTTCAAACTTATCCATGCGGCAGAGAAACATTCCAACATTGCTAATTTGAAGAGTAGATGCATTCTGTTGCGAGTAAACAATCTGTTTAGCTCCCAAGACGATAGCTTCGGTATTGGGTATCGTTGGGTTCGCAACCAGGATGACCTGAGAATCAACCATGTTAAATCTAAAAGACATTGCGAGTGAAGTTTTATTATCCGCTGTCATGGCGCTTGAAGGGACGGTGGCGGCTTTAGAAGGTGGGCCCTCACGCGACACTAATGCACCGGTGGACTCTTCATCTGAGCTCTCGGAAGTATCTACGGTCGGCTCGGCAGGGAAAGCTGCTGTTGCGAACGATTTAAGAGAAAATAGATAATCAACGGCAAATATAATCCGTGGACTATCAATTGTCACTATGGCGACTAGTTGTCGCTCAGTACCACCAGACATCGACACACTAGCCATGAACTGCTGCTGGACGTCGGTATTCACTAGAGACATGATTTTGCGGAACCGATTTGTCTCCTTTGACCTGCTATCCCGGACATTAAAGGAGTGAATAAGCAATTCAGATTCAAGTGAGCCATCGTTCAGCATCCGAAGCTTCACGTTAGTATCACTCAAGAAGAATTTAGATAGACTAGCGTCATCTAAGGACTGAACTGGTGCATCCTCATTTACGAGGAGTAGTTCTAACCCCACGGTTTCCACTCGGAATCCCAATTCTAGTTGAATTGATTTGCTTGGTTCTGCAGTATTCTGTGAAGAGCGGTCCGTGAGTGCCTTAGATTCATCAGCTTTGTCAGAATCTGATTCTGCACTTATGCCGGCAGATAGCTCAGGTAGAGCCTGCTGTGCTTGTCCTTCTTGGAGGTCCTGGTCTGGAGTAAATGCTGCGGGGATAGTTTTTGATAACTCAAGGAGGAATTTGAACTGCATTTGTGAAATCCGGAGGTTGGTAGGGGACATCAAGCCATCAATGCGCATAACCGGAATAGAAGTATTGATAGGATCTCTGGTATATCTGATATTGAAATCCATATCTACCTTCTCAATCATCTCTAGTTCTTCACAGGCATCCTCTGAGAAATAAAAAGTGGATGTGAGACGTATATGTCGAACGCCGGCAGAAATAGCGTTAACCATGTACTCCTCACCGTCGTAGTCGGCCTTGGAAAACTGGTTGCTAGCATATATCTCTCCCAAGTGAGCTGTGATGAAATCTCGTGGTCCATCTTTATCTGTTATCCGGGGAAAGACCAGAATTGGCGTCATGACCACGATATCGAAATGCATAAGGGACGAACTTTCTTGGATTTGAGAAGCTTGATTAGCTGCGGCCTGGCGAGCTGCATTGAAAATACTCTGCATTTTCCCAAACTTAACCAGAAAGTTAATAACCCTACGGTACGGCTCGTCGATGAAGTTTATTTTGATCGAACCAGATCTCAGGACTACCTCTGAATCATAGCCTGGATAGTCTTTAAGCTTAGGATTGAAAGTTTGGTAGCGGAAATCTGCAAAATCTTCCCCTTCTATACTCATCAGGCGACGGACTGTAGAGGAATTGCCATTATCGTTGATATCATCGAACAAGGTCAGACTACCCATTCTCGACTGGATTTGCATTGTTTCATCAGCCAAGAATATCCCAACGTCAGCAGTATTAAGACTGAGCGTAGCTAAACGGACACCATCATCGTTCAAAATAAGGGATATCCTCTCTAGTTTTGAACTGATTCGAATCTTCCCAGTATTGGCCGGTTTTGGTGCCTCTTTTGAATCAGCAGATGCCGTTTGCTCAGCAGAGCTTTGGACTTGATTCTGAGAATTCTGGTTGGTAAAGGTAATTAAAACGAAGTCCAGAAGTGTAAGCAATGTCTTCCGAGTGACAATCAAGTTAATGGTGGAGACCAAAAGCTCGAGGTTCATTTCGACACCATCATACACCGATATAAATTCAGGAGAGTTATGGTTAACTTTGATAAATTTGAGAGTGAAAAGATCTTTGTCTTCGTTGGCATCGAAGCCTCTGGATGTGACAATTTTCTTAAACTCGGGTGCTGAGGAATGCTCTTCAATGTAATCCTCGATGCTCAGAGACTTCAAAACAATATCGGCGGCCATATCGTACTCTCTGAGATTATAATCTAGATGGAAGTGTTCGGCGACCAATTCAACCAACAGCCTATCATTGCTTTCATCACTAGGGTCAGATCGATATAGTGAGCCTCTCAAGGTATCAACGGTAAATTTAAATTCGAACAAACGCCGGTGTATGTTTTTAGAACTTTGTGAGTCTGTTGATATCTTCTCCTCTGGGCCTTCGATATCATTCTCTGATTGCAGGACAGGCACATCTTTTTGTCTAAATTGAATAGACTGTGACCTAGCTCTAGCTTCAAGCGCTGTAGCCTCAGCTTGAGCCTCTTTCTTCGCTGAATCCGCAGGCCCATCGGTGTTGAATTGGGGAATAGCTATATCTATCAGCCTCATCAGGTTTTTATACTTCGTATCTGACATCGACGCGTGGAACTCTGGTAGATGCCCTGATATACGGGTCCTGGTGAGCGTTGATTTAGGAGCGATGCACAGCTCGAGTACAAAGTCCATGTTAATCCGGTCCATGATGTGAAGATTTTTCGATACCGTCTTAGCATCCAATTGGGCTTTAGTTGCTTCGATTCCATTCCCAATAAGCACTTGTGTCGAATCAAGCTTTAGCAAGAACTTATCGTACATCAGTGATTCAAGCTGGCTGAGATCATCATTACTAAGTTCTGAACCTTGCTTATTCTGAACCATCTTAAGAGTCTCCTTATCTGCCAGCTTACTGCTCACGCTGACCCTACCAGCATCAAAGATAAGGCACATGCTATCGTCTGTAGTAATGCTTTCAGGAACAATGATAAGCGGAGCCTGGATGTCAAGCTGGGCATTGATAGTCTTGTGCTCCTCCAAAGCAAACTCCAATCCTGCCCTGGTCTGTTGGCGAATTTCCGCAACGGTTGCGCCCGCAGTTTCCAGAAGTGCGCCGATAGATTCCATGTGTCGCTCTGGAGGACGGAAGAACTTGACAATTTCAACCAATACCTTGGGAGTATATATAACCTCAAGACTTTTCAGCTTCATACGGAGGGCAGAATCTGCACTTCCATCCAACGGGTTTGATTCAAACTGAAGGTAGAAGAGGCTATCGTCGTTCTCGCAGTCTATATCCTCCACATCCGGTGATTCAGGTATGTCCATTTCCGTGATCTCTTCGACATCTTCGCTAGGCATGGAATAGCAATCCTTAACGCGGACAATTTGAGGGAAAACGGTATCATTTGTAGTATGATCGAACAGTCGTAGTCCACCAAGGTCCGCCTGGATCAAGAAAGAATCCGGTCTCTGTAGTGCTTTTGCCTGGAAGCTCTCGAATACCAGCTTTAATATTTCGTTTGCCCTACCATGAGGATCCCGCTTTAAGGTAAAGCTTCCGGCTCGAAGACTCGAGTCAATCTGGAATTTGACGGAGTCCCTCGGCATATCCACCGCATCAGCTATAGCTTTCTTCTCATCCCAGTCTATTGCTTGGTATAGTTCCTGACGCTGCTCTTCTGTCATGGAAGTGTGCTGGTCTTCCTCCTTCTTTTCTGTTCCCCATATCCATTCAGACCAGGTCTGCTGCCGCACGACCTTCTTTGGGCACTCGATCCTTTCTTTCCTCAGTTGATTCCTAGCAAGAGATCTCCAGAATCGCAGGTCCTCGTATGACAGTTTCTCCTCAAGGGCTTTCATTTCCTCTGTCTCCGCGGGTGACATTGGATCCTCTCTTTTTCTCATTTTGAACAATTCGATATACCGGATACGGTTATCCCGTCTTTCCTTGATGTAACCCCAAGTCCACTTACGATTCCGTTCATGGATTTTGCTAAGAATGGCTTGACCAGCAAACCTGAACCAGGCGCGGGGATCTTCCTTTGGCCGGCATTCCGGCATCAAGCTTCGGTACTCGCGATGTTGAATGAAGTAATGGAAGAGGTCAACCAACATCAATGCATCACGATATTGATGATCATCAAGGACAAAGCCAAGTTCATCGAATATAAGTTTAGCTTTGGCCCTTGGATGGTCGACGTTTAGGGAGGTATCAAGTTCCAGGCCTGCTTTGCCGCTGACTGGCTTTAGGATGTATTGGTTATTCTCGCCCGTGGCAACAGCATCTCGGAACTTCTCCAGCAGGTCGGCATGACTGAATATTGGGACATCGTCATTATCTCCATCCCCGGAGTTGGGCGCAAAGAGTTCTGCATCTGTGTTCCAGTAGATCGCCAATGAATTTAGGACTGCCAGTTTGAAATTCTTGGTAGATGTAGACTGTATGAATGTAGGTTTCCAGTCTGAATCCGTGCTGACCGCGCTGAGTTCCTTGATCGTGACACCTACGGCGAAGGGATGTCCAGGAGCAGCAATGCCGTCTTCGTACCGGAAATGGACGTTCTTGATAGTCACCTGAAGGTTATTGACGATTGCAGTTATCAAGCTTTGAGTAAAGCTTTGGTTTTTCTGTTGTTCCTCCTGGCTCATGCCTGCGGTATTCTGCTCCTTGATGAGTTCGGCGCTTTCAAGCTTCTCCATCTTAACAGCATGTTCCCTCCTCTTCTCTTCCTCCGGATCATACGTGGAATCCTCCTTGGGCGCAGCAAGGAGGAATACATCTTGAATATGCACTTTCACCGGCTTCCCACGAAGATTGGACCATGGAATAGACAGTGTTAGCTCCCCAAGGTGGCCTTCAATGACATTGAGTGGCAGATGTAGTTGGTCCAGAGCTTCACGGCGGAGTTCAAGGTCTCGTAGTTTGACATCGCCCGACCATATGCCGACATTAAGTTGTCCTGCATCGAAGTTCTTCACATACATCCCCAGGAACCTGTTCAGCAGATTCGCAACGATTCCTTCTAACATGGCGGCGTCGCGGCTATGGCCGATTCAGGTAGCTAACCAAAGCGGTTCCGACCCGGTGCAAGGTTCCGTACAGCAATGCGCTTTTGGAGACCATGGGCGACTCAACGATATTAAACAATGTTTATTCCTATTTTCAGTAATCTGGGAGTTAGTAGGCACGTTACTGCGACGTGAAATAGTTCAGCTGTTGATATGAATTCTAACCGTCATTAATAACAACTTGAAGCACCCCTCGTCGGCCACAAAAACCAGGTCGCCTCTTTTAATGTGGAGCGGGCGCCTGCACAGTCAATTGCAAGCCAAAGGAGTGAACAGTCTCACTTATTTAAGTAGACTCCGTTGCTTTGTGTTCTGTATAGCGACGGGTGTTACTGTGTGTGTAGAGCAGTGAAATGTTTTGAGTTGTTGGTTGGAGCAAAAGTTGGGCTGAGTGAGTGACGTAGATGTTCTTTTTACTCGGTTGCTCCACCACCTTTTTCCAAGGAGAAAAGATCCTCGTCCAAGGGCAAGGTTATCTGCATTATGATTCGCACGATTCGCACGATTTACACTTGGGTGAGACGATATTTCTACCTTTGGGCGATGCGTCTTGAAAACTAACAGAGAGTTGAAGCTATTCTGACGTTTTCTACAGCAGTTTTACTATATGGGGTCAACCAACTACATGAAAATACCGAGCAAGTTCCAGGATCTATCGATTCTGCATCATGTCATTCACTGATTGGAGTGCGGAGTAACGTTTCTAGCTCTGGTGACAGCTTCTGAACCAACAGAGTGGCCTCGAGTAGAGACTTGGCTACCAGCATCATCGGGCCAGATAGACCAACTTCTAGGCCTGTTTCAAAGACATATTCCCAGTAGATAACGGGGGCCGGGCAGCTGCTGTGAACATACGCCGCCCCGACTAACAATTCGGTTGTACGGAGTACGATGTCACTAGACGCCCAACTGTTAATGGGTGCAGGGGGTTGCGAGTGTCCGAGATATGGCCGGACTTCAGGAACAGGCAAATATGGCGCCACTGATGGGCACTGCGGCCGACTGAGGCTCTAGATGGGTAGCTGTGGCATATAAAGGGAGAATATGGGATACTCTGGGCTCTCTGTAGATTTTCTTCTCGCGTGGTACACAGCATGTTGCCGACTCCGGGGTCACAGCAGCTTACACGGCCGCCAATAGATAATTCAATATATGCCCTAAGTGGTCTATTTTCGGGCGTACCACTCCGTCCTTGGTGCGATTTCCCTAAGGGGCTGTTTCGATATGGCGCTATTAGCGATTATCTGGTAGTATCTGCTGTCGCAGTCCAACTGCAACTGTCTCCAATGGAATATACATAGTATACCCAGTTCAAGATGGAAGTACCTGAGGATGTTGCTGGTGTCTGTCGACATGTAGCTGTATACCACCACCCGCAGGCTCTCTGCTGCACCTATCTTGAACCTCCACGGCCGCCAAACCCTCTTCTCCTCCGTGAATGATACCCAGAAGACTATGGAATGGATCAAAGGTCGCCGTCTTCGTCTTCTTCATCTTCGCGCCGACTTCACCCATCCCGGCTTCCGGAGAAACGATGTCCCGCTTACTAAGCCATCAACAACTTCTCACCATCGAAACTTGGACATCAAGCAAGAAGGATAAATTGTGTGTGATCAAAAGGAGCGAACTTCCAGGTCAATTGGCACTTCCAGCATCGTACGGGTACGACCAGTACGCACGGCACTTTCATCTCCACTCCTCCATCGCGGTCTCTCAGCTACTCTCTGGCGTCGGCCGGTTTTCGCTCTCTCTCTTCCGTTACAGCCCGACCTCCAACTTCACATCTTCTGCCCGCCATGTTGTGCCGAACAGCAGCCGCACGCTCTGTGCTCCGAGCCGTCTCGGGCTCCAATGCCTCAATTTCTCGCAATGCCTGGTCTAACACTGTTTTCAAGGCCCAGCTGAGCACCGCCTCCAGGCAATGGGTTGGCCCACGATCGGCCTCCATGGCTGTTTCGGCATTCCGCAAGCCAGCGACCACCGCCCTTGTCCGTTATGCTACCACTGTAAGTGATGCTGCACTGGTCTCTGACCGCTTTGACTATGGTTTTTACGGGTTATAGACGATGCTAACTGATTTTTTCTCAGGAGGCTGTCCAAAAGGCACAGAAGTCCCTCGTTGAAGAACCTGACGTTGATATGATGGCTGGCGTTAAGAACGATGTGGTGAGTTATATATAAAAATAGCTACCTTTAAAAGGGTTATTTCTGACCTTTTCCCCCATAGAGAGTCATCAAGGATACCTTCAGCCTGGAGGGTGTCCCCAAGGAGGCTTTGTACTACGGTTTGGCTGGTGTCGTCCCATACGTTGTGACTTCCCTCCAGACGGCTTTCCTCTCGTGGGAAATGAACAACGCCGTTACTCTTGGTTCCGGTAAATACGTTTCTGCCGAGACCGCTGAGGCCATGATGAACCTCATTGAGCCCATCCAGGTCGGATATGGTGCTGTGGTAGGTTCAATTTGCTCTTCTGTATAGTTTACTTTTTATTCCTAACGAGATATAGATCCTCTCCTTTCTCGGAGCTGTCCACTGGGGTATGGAGTGGGCTGGATACGGTGGAAAGCATGGCTTCCGCCGATACGCCACTGGTGTCGTTGCTCCTGCTGTCGCCTGGCCGACTCTCCTCCTTCCGGTTGAGTATGCTTTGATCACTCAGTTCTTCGCCTTCACCTTCTTGTACTACAACGATACCCGTGCTGCCGTCAAGGGATGGGTTCCAGCCTGGTACGGCATGTACCGTTTTGTGTTGACCTTCGTTGTCGGTGCCTCCATCGTTATTAGCTTGGTTGGCCGTGAGCAGCTTGCTAACCACTTCGCCTCTAACTACGGAATTGCCGACAAGATCAAGGCTCTCCAGGTTGCCAGAGAGAAGGAGCTGGCCAAGGCTGAGACTGCTGCTACCGAGACTGAGTCTTCCGAGTAAGCTTTTGCAGCTCTCTCTCCATATATCTTTCTCCCTACCACTGTCTGCCATATCCCCCGTTATTTTCCTATCTATCCCCCTTTGTTGGAAAGAAGCCCGTTCGTATGTGACTTGTAAATTAACCCACACAGAAAAAAATAATCTCGAAACCTGAACACGGTCGATTTCCCTTTGTTATTTAGACTAGACCAGTAACGTTGCCATTCCATCTGATATTCCCAAGCTTTTTTCCCCTTCATAGTAGGCATATCCAGGGATATATGTATGTATATATATCCACCTATATTAGCCACTAGAATCCGTCAGCCGGCTCTCTCCCCGATATGCAAGTGTATCTGCAAAGCATCTCCTCCATCCTGCATAGTGTCTTGCTTTAGAAAATCGATAGTGTGCCGCCATCGACAAATCAGAGAGCTACCAGAGCCGAAAGCCCCCGGCCATCCACGACAAACTCCACGGATCCTTTGTAGACGCGTCTAGAGCGTCACCTGTGATTCGCAGGGTAGCGCCGTTCAAGGGTCTTCATCGTCTTCTGCTGCCTCGGATCTCGCATCCGATCCAACCTGGCTTGCATGTTCTGGTTGAGGCCAGAGATGTAACACCGCACCAAGCTTGATTTCACGACGTCTCGTACCTCACTGTACCTTTCCCTCCCTTCTTCATATCATCTTCATATTTCCATCCCCCTCTTCTGTATATAATCATGTCATTATCGTCTTCTTCATCTCCATGGCCTGGTGGAAAGCCGGGCCTGGGCTGTGTTTTTCGCCCCGCAAAGCGTTTATCCACCAGGAACCGCCAAAACTCCCCGCGCGGCTGCGTGATCGGGCAGATTCTGATCTCTCGCACAACATCCGGGTCGTCGAAAATATTTCTCCAGGTTCAATCTACGGTGCAATTGCTCTTCTACTCGTCCTCACTCTGCCTTTTGCTACGGTACCTTGTTAACACACAGATGCTCTCTGCCTGTGGTCTCCGTTGCAGCGCTGGCCGTGAGCTCTTGGTCCCGTTGCGTTCCCTTCCGTACATAGATCAGAGACAGCTTAGTTGACAGTCATGGAATCTGACCAGTCGACCAAAAGCTCGCTTGCTGCACTTCGAGAGAGTGCTATAGAAGTCGTCAAGGGACTGGCAGACACCTTCGAGGGAGGGCTAGACACCTTTGCCGTCCGCAATCCCATCCTGCCCAGTCGTGAGGAACGTCCGTCCAGATTCATTGGAGCCATTGACCAAGGCACAACAAGTACTCGATTCATCCTCTTCGATCTCGAAGGTAACATAGCAGCCTCTCATCAGACTGAGCTGGGTCGGGTACATGATCAACCTGGGTGTGGAGTCTCATTTTCCCATATTTGCCCAAGTTCTTTGCTGACTTGTCGAACTATAGATGGCATGAACAGGATCCAGCGGAGATCGTCTCCTCTGCGCAAAAGTGTATAGAGCAGGCAACCAAAACGTTCATCAACAATGGCCATTCCATCAGTGAGATTGAGGTCCTGGGGGTCACCAATCAGCGAGAGACAACTATCGTATGGGATTGGGAGACTGGAAAGCCACTATACAACGCTATAGCTTGGCCTGACACTCGTACCAAGTCCATAGTCAGAGAGTTCAAGGAAAAGGGGGCCGACGGCTTGCGGGAGATATGCGGTCTGCCCATATCAACATACTCTTCTTCTGCGAAACTTGTCTGGCTACTCCGCAATGTACCGGAAGTGAAGGTTGCCTATGATGCTGGTAACCTGGCCTTTGGTACAGTAGACACATGGTTGTTGTATAATCTCAATGGTGGAAAGGAAAATGATGTATTTGTGACCGATGTCTCAAATGCTTCACGGACCATGTTCACTAACCTACGTACCCTCAAATATGATGACGAGTTACTTAACTTCTTCGGCCTAGAACAGTCCAAGCTCAGACTGCCAAAAATAGTTCCATCTGCGGACCCCACAGCGTTCGGACAGCTGGCCACGGGAATCCTCAAGGGAGTTCGAATCATGAGCTGTCTAGGTGACCAGTCTGCTGCGTTGGTAGGCCATGGAGCATTTGTTCCCGGTATGGCCAAAAATACATATGGGACCGGCTGTTTCTTGCTCTACAACGTGGGCGAGAAGCCCGTCATCTCCAGTCACGGTCTTCTCGCAACGGTGGGATATCAACTGGGTCCCCACTCAAAGCCAGTATATGCCTTGGAAGGCAGTATAGCCGTTGCCGGAAGCGGCGTTAATTTCTTAGTGAATAATCTAGGCTTCTTCCGAGATGCCAGGAGAGTCGATGATGAGGCTTCATGTGTACAGGATAGCGGTGGCTGTGTTTTCGTCACTGCATTCAGCGGTCTCTTCGCTCCCTATTGGATCGATACCGCAAAAGGAACGATATGTATGTGCAGTTCTCTTGCGCCTAAAATAACTGGTTTGTTAACAGCCCATTAGTTGGCATCACGCAGCATACTAAGAAGGGCCATATCGCCCGAGCAACTTTAGAAGCAGTATGTTTCCAAACTAAGGCAGTCTTGGACGCTATGGAGCGTGATAGTGGACATAAACTTGCCGAGCTGAGGGTGGACGGTGGCCTAAGTACTTCCAATGTCTGCATGCAAGTACGTGTATCATTTTGACTTGAACTGTTTAGTGACGTAAGAAGCTAACGCACAAGAACAGTCACAAGCTGATATCATTCGCATACCTGTAAAACGCCCAGAAATGCATGAAGTAACAGCATTAGGAGCAGCAATTGCCGCTGGGATTGCCATCAAGATCTGGGATGATCCGCTAAACCTGGAAGGGCTCAAAAAATCGGATAAGACGGTCTTTGAACCCAAGCTTCCCGAAGCAGAAAGCAATCGTATGTACAGAAAGTGGTCAAAGGCCGTTGAGATGTCCCGAGGCTGGATGGACAGCAGCGATTGACGTGATTTTCTTGGACATTTTCTTTTTTAGTCATGATACCCACGACATCTTAATCTATTATGACATTTCGCCGTGCCATTGGCCTCATCCTCACCTCCCTGATTGACAACTTTTTTCTCCTTTCTTTTTCTTTTACCCCATGCTATTTAATGTCCGAATGGTTTTCCCCTTCATCAATGCGTAGATTGGTTTATAACGATATTGTTCCCCTGTTGGCTGTAATTCCTCCGCAAAACGTGCCCAATTTTCGTTATTCCCTTTCCCTCTGTGGGTTGGGAAACGGTTTGTTGCTAACATACACAGTGCAGAGTATGCTGTGGCAACGCATCGTTCAACCACGACTGTGAAAGACCTCTGCCTCCACGAACTTTCTTTCCACTATTACCAGTGTCTGCCAGGTCATATCGATTGGTTCAACCATCGTCTGTTGTGGATGCGAGCTGTCTGATTTAGAAACATCGAGTTGCCAATATTTTTGGCTAATTATATCGAGGACGGATTATCCCCCCTTATTTACCGCTAGCTTGGCACTGACTGTTCCCAGTTGCCGAATGCAACTCGCAGCCCGCGGCCTGGGGAAGGATCATTCCGACCCTGATGCAGATATGCATAAATACGTCAAGAATGGTCTCGGAGTATCCGATTCGTTTTATCGCGCATCTGCATTTCTTTGGGCCTGGATTTGCGCAGCGAACACGGCTCTTCCCGCTCAATGCGGCCTGGATTATCAATGTCAAGACTCAAAATAGCTTGGTCGTGGCATCTCTTTGTGGAATTGTTAATAATACGACACCTGGCCTTGCGAAAATCAGAGGACAGGCATTGTGCGCCGAGCCTTGCGACATTGCCCCGAGAGATACTTCATTGGGTGCAGGGGCATATGTGGGAGTAATAAACCTTGTTCTGGTTTGCAGCTCTTACTAAATAATAGTAGGAAGTAACTCCTCGCAAGCTGAGGTTCTGCACGGTTGACGTTACCTGGGACAAACTAGCATCAATTCTCTAAAGCCCGGGAAGGTAGTTATATTACGCCCCTTCAGGTTTTTAAAGAATTATATGCCAAAACCAGAATGTCGATCTCCCTCATCTGGTGGATCTTTGCACCGCGGGAGCTGGGCAGTTGTGCATAAGCGACGGGGAAAGAAAATTTCTATCTTCAACATACTCGACCGGAAATGGACATACTGTGCCTCAAACATTCTTGGGATATTACTCAATCAAACCACTCACCTCCCATGTCAGGTTTTCCCTTCTTGTTTCACAACATCTGGGGACAGACCAGTCCGGCACCTACTCTTTAAGGAACACAAGTACTCCTGTCCAATATCTTGATTTACACCATTCCTAGAACGCACTTTATACGAACGTCTCAATTGCTTTTTACCAAGAGTGCATTTAGTTCCTTGTACCCCTTCGCATGGACAAGGAAAAAAACAAAAAACAAAAACTGGAATGACAAAAAAACGTACTTGTTGAAAAAAAGATACAAAAAACAATTCACCCCTACCAGCTCGCGTACGAGGGGGTGGCTACTTTGCTAGTTACCGGCGCACAGCGTTACCTGCCAGAATCTACATTAGTCCCGCTCAGTCTATGCATATGTTATCATACTTGCCGCCGACTCACATCCTGCTGCGAGACAGGATTAGACTATTTATATCTCCATTTTGCCTCTTGAGTTCGTTCACTTTCTATATTCTCACGCAGGAGTTCATTTATTGAATGTCATACATATATAATACGAGCATGTGCGATTACGTTGAAGTCAATTACGAGTGTAGCCATGTCCGGCTTCTAGTTAGGGCATGGTGTGTCGTGTATCAGAAAACACAGAAACGATGCCCTCCAAATATTGTTGCAAGGTACGTTTACGCGCGTGCTTTCCTCACACTGAATATCAGATACCTCAGGCTATCCAGACACATAGAAAGTGGGAGCTAACATCTAGTCTTCTGGACATAGGGAAAGTCGACCTGGTGATAAATGCGGTATATACAAATCCAGTTTCGAAACGTGGTTTTCAGTTTGATATGGGATAACATTGTGTTTCCCTTACGGGTGCACAATCTACCTAGATCAATGTCCATCCTTTCTACATACTCAATTGATACCTAATTTGCCATATTCAAAATCAGGAGACTGCAGGAAACATGAACAATCCGCCTCTACTTCCCAATCATCTTAGAAGTTACGACCATAAGCGTCACCATAACCAGGCCTCCTTTTCACCAGGGCCTGTTTCTATTAAGTTTTGACAAGTCCTAGGGATCGGCCGGTGCATCGATACCATATTCTTCCTTACAATCGTCTTTAAACAAACATATCACTATGGAATAACAACAACAATCAAAAGAAGAATAAATTTGCTACAGTCTCGTGCGGTGGAGGGCGGTTTCAACTCGGGCATTCAGTTACTTTCTCGGCGTTGGATGTTTGCATATTTAATCTTCGATGGCGGATTGGCGAAAAGCACACACCTACACATATTGACTTTTTTTACCCTCCCTTGCATGGTCTGGGCTGTGGTCACAGCCTACACAATTTCTCTTTGGAAGATCGTCGATCGCGAGCCAGTTTGATTTGTATTTGTCAAGAGAGTCTAGGGAAAAGCTCTTATTCTATGAGATATTGATTTGGATTCATATTTTTCCTTTTTGGTACTTGCATATTGCATGCCTCGTGAGGTCCATCACGTTATAGCCTTTTTGGCCATACTCATTGCTCATTTGCCAACAGCAAGCCCTGGAGGGCTTGAGAATGACTCCATTCGCTTTGTTGCAATGGTCTTGCCTACATGCGCCCTTGAAGGATCTCTACGTTTTGTCTTTCTTCAAGGCCCCACCCCTTCCGCGCCCTGGGGCGCCGCTCAAACCTCTTACTATGTAGAGCCGTTCAGCATGTCCGAGCTAGTGGTAGCATACATGATGCTCGTTATCTCATCATCTCTTGCATGTTTTGCGGCGTTGGTTCCTGCCACCAATACCAGATCTTATCGTCGGACGACCGGTGGGGCCTATCAGATACATCATATTGTGAGGGCGCCTTTAAACAGGAAAGGACAGAAGAAGGTTGGTCTGGTGTGTCCAAGCTGTCCGGGGGGGAAGCGAGGAGAGGTCACAGGCGCGCTGATATAGTTCTCGGTTGGACGAGACGCGGTATTCAAGTGAGATTTTGGATATATATAATATACGCATATTTATCATATTTTGGTTGCCTCACAGTTATGTATGCATGCATACATAGCTGCCACGCAGCGAGTAGGCATTGCTTCTGCAGGTTTTATCGAAAAAGAACTGTTTTCCTCCCTTGGCATGAGAGACCCTCCCTCGACTTTCTTACCACCCTGAGATTCCCTCTCCAGCGTTGCGAGGATGATGTGACAGCTTACTTTCAGGGTCACTAGTACCGGTTTGCCAGAGTTCGGCTTCTCTGTGGGGTGTGTGGGCTTGATGTATTGCTTGTCCCGCTTTGAAACTTGTCAGATTTTCGGTTCGTTTGGGGTAATCAATATGGGTGCGCCGCGAATATATGTCGTTGATGTTATTATCTCGAATGCATCCGGCACGCACAGGCCTTAAAAAAAAAAAAAAGAAGCGCCTGATATTGACAACCGTGCGTCGACCGGCCCAGTCAAGATGCGCCTCAAACAACATGTTTTTTGGTATTTTCTTCTTCTCCATGACGCAGTTACTTTTATTATCTGCATAATGCGGAGACGGTCCGCCCCTCCCCTCCCCCTCATCCTCCAAGAGGCTTGCTTCTTCTCCCTTCCGCCCACCATAAACCCACTCGCCAAAATTTCCTCCTACCGGGGCCTTTTCTTTTGTTTCTTGTCTGAGGGTCCGACGTTGACCCTCCGCCCGCCCCCTTTTTACCAACGTAATGGCGTGGTCTGGAACTCAACCCCACCGGCATGGATACACCCAGTCAGGGAGTACATCTACCTCCCTAAGATGGAACTCGCCTATGCACTGCAGCTTTAGTTCGTCCGTCTTTACAGCAATCAGTGGCCCTTTACCTAAATGGGACGTTGAACACGTACCCAGTTAAGCCTCCTGCATTAGAACATACGGTTCTTCCTACAAAGATTCATGCCTGCCAGGTGCCGTCTACGTATAGGAAGAACTACTGCGGGTTCCGTTACCGGGCAGACTGGCCGTACAGAGTACATGGTTGTATAACGCGGGCTAGATTAATTATGTTGGTATATACAAGGGCGAAAGAAAAAGCAACGGGAGAAAGAGCAGAAGTTTAAAAAAAAAAAAGGCATGCATGGATGCAAGGAAGATCCGGCATTTTTTCAAGCCACATCGGGTTTGGGGCTAGGGGGTCAATGTAGTTCTGTCAATCATGTTTGTGGTTTTGACTGTGAGACCATGGAAGGTAATTCCGTGCCATTTGACCATAATTCCAATATACAGGTTGACCTAAGGGGTAATTGGTCCCAGGTATGTCATTAGTGTATTGATCTCCTTGCATACTGTGTATATACACAGCAAGCGTGCATCCACCTTGCAGCCTTTTTACCTAGTGGCCGCGATATACGGTGAACGGGCTTCTTGGAAATGCTCACGTCGACTCAAGTCTCTGGGCCTTTAAAAGTGAGCACTCCGTACATAATTGGTATAACCATGCCCTTGTAGATCTGAAGCCGAGCGTTGGGCCGACTCAAAAAAAGAAAAGAGAAAGGATAAAAGAATAGTTTAATAGTCTAAGGGGTTTGAAATAAATCAACCATATCTGTTTCACACTTTTATGATGTAAGTAGGTGTATGAATGTCCAGGTTCTACCAAGGGGGAGTGAAGCGGTTGGGCTCCAGGCCGGCATCATCGCATCAGGAGGCCTTGGGCTCCTTGCTACGATGGATGACGCACAGATAGATCGATCTACAAGGTAGAAAGATAGCTGATGACATACGTCCGTCAGTTACACCGCAGGGAAGCGATGATGAAGTCCTGCGTCGCCCTGCGCTTCGCAGATGAGCCTTATCTATGTTCAGGGGACACCTTGTAAGCTGAAATCTTGAGTCAACGAAAGAGTTAAAGAGATGAAAAGATAAAAATAAGGGAGAGAGAAGGAAGGTTGAGTCGACCGGGTCGGACGGGCCGTTCCTTTTGCCTTTTTGATAGAGTCTTGAGGTTTCTTTTTGACGCTTTATTTCCCTTGTATATACGAGTTAGAAGTAAGGATCGTGTTACCCCTTTTTTTACATATATTTATATGCTATATCCTTACTACGACTACGGCAAATATAGCCTATACTAGTTATCCGTAGATGCTTTTGACATTTTATTCTATTCCAGTTATACACGAGTAGAGTAAGTGTACGCGGAGTACAGAGAAAGATTTCAAAACCTTCCCACATTTGGGGGCAGCCAACAAGGGGGGGAGAAAACAAAAAGGTAGTGTAAAGTGGATGAACATACATAGTAGGGGAAATCATCCGAATGTGGCGTTTCGAGTCCATGTACAATGCTAGATGCAAAAGGGGGAGGGGGAGAGGTTTCGGAAAAAGTAACGTTTGGAGCTTCCCAGATGCAAGGAAGGTTTGGAAAGGAGATAAAGAAGGTCGAAGCTGGATGACATCACAAGGGATGATAATAAGCAGTATTATCGGTAATTGAGTGCTTGCTAAGCATACTATTAACTCAACTTAAGTTGATATCAACAATAGGTCTGATGCTTGGAGAAATACAATTTATTCTCTCCAGTCTCTCGACCATGGTGCCTATGTTCGTCTCTCCAGTGCCATACTTCACTTTGACGAAGCAGCATCTTCAGTGGTGGGTTTTATATGAACAGAAGCCAGGGCTTCCGGAAGCTTTATCGGTGCCTTGGAAGTCAATAATAGCTTATCTAGCTTCTCGCCCTTTAACACTCTCTCCATCTCCTCTTTCGTTAGAGTCTCATATTCGAGCAGGGCCTTGGTCAGCAATTCAAGTTCATGTCGATGCTCTTTCAAGATGGCTGATGCACGAGCGCTAGCTTCGTCAACAAGACGGCGTACTTCATTTTCAATTTCTTGCTTCGTTGACGCAGAGAGTTTGTTGTAGCCGGTATTCAAGTCAACGTTGCCCAGCTTTTTAGAGTAACCATACTGTGTCACTAACGTGAAGGCAGTCTGAGTGGCACTTCGAATATCCTATATAATAGAGTCAATAAACGACCAAAGTCACGGTGGGGAAATGAAGACAAAAGAAAACGGAGAGACGTACACCTGAGATACCACTGGAAACTCTGTCCGGTCCATATATAAGCTCCTCGGCTGCTCTACCGCCCATGGAGACGTCGATATCGGAAATATACTCTGTATAATCCTTTGAGACGATATCCATTTCGGGCAAGAAATGTGTAGTTCCCAGCGACATGCCTCTAGGCACAATGGTTATCTTATAAAGCGGCATGGCGTCAGGTGAGAAGTAAGCAACAAGGGCATGTCCGGCTTCGTGGTACGCTGTCTTAAGCTTGTCCTCGTCCCTAAGCATGCGGTTGCGGGCCTCCGCGCCCATCAAGATCTTATCCTTAGCATAGTCAAAGTCTTCAGGGCCGACCTTAGCCTTCTTGTCCCTACTGGCGCGGATAGCAGCTTGGTTGATGAGATTCTCTAGGTCAGCGCCGGAAAAGCCAGGGGTTCCACGGGCAATGACTGTAGCGTCGACTTCTGTGCTGACTTGGATGTTCTTCATATGGTGGTTCAGAATGTCGACACGGCCACGAACGTCGGGGAGATTGACATTGACCTTCCTATCGAACCGGCCGGGACGGGTTAGAGCTTTGTCAAGTAATTCTGGGAAGTTGGTTGCTGCAATGATGATCACACCACTTGTCTGCGAAAAGCCGTCGAGCTCGGTCAGAAGCTGGTTGAGAGTCTGTTTAACGTATGCTGCATCTCGTTCATTTCTCTTAGCGCCTATGGCATCAAGCTCGTCGATGAAGATGATAGCTGGCGCTTTGCTACGCGCCTGGTTGAACAGTTCACGAACACGCTTAGCTCCGACCCCAACATATATCTCATCGAATTCAGATCCAGACATGTAGAAGAAAGGAACACCAGCTTCTCCGGCAACAGCTCTGGCAAGAAGAGTTTTACCAGTTCCGGGAGGCCCAACAAGGAGTATACCTTTGGGGAGTTTACCGCCTAGAGAGGAAAACCGGTCAGGGTTAGACAGGAATTCGACAAGCTCTTGAAGTTCATCCTTTGCCTCGTCGCATCCATGGACATCACTGAATCGAACCGTTTGATGCTCAGGTTTAGCTTCGTTGGTCTGCGACCCTCGGACATTCTTCATAATACCAGTTGTCTCAACAAAGACGGTAACGAGAAGAAGTGAAAAGTACGTGATGAAACCGAAAAACAAGAAGAACCTAACCCAACGGAAGATAGAGCTACCGAGAGACTCATCAACAACGACATAGAGCGGGGTATCCTTGGCTCCGGTACCACTGTTCTTGTTAGATATACCGATTTGACCGCCATGCGAGCGAGCAGCCACTGCCTGGCCGATGGCCTGAAGCTGGTCCGCGGTCACATTGGGGTTTGCGGGGTTAAGCTGCTGTTGTCCGTGACCAATGGCTGATTCGGTGCCGCTGCCAACTTTCTGGAGCGCTTTCATATACGTAGCTTCTGACAGGCTGTTGCTCGCAAATTTCCCACTTCGGTACCGTTCGATGATGATTCCCGGCATATTTGCCTTCAATAGCGCGTTGTAGAAGGAGTTTTGAGCCGCAGCACTTCCGGGGTTATTGTTCGCAGACGTCTCCATACGCGCGAGAACGTTCTGGGACGAGCCTCCAAACAGATATCTCTGGGACTGGAGAGGAGATAGGCCGGCTAGTCTGGGGATAGTGGTGGGTCGGTTGAGTTGAGTGAATGATAAAGTAGAGTGGTGGCGTCTGGGGGCTGTGAGTCGGGAGAGCTGCGAGCTCAAACCGGCCACACGTCTACCTGATAAGCAGTCAGATACAGAACTGAAAAGCTGACGAATATAATGCCCACTACATACCTTGTGGCAACATGGTAAGAGGTGACGACTGGCGCATGGATAGGTTCTGTTCCGCGGCTGCTCGTAGAGTATCTACCCCAAGTCTATCTGGCAAAGTAATCCGAGCCTATTACAGCGAGTGAGCTTCCACTCTCCAGTTTCATGCACAAGCAGTATATATAGCACTTACCGGCAGAGTCCTATCATTCCGCGCCGTCTGCTTCGACTTTCTCACGGATGACGCATGGTACGCACGCGAGCTGGAGACAGTTGTCTGGCGACCTCCCCATGGCGCGGAGAGCACATTTGACACTGACGGCCACAGATCGGAGGTCACTGCCGCAATATTCTATAGTTTGCCAACGTCGTCAGCCCATATACTCACCACTGAGGGCCTGTATATGTATTCTCAACTTACCGGGAGGCCAAGTTGCGCGTGGAAAGCCATTCCGAGCGTGACTGCTCAGGCTGTCGAACGCAGGATCCGGCGTCTGAGGAGGCAGAATGGGACTAGATTGTAGTGCAAGTCAAGGTCAGGTAGGCAATATGTTGGCAGCCATGCCCGTCGCCAACGATCTCGATGGTCTTTTTTCTTCTTAATATTTGATATTTGAATCGTCAAAAAGTTGAAGAGAAAAAAACCGTTGATGAAGTTGCCACTTTGGGAATAAGTTTGGGATGCTTACTAAGCGAACATGTTGAAGTTCGCGATATAAAGAAGACAAAAGATGGATAGAAAGATGTGGAAGATATATACAGTGGCTCAGTAGAGATGAGGCACGGAGGAGGGAGAATGCTTATGATGCCATAGCATGCCATTGAAACACATTGTACTGACCGGAGCGCCTGTGGCCAGCTCTCTATGCTGGGATGAATCGGAGCTCCAGGACAGCAACTCAGGCAGACATGAAGCAGCGGATGAAGTACGATGGAGGAGTCTGGAGAATGTCAGGGGCATTACGACATTTACTCCACCTATAGACGAGGGCGGATGCTTCTTTACAGCGGGAGCAATCGAGAGATACAGCGGAGATCCAGTCAGCGAGCTGGAGACCCTGTCAGCGTTTTACGAGCAGTCCTTTGCATTCCATGAAGGCATCTCATCTGCCTCCTTTAATGATATTACGAGGTCGTTCGGTGATGACGACTCCACCGGCCTGGAGGAGAGCGAAGGGAACAACATAACCCTGCTGCCAACGGCGGATGGGGATAGCCATAAGAATAATAATACTAAGGAGGCGGTTCGATTGTCCGTATCCGGCAACTTCAGCGACCTTGAAGGCATCCCCGATGCAGCATACATCCACGGTCTGGCTCCCCGGATAGTCACTGTCAATATGATAGTGGCGGTTATCACGGTCGAGCAGCGTCGACGAGTACGGACTCGCTGGGGTAATGCCATGGACCTGATCGAGCTGCTGGTCGGAGACGAGACGAAATCCGGTTTTCGTATTAGCTGCTGGATTTCACCACGAGACGAAGATCAGGGCGGGAACAAGAACCCGCTTGAACAGGCTCTTGAGGGTCTTCGCCCATGTGACATTATCCTCCTCCGGTCTGTAGCACTGGGAACCTTCCAGGACCAAGTCTACGGTCAAAGCTTGCGGAACAACACGACGAGACTTGATCTGCTGCACCGGAGACCTGTTGATGCCACAGACTCAGAGGGACTCTATCCAGGCCGGCTGCTCAGGGACTCTACAGACGACCCGCAGACGGCGAAGGTAGCCAGAGTCAGGTCGTGGACGCTCGACTTTATCGGACCGGTCCGTCAGGTCAAGCGTGCAACTGTTCTTCCCCCAGACAGTCAATAACACGGGTCAGCTTTTGACATGTATTTGGCATTAAACTCCATGCATAGATGTACGGAGTATGGACGAGAGGCGAAGGCTTCTACAGAGTTATCTTTGATCTTCCAATCAAGTGTGCATTATCCTACCTCTCATCTCAATGCATGTTTCACTTGTGTCAATTATTCAAACTGTGTCCTTTTCAATTATTAGTAGTTAGACCCGGTGCTTTGTTATGATACTGTACGGAGTATGCTACTCTGCCCTTCCACCCATTCAGCCTTGGGACACGCCACCAACGACAGAGCCCCAGGGACGGGCTTGCGAATACTCAAGATATGGTGGACCGCCTGATGCTGGCTCATTCGACTGCTTCTAGCACTTGGATGGAGTCCTCGACGGTTTCAGGGCCGCGACGCCTCTGGGGAGTGGCCAGGGTGGGAATTAGTACCTTTTGCATACCTCCTCCACCACCAAACATCTCCCGTCACTGTAAGTATCCCGTAAGTACCTCAGGGGGAGCCTTTTTTTATCACAATATCCACTTGGTGGGAAAAAAAAATTTTGGCTTTGCCATGCCGCGGGTTTCTTGCACACCCTATGGCACCGTCGCCCTCGCCCAGCTGACTTCACTCTCTCTCTCTCTCGCTGAACCCCCTAAAAAGGAAGAATAAACACAACAAGGACAACATCTTCACCCCCTGAACTTCCGGAGTGGCAGTGAATAATAATAATAAAAGGGAACAAGTCGAGAAGATCTTCTGCTGGCCCATCATCTTTTTTTCTCATTCTTTGTCTTGTTCCTCGATCTGACCACAACCGTCCCGCACTCCCTCCTATTTTAAAGGCAGCTCAAGAAAACAGCAGACATCATGAAGGGTACGTCTGAGTCTGTTGGCCTGTTCACTGCTGTGGCAGGACTGGAATCACGGCTGATGGCGTCTCTGTATAGCTTTAATTCTCGTTGGCGGCTTCGGTACCCGTCTCAGACCACTGGTAGGTGGCATGAATCTCCAGAAGTGGACAGCTGGCACAAGAGCTGCAATTGATATGAGAGAGCAAGGAGAAGCTGACTCGATGACAGACTCTCACTCTCCCCAAGCCATTGGTCGAGTTTGCCAACCGTCCTATGATCCTCCATCAGGTCGAGAGCTTGGCCGCTGCTGGTGTGACGGATATCGTCCTGGCTGTCAACTATCGACCAGATGTCATGGTTTCTGCCCTCAAGAAGGTAATATGCCTGAAAAAAAAACACCTTGTGGCACACACTTGGTTCCGTGGACCGTAACTGACACGCGGGCAGTATGAGGAAATGTACAATGTCAAGATCGAGTTCTCTGTCGAGTCTGAGCCCCTTGGCACCGCCGGCCCTCTCAAGCTCGCCGAACAGATACTGGGCAAAGACGACTCGCCTTTCTTCGTCCTCAACTCAGACGTCATCTGCGAATACCCATTCCAGGCTCTTGCAAACTTCCACAAATCCCACGGCGAAGAGGGCACTATCGTCGTCACCAAGGTCGAGGAACCCTCCAAGTACGGTGTCGTCGTCCACAAGCCCAACCACCCCTCCCGCATCGACCGCTTCGTCGAGAAACCAGTCGAGTTTGTCGGTAACCGCATCAACGCCGGCATCTACATCCTCAACCCCAGCGTTCTCAAGCGTATCGAACTCCGCCCCACCTCCATCGAACAAGAGACGTTCCCCGCCATATGTAAAGACGGCCAACTCCACTCCTTTGATCTCGAGGGCTTCTGGATGGACGTCGGTCAGCCCAAGGACTTCCTCAGCGGAACCTGTCTCTACCTCACCTCACTCACCAAGCAGGGCTCCAAGTTGCTAGCCTCCTCCAGCGAGCCCTACGTCCACGGCGGAAACGTCTTGGTAGACCCCTCCGCGAAGATTGGCAAGAACTGCCGTATTGGCCCCAACGTGACCATCGGCCCCAACGTTGTCATCGGTGACGGTGTTCGACTCCAGAGATGCGTGTTGCTCGCCAACAGCAAGGTCAAGGACCACGCCTGGGTCAAGTCTAGCATCATCGGCTGGAACAGCTCTGTAGGCCGCTGGGCACGCCTAGAGAACGTCTCAGTGCTTGGTGATGACGTGACTATTGGTGATGAGGTGTACGTCAACGGCGGCTCTATCCTCCCACACAAGAGCATCAAGCAGAACGTTGACAGTAAGTCGTTCCTTTTCCCCCTTATTCTATACTATACAATCTAATAACTAACTAATCCTTTCTAGCCCCTGCAATCATCATGTAAACCGCATATCTATGATATGTGGACAGTCTACTTCCCCACACATTTACTATATGATAATAAAAGAAACCAACGTCACATCATAATCTTCAATCTGGGCAGTATGAGGTCAGTGGCAGCAGATGATATGACCATAGATCGGATGGATGGGTGTTTTTTTTTTTCTGTTCTTTCTCCGGTCTTACTCTTGTTTTTCTTCCCTAATTCCTTGATGGCCTTTTTTTACCCTCTTTGTTTTTAATCTCCTAATCTTCTCTGCATGTTGCATCTCTCCCTCTTCCACTTTGTATAGCGGCTTTCTCTCCCTTTTATTGGCCTTTATCTCTCCACTCGCCCCTTCTTTACCAACTTATTACTTCATCTTTTATTCTCCTGACTGCTATGCTGGGTTTACTTTATTTCTCTGCTTCTCGCAGCTTTGCATGTTTCTCACCGAACACTTCTTCCAGCTCTTTTACTCTTATGTCTTCAAGCTTCTTTCTTCACCACCATTTTATACTCAAAACAATTTGTCCCGCGGCGTGTTTACTGTGGCATTTATGATGAAATTACGGAAGGCCTTGAGTGTGTTAGCTATGATAGTTAGCTTATACCCTCCGAATGGAATATTTTCAGCCTTTTATAATATTGAAGTGGTCTTGGAGATTAACTATATTACGCGTCTACAATGATCGCATGACTTGTACGACTAGGTTTCGATACTCCACGCTATTTAGAAGGTTACTACCTGATATAACACCAACTAGGAAACGATTGCAAAGAAAAGGTAACTGGCAACCATTAGCATATTCAGTGAAGTTATTCGGTAAGATCAAGCTGAATAGACGTAGTAACATTAAATCGATATGTCATGAGGTTAGGCACATGTTAAATGTCCACCTAGAACGGGGATAAAATATAAACTTGCTGATATATTACGATATCGAGCAGCTTAGGGATCATAGGGCCGTCTTGTCTATTGAGGTGCCCAAGGCACTACTAACCTCATCCATTGTGGAGTTTGTAACCTTCTAATAAGTCTAACGCTCCTGAGCTAGAAGGTCTTCTTCACTTGCAGTATACTCTAGAAGGATTCAACTGGGTATAACCTACTCAACGGATATCAAGTTCTCACGATGTTTCCTCTGTCGGAGGGTTCTCATTTCATTTCGTGGTAGGTACATATACTCTCTGGCCCTCAGATACGCTTTCCCATTGAGGAAGATGTCTCCTGGCCACAAAGTGGCATTTTTGGGTATCTTTTCCCAATCCATCTATAATGATTGACCATCTGTGTTCCAAATATCTTTGCCAACCAGTCGAATCTTTTGCATGATGAAAAATATCCTAAGGGCTATAAGTAGGAGGAAAGTGTGGCGGGATAATTAATTGATGAACGCCTAGCGGAGTAACTATAAGTGATTATTTACTCCCTCCGGGCATGTATTCAAGAATTTGAACTCATAAAAATAGACTCTAGGGAGGCTCAAGTAACTATTTAAGCTTAATCGTGCCTACCACGTGATGACATCCTCTTACGGCGAAGTTTTGGGCTATTTTTGGATCCAACCGCTAGTTATATTTCTGCTTCCGCTCAAGGGATCTAAAAGTACATTAGAGGGTTTCGCAATTCGGCCTTTGTTCGTTAAGTTTCATTTGATTAACATCATCTACTACCCGTTCTTTGCGGGTAGGAGGATGGTTCACTCCTATGTACTTACTGTGTAAGCCGAGCTTCTTCCGTGGAGTCTTTGACGTCCTATTATTCTCCCTTCTTTGCACCATTATGTGGTAAAGCTACTAGTAGGAGAGATAGAGAAAGACGTTTCCAGCTTCTAGAGATGCAGGAGATGCGGATGCTGAGACGTGTGATAATAATGGAAAGCTCCAGTGGCGGCGCAGTACTTCACCTTCACTCTTTCATGCCTCATCTTTGTCTTTGGCGCGAAGAGGGCTATATATACCCTCTCCTCTCATGATAGCAGTGAGGGAGGGCAGACTAAACAGCAGCCATGGAAGAAAAGACGGCCAGCCTCATCAATATACTCACGCGACACATTCCACGACAACAACCGTTGTCACGACCAGGATAAACTCACGGAGAAGGATGTCGAGGCGGCTAGGAACAACAGCACTCATACTATAGATGGGATTGTCCACCCGGCCATGAGAGATGTTCAGGATACCCACACTCTCCAGGATACTCGTTCAGGCGAGCCTGGGTCAACAGTCACCTCGTTATCTGGCATGCTGAAGCAGTTCGCGGGCTCGTGGCAGCACCAGCCTGATCTACAGCCGATTCCACAGGATCAACAGGACCAACACGACGGACAAGATTATCAACAAGGCAAAGAAAAAAGACGACGAGCTAGATGTTGCGGATGCGGGCTCTTCGGGATCACCTTGACCCTCCTGGTCGTCACTCTTCTCGCCATCCTCTCCCTCTGTATATGCATCTCCGCTGGCGCCTTCAACCACCAGGCATCTTCGCCCTCATCTACTTCTACTTCTACATCTCCTTCGACCAGCGTCAAGGTCACCGTTCAGCCGCCCACCTCGCTACCGAGTATCACTACCGGGCCCAGTTCAACTCCAACTTCCAGCTCAACAGAGGAGCCTAAAGAGAAGCTCTCTGGCCTGGTTCCTTATCTCACCTTCCTCGGAACTCCTACCACGACGCAGTCATAGTACTTCATGTACCGCTATCTATTGTTTATATAATATCTAATGCTATCTATCTCTCCCCCTTTACATGGAATGTCAATTTGCTATATAGATTAGCTAGGTGACACGGTATTGAGAAAGGTAAAAAATAAATTATTTGTAACAGGTCTACATAGGTAATAAGCGGGGCTCTAATTGATATGGATTCATTGGGGGCACGTGGACCCGGCCTCACAGCCTACATAACCTACCTAAGGTAGGTACTCTTAGAACAGCATATGTATAATTCTACGGCGGACTATATGTACTATGCTATCAAAATTCATTTACTATGTATGTGACAAACTTATATAAAAGTAGGTGGAAAGATAGTAATCATATAATATCCTTACTAAGTAGTAAGGAGTTATACTATTGGCTAATAATACCGCTTTTACCTACTAAGCTATTATCTACGTGTTTTATGTCGGGACCTTGGGCCATGAGACCACGGGACAAAAAAGGCCTTCTGCCCCATGGAAACATGAGTGATAAGGTGCGAGTCGTAGAGTCGAACGGATGACTAATCCAACATTTTATTTATCTTACCTAAGTACTCTGTACCTTCTCTTAAGAGAAGTGGTACTTAGGTTAGGCGTATAAAGTATTATCTATATAAAAGGGTACTATTTAAAATATATTTATTATGGTTGTCTACGTGGCATTACGCCTTACGGGTGATAAACGAATTTTGATAGCATATAGTCCGCCGTAAATTCCGTAAACAATGTATTTCGAAGGGGTTGTAGTGTGGACAGGAAGGTTAGGTCAAGGAGGCTAGCTACCTCAGGTACTTAAGTTTATTTTTCTCTCCAACCTCACCTTGCTTAGTTCTCATCAATCTTCTACCAACCTTCAAAGTGAGCAGCTTCAATCAATATGTTTCGCTGTCTTCCACGGGCATTCGCCTCCTCGTTCAGGCCAAGAGGGCTTTCAACGCGGGCCGCTCGACATCTCCACGATGTCGCTGGAGATTTCACCAGCTACAACGCAAAGGGCGTCCCCATCTCCAAAAAAGTTGACATCGCCATCGGTGATCCAGAAAATACCTTCGTCCTGGTGCCAATAGAAGTCGGAAATGCTTTTAAAGCTGCAGCCACACGCCACACTGAGTCCACCTCATCGCCTCTAATCAGTCAAGGCCCGCCAGAACGGTGCAAAGTTACGTTTTTCCACGACTCGCAGCACTTCAGCCTGGGTTAGATCTCGCATTTCTAGACTTCTACTCTCTCCCCAGGACCTAATTAGATATTATAGGGCCTTCGAGTTATCCCCAGCTCCGTATTCCTGCAAATTTACCTCGCCAGACTGATACAAACACGAGCCCAGCCACCATATACTTGGATGGAGTGATGAATAGCATCGTTTTGGACGGGACTCCCGATGGTAAGCCTGCATGGTTGATTATCCCCAGAAAATGAAACACTGCCCTAATAAGTATTGCTCAATTATAGCGAGGTTTACTGAGATGGCCAGCGCCAGCGCGCTGAATCTGAAGGAAGAGCTCGACGATTTGAAGAATAGGTGATCTTAAAAACTGTTATTTTACCGTCAAAATGTATTAAACCACTTGAATATTGTCTTGTTCACATATAACCCACCAGTTGCCTCCCTTCAATACATCCTTTGCCGCCGTAACATCAATAAGTTTAGGCGCCCAGTCATATAGGCTGAGCCATAGAGTGAGCTATAATTATCCCGCCGCCGTGCCGCACCTCCTCGACGTTTACTGCTATTAGCACTCGTATATTGAATGGCCCATGGGTATACATAGTAAGCCACTTACGCCTAAAGGGCCAAAAATAGATAAAACTGCGTTTCGATGACATTTTATATATCTCTCGACTAGCCGTTACATGGCAAGGCCTTGCGTGTATTTTGGTTGGCTACTATGCTTTGTAGTTCCAGCTGAAAGGAGTGTAAGTACCTGGTTCATTGTAATCGTTCATGCATCCATGACCCCAGTAATAGTATTGGATTGGTGACAATTAGACTAGATCACAGAAGGCTGTTACCATTTGGACCCCAAAACCCACTATCATGATTTCCATGCTCCTTGATGCACGCCGTACAAGGATTCTTATCCAACATTGGGGGCGAACTTGAGTAAGCACTGACGGCTCCAGGCGCTTATAATCCTGCGAGAAGTCGTATATATACTGCCTCCTCATGGCACTTGGTTCTCCATCATTACCATTGTTCAAGTTTTTTTCAGGTACATATTACGTTCAGCTTCTGCTCTCTTCTCAGCCCACGGCTTTAATCACCATAACCTTGGAGCGATTTAAACGTACACTTCCTGTTGCTTCGATCCTTATTGCACCTGCAACATGGCTGCTAGGACCATTCGATTCTTGACATTGAATCAAGTCCAGTACCTTCATCGACGGCACATCGCTGAAAGGTTCCCAACCCAACCGAATCTACTCGAGTCCGCCCTTCATTCGCCAATGAATTTGAAACACTATGCTAAGCAAGAAGACGTTTTTCAGCTTGCTGCAAATCTCGCAGAGAAAATCATGCGAAACCATGCCTACCAGGACGGAAACAAGCGCACTGCCCTCTTAGCTGCTGATATGTTCCTGAAAGTCAATGGGTACTACCTCCAGAAAGTGCCATTCGCTGATGATGCGAACAACAAGGGCTTGTCCGATGCTCATGTTGCTCTCGTGACCAATCAGATGAATGCTGAAGAGCTGGGACGATATTACAGAACGGTGGCCCTCCCGCTTGTCGAGTTGACACCTGATATCATCGAATACCGAGACGGAGCAATCGAATACTAGTCATGAACCTGATCAGCTTGTTATCTATCTTGCGGAAACGTTGGTATATGTTGGAGGCTAGAACTGGGTTATGTATGTAGCTTTAAGTGAATATTTGCATTTAAAACCCTGTGAAGGCCTGTTATTGATTTCTCCAAGACTGTCAAATATGTATTGACATATCTCCTGGCGAGGCCATTTTTATATTAACTAGTTATATACTAAGGCCATAACTGTTGGTTATCCTTTTCACCAAATCCTCCATCACCATCCGTAACATCACCCATTTGTTCCTAACCTGCGTCTCTCTCGGCTCACAACACATCAAAGCGCCCATTCAATTGAAACCACCTATCGACTAGCCATGTCTAACTGCTATTCACAGTGGTGGGATAGAGCAAGCAGGATACAGAGGTTAGGCTGAATACAGCGGTTAATTAATAACATAATTAAGATATATAAACCCTAGATATATGAGTAATAAAAGGTAAAACTCATTGGAGCCCCTCGTAAGAGAGCAGTAACATCCTCAGGGTAAGTAACTAGGGGAAGAAGAAAAGGGGTAGAGGGAATACTGAGTATCAAGAAGCAACACTGTTCTTCTCTTCTCGAGAAAGAATATCTTCCCACTGCAGCCTCATTTCCTCCATCTGCTTCCAACACTCTCGCCCAGTTTCTATAAACGGCGGTTTTCTCCTTTTCTGTAGTATCAGTTGCACCACGCTTCCGTCTTCGCATCTTGTCTGCCTCCAAAATGGCTGGTCCAACGACACCACCATACCCCCAGCCTTCAACTTCCGTAGA